GAATGGGAAAAGGAGAGAGACGGACTGGCCTCGCGATCTAGGGACTGGCGTGCCAAACTGTGAAGAAAAGTGGCAAAATATCGAAAACGGCCCAGGAGTGCCACTGTCCCTTAACGGTTTCGCTTAAGAGTTTCGCGAGGAGGAGCACACGGGGGGAGCACATGAGAAGACGTAGAACACAAGAGCAGCCAGGCCAGAAGAACACAGACCGACCAAACTGGAACAAAGACGAGCCAGGCGAGGGGAACACAAGCCGACCAACGTGAAACAACCAGACGGCGGCGACCTCTCTCGCGTATCTCGTGAAATGGCAGAAGTGGAGGCAGATGGAGCCGCGCGCAGTTTTATCGAAAAGCCGCCACGTGGAGACCGGTGAGGCCTCCCGCCTGTCGCCAATCTTTTGGAGGAATATGACGAAGCGAACCCGATAAGGAGATCGGGGAAACCCTTGCGGCGATTTTTGTTCGAGACGTTGCGCCGGTTTCTTTCTTTTTCGTCTTCTTTTTTTGAATATTTGAAAGTATTCGAATATTTTGGGAACATTGGGAGACTATTTGGAGAATATTTAGGAATATCCGCCGAATATTTGCGGGCATTTTTGAAGTGCGGGAATAGTTTTCGGGTGAATGTGCTGAAATAAGATGAAAAACTGCGCACGCAGTTCATACCGCGCGGGAATCGAACGGCGTAAGAGGCTCCGGACATGCTCACGCAGTTCCGCGATCAGTTCTTCTCGTGGGGCTATCTGGGCGAGCTGATGCAAAGACGCTTCTCATTAAAGAAAAGAAATACTTTACAGAAGCTCTCTTTTTGCAAGTATCTCCGCTCGCTTGTCGCTTTCCTGGTCTCTTTGCTTGGCTATTTGCTTGTCCCTTCCTTTGCTTGTCTCTCCCTTTGCTTGTCTCTTTCTTTGCTTGTCTCTTTCTTTGCTTGTCTCTTCCTTTGCTTGTCTCTCTGCTCGTCTCTTTGCTGGTCTCTTCGCTTGTCTCTTTGCTATTGCTTGCCTCTTTGCTTGTCTCTGTGTCTGTCCCTTTGCTTGTCTCTCTGCTTGTCTCCTAGCCTGTCTCTCTGCTTGTCTCTCTGCTCGTCTCTTTGTTCGTCTCTTCGCTTGTCTCTTTGCTTGTCTCTTTGCTTGTCTCTTTGCTCGCCTCTTTGCTCGCCTCTTTGCTCGCCTCTTTGCTTGCCTCTTTGCCTGCCTCTTTGCTTGTCTCTGTGTCTGTCCCTTTGCTTGTCTCTCTGCTTGTCTCTCTGCTTGTCTCCTTGCTTGTCTCTTTGCTTGCCTCTTTGCTTGCCTCTTTGCTGGTCTCTGTGCTTGTCTCTTCGTTCGCCACTGCCCAAACGGCGCCCCCCCAATGAAAAGAGAGAGAGGACAAAGGGGGCCGAGCACACCGCAGCGGCGTCTCAGTTTCCGCGCGCTCCCCTTGCTCCCCTTCTCTGTCTTTTTCATTGGCGGGGCGCCGTTTTGGCAGTGGCGAACGAAGAGGCAAGCAACGAGACAGACAAAGAGACCAGCAAAGAGACAAGCAAAGAGACAAGCACAGAGTCAGAGACCAGCAAGGAGGCAAGCAAAGAGACAAGCAAGGAGACAAGCAAAGAGACAAGCAAAGGGACAGACGCAGAGGCAAGCAAAGAGACAAGCAAAGAGACAAGCGAAGAGACGAGCAAAGAAAGAGACAAGCAAAGAAAGAGACAAGCAACGAGAGAGACAAGCAAAGAGCCAAGCGAAGGAAGAGCCAAGCGAAGGGAGATCCAAGCGAAGAGCCAAGCAAAGAGACCAGGAAAGCGACAAGCGAATTGGCACGCAAACAGACAGACACACAAACAGACAAACTAAGAGACAACGAGGCAGACAAGCAAGCAAACAGACAAGCAAACAGACAGGCAGAGAAGCAGAAAAGAAGGGCCAACAGAGACGACAAAACAGCCCCGCCCGCTTCACCAAGATGATTTGGCGTTACCTCCGATATGAGGAGGGCTATGGCTCATGATCGCTGATTACTCGACTTGTCTCCATACTAGAAGAATCAAGATGTGACGCAGCCAAGAAATGTAATTTTAGGCTTTGGACACTGCGTTGTATGAATTTTCGTTACGAATCCTGACAGTGAGCATTGTTAGCTGATTTCGGCAATGCGCGATCTTCAATTTTTCAAAAACTTTGTATCATCTACGACCTCCTTCATCTGCGAAGAAAAGATGCACGGTCGCTTTCGACCGCCACGGGCTTCGAACAATCCGCCTAGGCCGGCTCCCGTGTGTCTTGCGAGTCACAAGTGTGTGGCTCCTTGTGAGAACGCTTCGATCTGGTGCCACAGAGGATTTTTCGGCGAGGCCGCCTATCGGTCATCAAAATGTTTTGCGTGATAGCCAGGTTCAGGAATGTGACGACACGGCGACACCTGACCACTCAGCAAGTTGAGTGAGTGGCGAGAGAAATGAAAAAAAGCGTCAACTACACGGACCCCACAAAAACGATAGAATAAACGAGCCGATAATTACCTTTCACGTTTTAACTACACCGCTGCTTACTCTTTTTGTGCCGGAAGACTGATTAGATGTTGAACCAAATAACTGTTAATGCAACGAATTGAAGCAAACTCCACCTCTTTTTTGGGATAAAGTTGTTATCTCGCTGTTCTGAAAAATTTCTGTCGCCCCGAACGTTGAAAAAAGATATTGTTCCCATTTTGATCTCATACTCGTACCATTGATTGAATACCATTGATGAAGTACCATTGATTAAGGACATCTTCAAAAGAAAGGCTATACTTATGTGAGCTCAAAAAATGGGTCAGGAAACTGGATCCTCATCGTCGTCGGGGCAGCCGCCCTCATGCCTGCCGAGCGATGCTTTCCAGCATTTTCAACAGCGGGAGGCGCAGCTACTGCAATACAATCAAGAACTCGAGAAGGAAAAAGAGGCTGCCATAACCAAAGCCCAAGAAGCAATGCGCGACGTCGAGAACTTGGACTTCAAGAACTACCAGCCGTATTTTTACTTAGGTTGTGACAAAGGCAAAGTATGTATCTATGACGTGGAGATCTATTCCTAGTCTACAGCGCAACAATTTAGTGTGTGGTGGAGGGAAGTGATGATGAAAGAGGGTAAGTGAGTTTTAAACATGAAGACTAAATTAATTAACAGGGGTACGTACGAGTCCTATATGCAAACTATGATTGCATCTACAGACGATGAAGTTTGAAACCAAGCGAAGTAAACATCTTTATTGCACAGGTCCTTTCTCCGGAATACTGGTGTACAGCCGTTGATACAGGAGAGTTCGATCGACCTATCGGACGCAGGTACTGAAGATGTGCTAGAAGTATCAGACTTCTCTGTTTATCTGTGTTTTCCTATTTTTGTGCTAGCATTCATCAAGTTTACAATTCATTGTTTTCATCTATCATTACCATTAGTTCCTACTTGGAGTTTTTTTGAAGGTAAAACTTTGAAATGTCTCGCGTTTACTCACATTACCAGCTATGTCGCATGCGCGACGCTTTCCCGAAGCCTCTGCAGCACCGCTAAAGACGCTTAAGGACCCAGCACCACCGCAAGTCGCGGACTTACAGCCAACGATATCCACGAAGACAAAATTAGCACATCCAGCTGCATCCGCAAACGAAGTCGAAACTCTCCAAAGTATAGCTAGAAGGGGAATTTCCCATTAGTTTTTTAGAGCTGTAACCGCTGTGTACTTTTCAAGGAAGTTACAGTACTTAAGTAGTTTGAATGACTATGTGATGAGCGTAAGTTGTGTAACGCGTCTGTATTTGCAAGTTAGCGCAAACTTTAAAACAGACACGATCCGGTTTCAGAAGGCGCGCATTATTGCACTCCAGGAGGAGCTCGACAAAAACATCAAGCAGCTAACACAGAGAGACGGAGACAATAATCAGCTGAAGCAGGATAATAAGGCGCTCACAGAGGAGAATAGACGGCTTTCAAGGCAGCACGTCATCGGAGAGGGCCACCAGGACAAATTGAAGAAGACAATCGCATTATTGGAGCATAAAATCAAAGACTTCGAGAAGGATCTCACCGAGGTACTAAAAGTGAAGCAAACGGATGATGTTTTTGTCGACTTTAGAATTCCCAGAACGTCTTGGAGAGATGCAAATCGGCAGCAAATAGTGTGTCGAAAACGCAAAAAGTGGCACATCGAATACACGGAAGATATGTCCCTCCTAGCCAAGGCAAAAAGGGCGGAAATAATGCGCTCACATGAGGCACGACGCAGAAAGACGTAGAGAAGGACTAACGCTTAACCCCTGGAGTGGGTACATTCATTCACTCATTCAGAATCGAGTCACTATCACGTTTTCAAGATGATCAAGAATGCTTGAAGAACTCACTCCATTCTGTCCCTTTGTCAATATTCAGGCACGCAAGGAGAATGACCAGCTGTCATTAACAGCTCGAAAGCAGGAGCAAGAAATCAGCTCTAAGGATGCGCGCGTGAATCGGCTTATAGAGGACTGCGAGCGATATCGGACGAGCATGAAAGATTTGAAATTATGGATAGAAGTAAAAAGAATTAGAAATGTCTTATAAGGGCTCAGACTGTGTTCTCCTATTACGGCGGGAGATGAGGATTTCTGAATATTTCTCGTTTAAAGCTCTTTGGTTGCGTACCGACTCTAATCCCTAGTCAAGACCAGGATAAGGTCAAGTCCGATCGCAAGGAGCTCGACAGGCTGCTAGCGGACAATCGGAAGCTAGAGAGGCAGCGAAACGAGTTGGTCGCTGCCTTCAAGAAGCAAATGAAGTTGATTGACGTCCTCAAAAAACAGCGCACTCACCTCGAGGCAGCACGCGTCCTAAGCTTTACCGAGGACGAATTTGTGCGAATTTTAGACTTGGGAGATAAGCTTGGTGCTGCATGATCTCCTTGTCATATTAGCCTAAGTATGAAAGACCCACATGGATGATAGTGTAGACCTCCCGGATAATCTTCATTGTTGATGCTCAGTTGTTTCATGATTTGTTCATGAAATCGTTCCCATTCCAAAAAATATGTTTATATGTCTCTACACAACGCACTCAGAAGAGAGTGTTGTCGCTCTTGGAGTAAAAATAGCAGGGTAACGACTACGAAGAGCTTTCGCCTTCCACTCCAGCCATTGGCATTAGCGGAGTGAAGAGAAGCGCGAGCAGGACCAAAAACAGGACGAAGATTTCTGCTCGGTTTGAAAAAATTTGACTGTGTAAGGAGTCGTTTCAAAATTCATGCAGTTCAAAATGGAAGAACCAGGAAGTGTGTCACGGAAAAGAAAAAGGCAAAACAAATCTGCAAATGAAATACGGACTCATTATTTGCGTTCTTCGATCATCCATACCGATCCTCCAAAACAAAACTAAGCGGGGAAAGCACGAAAGCGGAAGCCTTTTTTGCCGACCGCGGTGTAGCGCAATGACAGTGTGACGGTAAAAAATGAACGACGCAGGCTTGTCCGTGCGCGGCGGCCGGCCGCGTTGGAAGTACCGCCGATTGTGAGTGGTCGTAGATAACGTCAGTCGGGGAGTTGGAACAGCTTTTCGAAGTGGTGGTTCTCGGGAAGCCTAGGAAGAGGTGGCTTCGCTGAGCCATTAAGAACGGAAGAAGAAACGCTGACTCAAAAAGATGGAGGCTTCAACGATAGGCGCCGGGCACAAGCCCGACCCGCTCGACATGAGCTTCACGCAGGGTGGCAGTACGTTTGGCAACACCTTCGGCGGCGGTCAGACCATGGGAAGCACTACGATGGGCAACACGGGGAAGGTGGCGCCAGAATCACCACTTGGTGAGTCGGCTGGCGCTGCTTTGGCCGCAACGACAGGGGCGAAGCTGATCGCAAGTGCGAGAGAAAATATGGAGGAAATGCGACTACACGGAAAATATGGAGTGAAACTATGGCAATTTCAAGAGTTTCTCATGCAAGAAAAGGGACTCCGCGTTGCGTGCAGCACTCTGCCCTTCACGATTGTGCTCTGGTTCGTCTTCTTCTGGCTCAGCAGTGTACTACTTGCTTTTCTTTTCAGAAGATCTTAACAAACAAACAAACAAACAAAAGAAGTAATCTGTAACCAACCCGCTCAATAAGAATACTTTTTTTCTAAGCACTCGACCCTCTCAAAATCCAAACAACAGACACACACGGACGTCTCGGCAAGTTACCAAACACGTCTCGCAATAGGCAGCGAATTTGCAACGGCGAACGTTACACGGAATGTAGTGGGACAATATGGGTCGGACCCCGGCATAAATTTTCGAGCTTTCAATCTTGAGACGCTGAATGATCGACAGGAATTGAATCTGTGGATGAAGTACGTGCTCGCACCAACGATTAGCCAGGACACAACCGGTGGCGTAGTGAGTTTATGTTCGACATCGAATTATCCTTGTCTTTGATGATGAATCTCCTGTGATGTTGACAGCAAAACAAGTGTTGGTGTACTAGATACCGGCCCATGTTCGATTAGCTCTCGGGCTTTTCAGAAACTACTGCGTTGTGGGGCAACGTTCTTTCCGCAAGAAAGAAGAGGTGTCCGTTTGTATTGACTGGGTACCTGGCTGTCTTTTGAGTCCTCTAATTGCAAGTTACAATAAGCTAGCGGGAGGAGTGCGTGTCGTGCAACGAAGGGCAAAATCCGCAACCTGCGATGCACCAAAGGAAATCGCCGATAATCTTCTTAGCGGAGTGACGTGTCATGCTACTGTCAGCAGTGATGATGACTATTCCACTAGAGTGCCAAAACTTGCGCCAACGGGAAAGGAATCCTTCGACAAAGCGTTTGTGGGCGGGAGCATGATGACTGCGGAACCCACTTATAACTTCGTGGCTTGGGTAGTTTAAGTGCTAGCGATCGCCTAAGTAAGTCGCCGTTTGATTCGTTATGAAGGAAATCGTTGTGTAGTTTCTCCAATTTTATAGAAGACGAGCCTTCGCTTTTTGTGTCACAAAAGAATACCAGTAGGAAGAAATTTTATTCTCGCTGTGGATCGTCATACCTCGTATCAGGTAATGAGCGACCGGAATGTATTGGACAATATGCGACGCGTAGATTCCTTGATACATGGCAACTGGCTCGACGAAGACAGCCTCGACGTGATGATACAAGGCGTTTTCTACAATGGAAACACAGAAATGTCCATAGTCCTTTTTGTGTTGTCTCATTTTGTTAGTGATTTCTAAGATGTAATAATTGAGGAATCTTCAATGTACTTGCTTGACAGCACTCGTGTTTTTGTTTTTTGTTGCTAAGAACTAGCGAAAATGGCTGATCAAATCAAACCTAACACAGGTACGCTTTCATGTCGGTTGAAGTTGAATTCACGAAAGCCGGGACGTTGAGGATAACCAACGATGTGCGGACGGTGAAGTCGGACCTCTACCCGACGTCAATGGAAGTCTTGCCTGATGTAGTCTTTTTCACGCTCTTCCTGATTCTTCTCATGCAAGAAATCCAGCAGATTCAGGAAGATTACCGCGAGGGCTTCATATGGTACTCGTTGTTTAATATGGCTTTTAGATTCCATAGCCTAGCTTGGCTTTTAGATTCCCTTCGATAGCTGTCATAGTATTGCTGGAAGATGTTCATTTCATGTCCATGTCGTTTTTATCACTACGACCCAATTTTAAACAACCAATGAAGAATGTCCACTCACGTTTAAAAGCAATGATGTTCTTTTTGTCTAAGGTCTACCAGCTTATCAACATAACTTTTCGGTCTCCAACATCTAAATTCAGGAACTACTTGCTTGACAAGTGGAATTTTCTTGACTGGTTGGTCATAGTTACGTCAGCGTCGATCCTTCTCAGTTACTGGTTTTCGTACATTTGGTTGCTCAACCTGGAGAAGATGATAAAGGCGCTTGGTGAAGCACCAGAGGAGATTCCAAGTGAGTTGATCTTATGAAACGAAGTGTGCGTCGTAGGACAACGTTGCGAGGAGGTTATTGGGCATGAGGTGGAGATAACTGATTCACGAGGAATGGTAAATCAATCGATTAGACTTTTCTGTAGGATACTAGCATCAGGCAAGTTAGTACGCTAAGCAGTAGTTGCAAGCTCTAAACACGAAGCCGAACGTGTACAACATCGTGCTGTGGGCGAATCTTTCGTATCAGGAGAAAGTGCGAGATATCATAGACTGGCTCGAGGACTTGGTTGCGTTCAAGGTTTGGGCCGATCTCCTTCTCTTCTGGTTCAATATTCTGAATATGCTTCGGTTTTTCAAGGGATTTCGGGGACAGCCACGAATATCGGTCTTGTTGGAGACCTTCAACAATGCAAGCATAGTACTATTTTTAAATTTTCGATTTCATCTAGGGACTTTATAGATCTTGTTTCTCTTCTTGCGATGTTCTCTTTCACTAACTACTAGAACTTTCAGACAGTTGTTCATCAATCATCCGATCATCCAAATATTCAATCAGGACTTCATGCATTACCTGATGATCTTTGCGGTCGTCTTCTTCAATTATGCGACAGCGGGACTCGCGATGTATGGCGTCTACATCGAGGAGTTTTCTACCTTCAGTCGAGCAATCGAAGGTATTTCTACTGGACGTTAATGTCGGAAACTATGATGACCTTAGTAAAGCTGCTTGTTATAGCACTGGCGACTCTCATCTCTTCCTTCAGAAAGTAGTTGGCTTCTGCGCTTCTACAACACAGACATATCGTTCGCACCCCATTCTACAGCCTTGTTTGGGATGCTCTTCGGCGAGATGCGGTTCAACAGCATGTACGAGATATCACCCTCGATATCAGTGGTTTTCTTTTGGAGTTTCATGATAGCACTGCCGTTTCTGCTGATCAACATGTTGTTGGCGCTCGTAATAGAAAACTTCCTCTTCGTCAAGAAAGTATGCGGTGACGGAGGCAAAGGCATCTTCGATCAGGTGAGGATATTTTTTACATCTTTTACGCTTCACACAAGCGTCGACATGGAAGCTCACGGACATGGTTTAGCAGCGTGCACCTTCCTCTTCCTACACTTGATGATGAAGTTTCTGTCGTTGTCTCTCTTAGATAGTGGGTGTGATTTCCTTATTTCAGATATCCGATTACATTGATAACTTGCGCTGGGCTTACAGTTATGAAGGCGCAAAGAAAAGTGCACCAATTGACACGTTGCTCATGAAGTGTGTCTTGGCGCAGGACCCTGAGGATACGAAGAATGCTGTTGCCGCACGCGAGCGTGGTCTCTGGGGCTTTAAAATAGACCGATTTCGGAATCTTAACAAGTCTCTTCTAGCAGAGCGCGAAGTCACGGTGGACTACTCTATGGCAGGCTTCTTTTGTGCTTATTATCTTGCTATGGTCATGGAAGGACCACATAAACTGGGTAGTGTCTGGTGCAAGTCATTTTATTCCGTGCTGTAGTTCTTCGAGCTACTATGTGCAGAATTTCATTTTTAGATTTTCACGTTCACAGGCACTTCTTACAAGTTTTTCTTTTTTACTGTGACACAACACAGCACCTGTTTTTTGTAGATAGCCCAATTGTCTCTTTCATAGTTGTGGTCGCGAACGGTTGTGACGAGCTGAATGCGCATAGGCTTTTGAAGCGGTGTCGAGAGCAGCTCTTGAGTGAGCGACATGTCTTCTCAGAATTTGAATATCTGGTCAAGACCCTAGAAAATGAGTTCACCCGAGTACAGTTACGCATGAACCGATTACGCGGTAATTTCGTTCAAATGGAAGGGGATGCCATGAACCTGCTAGAAGTGAGCTACGAAAAGCTGGCTCGTGTTTCAGCATGGCTCAGATCAATACGGTATTTGATTACCTATTTCATTCGTGCAAATATTCGTGAAGATTCAATAGGAAATGGTAAGACTCAGGTGCAAATATGTGCTGACGCAGCTCGAGGAAGACGCGACATCAAATATGTAGTTGAATAAAGTAACTGTTTAAGAGGATTTCTATTTTTTACTGAACATTAACGTTTTACAACAGGGTGCAGCAAGACTTGCCAGAGGGTTGGACAGAAAAGTTTGACGAGAAGAACGATAAGATCTACTATCAACACGAAGTGACTGGCCGTGTAGTGTGGGCGTTGCCGAAAGACGCGCTCAAGCAACGAAAAGAGAAGCGAACACTGCGAAGCGTCGTGCACAAGGTCACGGCTGGGCAGTTACTTAAGAAGGGAGATCTTCTTAGGGCGACGCTGGCTTTGAAAGACGCTGGCAAAGAGGAAGCTCAGGCTGCAGAACGTGAAGAAGAGGCTATGATTCGTGGCGAGATATCACCGGTAACCGGACACTCGAAGGGCGGGGAGTCGCCGGGTGGCGGTGGTCATGCGGAAAATAGTGCGAATCCAGGCTCACCACCTTCAGGAGGCGCAAGTCCTAGTGGTCCTGCGGAGCCCCCTGCAGGGGGGAACTCACCGACAGCAGGGGGCGGATCACAATCGCAGGGAGAGGCAAATAGCCCCGGCAGCGATAGGGCAGGAGGAGGACAGGAGTCCGCCGACGCGTCGAAAGGAGGTGAGACATTTGTAGCTGTGTTCTCAATGACTTATATGTTTTTGCTTCAAGTTGCATGAGTGAAGAACTGTGTAGAAGTATGCTCATTTGATCATTGTTACGAGGAACGTCAAGATTTTTGTCCTCGTGATATATTGAGAAATGCTCTTTTGAAAACGCAAGTCATCTGCTGCCGGTCAACTAAAAAACCACAGAGCCTCCGCCACCGGAAGAGTAGGTGAGTTGCGTTAGGACACCTCACTGTAATTTTGGCAGTCATCTAGGATTCACCCTGGTACACTACGTTTGGACGCTTGGACAACTTACAATCTGAATAGCAAAGTCATCGTCAACTACGAGAACAGTCAACTATTTGCACCGGTATACATCATCATCTTGGGAGATTGCCCAGAGTCGATTTTTGGACGTTTGCGATATATTTAGGATCGATTTATTACTGCGCCCGCGCTGTGGCACGCACTGTATTTGATTTAGGTTTACGTATGCACGCTCAGAAAGAGATGCTCAGCAGGAAAATGTATTGGTTTCGATTTTTCACGTTTCATATCGTTGCTTGATAGGGAAATTTACGGATTGATTGGTGCACGTGCAATCATTCCCACACTTTCGCACGCACACCAAACACCCTGGACACTACTACAAATTCCAATTTGTACCCTGCGAACTGGAGGAGCTGCCAGTAGACCATGCAACTACTCGTTTTTTTGTAATGCAGTCGAAGGTGGAGAATCTAAACAAATCTAATGATAAGAAGACATGAAAGATTGTGGTGGTGCCTTCCGAAGTCCTCCCCGACCTGCTCTCACCTGATTTGTGACTTGTAATTGTAAAGGAAGATGAACGGATTATTCGAAGAGTTAACAAGTGCATAGCATTTCATCGGTCTTCAGCTCGAGCCGGTGCCTCAAAATGCAGCTCGGTCCCTTGGAGTACGACCATCAATTGACTTTGTGAAGAGACGTCGTGTAAGACCTGTAGAGCGCCGAGTGTCTGTTGGATGCTGTGCTGTGATTCAGAGAGAGAGAGAGAGACTGAAGCCCACGTCCCTACAACAACCGAGACCAGCTAGGCTGCGTATGGCTGGCACCACAAGCAATCAAGAAAAAGGAACATGACCTCTTCCGGTGAGCATTGAAGCCTTTCTTCAGAAAGGGTGATAAGAGTGCTACAAAGACACTCCTCGTGTCTGCAGCTTGCTTTTGCAGCTGCAAGCACAGGCAGCCATGGCGGCGGACGGGGAGACGAGTGACGTCGACTTAAGCGACGACGATGTGGAGTATCTTGATCCGAAGCAATGCCGACAGCGGCTATTGCTTCTTCTCGATGATCGGACTCGCCGATTGCGATTCGAGGAGCGACTGTTGCTCAAGGTGAAGACTATGAGCGACAGCCTCGCGGAGAAGAGGGACAATGTCGAATCACTCTATCGTGCTTTAGAAACGGAAAGGGCGAAAGTCGAGAATGAGACGCTTGCCAGACAAGCGGAGAAGGCGAAGCGCTTCGGGGAGATGGATCGCAATATCCGGTCATACTTGACCGAAGTAATATTTAAGTCTTCCGCAGAGCCAGCGTCGAGCTCAGGTGGTGGTGGCGGACAGATTGTTTCTTCGGGTGGAGATCCGCCGCTGCGGACGTTGCTTGTGAGCTATTTCAAGCCAGGAAGCAGTGAACGCTGCGATCTGAGGTATAGAATCGATGACGAGAGCACCGTACGACAGATGCGTGCTGATGCTTGCCGCTACTGGCAATTGTCGGAAAGCCAATTCGTTTTGCGCATGTCCAATGGCTCGAAACTGCAAGAGGACATGCGGATGCTCAATGTATTTAAAGATGGGGAAATAGCGCAGCTGTTTCTGCTTCCGCGGGTGCAAACAAACACGGTCGTGTCCGAGGCGGAAAAAAAATTATGATGAAAGGGCTGAGGGGAAATAGAGGATTTTCACGGGTAGGAAACTCCTTTGTTGGTATTGCAAAATACCAGCGTGTTAAATTATCCCTACGGTGCGGCAATGAAATGTAGCTCAGAGATCTTTCCTTATGGGGTCAAGACAGCTTATTTTTGGCCTTTTTCATACCAAGCCATTCTTCCGAAGTCTGGGAAGTTTCGACGGACCGGGAACACATTGGGTGATAGGGAAATGATGGCCGGCATAGGAGTAACTCCAGAACAGGAGCTGCGGAAGTGTGGCGGCGCGAGTTTGTTGGTACGCACCAAGGAACAGAAGCCAAGCGAGTACTTGACACGCATTCGCTTCCGAGATATTGTTGTGTATTTGGTGCTAACGTTAGCTTGGTGGTGGCTCGTGCTTTCCGGCCAGCGGTGGCCAGGACAGGCCTATCCGCTAGTCGACGACATAGGCAGGGTTTTGGGCCATGAAGACTTCATGCGCATCAACAGCACAAGGGAAGCACTAGTATGGTGGCAGAGAAGTTACCAAAAGTATTTGACGCCCCCGTTCACGACCTTCAACATAGCATACGGATTCCTTCGGCTACGGCAACAGAAAGTGACATGGGAAACGTGTCCCGCTCCAGTTTTGCTCTTAGATATATGGCAAAAGAAAGATTAGCAAGCATTCTGATGAACAGAAGAAGTGCGGTGGAGTTATAGAAATTGTGAGTTCGACGTAGAGACACGAGATACAACGAGTGCAACGTCGGACGTACAGTACCTAGCCTTGTACGAGTCTACTAAGATAATTTTATAGTACCTACAAGTCAAGTCCAAGTTGGTAAGCATGCGTTGCAACATTCACCGCGGTTCTTTGTAGTCTTTCAATGTAAACAGTCGGGCTGCTCAACGGCAGAAAATGCACAGATGACGGCGCTACTGAAACTGGCGCATTAAGTCCCGTACTGGAGGCATACTGGAACTTGCAAGATTCGCACAGTCGCAGCAAAGGAGGAAACTACGGGCGGGGAATAGTACTGAAGGGTTCTGAAGACATCACAATACTCTTGGATGCGTAATAAGATTTCTTTGTTATTGTTGTTTATGACTGTGACCGCTTCGCGCTTCTCTGTTTTTGATCTGGTTTTACCTTTTGCATTTCATAATTTCTTAAATGATCAGCATCACAATTGAAGATTATATCGAATTTCGCATGATAACTTCAGACGAAGCCGTACTTACATCAGTCGGATGGTCGGCTCGGGTCGCTGACAGGGAGCTCCGGCAAGACATACGATGGTAGTGGCTACGCTGTCGACTATGACCTGATGTTTGATGCGTCACAGGTTGCTACCTCCATTGAGCAGGATATAGTAGCGCTTCATAATGCCGAGTGGCTGGATGCGCGCACGAGGCTAGTGACGTGGTCACTCACTGTATACAGTATGAAAGGAGTGTGATATATGTAGATCGATTACTTTTTTGGCGAGTCAGCGTCGGTGTATGGAAAGCGGTCCATTAATGTCCGTGGGATCGGTCGAAACTACATCAAAATGAGAAGTATTCTACTGTTGAAGAGCAACGATTCCAAGAAGGCACTAGTGCTGCAGCACGGATAAGTCCTCATATCTTCTACAACTATTTATCCCTGGTGGTGACATATCTTATCGATATCAGTTCCCACGCACCTAGAGATAAAAAGGACTTGCCAAAAGTAGTTCGCTCGATCTTTTTAAGCCGTATCCTCACTACGATCTATTCCTGAGCCTGGACTACATTTTGGAGACGCCATTAGGTGGACAGCCGATGCCGCGAATTCAAGCCCTGCCTTTCCGTCCGAACACACGCGAGACTGTGGTCGAAAACTCTGAAGCCTTGACTTTTCATATCCGACTACTCTGCGCCCTCTACATCCTCTGCAGCGTCATCACGATGGAGGTGCTTTTTTGAAGATATTGATTATGAATGCTCCGTTATCTTCAGTTACGTTTACTTACTATTGGGTCTTCTTTTTTCACCTGTTCAGAGAAAGCAAGGGTCTTCGATTCTCCTCGACTTCTAGGTAGCTGCGCGAGAACGTGTCTACAAGGCGGGGGGAAAGTATCTTTTCACGCTGTTGGGAATAGCGGACCAGCTGATTGTGGTGACAGCCATTTTTTCATATTTTTTTCAGCTCGTTGCCTTCGGTCAGGAATCAACCTTGGATGTAATGCGACCGGGAAAGACTGAGTTCCGACACTACGCAACTTACGGAGAATCGTATCATCTTGGGGCTGTCGCAAATTTTTGGATCCATGAACTTTGTTTTTCAGGGCTGCATTGTTGCTTTAATTTACTACCAACTTTTGAATATTCTTTCATTCCTATCATGAACGTTGACAGGTACTGGGCTGCGTTCCAGGTGGACGGAGTGATGATTGCGTACTTGATGCTTCGACTGAGTCGATACTTCACGATTTTGCGTCGTGTCTGGTTTCTCTGGCAAACGCTTGGGCGTCTAACTTTCAAGCTCGCTTACTTCATCGCTCTGTCAGTAGTTTATGCTGCGACAAGACACAAGAATTTTACAAATGATTCCAACTTTCAGAGCTTCACTGCATTAAAATATACACGATCTTAAGATGTTGTGAACAAGTTGTACTGACTAGGACATGTTTTCATTTCTTTTTGGTCGCGTTTTGGACGAAGCTTGGGCACACGATATTCGGTCAAGTTTACGGTGATAGTCACTGGGTAGATCTTCGTGCCTCCTTCCTCAGTGTGATGCGGTTGCTTCGTGGAGACGGGAACTTTTTGTGGCTTCCAACTTTTGATCCGGCAATAGCAACTTCCAGGGCGCCAACGTTCTACATTTGGGCAAGTGTCTACGGGGTCTGCTACTATTTGACGATGGTTCTCGTCATCCAGAAAATCTTCACCGCAATTATAGTTTTATGGTTTCGGGAAGATTCAAATTTGGATTCCTCTGATAAGCAGTTCTCGCTTCAAGAAGAAATACCACAAGTATCGTTTTCTAGTTTAGAAGGATCGCTTTGATCTTTCTATGGTCACTAGCACTACGGGAATTTAGCATTACTAGACTTCTCACGAAGAGAATAAACGTATATGAATGTTGTATCAAGAAATCTTAATCTCTTCGCTAGACCTAGACTACGTCTAATGCGGGAGCAGTTTCTGCTGGTGAAGCTATGTTGGGATCCGAGACCACAGACTCCGTGGGACCCCAGACGGACGCTGCAATGGGCCACGCCACCTCTTCTATTCGAATCTGCCGGCAACCTCTTAGCAAAAGCGCAGGCATATTCTGCCAAGAAGGCTGCTTGATATAGCACGAGCTTATGCAAAGTTTGACAATTATGTGAGAACTCCATGTTTGACAGTGTCAGAACGCCATGTTTGATAATCTGGGAGGAACGCCATGTTTGACAGTGTGAGAACGCCATGCAGCTTGGCTGTGTGAGAACGCCATGTTTGAGTTTAGTTTCGATTGACTGTTTGAGAACGCCGTTTTAACTGATGGTGAGACTGTTAGCGCCATGCTTGAGTTTGATTCGATTGACTGTGTCATAACATCAAGCTACCTCTGTGTATAATGCTAGCTCTGACTCCTTTTGTATTTTCCATCGTAGCTGCCTCTGCTGTCTGAGAAAGAAACTGCCTGTGATTCTTAGTCGTTTTGTAGGCCAGACATTTAAAAAATTTCTGTAATGAGATCGCAAAGGAAATGCGGTAGTTCCCACTGACTCCCGTTTCGAATATATGGGACGAAATTATCTTCTAAGCTCGCCTGCCTGTGTTCCTGAGTGGAGTTGAGAGACTAGAGATGTGACTGTAGTTAAGTGGTACATTCACCAAGAATTGCTATTTCCTTAGGTTCGTAGATCTGTGTCTTGAGAGCAACATTGATTCTGTGTTGTACTTGTGGTCAAGACGAATGGATCTGTTGAGTGACTGAGCGGCGACGCGTCTGTCCTGCCTTTGAAGATCGCATTCTGAAACTGCATTCTGTTTGTGGAGTGAATGCTCTGTCTATGCATATTAGAAAGAGTTGGTATAATTGTTATCGGATAGCAAAAAAATGACGTTTTTTGTAAATTCTGTGGTCGATTAATCGAACCCTTTACCCCAAATATTCAATTTTCAGTTGTAGATGTTGATTATCTAGAGGCAAATTTACCCACCACTCCCCACTATTTTGAAGCGCTCAAATCGTCAACAGTGACATTTTCCTAAACAAATTGTACTGGTAAGAACAAAGATTCAGTGTCGGTGAGTAGGCATCTTGTAGTCGTAAGATTGCAACATCGAATTATCTCTTTTTTCATTTATAACGCTGTCATACAACATTTCTTCGTCTACCTAGTATTTCTTCATTGTTCTTGTTAGAAACACAGGGCTTTTTCGAGATGGGTGACGCAATTAAGGTTTGCATTCGTTGCCGGCCCTTCAACAAGCGTGAGCTGGAGATGGGCCCACCGGATGAACAGCTCTGCGTGAACATGCCCATCAACACGCAGGTGGAAATTTTCGACCCGGCAAAGCAGGGGTCCGGCGGCCACGACGAGTGCGCCAACTCGTATGCCTACGATCGCTGCTTTTGGTCCGTCGTTGGACAGGACAGCTTTGAGCTGGCGTCGCAGCAAACCCTGCAGGAGGAGATCGGGTCGGAGCTACTGAACAACACCATGAAGGGGTTCAACAACACGCTTTTCGCATACGGCCAAACGGGGGCCGGCAAAACCTGGTCCGTGATCGGGGGTTCCGACATCCGCGGTGACGATGCGGGGTTGCTGCCGCGGCTGATCGTAAACATGTTCACTCAGTTGGCCACTCCAGAGATGTCGGAGTGGAGCAACCACGTGACCGTATCCTACTTGGAGATCTACAACGAGCGCCTGCGCGACTTGCTTAAGCCGCAGGGCGGCAATACCAAGGCGAGTCCGGTTGCTGCGAAAAAGGGTCCCTCAGACAAGAAGGACCCAGAAGAGTTGGAAATCCGTCAGCATCCGACCCTGGGTGTTTTCGTACCGGGACTCACGGAAGCTGCCGCTACCGATGCAGAAGCGGTGATGGGCATGTTGGATTTCGGTTTCAACAACCGCGCTGTCGCTGAAACCTCCATGAATCCGCGGTCGTCGCGTTCCCATACTGTCTTCGTCATCGCGGTGATCCTGTTCCAAGGAAAATTCGAAAAGCCAACAAAGCAACTCACGAGCAAGGTAGCCGCTGATGATTCTATGCACTTAGAAGTTTGAATCTTAGACATCGATGGTCCATGCTAGGAGTTGATGAAACGGAATTGAATTAACAGCAACGTCGACATAGCATAAGCAAGTACCTAATTAGAATTTCTCACCCAATCTTCACAGATCAACATGGTCGATTTGGCGGGATCTGAGAGGCAGAAAAAGACGAACGCTGAGGGTGACAAGTTAAAGGAGGGCGCAGCGATCAATCAGTCCCTTACGAACCTTGCACTTGTTATCCACTCTCTCGCAGCCCAGTGCACTGGCAAGGCGAAAAAAGGAAAGGGAGAGCACGTTCCCTTTCGAAACTCGAAGCTGACGTACTTATTTATAAGTCCTCTTTTGTACAACTCACTCTTCTAGTCATTCGCAACGACGGTGTTGTAATGAACTCATTTTCTGCTGCGCTTATAAAAGTGCTTTTGTTTGAAAATCTTTCAGTAGAAATTTGTTTGATAATTTCGTCGACCTTTTTTTGTAGCGACTAAGAAAAGCTGTCTTTGTATTTCTACCAGGCACTTTTTGCAACCGGCGCTGAGCGGTAACTCGAAGACCGTGATGATTGCTGCAATTTCACCCAGTAGTAACAACATCCAAGAGACGCTGTCGACACTGCGTTTTGCGAACAGTGCGAAGGAAATCAAGACCAAGGCAACCAGCAATGCGGCCACGAACATGAGTGTCGTGGATCAGTTAAAAGAGCAAATCAAGACTTTGCAGAAGCAGTTGGCCACTGGCGGCAGTGGAACCGCTGGTCCGGGAGGGGAGCCGGCAGCAATCGACGAGGACGTGAAGCAGCAGATTGCTGAGCTCAAAGCTCTGCGGGAGAAGTACGGCGAGAGCTTCGAGAAATCGTTGGCACGCGGAGAGTTGATCCAGAGCCAACAACAGGAGGCTCTGAAAGCGATGGGTTTGGGCCCGCCGGATGACCCGATGGCCCCGTCGCTGAAGAGCATTTCGGCAGACCCAACGCTGAACGGCAAAATGACTTACTACTTGCCCACGAACGGCAACGAGGTGAATGTGGGAAGCGACAAGGGGGAGTGTACCATTGTGCTCGAGGGTTTGGGCATTCCGAAGCAGCTGATCGCGCTGAGTAATAAGGGTGATGCGATTAACGCCAAGCTCCTTCCGATGACCGAGGAGGAAGCCGCAGCGTCGGGGAATCTGGCCGAGGTGTATCGCAATGGCGCCCGTTTGTTTGCTGATGCGACTGCGGGCGCGGAGGCAACTCTGAACCACGGCGACCGCCTCTTTCTGGGGAAAGCGTTCGCTTTCAAGGTGTTTGTTCCGTCTGCGGCCGCACGCAAGGAAGCGGATTTGGAGGAAGTGGACCACGAGTTCGCGGAGATGGTCGCCGAGTTGATTGACACCCACTCGGAGCAGTACTTGCAAACGGAGGACTTCACCACCGCCTTGATTCCCCTCATCGGTAAGGAAAATGCGGAGAAATTCTTGAAGAACTTTTCGCGCTGCTTGCCGCTGGTGCAGGAGGCGAACCAGATCAGCGCAGCCGTTCGTCCTTTGGACCGCATTTTGTTGCGCCTCGATGTCCTGCTTGACCCGCAGTCCTTCCGCGGAATCTCCCCGGCCATGTGCGTGCGCCTCTACAAGACCGCCCCACCGCAGCAGCAGGCTGAGGGCGCCGACAACGTGCAGCGCGAATTCGCCGTGCACGCGGATGGATTGATGGCTGAGGACCGCGACGACATCTTCCAAGATGCTGTTGTCGACGGCAAGCCAGCGGTAGAACTCGCAGTGTTTTCGTGGCACTCGTTTCTCGTACGACTTCATGGCATGCGTGAGGCCTACGACGACTTCAAGACTGGTAAACAATAAGATAGCATAATCGATGAGGTTCAGTGGTACGAATTTCTAACTGGCTCCTCTCCTGTCTATCAGAGAGATGTCGATTTTTTTTCTTCTAGGACTGATCTTCGTCTGCCTGCCAATAATTCATGCCTTCGTTGTTAGATGAGATAAGTAAAATTCATTCAAACAATTTTTCAGGCATTCCAACTATTTTAAATTTTCAATACAGGTAAAGTGCATGACTGGAGAATGGAAGCCGATCCGTGGACCGAGTACAGCTACCTAGATCATCGGGACATGGCTGGTGAGATGAACGTGATGAATCATGCTCGTGAAAGTGTTGAGGGTCACTTAGCCACTGCGGTCAAGGGCATTGAGCAGGGTCGCGGCCGATCAATTATTGCGGATATCTACGGCACGGATGACAAGCGAAAGTCCCAAACCGATAAGAAAGTCGTCAACGGCTCGTGGTCAGTGGAAGCCATATCCTCAATGTCGCATGAGGAGCGCAATGTGCATGCGCAGGTACTCTTCCACAGGCTACGCGAGAGCCTGTCCGTTCTCCGGCAAGAACTCGAAATCGATGAGGAAGGGAAGTAAAAATTGTCGTTATGGAGTACTTGTCAAAACTAATGCACTGTTTGAGTAGTAGTTTTCTAACAGAATTTTCCTGGACATCCACGGTATGTGAGCATAAGAAAGATTTTCGTTTCCTGCAGGTCATCACTTATCGTATTATTTACTATTTGTTTTCGTTCGTGCGGCACAGAACTATAACTTTGGTTGTTGTCATACGGTTTCTGCGACCAGGCGCCTAAGCCCGGCTTCGAGCATGTCAAGCATTCATATACTAATATTTGGTAACTAGAAGTTTAGATATAACGAGCCACGTTTGATTAGTTTGTACGAGTCTTGTTGCCTCTGCATTGACCATGTTAGTATCTTCTTCAAGGTAGTAACTAGAAAATGTTGGCTTGAGGAGGTCCTCTACGTTTTATCGAACAAAATCTAGAACGGTTTACCTGCTTGTTATGAGTGTTTTATCGAGTGCTATGTGGAGACTACTTGCTGTAGCGTCTCTTGCTGCTGCTTTGAGGCATTCTTGAATTTTCCATCTCCACGACGAAAAAAAGGTCATGAAAATTGGTTATGGTTGTGTGGCAGACATTGACCGCAGCCTAATCGTTCTTGTATGTAAAAGTAAATGAGTTGTGAATTACATGTATTGAGACAAAACAAAACAAACTCCGTTGAAGCCATGTACTGGGTATATATCATCATCATATGCTTCAGCCCAGTTCTCATTTTGAATGAGTTCTTTCAGTCCACTAATTTCTTCGTAGTTGTTCGTGGTATGTATGAATCCTTCTGTAGTTATAGAATTGGCAATTGGTGCAATATTATCAAACATAAATGAGCTGAAAAAATTCAGATGTCTTCTAGGGATAGAAGAAGACTTTGGAATTGTCATTTCAGAGAAGATGAAGATTCTAGTTGAAGGCATTTGTATAGACTTGGGAGAAGTCAGGACGTGCAACTAGATCAAATGACTACTTTCGCATGGGGATTTTTGTAGAAAATTTACGTTTGATTTGAAAGGGACAATTAGATGATAGTAGGTACTACTTGTGCATAGTAGAAGGTACTCAAGATGAGATGTTAGTTGAGTACAATGAGGCGGCGCAGTTGCAATTTCTTCGAAGAAGGCCTCAAAGTGTGGGTTGCATTTCAACTGTAGTACTATTTTTCTGATCGAACGAACGTCGCAGTAGTGATTTGATAAGCGAAAAGCATAGTTCAGGAGTTGTGAAAGGCACAGTCGCTTCGGCGGCAATGTGCCGATGCTTTATCCTGCTGTCCGCTGCCGTGCCTCTTCCGTTTGATTGAGATCAGGATTATGATTGTCGTCCCATGCTTAAGCGGTTGTCTAGTTGATGAGCATGAGAGAGGCCATGAACTTGCTGGCTGAGCTCCGCCTTGCGAATCGGTTTGAGCGATGCTAATTGCCATCACTAATCCAGTTACTGATCGAGGCTAACGATCTGCGAATCCTTCTAGATTCGTATTGCACGTAGTCGAGAAGCAGGTGAGCGTGAGGGTGAGTCAAAAATCGGTGTCTAACTTTGACCGCGGCTACTGGTCCTCAGGAATCTGCTGTGCGTGTATATGCTAATATCGGTATCCGCTGTGGTCCAACTGAAGTCGGCTCTCCTGCGTGAAAGTTTTGAGGTACAAAAGCTATCTATCTACATCATCGGTCATAATCTAGTGCGACTGTGAAGAGCTTCACTGAGTCCGTAACGCCCAGAGATAGTCCACCTATTTGTCACACCTCACGTCTGATCATCGATTGCTAGCAGAGATAATGTACTCGGCAACATCACGACACGAATATAAAGAGTTACCCTGTTTCATGACTGGCAATTTGTATTTGTCAAACATTGGGACGCTGCATTGGAAGGGTTTTTCTTCTAGAGTACAAGATAGCGCTGGAAAATTTCGAGTATCTTCACTGATCTTCCTCCTATCAGTAAAACGACATAGTTTGTTGCAAAGAAAATACACGTATGCTGTAGCAGTAGAAGATGTCCTCACGTCCAAGAAAGTCTGGCTACCTTTTTCACCGGCCCTCTGTGGACCTCTCTGACTTTTTGGTCGTTTCGTCAGGCAGCGGTGCTTCAGCGAAGAAGGAAAATGAGGCTGCTGCAGACGAGGCAACTTTTTGGTCTGAGCCTGAAGGCAGTGCGCAGAGCGGTGAAAGTGGAGTTCTGGTGAACGCAGAGTCGGGTAGCGAAGAAATACTTGTGGCTGAGGAGACACTGGACGGATGGTCTCGAGATAGCAACGAGAATTCTGGTCCCGGAACTGGCTCTGAGGCCGAGGCAGTAGGTTATGCCGGAGGAGCTGATCAGGCACGGAAATTTGCCACGTTAGCGCCTGCTAGTGGAGTCGACCCAAACGGAGACGCGCGAGCGGCGCTGGGTGTTAGTGATGGCTACAGGATCGATTTGCTGGACAGGTGCAGCCCAGCAAAGTCATCACGTATAACGGGGATGAGTACCGTGCGAAGCCCGTTTCAAGGGGTGCCCTCAGCTTCCGAGGTCGGAAAGCTTCTGTCTCGGCTGAATGTTCCAGACGGTGAAATTCGGAAAGGCAGTCCCATTAGGGATCGTCAGAACGAAGCCCAAGTAGACGCTACGAAACAGTCTCCAGCGAAAGAGACAGGCGATGCTGGAGGAAAAGATGAGTGTAGTGCCACTGGAAGGGACCGCGTAACTCCACTGCAAGTACCAGGGCGCGATGGTCTAGTTAAAAAGCAGGGGGTAGATGGAAAGGGAGTCACAGCGCCTCTTCTCTCCTCGCGACTGCTCAACAAGATGTCGCCGGAGAAGTCTGCGCGGGCTCTAGTGCCCGGAACAGATGTGCAGGTATTTGCAACTGCTGATCGCCTGGCTACTCGGCACGGGAAAAATGAGACCAGCGGAGGTGCACATGCAGCGCATTCTCGGCGCTCAGAATCCGCAGAGCGGCAGAATGAGCATCAAGAAGATGTTGATGAATTGATAGATGCGGTCCCCAGCGAAAAAAATATTACAATCGAACGAGTAGATCGCAGGGTAAAGACGAGAGCTCCAGTAAGGACCGAAAGCGGAAGTTGTGATCAGTCCTCAGGACCTGCGTCCAGTAGACTTGGAACAGCGAGGTCCTTGCTGGGTCGATTGGACGCGGATGCCGTCCAAAAGCTTCGGCGGCAGTTGGAAGAAGGTAAAACTAAAAAGGAGACTAAGTCCTATGCTGCCAAAGTTGATGCTACCAGTCTGCCCAACAAGAAAGCTGCTGCTGCGGAAGATGATGGTGGAAAGGAAATTACATCACCGTTGCTTTCTCCATCCAGGGGCTTTCTTTTAGGGAATCGCGCTCCGAGTAGAGAAAAGAAGAGCCCTGCGGTTCCGCCCCGTCGCGATGTTGCCGCATCAGGCGTGTTTGCGCGTGTGGCGCAGGGTCAGCAGAGCAGTGAGACAGAATCGTTTAGTTCGAAAGAGAGGGCGAAGCTGTCCTTGCGTGAGCAGATCGAAGCCCGAGGAGCTTTACCTCCTGGGTCGCCTTCCACATCATCGATGGACAACATCGATTTTGCTATCCAGCGTGTCGCTCGTATCACCTCTGGCATCATGGGATCCGGATCGCACGGTAACCGAGTAAAACAGCCAGTTGAGATAACTGTGCAGCAGCAAAGCCTTAACGACGCGGGGTCGGGGGGGTTTCCAGAAAGAAACCAACCGGAGGCCGAGTTGCCATCGAATCGAGTAAAGATGCGCTTTGAGGAGCTGCACGGCAAAGCCAAATCGCGTGGGAAGCTGCTCGACACGACGCAGGAAGACACGGAGTTTCCACCGAGGGACGAAGCGCCGTCTGTCGTGACCCCGAAGCTACTGGACAAGCTTGGTCGCACGCGAGATTTATCGGCGCACCCTGGCGCAATTCTCTTTGAAAAACTGTTCTCGACCGCGCCGCCAGCAGAGGAGTTTTTCGCGGAAGGCCCAATTCCTGGCAGTCCGAAAAACGCATGGGAAACGGGTCCCGAGCAGCCGGGCGACAGTTTGATGGGGACAATGTTTCAAAGGAACATGGAAGCAGAGTCAGAAAATGGCGTATCAGCTCCCGTCTTAGATTCGCAAGATGCAAGTCGCGAGCGGAGCCTACACCAGGTTTCACAGGTCGCGCCTAGCCTATCATCAACACCGGTGCCTGCTTCCGGTTCATTATCGGCACGGAGAAGAGGAGCAGTGCTAAAAAAGAAGACGTCAGTAAACGACATGTTTCTGGATAGAACAGGAAGTACGGAAGGCGCGCCGAGCAATTACACAGGTCAAGAAACTGCGAGGAGCGCAATTTCACTTGCCGAGACGGCGCAGACAAAGAGCAAAGCCGCAGTCATCGGCAAGAAAGGCCTTCCCGCTGCCTCGACTGAAGCGAAGGCCTCATCTTCAAGCAGTGGCACGAAGGTGAGTCTGTCGCGTCGGGCCCGCGTCGTACCGTCTCCCGAAACAATGACCAGTCCCGCATTGGACTCGAGCGGCACGGTGGTGGTCGATTGGAGTAGCCGAACCCCTACTAGTCTCGCGGAGGACACTAGCATCCATGGTGACAACGGCTCGCCCGGAGTTCCCATTGCCGATCCTCGGGCTCGTTTTGTTTTTGCTCCTCCAAAAGAGGATCCGAAGCGAGTCGACAGGAGCACGACCGAGTTTGCGAAAGAGGAGCCTAGACAGAAAGCAAAGAGGACCGAAGCAAGTGCGGGATCCAGATGGATTAGAAATGTGCAGCAGGAAAAACCGGTCACTCGTAGTCCGAAAAATAGGAGTCCTAGCGCGTGGAACAAACCAGGAAGCGAGGTCCAGAAAGGCATAGCAGAAGGCGAGGCAAAGGCGTCTTCACCAGAAAGGCTGGCTCCAAGAGTCGATAAAGGTGACACCAACGGGCCAGGGAAGGAGAAGGCGCTGATTCTCGTTGCCAAGACAGAAGCGCTAGAAGTCACAGAGTCGCCTACCCGTGCTAGCGCGATCAGAGCAGAGCAAATAGACCTGACAAAGGACTCGAATGTGATACGTACTTTGTGCCAGCAGCTTCTTGCTGAACCAGAATCTGCACTGTTCCACAGAAAAGAGCCTAGGAACGAAGGAGAAGCAACTATGCCTACTGCGGGAGCGGACGAGGAGGCGGGAGAGGATGCGGCTGAGAGCAACACTGTTGTCGGAAGCGCCGAAAACAAAGAAACCGACGATCTTCAGTCACGCGCGTTAGCAGGAAGGCATGATGTGGGCACCGGGACGACAGTAACGATAATTGACTACACATATATTTTTGAGGCTGATGAAGTACGAAGAGGAGCTCAGATTACTGAATTTCGGGGTTTCCTTTAAACCCCTCTCGTCCTGTGAGATAATTTTTGATTTCGTTGCTCTAGCGGCTTCTCCGGTAGTCAAGATAGGACCACAGCGGGAGCGCATACATGATATTTCTACACGCTGCTGGAAAATTTTCAGGTAGAAGTATCGGCCAAGGCGGCGGAAGACGATGGCTCGGGTGTGAAAATGCCGCAGTTAATGGCGAGTGACGGGGATAATGTGTCACTTGGATTCCGAAATGCAGTGCGGCATTCGAAGCTCCTAATCTCAAGTAGTCTTCGAACGAAATTCTCTAGGGCAGACCCAGGCGATTCTAAAAACGAGCAAAGAAAAGCAACGGGAGCTAGTCGACCCAAGAAGAGTGTTTCGCCTCACCGCACAAGGGCTGTCAAAAATCCTGCTGAGCCAGATGTGGACAAAAATGCGACGTCGGGTCCAGCGGATGAACACAGTGGTACAGCAGGATACGCGGTAAGTGGCAGGCGAGTTGACGCAGAGAATGCTTCCCTGGCCAACAAGTTGCGAGTTGGTGCTGTTGAGTACGAAATCTCTTTGCTTTCGCATTGTCAGCGCAGCACCGACGCTGCCATACAAAGGAGACTTGCGGAGGAAGAGGAAAGACGGAATCGAGTGGATCCGGATTTACCACTGGCATCAGCTGCGCCCGCCGTTGGCGCTGTTGCTTCGGCAGAGGAGGCGGGCGACCCCTCAACAGTAGAAGGTAGCGGTGAGCATTTTAGCAATGTAGGGCCATCTTCCTGCAAAACTGTAGAAGATGACAGTCCCCACCCTGCGTTGTGGTCGACCCGGATAGTGGATTTTCCAACGCAGGCTGACGCAATCATTCGCAAGAGCGCCCCAACTGCGGGGCATGGCGGTGAATCAGGTACTCACGTTCAGAATATGAAACCTGCGGCCTGCCTGGCATGCACTTTTTGGTTTTGCAGGATACTGTTTTTGTGAAGGTTCAAGTGACTGTGCTCCCAAGATGAGCAAATGGACTACTCTTCGTCGTTGTTTTTGTACTCCTGGTGTATGTGTATGTAAGGAGATTTCTTTACCCCCTCTTTTGAAATCAAGGTTCGTCCCCGACTGGAGCTGCACAAGATAGTAGTGCTAGTCTAGTACCCAGTCCGCATAAGAAGATGGAGAGAATGCTTGCGCTTCCTGCGGTCCACCAATTACCTCCGGGACGACCAGATCCAGACATGTCTCTTCAGGGTAGCTGTGGAATTGCAAACTGGAATTCCCTCATAGCCAACAGGCACGTACTGCTTTGCTAGAGAATCGTCGTGCTTTCTTGAATAAAATAATACCATGCAGCATGATCTTCATGCTGAAAAATGTATCATAGCTGCCTCTCTTTTTGAAGGGCTAATTTCTATTGCCATGTGATATCCTCTGACGACATACACTGCACAGGCTGAGACGCTTCAAGAGCCGGCTGCTGCGTCTCACCCGCGACGCGAGGTGGAACCTAATCCCAATCGATACGCCAGTATGGCAGGAGCGGAGACGACAATGTCGAGTAGATTCTTAGGGTCTGTGAGAGGCACGCCAGCAACGGCTGCGCCTCCGCAGATGATTCCCAATTTGATAGATGACCAAATTTCAAGGGCCATGGCACGAGTGCGGAGTGGGCGATTACCCGAATCTTTCTTTGAGGCATCGCGAGTGCGGGCAGAACGTGTACCGGATGCAGATTTTTTAGCCGCAAGGGAGCGTGCCATCGGCAGGAATTTTGGCGTCGCCGGCATGATACCCGGCGGAGTCACGACCGGCGCAGGAGAGCGATCATCACTCATCGAACAGACTGTTTCTTCAGGAAGAGGACTACAGCAAACTTCCACACATGATGTGTATAATAATCACGATAGTTTGGCTGGGTTACAACCGCCTAACGTGGGAGCAGACTCTAAGCAACAAGTCTTGAGCGCTCGATGCCGGAAGGAAGTTATCAATGCAGTGCCCATGGCTTCAGCCTCCAGAGGTCTAAGCCCTAAGCCATCCTCGCCTAGTACTCAGCGAAGAAAGGAGAACGCAGCAAGGCGAAAGAACTCGACATCACCGCAACGGCAACAGCGCCCGTCGGAGACTCATCAGCAGCACGGCTCAGGCTTGATAACTAAGCCGGTTGAAGCACCGGAGTCGGGTCGTGCCATTAGCATACCTAGTACCGCCTCAGAGAGAATGGATCCTCCTGATGACCGGAGCAAAGACTCAGCACCCGTGCGAGAGGCCCGAAAGCCGGCAGTGGCTAGTAAAGAGGTACAACGATTTGTTCACCTTCGTTGAGCAAAGACCAATTATTTACCTTATTCTTCGTCAAAAACCCACATTGTATATAAGTCAATGCAGTGCGTCTCAACCATATGATGATAATGTCGATTACCATCACCACCTTCTAACTGTTAAATCCTTTCATCCAGTAGTGCTCTCACGAGATGCGAATATGATTACTAATTTGCATCTTCATTAGGTTTCCGAGGTTCCGCTAAGCGAGATTGAGAGTGAATTGGAACGCATGCGTTGCGGACTAGAGGAGTCGATTCGTCGTTCGCCCCCAAGGCGTTGGTCGAACTCGGTACCAGTCATATCAGGTACTCCGAAAACAAGTAGCAGAAGCGGAGATCCCGGCGCAGGAAGCGAACACGAGGTACTTGCAAGTGCGGATTATGTTCTCTACTTAGTCTCCACGACATTGTTTTTGCTCTTTTTTTGGATTTTGCACCGTGAACTATTTGACGTGTCCTTCTCCTATGGATCGTTGAATTGATACAGGTTGCTACAATAAAGTAAGTGGAAAAACCTTCGGACACTAATAGTCTCACTTTCACCGGTGACGGCTGTGTCTGAAGACCTGTCTGCTTATACAAAGATCATACCTGGGACGACGGCTAGCAACATGGTTCTTCGTATTCTTAGCAGATGTCATACTTTCATCGGCTTTATTTGCAAGAAGTTGCAATCGTGGTCAGATCACTCAGGTTCAAAAGCCTCAGACCGAGCCACTGCAGGATGACGAGTTGCGAATGGTTGTCAGGGCAGCTGTGGAACGCGATGAGCTTAACCTTTTGTTGCAGGGAGTTTCCGGGAATCAGAAAGTGTTTGAGAAAGTTTGCGAGCTGGTCGCGCAGGAGGTGAAACCGTGACCATAGAAAATTTTTCTGTTCGAATATGCTGATCGGCGTAGATTCATGTAGAAATAGTTTTCATATCGTTGCATATCTAATTTATATGTAAGCATCATGTCATAATTAAAGCAAGCAGCCGCGGACCATAAACCTTGAACCTTGTCATAAAGCTCTTCAATCTTCACAAGCTAAGATGTAAGCTGATTTGTCTTTGCAATTTCCAAACATCTTCGTGCCTTTGGTACACCGCAGAAATCGGAGAAGGCAAGAATTAATTCAAAGCCAATTCTTTCTCTCTATGTATTGCATACCAGGCAAGAGTAACTAGATGTTAGATCCAAGTGCATAATTAACATTCATCCATATCATGAGAACAGCTTCTGCTACCCAGCAAATTTACGCGTTATTTGGCATATTTTGTTACTGCAAAGTTGAACTCAACCGACTGGTTGATAGCGCATCATGATTACGGGAGATAAATCTTAGATTGCCTGTTGAACGATTCCAGTATGCATCCTCATGCTCACTACTATTTGTCATTCTCACGTACAAACGAACCTGTAATACGAAGCTACTGCCATGTTGAGATAAAAGACCTTTGATATCTGCGATGCCATGGTAGAAATCAATTTTCATTTTGTTCATTGAAAAACAAATGATGGTGATAAACTAAAGAAACAGAAAAGTGGACAAAGTAGGTAAATACACGGTCCTTTCCCCAAATTTCACGCACTCCCGTATATCGATCTCGCGCTCCCCTTGCAACATGAACCGCGCTACGATTCCATCTACATCATCATTGACTTGCAAAGGCGTTCTCCGGGACGTGAAGGGGAAGCCAGCTCTTCGAAGAGAGCTTGTGGTGCCAGTAGATATTAAAATTTGAGAAACGATAATGAATGCCAGGTAATCCTGAAGATCTTAGTCTTTCGTACCCGACAAATCAGCTTTTGGCGTGCAAAAGTAACCGAGTTGGACATGAATCAATCACGTACGAAGTTGAGCAGTATTTTGAGGGCGAATGAATGCGCTAGCTTTTGTGGAAAATTTTTATGTGATTGTAATTCCCATGTTTTTCGGCAAGCCAAGTCTTTACAAAGTAGTATCAATTTATTAGAGCAGTCATCTGCACCATGGCCGTTGCAAACTCGGTAGAACGCGATGAGAGGCGCACACCTCTTCTCGGTGACGAGCAGGAGAGCAGTGACTCAGAGGACAGCTTTCTGCTCGCTTGCGTTACGGTGTCGCATTTCCTCACCAATGTGGGTTGGCACGCGTGGCAATTCGTGATTCCACTGTATCTGCTCAGTTTCGACACTTCCACCTCCGGAGCCGCTGGCGCCCCGTCTGTTCTATATGCAGGGTTTTTCGGGTTGGGAATCACGCTTAGCGCGCTGTTCTTCAGCCCTCACGTCGGTTCCTGGGCAGATGCCTTACGGACCGGAAGTACGTCCTCCGACGCTCGAATGCGCATTGTCACACTGGGTATTGTCTCGCAGGTCGCGTCCGTCGTGGTCGCGTTGGCAGTGATTTGTCTGCGCTTAGAAAAGGATAAGCAGACCATTAATATTGGGGCGACGACATCTCCTAAAAGCGATAATGTTTTTTCCGGATTGTCTCGCTTGGATCTCGTTTGCTACGTGACGATGTGCCTAAGCGGCATCGTGGAGAAGTTAGGGACAGTGGCGACCTTGAGTGCAGTGAAAAAGGACTGGTTACCAACGCTTTTTATTGGGGAAAAGTTGGCGCAAGCGAACAGTGTAATGTCCCGAGCCGACCTGGCAGCCGAAGTTTTGGGTCCTTTTATCGCAGGTCTAGCGTTTACTTTAATTGATACTAGTATGTCTGGGAGTGGGGCCGCTGGTGCTGGTGTCTCAAAATCATCTGCGGCAGAGGCAGTGGTGCCTACAGACGACAGCAAGGGATCAGTATTCGCGTACATGGCTGTAGTGAACTTGGTGTCGTTTTTACCGCAGTATGTTTTGTTACGCTATGTATTCTCCAGGGCGACTACTCGGTTGGAAGTGCAGACTTTCACGGAGAGAAACGAAGCCTTGCACGAGGGGCCATCTCGGGAGATCATCACAGGTGTGCAAGACTCTACGTCAAATAGTGCTGCATTGGCTGTGAAGAAAGAAGCGTCGGAGGAAATTCGAGAGTCGGGATGGTCTGTGTTTTTTAAGCAAGAGCACGACTTGTGGTGGAACAGCGTCTGTTTTGCGTTATGCTGGTTCAATGCCTTGTCGCCTCACGGCGTCGTTCTTACTGCGTACCTAGCCGCCAACAGGGTGGATTCTCTGTTGCTATCTATTTTTCGTGGGCTTGGAGCGGCAGCTGGTGCATGTGGTGTGTTTGCTTTCCGTCGTGTGCGAGCGCGATCTAATTTAGGAGCCGCAGCGTCGCTCTTCATGTGGATTCTTGCGACTGGATGTTCGCTAGCCTTGTTCTTTGCAGCGCTGTTCGAGAGTCATTTCTTGGAGCCGGACTCACTAGATGGAGAGTCACGCTTGTCTCCGAACGGGAATTTTTCTAGTTTTCGAAAAGCACTTCTTCTATGCTTTTTAGGGAGCATCGTTTTATCGCGAGTGGGCCTTTACGCTTTTGAACTTGCGAGTATGGAGTTAAGCCAGCTTTTGGTTATCCCCGAAACGCGGCTTCGAGTCAGTGCGGTGGAGTCCGCTTTGTGTAGCTCAGGCACGCTTTTCATATACGTCCTGAGTATCGTCTGGAGTCGGCCGAGCGAATTCGTTTTCCAAGTCTGCACGAGCTGGGCAGCAGTACAGACTGCAGCCATAGCTTTCGATCGTTGGCGTAGAAAAACGGCCGCGGTTCGTGCCTTGGGTTGAGATTTGTGGGAAAGGCCTGAAACATCAACAACAACTTCTATTCTCTTTGTTGTTCTCGAAAATAATGTTTCCCTGAGTGTTCGCGACACCTTCAATCAATGAATAGGGCACGGCGTGATATGACGTTTCGTTTTGTTCCTACCAGCTGTGTTGTGGATGGGGATCGCGTTGCATAGGTTGTTCTTATGGTCGTCACAGGCCAATGCCGCCCACGACGAGAAGACCTCTAGGGCAGTCAGGACTAATGCGCGGCGCCTAAAGTTAAACGGATCCTAACGAGCTCCTAGAATAACAAACTTACTCACGCCTTTCCTTTCCAAAAAACACCAAGTCATTACCTCAGGCAATAAGTGGCAGGGTAGGCGAAGCGGATTCAGTGTTTGTTGCCCCCTTTGAACTGCATCGCGCCTTCATGAACTATAGGGTTAGTAGTGCAATGTCTATCTGTTCTTATGGTCGTCACAGGGACAGTGGATGGAAGTCGCTGACGGTGCCGGAAATACAAGCAAAGTGGTGGTTCGTCGTGGGATCGGTTCTGGGAGTAGGGACGCCGTGGTTCCGAGAAGATCATGAATCGTGGTGAGCCACTGTCTAATAAGTAAGTCTGTACCTCTGATGGAGGTGCAATGAAGGCAAAGAAGGACAAGATCACAACGCAAGTTGAGCCCTCACTTTTCAGATTCTAGGTTGTGATTTCGATGGCACGTACATACGTCTGATGGAACTAAGTGATTCGGGTTTTCCGCAGTGAGCGGCGTCTCTCAACATTATGTCTTCAATTTTTGGTCGCTCTCGATAGTTTTATGTCAAATTAGGATTAACGACATTGGAAATATGTCTCAGCTTGTTTGGTTGTTCCAGTATCTACTCCTCGTAGTGGCGGTTAGGGCTGTTCACGTGATTTCCGGGGAGGAGCGCGCAACGGTGATTCCCATTCAGCACGCTTGTGGGAAACGTGCAGATGGTTTCTCGGCCAGTGTGGTTTCCGCTTCTGAACACGACGACACTGATACAGCTGTTTGCACTGGTGACAAAAAGAATAGAGTAAGTGATGCTCCTATTGTCGAGAGCCAGGCATCATCTGCGGCGGATGCCGATAGTTCTGGTGGCACAATTGTTACACCTGGTTTAAAGTCGCAGGAAGAAGATCGGAAAGCACTATCGCCTGACACGACAGGCGCTGCGCCAAAACGCGATAGCAGAATAGCGGGCGCATCGCCAGCCGCCTTGTCGTCTTCACTACGTGAGCAGGCACCGAGGAGAAGGCGCGGGCGGTCCAGAGATGACCCGTCGTCGTCATCGCCGTCGGCGGACGGCAGTACTCAAAGTGCAGTAGCACTGGAAGTTTTCGCGTCGCCGCCACAAGGCAGCGACACAAGCTACGAGTCGGCTGTCTCTGAATCCGCTGTCCCTGCTGTCGAGCCTTCGCTACCGGTGCGAGGAAGGCGCGGGAGAGCTATTTTGCGTGCAACCGCATCTCCTACAACAATTGCGCATCTTGAACGTCAAGGTGTCGAGCCTGCATCTCCGTCTCCTGCGTCTAAGGAAGCCAAGGTCGAACGTTTGGATAGCAATAGCACAGGCAAGAGAAAAAAGAGCGCTATCATGTCTTCGGCGGCTCCGCAGGTTGGTTTTTTGAGGTGTCGAAACACTTTTCTCGATTTTGAGATGGCGGACGACGCTGGAAGTTCTGACAATGAAGCCGAGACCGACCCTCTGTCTGGGAACTCGGGATCGAGTGGCTCGAGAAGTAAGCATAAGCGCGCGAAAAGCATGCCGGTGGCAGGGACGTGCAAGTACCGCCGTCTCGGCGACGACGAAATATCTGGCGTGGATGAAGTGTCTATGATGCCTTCGCCTTACCCGGAGACCATGCAAGTGGTCTGGGCAGCAGGTGGCATCAGTAGCATCGTACCAGAGCAGGGCTCCACTGCACATGCAGCAAGTGCTGGAGTGTCGGAGCACGAGCCCCTTGCTGGACCGGGAGCGAAAAGCGCACTTAGTTCATCCGGTTGTGGGGATAATGATAATATCGTGGCAAGCGCGTCGTCGTCTCGCCTATTCAGCGAATCTGCGCGGCTGGAAGGAAGACAGGCGCAACGGGATGTAGCTGACTCCGGTGGCATTGACGCGACCGTTTTCTCAAGTCCTCATTCTACGGGAATTACAGGCACCCGGGAATCGAGCAGCGGACAGCGCCGCATCGGATCTTCAGGAGCTGCAGCGAAAGAGTGTGGTAGTTTCGCTCTCTTTCACTCTGGTGCCCGCAGTGAAGAGCCGAACCACTCGGTCGCGTCTGAAGGCAACCTCGCGGATCGTGATGAGCTACTGACTGAGCGAAAAGAAGCTACAGGGCGCCATCGATCTCCTGGTTGGTCAGGTGGCTGGGTGTCGCCGCTTATCGCGGAACGTTTTATTCCGTTCGCAAATGCCTCTCAGCGCGATTATCTCATAAAGCAGGCTGTCGGTTGTACAGGTGCTACGGGAAGTGGTCACAACGCAAGCAGGACCTCTGCAGCCCATCTTCAGGGATCGGCAGATCCTTTTGATGTTCGAAACGCAAAAGACGAAGAAAAGGCGCTAAAGGAAGCGGCAGCTGAGGACTCGGAAGGAGCAGTTGCTATGCGCGCAGCGGAGGCAGCACTTTCGGAAGATAGTGAACCACAAAGGAACTCTAGGGGACGAGGTAGCAGAGGCGACCAAACTCCTGATCGCTTTTTGTCACCCGACCGTTTCTGGATGTATGCAGGGCAGCCGAATTACAACAACGCGCACATGATCCAGCAACCTCGCTTGCTTGTGTCTCCAGCCGGTGGTGATAGGAGTGACCTACAGCTCGCTGGGGCAGGAGCTGAGCAAGAGAATGAGGACTCCCTGTTTGCGGCTCCACTGTTTCGTTCGTCGTCTTCTTTACACCGCGCACCTATACCGGAGAGACAAGCGGTCCAGTACAGTACGAGACTAGGTGATGGGCCTTCAACAGCCGTAGACGCCAGAGAAAGAGGCGCAGATGAGAATAGTATCGTAGCCAGAGGCATCAGTTATTTTGAAAAGCAACAGAGCAGCGGCGACATAAATCATGGCACTGGAAAATCTAGTACAGCCACTCAGAAGGATAAGGATCATGGGAGTGAAGATGACGAGGAACTAGGAACCTCTTCTACAGTGTCTATAACCACGGACAAAGTAGTAACAAGAACTTCTTCTTCCTCTAGCTTGCGCGCCCCGGCAAGAAGAACACGAACAACGCCAGGTGCTAGCGATAGCAAAGTAAGCGATGCTACTAGCAATCATAGTAAAGATGCAACAAGTTGCTGTGGCTATGCAGAGCGTCGAAGCTCCCGTTCCGAATCCCATGCATCGTCGTCGACTGTGGCTCCCTTATGCCTCTATACTTCGCTAGGGCTTGGACACACAAAAGAACAGAAGCGGCCTTCGCAGGAAGCAGGTTTCAACTGGGATCAGGACGTTGGCGAGGTGGTCGGACTGTGGCCAGCAGGAGATTGCTGGGACCAGCAGCATTTACATGAAGTTGATGAAGTGGAGCGCTTTCGGGATCGGCTGGAGGAGTCAGCGGAGACGGACCATGCAAGCGAGCCTTCGTCTGAGCACAAGGCGACCCTTCTCCGCAAGCTGCAGTTGGAAGATGAGATGGAATATACGATGAACATCAACGAAAATGAGAGTGAAGGTCCTTCTACTTCAATGCACTCCACGGCTTCGCGTCATGGACGGGCCGACCCACGCGCTGCGCGCGCGTACACGTGCCTATTACTTCGGAGCGAGTTTTTGCACTATTTGCAGCGTCGTGACGCGACAGGAAAGGCATCGGTCGCGAAATTATGCGCAACTTGTGGCACGGTCTTCGAGCACACAGGAGCGAAGCTTCGCTATCGAGGCAGAGACTCAGGCTTTCGAGAGCCAAAGACAGGACGCGAGGTATCAACGTCTGCGGACCTGTCGTGTCAAGATTCACCCATCTACACAACACACAGTAGTAGCGAAATGCATCATAATTTTGAGTTTATCATCTCTCTTGTTCTTCCTCTGTTGCAGTAATTGTCACGACAAATATGAAATATCCCTTTTTGAATACAGGCTCCCGTTCCGCCGCAGATTTGCATGTCAGGAGTCGGCCCTAAAGGTCCATCGATATTGGCGGCAGGTCGAAAGTTGTTGGTGCAACGCCTTCTTATCAACTTTTCCGTAGGGTTCTGGACATTCCTGCACGAAAAATGGATCGAACGCGCAGACTGGCTGAAGTCAAAACAAGTGACGGAAGCTAGGAAAAAACGTCACCTCACACGCAACGGATTTGTTTTTTACGAATACAGCCCGTATGAAGAGCACCTCGGCTATGCCCTTCCGCCTCTGCCGATAGACGCCAGCCGCATCACTGCCGACCACTTTTTCCGTTCTGGGTGGGACCGGCCTTCCTACTACTCACCAGCAGGAGAGAAGTTGTGGGGTCCTTCTCCCGTCGCGATGATGAGCGAAGTGCGCTATGGGGCGGGCAATGGACTGCGTGAAATAGCGGAAGAAGGACGCCATGGCAACACGCGTTGCAGTAGAAGAGGGCAACCGTCGGATATCGCGTGTTCATCTCAAGATTCTAGAAGGGTCCGTGCTGCGGGAGACCTGAAAGCAGGGGCAATAAGATCCACCGCAGAGCAGGTTTGTGGCACGACAAGAGGCAAACGCGGAGGACGAGTTGCGCGCACAGATTCGGGTCCTGATAGAGCACTAGGACCCGTATCTGGAGGATCTAGTACAGCAACAACAGAGGCGCGTTCGACCCGGCAACCTCCGGCTAGACACGCTTTTGAAGGATCAGCATCTCGTCAAAAGTCTAGAGGCGGCGCGAAAGGCAATTCACAGACCGCCTACTCGATGCCTGCCGAGAGTAACTGGTATGCATCGACCGATGCCTCTTCCGGATACGCATTTCCGGATCCAGCTAGTTTTTTTCAGCCTTTCCCACCATGTGGCCCTGCATTCGCATCTCCAGGCGTCCCTTTCGTTCCGTGTAACATGCCGTGGGCCGCTGCTGTGGAGTTATCGGGAGGCTACTGGTCGTATCCACCCGGCGTATGGAGTGGTTCCGCAATGTCATGCGCCGGCGATCAGTTCGGAGCGTATGGGTGTGCCGCACCGTTGCTACGACCATCTGTAGGTCCTACTGAAGGACATAACCAGTCTGCTTCTGGGTGCCAGCCTGTTGCTCCTTGGAGCCAGCCTGTCGCTGCAGATGCCTCTGGCTCCGGTGTAAATGAGTCGAGATCACAGAGAAGCACCGTCGATGCTGGAGCAGCAGAGACTGGACAGGGGATGTTGCTTAGTGGGCCGCCGCCGCGAAAACGCGAGGAGTACAAGAAGGAGCTGCTCGAATCCATTGAAGTCATCAAAGGCATACTCAAAGAATTAACCGAGGACTCGTATTAAAGAAAGTAACTTACTAGATAAAACACATTTATTTAGAAGTCGTAATGTATGTTTCACAAATTCGTGAACGAAACTGTACTGTTTTTAATTGTGTCCAGAAAATAGGCCCATGAGAAGTTTTTTCTCAGAAACGTCGTGGCTTTTGCAGCATACATAGAAAGATATCTCTACGATCGTCCGCGCAGTCGCATCCATATGCGCATCACCCATGTGTCTTCACGTAATGGTAAATGTTTCTCATGCGCGCGTTGTGGTGGAATCCACTAATATTTTCTTGTGGTGGGGAATCAATATCAAATTTGCGTACTGATTAATCCTTCTATTTTCCGTTAGCGACTTTCGACGTCGAGTCTTTGATTATTTCCGATCAACCTAAAGTAATACTTATTAAACTCTATAGAGATTTTCTGCACACGGCGGGAAAAGGGAAGTTTAATGAATTGCATACTCTAACGCCAACAAAATTTGAATTTTTTCAAAGAAGGTCAATAGTCAAGAATGTTTTTTAGTTCCTAAAATCTCCCAATGATGTCCGTTGAGCACGTCGTCGGACGTGTACTTATTCTATTTGGTAGTTTTATTTGTAGAAGATGCTTCTGGGAGAGCAAACGAAAGAGAAGGGTTAAGAAGAGCATGATGATGCAAGCTTTGAAAAAAGTGGCTACTTTTATATAGGCGCTTTTGATTACAAACACATCTGAAGACATATGTAATTAACCTCCGCCCATAATAGGACGATAGTGCTTTCCCCCTTAGTTTCACTTAGAGGCGTGCGGCAAATCTTGACTGGCTTTCACCATTTAGGTGAAGGTTTAGATCCCGCGACGCTCAAAGCACTAAGTAAAACAGCCGGTTAGTTTTCACCTCTAAAAGTAAAGTCTAAGTTTATCCCGTGCAGCAATCTATTTGGTAGTTTTATTTGTACTTGAGAAGCGCTGGTGAGAACCGAGTTTTGTTTATTTCGAAATATGGTCTGACAAAGTGAGAATATAGCATCATGTATTGTGAAAGGCCTTCGGTGCGTCTGATCGAAGGCATGTTTCTGGTGACCGTTGAAAGTTTTTGCTGAGTAATTTCGCGGAACGCGTTCATGGCCGAAAGATATTCTCGCAGGGAGGTAAGACAACATAGATTTTGTTTATCATACCCAACTTGTGGTCGGCGCCCTGTGGAGGCAAACTGATTGATCTTGATCAACTTACTAGCCTCTGGTCTTTTGCTATGGATGATCTTTTGCGGGCTAGGTCAGCAGGAGCGCAATCGTGCTTGCACAGTCCAGAGCTGGCCCTGGGTCTGTCTGTTCCTCCGTTATCCAGCGCCGCCGCTCGTTAGACGGCCGAGCATACATTTAGTTACTTGATCAACTTACGCTTTGCAACGGGCCACCGACACCGCGCCCGATTTTCGGTTTCTAAATGAGCCTGATCGTGTTGAGTTTCATTCATGAGGGAGAATATCTACCCCGAAGATGCGAATGACAACGTCGACTCGACTTGTCTTTACTGTTCGGCCTGACGGCAGTTAGCCTCAGGCAGTCATCATATCTCAAGCCAAGAAGCGACGATGCTTTACCCACGGGTAGAGAAGGATGATGGGAAAGCGTATTTCATTCGATTGAATTCGGGAAGGACTGCCCGGTTTTACAAAAGACTCCGACAAGTGCTGAGTCAATTACGTTTTCAAAGAAAGTGGCCTCAGCAAAGTGAGAGTAAATCACGGAAGAAGAAACTTGACGCTTGCTTTAATCGACTCGGATGGAAAGTGGAATCGTTCGAGAAGCGCTTGAGTGAAAGTTACTCGCTATAGAAAAACAGAAAGATGACATTGACTATTTTTCCAAAAAAGGTTTGTTTTGAAAACTTACTGGTGGAAAAAAGGCAGGTGTATGGATGTTAGTCGTCTTACCACCTCTCGGGGGTCGCAGCTCGCTTCTTGGAATCGTCGTCGGCGACGAAGGGCTCTACGCGATAATTGAAAGCGGAGACCTGAAACCATTTAATTTCAAATACTTTTGAGGAATTGATACAAAGTGGAACCTGTGACCCCACTTCAGACTCAAAGGGGCTGAAACGCCTCAGCTTCTTAGCTACATAGCGCTACGTGTCGTTGTAGATGTTGGAACATTATGGCGGCGATTTCCATTCGTGTAGTACGGTCCCTGGGAGCTTCTGCATCTACAAGGTCACTGTTGTCAACGACAAGAAGTAGCGCGAAGTTATTTCTGCAATATCATGTTGTTGGATTTTCACAAGAGCGTCGTATTCAGCATCAGATCGACGTCGAGGACCTCTGCACGATTTCAGCTCGGGATAGGTTCAGAGGCGCGCAGTAAGCATGGCATCTTCAAGTGGCGGCCTCGCAAACGCCGATGCCCAGTCCGAACAGGATCGTGATGTGCTTACAACTCCAGAACAAAATCAGGCAGGAATTAGAACTCCGGAACGTAACGCAGGAAGACGAAATCTTTCGCGCGCACAGATCAATCCTGATGATGCCGCTTGCTCTCCGTGTCTCGTGCGCAGTAGCCGCAAGATTGGGTCTCCTGTTCGGTCCAGTGTTAGAGTCGTTCCCTCACCGCACATCCTGGCATCCCCGCATCTCGTTGCGTCGCCGCTCAAGTCTCCGTCTGTGGGCGGGAAATCGTCCCGAAGATCGCCGTCACCTGGACGTCGCCGGCGTCGACGAGGGATCCCAGAAGAGGGGAGTGAGGGTACTAAACAACTGTCGCGTCTAGGGGTTAACCGCAGCTCGTGTCAGGGTTAGATTTCCATTCTCTAATATTTCACTGTTTCTAGAGATATCTTGGCTGCGCATGCGCAATTATGATCTAGGTAGTTCCTGAAAGTGAATCACAACGACCTTTCTCAGACTCAGACGAAGCTGAGGATTCTCCACTTTCGGCGGGACACCTGGGATCATGTGAAGACCAAGACCTGCACGGGTTACTACAGAAGCGGAACGAAGCTGCGACTCAACTCCGGAAAGCGACTGCGTATCTCGAAGAATGCAATCGAGCTTTGCACCTTTCCGCAAAGAAGTACAATCGGCGTAATGCCTGCACAGAAATGGCAGAAAAAAATGGCGAAGTGCAGCCATTATGGCGCGATGTTTGGAACACATCTGTCGAGGACATAGGAAAATACGGAGTCGGATGTCAATTGTATTCAAGAGAGGATTGTATATTCATGTTGTCTAGAAATAAGCATCTGTCGGGATGTTTCCATGTGATATAGTCAGGGATTTAGTACTAAAACATCACAAGAACAACAAAAAATAAGGGTTGCGTCTAAATTTGAATGATTGCTTTTGCACCTTGAACAGGTACTTCGAATTCTTGAAGTGGTTGATTTTGATTTTCGGCGCAATGGCAATCTTTTCTTCACCGCTGATGTATACGTGTATGCATGGCACTATGGTGTCATCTCCGTTTGGTGCGCTTGCCAAGACGACAATCGGCAACTTGGGAGAGCTACCTTTAGAATTATCGAATGCAGAGACCAAGGAGGAGCAAATCCATATGTTGCGGGAGAGACGCCTTGTTCTCGGAGACACCGCATACTCGATGCACCGGTTCACAACCTTTTTTGGTCTGCTCGACGGTTTCTGCATTTTGGGGTTCTTTCTGTGGGCCTTTTGGTATCGCAAAAAGCAGCTGACGGCGACCGTGGAGACCCACGACGTGGCCAACACTACACCAAACGACTACGCAGTGCACATCTCGAACCTCCCTACCAGCATTTGGCGGAACGGCAGCCGCGTTGCCCTCGAAGAGTATCAGGAGTTACTGCGCGCCCATATTGAGGGCGTGCTGCGGGCGAACGTGCACCGCTTTCGAGCGGAAAAACTAGAGGCCTTGCGGAAGAGACGAGCACGAGAGGAGCAGGAAGAACAGGAGAGGCTGCTGGAGGAACAAGCACAATTTGAGGAGATGAATCGGAATCCAGGCCAGCGCGAAAAAGACGGGAGGTCGGCGGGAAAAAAAGATAAGATCTCTACTTCGGAACAACAGCAAGGCAGTCAAGCGAGTAGTAAGAAGAAGAATCGAAGTAGTAGCGCAGGGCTGAGCACGAGTGCGGGAGGTAGTAGACGTGAAGCAGACGTTGTGGGACGATCGTCAAGTCAGAAGCCAGGTCCAGGTAACAGCGCTGCAAGTGTGGTTAGACGTCATCGAGCTGCGTGGGAGAATCGCCAGGCGAAAGCTGATCCGCAGCGACTTCAGTACTACTATTGTGCGGACAGTAGCTGGCTAATGAACCAGAGTATGGTCGAGTCGGCTGCGAACGAGGACGCCGAGCCTCGCGGACGCAGCTATTTTGGGAACAATTTTTTGCCGCTTGCGTTTTTTCGGCGTTGTGTCGTCATTGTAACAGGTCGAAGCGTTCAGGATGACGATTTGAGCAGTACGGCATCGACTTCGGCGGTGGGAGATCGAGACCATTTAGCTCACTACAACAGCAGACCCAGGAAAGATAGCATGGAGCCCTTCAGCGATGGGCTATCGGCGTCGCGAGCTATTAGTAAGGATAGTAGCGCAAACGCGAGCGCGTCCTCCAGTGCCTTCTCGAGTTTATCAGAAGACAAGGCGCGGTCGGAAGTGTCAGATGCGTTAAATGTCTTAAGTCGCAAGCAGGTAGAAGTTCCGGGTCGTGCAAACTCAAAGCGCTCGTGCTCTGTCACGAGCGCTGCAAGTGCTACCTCGAGCCTGATGATGCGGCGGCTGCGGCGACAGGACCAGATAGGCATTGACTTAGATGCGGAAAACGGGTGGCACCCGGTGCCAGAGCTGCAGCTGGGAGAGTTCGTGCTGTGTTGCCGGGATCACGGCAGTCTCACGGCACTAGACGAGCGTATCCGGTTAGGCCGGCAGCGGCGCAAACTGGAGTACGTCATCCGCGAGCGCATGTTGGTGCTCGAAGACCAAATGGAGGAGCAAAAAGCATTTGCTGATCAGATGCGGACGCTTCACCAGCATGCCGGTTCCACGACGGTCTCAAGCACACTAGAACGTGCGGCCAGCCCCTGCGCTGTTTTGCCTGGTAATGCCGCGGGTTTCATGGGTGGCGGGGGTGGTGGCCTTTTTTCCGGTGGCTTAGGCTCGATCGGTGGTCCATCATTGACGCGTCAGAATAGTGATCGGAGTTCTCCCAGCAAAACAACGACCGGCGGCCCGTTGACAACCGGAAAGAGCGTAATGCCGTCTTCCATGAAGAAGCTGATGCGGTCACAGACGAACGACAGTCTTCAAAGTTTGCCGGTGACAGCCACCTCAGAAGCTCGCATAACCGAGTTGCTGAAGCAAAGGGAAGAGAGTGACGCAGTTTTGCGGCAAGCGCAGACGCGGTTGAACCAAGTGGAGAAGAGACTTGATGTGGTGGCGAGTAATCTGAGACGTGGCATAATCTCTCGGCGTGAAAACGAAGTGGTGCGTGCCTTTATCATCTTCGATAATTGTCTTGACAAGGAGATCTTTCTGTGGAGCTACCGCAACGGCCACGGCTCTATTGCTAAGTCCGGTTCAGCCTGTCTCTCAAAGATTTTTTCGCCGGCGACTGCACAGCTGCTGTCGCAAATCTTCGGTTTCGACGTAAGTGAGTCTCCGCTTGCTTTTGAGGGCAAGCTACTCTCGGTCACTCCCGCGCCTGAGCCAAGCAATATTTTATGGCAGAACGTGGATGGCTTGAGCTCCAATTTGTTTACGTCTTTTCCGCGAAAGTACGGCGCTTCCGTCGTCTCGGCGTTGCTCCTTTTTCTCTCTTTTGTGCTCGTTTTCTTTTGCGAGATTTTACCCGAAGTCGAGCTACCAGGAGACGATCCGTTGGGCGCAACGCTGGACACTGGTGGCGGCCATCTCGTGGAGCAGCTGCCGCTGGCAATGAGCTCGACCATGTACGAGCTACAGCTCAACATCGAAATTCCGCTGGAGATGCTTCTTACAGATACGAGACTGCTCGTTTCTGCGAGTTCCGCATCGAGAAGAGCCGTGTCGGCCGAAGCTACGACGGCAGCCGTAGAAACAAGTAGTACAACAATTCCACCAACGCAAAATGTCACTGCCACCAGCGTAGCAACATTTACTATCACGGCTTTGCCGACGGTACATGCAGGAAGTGCTAATCTTTTGACAACGAAGGCTCCGTCAGAACTACAAGCACCTGCAGGAAACCCTGAAAGTGTCTGGGGTATTGATGTTGCGCCGACGACGGATGCGCATCAGTTGTCATGGAGGCACTCGGCAGAGCTGGGCTTTGATTTTGTTACTCCTCTAGACCGTGGTGCAGTCGTAAAACTTGCAGAGTCCACTTTTCTGCAGAAGTATTTCGGCAAGCCTGAATATGCGGAACTCGGGAGTGCGCTTTTTCCGTGGCTGAGCGTTTATGGGAACAGGCCGTCGTACCTGGAAGCATCGCCTGGAGGCGAGAGTGAGCAAGGCGGCAGTTCATTCTTAGACGCGACAGCAGGCTCTAGCTCATCGGGGTCTTCAGGGGCTTCTTCCTTTTCGACTAGCGGTTCTGGCTCATCTGGATCGGCTAATGAGGCGTCTAGTTCAGGAAATGACAAGGCAAAGGAGAGCAAAGAGACCAGCTCAAAGCAAGGGGCGTCATCAATGTACAACGCGAATGACGCAGACACCGTGAAAGAGATGGAACAGCATATCGCATGCTCCGACCTTAACTTGTACTTGGAAGACGTGATATTGGCTACGCGGTTTTTCAAGTGGAGTCCGGGCGGCCACTCAGACGACGCAAAGTTGTTGCAACAGCGAGCACTCCTCGAGGCTGCGAAAGGCGCATTAGCGTTGTGGCAAAGTAGTAACACTGATGAGCCTTTGGCCTTTGAGGTGGAACCTGTGAGCGGCGCAGCAACAGCATCGGTTGAATCGAAGAAAAGCAGTGTGAATGTTGTCCAAACACCAAGAATAAAAACAGGCGAAACAACTTTTACGGGCCAACCGCGGCCTAGGCGGGTGACTCCAACGAATCTATTGCGGGAGCTCGTGGGTTTCGCAGAGGGTGGGAGAGGCAGTAGGAGGAGAGATTATTTAGGTGGCGCGGAGGTCTCTCGTAAAAGAAGGCTGGGCCCTCAGACAGCTGTCTTGGCCGGCCAAGCAGGACGGGCATCGAGGGGCTCCACGTCTTTCGCTGTAAACGACGACAGGCTGAAGCCTGGGAGTGACTCATACACATCTCGAAACCTAACACGTCTTATGGACGAGTCGCTTTTCTCAGCGGGTCCAGGTGAGCTCCGATGGTTTTATCGCGTTCTAGAGGGTGGCTTTTCTTCTCTGTTATCATCAATAAGTAGCAGCGCGTCTGCTGCGCTCTCTGCCGCAGACTTCAGTCGACTTTTCAGTGGAGCGGCGGCTGGCGGAGTACTCGAGGTGGATTACGAATACTATCGTACCAAATCCACGTCAACATCGACCGCTGGTGGTGCAATGCAGCCTCAGCTGGAATACAGATCGTCCTGCCGCAACGACACGTTGCGAGAACTGTCACGAGCACGGATACAGCGAATGTTGGGAAATAGCCAGAATGTGTATCCGATTCAAGATGCTGCCGGCAACAAGATAGCAGAGCCTGCTGCTTTTCCTCCGATCTCGCGGATTGTGCGTGCTCGGTTCAAGCACGTAGGGCAGGACGCGTTTCCTCTCTATCTGTTTTCGGCACCTGCAAATGCGACCGCTTTGCGGGTGTGCAATCCAAGTGGAACCGAATCGTGCGCCGCCCTGCCAGTGATTCGCGTTACAGATAGGAGCCGGCAGGATGATAGGCCAGGTCAATTGTTGGCTGCCAACCATACGTCGAATGTGACTGTACGAAAATTTCTTCTACTGATGTTTAATCATTTGAGTGTCTATGGACTCTGGGAAGCATTTTTTGCATGAATCTCTTTTAGATACTGAAACTTGCGCTTATGTATCACAGAAAATGTGACGTGACATTTTTTTTCATCGAGTTCTTGCACGCGCTAACCAAAGATTCAGAAGTCGATCAAGCGGCGAAGAAGGATGTAGGGAGCTCCTCTGCACGCGAAGGTGCTTCCACCTCTTCTAGCAGTAGTGAGGAGGCCAAGCGCCCGCCAGCTTCAAGTAGAACGCAGACGGAAGCCGTGTCTGAAGCATTGACTCTAGCGTCGACAGCTCAGAACCAGCATCGATGTGCCAGGACAGACAGGACAAATTTTTTTACTATTCCACAGTTTAGTTGTGAGCGTGTTCGCAATCCGCTGACACTTCACGAAACCGCTGTGTGGCAGACGCTTGGCTACGAGGACCGGGTTTCTTGTTTCTGCAGTCAGCAAAGCTACATGACGATTGCGCAGAATGCAGAGGTCCGGGACATGTGCCACGGGCACATGATGCGGCTGCTGCGGCATACTGTTGGGTTTGTGTTGGGCTCCTTCATTGTGGTCGGTATGAACGTCGTGCTGGAGCACTGCCTGGACAACATGAGCATGTGGGCTCTGCCGCTTTCGATCACAGCACTGAATAACGCGCTGCTGTGGAAGCTTTTCAGTATGGAATTCGTGAACACGGCGATCATCATCCTCTTAGTGAACACGCGGTTTGACTACGATGGTCCGCTCCTAGGGAAGGGCGACTACTCGGATTTCGACTTCGATTGGTACACGGATGTCGGAGTCGGAATTGTGATCACCATGATGATCAACGTATTTTCGCCGCACGTTGGCACAGTACTGAAAGCCTACTGGCGGAAGCGACGAAGAAAAAGGTTATTGGAAAAAGATGTCAAGGTGTTGGAGGACATGAACGACGTCTATGTAGGACAACAGTTTGAACTGGCGACGCGCTACTCGACGATTCTCACCGTCGTTTTTGTGACTCTCATGTACTTCTCGTTTGTTTTGCTCTTGCAGAAGCATAAGCTTCGTGCTAGAAATTAACGTCACCATAAAATCAGTAGTGATGGCAATAGATTGCAGATGATAGACGCAGAGTGCATATTTTGCGATAGGTTCACTCAGGTATTCCGCAGCGATCCCGGTGCTTCTATGGATGGCAGCCATTACTTTCACTGGTGTGTACTGGTGCGATAAATACACGCTGTTGCGCGCTAGCCGCATTCCGCCCGCACACGACGAGACCATCGCAAAAGGCGTTGCGGAGGCCCTGCCCTTCGCAGTAGTATTGCATTTGGGTATGGCCATCTACATGTACGGCCACGACGTTGTCTTCCCAAGTCCCAGTCTCGCTGGGAGTGAGTCAGGTCGGGATCTGCTGCAGACTTACAAGAGCAGCGTGCAGCAAGAAGAGGCGGGTGCAGCAGACGGCACTGCCTCAGCAGGCCATGAAGATCCATCGTCAGCCGCGACAGCGGCAGAAGGCTTTTCGGCAGCCTCGTCTGTGGGGAACTCCTTGAGCGACTACACAGGCGCAGACACACTGTTGCGCAGTTTCCGCTCCGCGACACTTTTTCTCTTCCTTATACTGGTATTCGTGATCGTCGTCATGGTGCTCGAGCGATTCGCAGTCGTCTTGCATGCCCTTGTCGAGCAGTTCCGCGTGGGCTATCACAAGGTTGCTCTGTCTTCGCTGTATTTGAAGTTTTGAAAGAGAAGTCTTCATAGAGCATAAAGTTTTGCTTCTGTTGCATAATATATTATCAATGTGCAGCATCCACCAGTCTTCGATTTTTGCATACAACCTTTTTATTAATTTTTCACTACAGATTTTGAGTGCTCCGCGATGGAAGCAAAGACTGGATCGGCCTGTTGATGGAGTTTTGTGGTTTCTAGACTTTCTCATAGGCGATTCTGCCGAGGACGACCTAACGGAAGGAAAATACAGCGAGCAGGTTGAGGAAATGAAGCGTAATCGGTTTTTGCACACTTACCGCCCGGACGCAAACCCGTCCTATGCCAGTAGGTTTGCTGTGCTCGACAAGATCCGAAATGGGCGCGACTTCGGAACTAAGGTATTTCAACAGAGTAGTTACTTTCGTGCAATCGATTGTGTGCATAGCATTCTGATATTGATCCATTTAGGTCTAGGATAGCTATAGATCGTGTTGGTCAGAGTTTGCGGCTAAACTTGATCCAGACGCTAAAACGGTTGAGCAATGATACAGCGAACCACATAAGTAGCTAGAGATTGATCTGATTTTTCAAGAATCAATTGGTAGTTAAAGTTCTCGTGATACAGGCGTCCCGTCGTAACCGGCGACTACGCATGAGTGGGCAAATGCGCGACAGCGATGACGATCGGCTCCCAGCGAGAGTTCTCCATTTCGATAACGAAAAACTGAACAAGAGCGCAGCTCTCAATGCCAGCATAGCATCGCTGAAAAGTAGTGCACCACCTGCTCCCGATGAAGCGAAGAAGAATGCCGTGCATTCGATTCGCATACCTGATCTTGGCATTCGGATCGAATTCAAAGAGGAAGTTTAGTTTTGTGGACACTCTGGCGTTCGGATAGTAGACGCCGTGCGACTACTTTACCCTTTTCTAGAAGTTGTTGGAAGGTTACCCACTTATTTGTAGTCGTGTTTGTGTAAAAATGAAATAGGCTTTCACAGTCACCCTTTTAATCATCTTTCTGGTCATCAACGCGTATTCTTGTATTTCTCCTGTAGAACAACATGTGGAATCGCTCACGTGATTCTTGCATTTTCCAATCCTTACACATCCTATTCACAGCACTAAGAGAAGGCACAAACTGGAAAGGTAGCATATTTTTGCGGCGTGAGATAGACGTCTTTCGACGCATGGCAGCATTTTTTCAGGATTACATAAATCATACCATATTTGCTTGCAATAGATCCGCCACATTGATATCATGATTATTCAAGCTTTCCAAAGGGGGCGGCATTTTCTTTTGCAGTAGCCGAGGTAGAGACGTCGAATTCCCAGTGTGGATTAGTTTAGCGCGCGACGATACACATTTCCTTTTAATGATGCAAGCTTTCACCATGATGTTCTCACTTAGGAGGGCAGAAATATAATTAGCTTAGACTTCCCTTGAGGTTGAATATCATAGTCTGGGTGACGAATGTGGGTTGCTGGATGATGACTCATATCGTCGATAAGAAAGAGACCCTGACGAGGGTAGTACATCCGCACCTGCATTCCGACTAAAGTCAAAAATTTAGTCTACGCTCCCGAAGGTGAGGCAGCGCTCAATTGAAAATAGATGCAGCATGGTTATGGTATGGTTGTAATTCTAATTTGTTCTGCTGATTTTCCTAAAAGCAGCAGTTTCTGTGGATGTTCCCATCTAGGTCATTTTGCCCCAACCACCTGGCATTCGTTTTTTGCGATATCACATGTATCATAGCGAGCCATTCCTTGTTTCGTAGTTTTCTCGTTGAACGCCCTCATCATGGCTTGCATCAAGGGCGGCGATAGAAGTACATGAACCAGAATTGTTTCGAACGTCACACATGCAGCTGGATGTCTTGTATCGTATCGATCGTGTGATATCGACACCAACGATGGCTTTCTCTGCTGATTTCATATTGTTACAATGTATGTAGTGTTTATTTTGGCCATTATTGTAGATGTATTTACATACAAGTAGCGTAAACGCATGAGTAAAAGTAGTCTCCTGTCGGCTTAGCTTTTTTTTGTTGTTGCAACAGGGCAGCGGATGGGGTGGCCGGGAACAATTGTATCTGAAAATGAATAGAACAAATGAACAGACATGGTGATGTACTACATGGAAAACACGTACTGTGATTTCGCGCTTTCTGCAACGAAATGTTTCTTTGAAAACTAGTGGTGGCCTAATTTTCCCTTCCCCTCTCTTCTGTATTCAATTAATCTATCATAGTAAGATAATGATTAGTAGTAGAATAAGAATTTACCTCACATGGATCGTCTCTCTCTCCCGCTCCCATTGTACCCGATGAGCTCCATGTCCGTATGTTGATGAGGTTTACTCGCCAAGACCAAACTGATGAGATGAAATTGAAATGACCAAAACACAAGGCTTCTCAGACACTGACTGAGATGCATTGGCACCTAGATGAAGCCGAACATTCATTATTGGAAGACGATGTGACGCAAAGGAAGGAGGCATATCCAAAACCGCTAGTATGTCTATCAGTCTCTGCATTGTTTTTGCATCGGTTGTTGTATGGATTCACAAGGATCGCTTATACGGGTCAATGGACCTTCCTGAGCATCGCTGGTCAGAATTCTTGTGGGAAAGAAAATCTTCAATTCTCGCCCGTGATCATTAAACTATCCCCCTAGTGCTGCACAATTACAACAACTACAAGCAGCAACAACACTGACTGTACAGTCTTCATAGGAGGATGAAAATGAGTTGTGAATATGAGTAGAATCCAAATTTTTTTGAATACGACCGCTCGTCTTTCGGATCACTCAGCAGCTAAAACTAAGAGAAGTCTTCGCATTCAACTAGTTCGATCCTTCCTCATCCAGCTATTGTCACCAAGAGTTAGCGAAATTCGAAACAAATTCATCTTCCTTGCAACTAGCTTTCCTTTCTTTTTTGAGTTTTTATGAAGCAATAATGAAGACTTGCTATCGCAGTGGTTTTGACGGTGTTCCCGTCGACTGCATGGGTGATCACGCTACCGTCGACTGACTTTAACCACCAAGCAAGTCCCTTCTTTCAGCCTTGCGACAGAATATAGCAAAATTTTTCGGCCCGTTTTTTTTATCGGGCCTTTTTTACTCCACATTGGGAGGGTCCGGCGCACGAGTCGTGCACGTGTGGGGGACGATGTCGCTGCTGGCGACACAAAATCTCAGACCATGGAAACAAAGGGTGCACGTCCGATTTCGTGCGCGGTAGGTAGAAGTAGGAGAAGGACCAGAAGGCACGAGCGATATGCGACTACCTGCACAACGAGCGCCACACGACACACGGGTTGCTTTTTGTGGACAATGTCCCTGTGAGTGAATCTAGCTGCTGGCAGCATCGACTCAATAACGGACATAGGGGCCTGGCGTCCTCACGTAGCGACCTTGACAATTAGATACTTGGCTGTATTGCTGTCAAAGTGGCTTCTTGGTCTACACCCAAGTCGACGCTGAAGTGTCAACATGGGTATTCCAAAATTTTTCCGATTCCTGCGGGAGCGCTACCCAGCTATAGAGGAGCCGGTCGACGCGCATAACAAACCGCAGTTCGATAACTTTTATGTCGACATGAACGGCCTTATCCATCAGGCGGCACAGAAAGTGATCGCAGAGACGGAAGCTGCGAAAGTCGAGGAGCGTATCGAACACCGTATGGCCAGTCGTGCGCAGGCCTTATCCTCCATTCCCGGCACTGGCAGCAGGAGGAGTGCGAGTGACGCTCACGATGAAAAGGGAAACTCTACTGCGGGCAATGTCAAACAACCGATGGATAATCATAATGCAGCTACCGATTCGTCCTACTCTGCGACGAGGACTGGGACGGACTTCGAGAGTGCAAGTCAGTCTTCCTCTGTTCCAGCTGAGCATAGTCGCATCTACTGGGAAACTTGCAATACTGTTGATATGCTTGTGCACCTTGTGCGACCACGCGCAGTCCTTTTTCTCGCAGTGGATGGTGTTGCGCCCGCAGCCAAGATGAGCCAGCAGAGGGAGCGTCGCTATCGCAACGCGTGGGAACGTAATGCCAAACTAGGTCAATCGGAGCGCAATAATGTCCTTCAACCAACGGACGAGCAGACATCTTCAAGAATGCCGCCTACTTGCTCGAAAACGAACGACGGCCCGGGTCAAGAAGATGCATCTTCGATCCCTTTCGATTCAAATTGGATCACACCTGGCACGCCTTTTTTACACGAGTTCGGGCGGTACCTGGAGCACTTCGTCCAGGTGAAGTGCTCGGAAGATCCAGTCTATCAGCACTTGGATGTCATCGTTTCCACAGCCCAACAGCCTGGTGAGGGAGAACACAAGTTGGCGGATTTCATACGCCAGGAAAAGCGGATTCGATTGCGAAAAAGCAAGGAAATGCAAGAGAAGTGTGCTGGGCGTATAGACGGCGCATCCCCGTCGGCGAACGCGGGACGACCTCGCAGCACTTCATCAGCTGCAAGTAACGTGGTGACATCAACGCCGCAAGATGCCAATGCAATACTGCCACAAGACGAGAGATCTCCGAGTCACTGCATGTATGGTCTCGACGCAGACCTGATTATGCTGGCCTTGATGTCGCACGAGCCAAAATTTTCTTTGCTGCGTGAGCACCTGCACTTTGATAAAGGAGAAATCACTGAGTGGGATCCCAAGTGGCGACTTCGGAGTGCCCAGAACCACTACGTCTTTGTCCATATCGGTTTGCTCCGTGAGTACTTACATTTCGAATTCTCTCCTGAGCACGCTGAGGACCGCGACGTGCTTAGCGGACTCTTGGACGGGTCGTTACACCGGATTCCCGAAAGGTATGGTCGTCGCAAGCGGAAAACGGAAGAAGAATCTCTCGAACGCAGAGAGCAAGGAGATTTTATGACAGAAAGCGCTGTAACTGTTTCGGATACGCAAGTTTACCCTGGAAATGACGAAAAGCGAGTTCTTGCTGCGCCGCAGAGTACTACAACGCACAGCGTACTGGGCACTCAAGCTGGTAGAGGATCCACACCCATGAGGAGCGAGTTGGAGGATAGCGTCGGGACAAGAACAACGGTCGCCGCAGGAAAGGGAGAAAAGCGAGTAATGGTCATGTCAAGGCGGGGACCTGAAAGCGAACTACAGAGCGAGAACAGCCAAATCACAGCGATGGGGCCAAGTTCTGAAACCCGGCAGCAAGTCGAGAGTGGACTGTCGAATGTTGAACTTGGCAGTGAACCGGGAAGCATGGCGTCGGTGCAATTACCTCCTCGGGAGCCACCTGGATTGGAGCGGAACGAGACGCTTCGCGAAGACGAACGAACACGAGATGTGCTCGCGGCACCCTCAATGGCGACTGTGACGGTCCTGAAGCGAAAGCCTGGGGAACTTTTTTCCGGTCCCAAAATTCTTCAACGTATGCAAAACCCTGAAATAAAGACTTCACCTTCACAAGCGGAAGAACAGCGGGGAGGCTCGTCCACTAGCCAGACCGCGTCAACGGTTGTTGGTAATCGGACGGTCAGCCCTGGCATCGCGAGACACACCATGGATTTGAAAGATGATGTTGGGGATACCTCTCGTTTTCGGGAGAAGTCGGATACTTCGCAGGAGCAAGCCTCTCCCGCGTACAACCTTGAACGTGTAATCGATGACTTCATACTGTTGAACATGCTCATCGGGAATGATTTTATGCCGGCGGTGCCTTTCGTCGACGTACACGAGGGCAATCTGGGGGAATTTTTCCACCTTTACCGGACCTACCTTCGCAAGGCACTCCGGAGAGCCGACGCTATGCAAGTGAGAAAATTAAGGCAGCAGAGAGAGGTGGAACAACTAAGTTTAGATAGCTCAATTAGACCTGCGACGAAGAAGTCCACTCCTGGCATGTCTCGAGCTCTCGTCAAACTGCCCGGACGGCATCAAAAAGTCAATTTGCGCGCTGCCGGTGAAGCAGACGAAAATTCAAAGTCCACGCCAACTGGAAGGGGCGGCGTAGAGGAGGGCGATAGCGATTGGGACCCATATCTGACCTACGACTGCGGAAACGTGAATTGGCGCAATTTCCGGAAGTTTATGTCGCTTTTGGCGGTGAACGAACGCACGCGCATAGAGCAGAAAGTAGAGGCCAGCGACATCACCTTCGGCGTATGCAAGGATCTCGTGGCGGTTTCACAGCGTAGCGGGGGTAAGCAGGGAGTGCAAGGGCGGAATGTGGTGCGACCGCAGAGCTTTGCGGAATGTAGAGCACTGCACTACCGCACGAAGCTAGGGCTTTCAGGCGACTTTGATAGAGACGGAGGGGACAAGAGCGCTCATCTTGAGGACCAACGAGACGGCGCTTTTCAATCTGCTGGGCTCGACGGCGTTTGCCGCAGTTACTGCGAAGTGCTACTTTGGTCTTTGAAGTACTATTTTCGTGGTGTGACAGAGTGCGGATGGAGTTACTGCTATCCGCACCACTACGCGCCGTTGCTCTGCGACTTGGCGTCATGCAGCTTTCTCCGTGGGGACGGGGTGCGTGACATGAGGTTCCATATTGGTTCACCCGTCGAGCCTTTTGAGCAACTCATCCGTGTCTTACCCTTGCAATCAGCAGTCGCGGTTCTCCCACGTGAGTATTTAGAGCTGATGAGCCGGAGCCAGCTCCGCGAGAAATTTTTCCCAGACAGACTAGTAATCGATTGCGACGGAGTCAAGGTGCCTTGGGGTGGCACGGTCCAGCTTCCAGTGGTCGACGCAGATGCGTTGCGCGCAGTCTTGCGAACTACGCGCTGGGAACCGTCACCAGCGGAAGCAGTTCGAAACCGCAATCTCGATCACGCAACCTGTATTTGGAACACGCGAAAAAGGGTTGAAGCGTTGGCTTTTCTGGGCGACCACGCAAATGATTTCAAGAACACCGAAGTGCTCATAAGACAAGAGCACTCTCGCGATCCCGAGAACAGTTTGACCTTGGCGAATACCTTCTGCGGCATCTCTAGTTTCTTCTTCAAGAGACAGTGCGAGTGGGTCGAGGGACCCTTTTCTGCTGCAGCTCTGCCTGACACCTCAAACGAAGCAACGAACGATCTTGTCGCAGAATCGCCACTAGCTGCGAACACGCGCGTCGGGAAGCGCCGAGATGTTCTTTCGACCTTAGATTCGTATTTCGACAGTGTCAAGGGAGGCAGGCAGCCCCCGCGAACGCAGCAACTAAGAGCAGACACAACGCGCGATCGTAATGTTGGAGCTGGGATTTCGCAGAAAAGTAATGCAGGCAACAAAAGCAAGAAGTCAAGCTATGCAATTTTGGGAGTTGCCTCGTCTATTGATGTGCGAGAGAATATCAACGGTGGACCACGCACGGTTCGTGCGCCAGTTAGTTTTCTTGGTACAACACCCCCAGTGTCCACTGTTTTCGTGTCAAGATGCGAGTGCTTCGTAACTCCGACTGACCTTGCGAATCATCGCTTTCCGAACTACCCGCTCGCTGCTCTAGATGCTGTTGCAAAGGACACCGCAGCAGCGGAGCTGTTACGCCATAACACGCAATCAGGTGAATACGCCAAATCTGCTGGTAGAGATGTTTTAGGGGCTATGGCTCCTCTAGTATCCAGTTGGGTCACCACGCAGGAGTATCCGTCCTTTTTTGCAGGGAAGGACGCAAGCGCCCTTTTGACCTTGGAAAACAGAAGAAAGAAGTATCGCGGTGACTTGATCCAGCCTACGGTTGTCTACAGCATCCCGCGAGTGCAAGGAAGGGCTTCTGAAATCTACGAAGAACGAAAAGAGAAGAAGCCTGACAAGGTTGTGGGCTCGCCATCTACCTCGTCTGTATCAGTCCTAGGGAAGCCAGCCATCAGCACCTCTGCTCCTGTGAGTGTTACAGCTGCACAGCCGAAGGTGTTGAGCAGAAATCCAGCAGTACTAAAACGTCCAACTGGGGGTGACGAACAAGGTGTCTCAACAGACCCAGTGAGTAGCTTTACTAGGCCGGCCGCCTCCGTTTCTGTCGACCACAGAGCTGCGCCCATGCGCATACTCTCGCGAAGCGATCGCGCTCTGATGACGCATTTAAAGACAGTCAGCGCTGCTGCGAGCGATGTGGCCACGACGGTAGATGCTGGCGCCTCTCCTGGCGCGACAACTCCAGTATCGACCCCAATGTCGCCGCTTCCGGCGGCCGAAGACGTAGCAACTTTCTCAACAAGCACACCGATCTTGCACGACGACACGGACGTGGAGCCCGAACAGACCATCAAGAAAAGTGGTTCGGTCACTCAGACAGCACGTTCATCTTCTACTACTAGCGCCGCCCCCGTATCGTCCCCTGGAGTAACTGATTGTCTTAGTAGTAGGAATCCCCGTGACACCCTGTATTCGGCACTGCGGGGGTGTCATGCTTGGACCTCTACGGACGCCGCTGATCAACGGAGTGCTGACAGAAAACCTGCAAATGACCCAAAGAATTGGAATTCTTTGTTCCGGGTATGTGTTGATTGGCCTCTGCTGCACCGAACTGGAGTCGTCGAAAGTATTGAGGAGGCATTCGGTGGTGACCTCTTGCGTGATATTGAGGTTGAGTACCTGGATCAAGGCAAGGGACTTTGCCGTTCCCGCTTGGAGCTGGCTTCCAGCTTTACTCGAGCCAAATTTCCCAGCCTGCTCTTGCGTGTCAAAAAGAAAGGCTTTGGGGTCGTCACTCCGGTTGCCAAAATCCGCAGATTTCTTACAGAAAATACACTTGCGGCAGAGTGCGAGTACAGATTTCTAGAAGACTTGGTAATCGTGCAGCAATGTTCTAGCAGACGCAAGTGCAACTATGACCTGGCAACAGGTAGAGAACCGCCAGGATCAGACGACTTGACGCCAACATCTTCAAGCAAAGCCAGGGCAGCGCTAAAGGACATTCCCGACAGCGATGTTTGTACAAGAAATCCCCTGGCCCTGCCGCAGCGCGTGGTGATTATCGATCCAGAGAGTCCGTGGTTTGGTCGTTGCGGTGTCATTCTTCCGGATCGCAGCTTTGATGGGGGACAAGAGCAACATCCAGAGAATAATGGGCTTCACCGGGTCTATTTTGCATTGGAGATTTGCGGGATTCCTGCCAGATTTTTACGCACATTCAAGAAAGTAAGTCGCGAGGGGATGTTTGAGGGCCATGCAGACGCTGCCCAACAGCGCTACATCAACAAAGCGCTAGGGCTGGACGATCCACGAGGGCAGCCTTTCGTTTTCGCGCTTGCAGAAGACAAAAAAACGTTTGATATCGAACATGAAGTTCAGAAAAACGCTCATAAGTTCGGCTTCGACCAGAAAAATGTTGGCGAAAGCGCACAAAACAGTGAATCCTTGGGGCACCGCTTTCAACCGAGGCATCGGAGTGGTAACTTTGTACATGCCGCTGACGCTTCTGGTTTTGGCCATCGCATAGAGTCATCTGTGGGGACGGCTATCAGCAGCAATGTTGCCTCAAACAGTGGTTGGTTCTCCCTATCGCAAATGGCACAGAAAGTCGGTGCCTCGGTCGACTGCTTGAAGATTTTCTTCGGACCCGTGTTGCTTTCTTGGACTGATAAGTACCACGACCGCGAAAACGTCGGTGTGAATATCATTTGTGACGAGCCAATCTTAGATGGCGGAAAGTGGAGCCAGGCTCTCTTTTACGAGGAAGCTGACCAGCAAGATGCGGAGGAACTGGACCGACAGGTACTAGAGTCCGTTTCTCACGTCGGGGATGAAAGCTACGTTCAAGGACGATCACAGGCCGGCAGTTCCGGTATGACTAGCAGTGGAGATCCTGCGTCAGAAGTGTACGACCCGAATGCATCGTCTACTATGGGAAAACGACCAGCACCTAGTATAATTCTGCGCCGGGCACCAGGGCAGCTCACTGACTTTCCGGCTGTTCAAAATAGTCATCCATCGATCTTGCCGCGCACCGCACAGGCGCGGTCTTTGCAAGACGAACATGCTCGGCCTTCACAAAGTGGCGCGGCTCCTGGAAGCAAGAAGGGCGGCTTAGTCCGCCGAAATGTGGTACCTGGTTACGTAAGAGCCGTTTGCCGCGACGAGAGGAGATCGCTGGAATCCTACGAGCCTCATGAGTGGAACGAGCATGACATTGCGTTCGTTTACAGCGCCCCTTGTGTGGACGCTATTTTGGATTACAAAAGGCGATGGCCTGAGCTGTGGCACTACGTTGAGACAAACACGGAGCTTGTGTGCCGCATGTTTTTAAAAAAACGGGAAGCTCTGTCCGTCCAGAAAGTCTTTACAGCGTATTATGGTGGAAAGAACTCTGGCACTGCGACAAAGGGGCGCGGAAAAGACCGCGTACGGCGTCGTGACGGTATCAACACAAAAAATGCAACCACGACTGGTGGTAACAAGGGTCGAGAAGTTGACCATAGGAGTGTCAAGGCAGAGGCGCAGCGTGGCCGAGGTCGACAGGGCAATGGGCGAGGTGGTAGGAGAGCCCCGAAAAGAGAATGGTATGGTGAGGCTGTCGGGATCGCCCAAAGTCGGCAAGGAAGAGCAGAGGGATCAGCCTTTCCTAAGTCTAGTTCCAGTAGCAGCAGCTCTTCCGAGTGGTCGCTTTCTTCGGACAGCAGTGATGCTGACGGGGAAGCAGCGACTGAGAGGTGGAAGAAAGGCAATGCAACCGGCGCTGTAAAAACTGAAGAAGATCAGTGGAGCGAGGAGATTTTCGAAGACTATGACGATGACATTACTAGCGAATCTGATCCTGATGCAGGAGTCTTCTACAATCGCACTTGCGCTGAGGTGAGTGATAATCCGGAGTTCACACGGATTCAGCGAGATCAGGATACGTCTGCGAGATCGGATATTGAAGCGAAAGCAGAAATAGAGCTTGGAGACGAGGACTCGGAGTCTCCCTGGGAAGAGCTCAACTTTGTAGACTTGAATGAAGGCGAAGCAGCCGCAGTAGTGCGCCGCATCGCAGCGTATGTTGCTAGCCAGCCATACAGTCGGCGGAATTTGGTCACGTGGCAGCATTGCAGGCTTCCAGATGGTGCAGTGGCACAGCTCATGCGTCATGGTAGACGTCAAACGGACTTTCGAGAGTTTGTTTCTGCTGCGGTTGGGGCCGAACAATGTTCGAAGGAAACTTCTAGTAGGTCGGCAGAAGATACCATGCCAGCTGCAAATAAGGAGATGCAACTACTCAGTGACAGCAGTCATGTGAGCAGCGGGCTGCTTCTTGATGGTTCTGTCGCTGCTGCTGTGAATCATGATACTTGGGTTTTGTCCTCTCGCGCGCTAGCGCAAGTCCGGCGGAATCCCGTTGGATCAGTAGAGGCGCCTCTTACTGTAATGACGTCAATAGCAGACGAGCAGCAAAAGCAGTTAGAAGTTAACCAGTCGTTCCTTCAGAAACTGGGTGTGCTTCCTTCGACGTCCAAGCTGAATGTTGAAGAAACATTTACGACCATTGGAGGAAGCGAAGAGGACGCTTCTAGCAGAAAAGTACAGGAAAATCCTGTGACAAGCGAGAGTGCGAAACAAGCAACACTGGAGGACGTTGAAGGGACAAAAGCCAAATCGGTATCAAGTGGTGCAGCGGTGCGTCAAAAAAAGCGCGCACAGGCCACTTTCAAACCCGCGTCGCCAGAGGTAGTAGCGGTAGCGGTCCCTCCAATGATGCTTTCTCCACTGCCGAGTCTCTGTTCGCGCGGCGGATCGCGAGATGATACTGAGTTGGCGTTCCTGAGGCGGGGACTCGATAGCAAATCTAGTATTGGTGGAGACTCGGAGGGAGCCGCGGCTTGCTCGCCCCTGCAGCATTCCGCTTCGTCGCCTGTCTTCTTGAGAGTGCTGCCGCGAGAAGTCGGCGGAAACAGTAGCGCCGATCTTCCAGATTTCACGCTGGGGACAGCGATGCATGCGCACACGGAAACCGGGAAATTTCAAATTCCGGACAAAAACCCTGCGCCCAGTCACGATGACGATGGGCCTCTGCGCACAGGACCGGGGTATCTTCCGACCAAGAGTACAAAAGATGTTATCAACAATGCGATTATCAGTACAGGGCACACTGGGACCGCACGGCGGACTTCAACATCTAACTCGACAACTAGCCATGCGCCTCCAATTGTTGTCTCCGCAGATGCATTGTGCTCGGTTTTGTTTTCTCCGCAACAGCTAATGCACGAGAGTTCTGGAGATTTTTCGAAGAATGTTCTTCGAGAATCAGGGTTTGGGAAGAAGCACGATCAACGCCACGAACGCGTTTTGGCACCCCCAAGTCCGGGTCACCGAGTTGTGTATGTCCGCAGGCAAGCACGCATCCCTTTCGGTCGATCGGGAACAGTGACTGCGATCTATTTTCACAACAGGGAGGATAGAACTGTGGATGTGCTTTTCGACCTTCCGGGGTTCGGATTTGACGTAACGCAGAGAATTGCAAACGTTCCAGCGCAAGATGTTGTGGCTACGAGCCCTGCACACGACTTCTCGCAAGCATCGCAAACAACATCAGCGCGAAATGAGTCCGTACTCGGTGGTGGAGGTGGGCGGCCTTTCCACCCTACCTTCGGATTCTTGGGAGGAAAAAACGCAACCTTATCTTCTTTATCGACGACAGGGGCCGCGCTGTCGTCTCCGAGTACAGATCCGCGAGTAACGCTTTCGTCCCTCGGGTTTGGAGAAAGTGTCACCTTGGGACGTGTGCGCGACGTGCGTCGTGCTCGCCATGCAGACTTAGGTTTTTTCGAGGCTGCAGTATTGAAAACCGCACCAAGTGAAAACCGGAGTTCTATGTTGAATCACCCGGTCTTGCGTATAAAACACAAGCAGCAAAGTCGCATAAAACAAGACGGGAGGTTGCGCAAGGAGAACGCGGAAAAAGCGGGGGGAGAAGTGCAACATGAGGTAATCAAGCACAAGAAAAGTGCTTCTAAGGAGAATTCCAAAGAAAATTCGCGCGAACATCTGGTTAACGTCCAGAGTGAAACCACCAGCAGTGCAGAAAACGCAGATGCCGGAGCTGCCACGAAACGAGCGCCCTACCGCGATGGGCGTGAGGAACGAATCAGGATTAAGCAAAACCATCGTGGTCCGCGTTTTCTGGCACCGGATGACAACGAGGACGACGATAAAAAAGAGAATGATAAACACATCAAAACGGAACCAGGTCCTGTGCAAGCGGAAACATTAAACGAAAGGACGACGAGGGAAGAGAACAACACCAGCACTGCAGCGAAGGGAAATAAGGTATCGACGAAGGGAAGTGATGCTCCAATGGAGAGGAGTGAGGGAAAGAACAAGAAAGACGAAGCAGAACAAAAAGGGAAAAAGCGCTCCACCTATAATGCGAAGAATAAGGGAGGAAAGGACCGGAAGTCCTCAAAAGGCAAGGGTTGGGAACGTTCTTCCGGGAAGGCTGCTACAAATGGTTCTTAGACCGTTCTGCCACGTGGATGACGACCCTCACACCAATATTTGTTGAGCTTACTTCTGGTGGAAAAATTCTAGGTCTTTCTTAAAGAAGATGGTGTCGCCGTGAGCAACTTGTTCTCGCGCGTTGCGAATCTTAGCTTTATTGCATCCATCATCCGCTTGTTCCGCGGTTCGTCCGTGCATAGAATCAGTCTTACTGTGGCCTCCTGCTTGGATGGAAGTATTGTTGCCTGGCAGAGTGTGTTTGTTCTTGAATGTTCAGCTTTCTTGGTGTCTTGAGAGGCAACGTGAACAGAAGATAGAGGTTAAATACAAATTTTGATAACTGAAATTGTAGACTTCGTTGTGACAGCAGCTGGTCTGCCGAATCTTTTTCCTCGTCGGACTCGAGAGTATAGGCATGTCTGATTGTCGGTAGGAGGGGATGATACATCGGAGAATTAGCGGTTACAACATCATGCAGATGATGTATGACACTGTTGTGCTTGGTTGCACTGTAGTCAGCGAGAGTGGGAGGCATCACCAATATTCCACTGCGAAATGGAATTGATAATGACCGGAGTGAAAGTGCACTTATTTTTATACACGTAAGCGACGAGCGCGAAGATAAGCGTGGCGATCATAGTGCAGTCGATTCAGATTTAGATGGATACATGCATCTACTGGGTTTTTTTGCTTGGCTGGCTCAGGTCGAATGTTCTCTCAGAATTGCGTTGCATCATTGGTCAACGTCAAACCATCTTACAGTTCCGGAATATTTTTCTATCATGTCGAGCGATTGTGACACTCGTAGCGAGTAATGAGCGTGGTTTCAACTGCCCGTCCCCGTGCGCGTAGTCCCTTCAGAGATTTGTGTCCTGCTACACTGGGCCCCTATCAGCAACTGGATGTTCTTCGGGATGCGATGGCGCCACCTCGGGACGCGCCAGCAAGTCGCCAATCTGCTGGACGTCAGGCTCTTATATTTTTGCTATGCTCCTGGCTGCAGCTTCTCTTGGGGCGGTATAAAGTAGCATGAGCACCAGCTTGTTGGGCGTCATCTCCAGAATATGGAAGAGCCAAGGCGCCGCTGACCGCGAGAGTCCGTAGAGCGGAGGGCTCATTCTCTCGGCACGGAGCCAGTGCACCCTCTACCGGTCGCGTGGAGGGGCGCCATGCATCTGAGCCCGTCAGTGCCTCCGGTGCCGGGAGCACCAACGTGAGCAGGGGCACGGAGACGTCAGAACAAGTAGGCGGTGGCGCACTACAAAAACAGTTCCTGGGAGTCGGGCAGGGAGTTCTTGTGGCAGTGACAGATACCACCGTGGTTCAGCGAACGACAGGGTGCAGGACGACGGTCTGCCACACTTATGGAGACACATCCGATGGTCTCCGCCTCGGCAAATCTCGGAGCAATCTTCTGGTGCGGGCTCAGCTGGAGACACTGAAGGTGCTTACAACTCGATCGCAGCTTGGCCGCCGGGCCGAAACAGACCGTATGGAAAGTGTCTCGTCTCGTCGTTGCCGCAGCGTCCAGTATCTCCAGCGACCTCATCAGACAGCGGCGCATTGGCTTTGTATTGCGAGCGAGCATCGGTTTTGGACTCCTCGCTCGTGCCGAGATTGTCAAGCCTCAGCGAAGAGACGCGCCCTACAACCAGAGACGGCGAAGTGAGGCCGGGAAATTCTGGATTCGCCTGTGCCATTTGCCTTGATGACACTCTCGAAAACGCCGCTACAAGTGGTCAGTTCACGGCATATTGTGGTACAACTAGCGACCGGAACTCGATGGTCGGAAGTTCTTCGAGAGTCAGTGGTGGAGGAGAGGGAAATCCTGGAAGGAGTAGCACCGCAAATTCTATGTTTTTCCGCTTTTATCCATTGTTGAGGGTCCACGGAAGCCATCTTCAAAAGCATCCTCGGTCGCAGCTCTTCGCAAGCAGGGAGAGTTAGAAAGGCAATTCTGCTCATGACGATGGATTTCCGATAGGTCTAACATGGTCAACCGAGATTTTCTCACAGGCACCAGACCACGTTTTTCATTCCGACTGCGTGTGCAAGTACATGCTTAATCAGCGCCAGCGCCGCGGTGTTTTTCGGGTCCGATGTCCCCTATGCAATGTCTCTGAGTGGATTGCCACTGTGAAGAGTGGAGAGACGGACCTCTTTCATGCGGGGGAAAGTGCCTCGGATTTTCTTAGGTTTCGCGATGCAGACCCCGTTACGGGAAGACTACTGCATTTTAAGCTGCAGCCAGCAGAGGAGATGACTGAGCAGTCTAATGCTGTTGCAAGCGGCCGATGGGTGCACGGGCAAGCGACACCAAGGCGACTTCAGATCCCATCATCGGTGCCCAAAAATTTCGATAATTTGACGACCCTCGGCCTCCAACCGAATCGGGGAGGCGTGAACCCGGCTGCCGCCACTGATGCCTTGGCGCGGCGCCCCCCAGTGGTCGCGAAACCCATCCACAAGAGCTAGCCGGCGACGATACGCGCAGGCGAAGGCTATGGAGTCTCTTGCGAGAATTGCTGGGTGATACGTCTTCAGCTGCTGCTGGAGGGGGGACGACTATACGCGGTTGGAGCTGGTGGGGCAGCCGCAGACACGACCACGACCAGCACACTTCGCCGGCTGGAGGATTTAGCATTACGCTCCTTGGGCTCAGGTGGCAGGCGCGCAACCGATTCGGGGATTGTTCATGTTGTTGGTGGCGGCATTTTGTTTCGCCCACTTGGCTCGCAACCAATGGAGACGCCGCGCAATACGAGGGGAGGAGCGGGTGGCTCTTCTGCATTAGATGCTACACTGGAAGCAGCCGCTCTTGATCAACAGGAATCAAGCATATCTTCACCCTCGTCTGGTAGCACGTGGTTGCCCCGTCTCGGTGCTGCTGGCGGTAATTCCTCTGCAGCGATAGAATACCGAAACACGACGGCCAGCACTGCATCCTCGAGCATCAACGGTGCGACTGGAGCTATAGGCGTGGCGTCCATGGGATCGAGTGGGCCTGTTTCTGCGAGGGGTCATGGTAGACCCTTAGTTCTGGAGGCAGCACGACGCCACTGCAATAGACCGTTTATTCCGCCGATTGCTACCGCGCCGCTGTCCGCTGCTCGGCAGCCGCCACGTGGGAAAGGGGTAGGGGGCGAAGATCTCAGCGAAAATACCGGCAGCACGACTACGATTGCTGGAAGAAGCGACGGTGCCATCTATTCCGCCAGTTCTACGAGACCGTCGTCAGTGGCAACCGAGCGCTCTGTTCGTCACAGCCGCGGATGCAGTCCCTTGTCATCTGCATAGAGCGAAGAGGAAGAGCGGCGCCGAGCGCAACGAAGTTTTCGAGGATACGAAGTTTTACGAAGTGAACAGATGTTCTGGAGGATTTGATGAAGTAGACTGCAACCTGGTTTTGGCAAAGAAAATCCGGTGTAGTAGAACTAGAAGGCTTCTTTTCAGGCCAAAGTACTGACGTCATTATTACGCATGCAACATACCAAAATATTTAGTGGAAAATATAACACGGACCTTCTCAACGGTTGTTTTTGAGTCGAAACAAAAATAAGAATGATCATCTTCGTCTTTCTTAGTAGGTGGAGCTGGAAAATAAGGCCGGGTGACCTTTTTTTTAGACAAAGAAAAAGGTGCACCTCGAAGAACGGAATTGGAGCGCCTGCAGCACCTCCTTGGCCGAGAGCAGCGGAGGACGCGGACGCCTAGCGGCGATGATGAGATACGCAATTCGCAAGAAGGTAACTAACAAACTTCCACAAATTTTGAAGAAAATTGATGAAATATTGTACCCCAACAATACAACTAAAAAGTATGATAGATAGAATATTATGGGAATAGTATTATACCGAACTCACCTTCCAAGGCGCAAATAGTCCCACCTCAGGGGCGTATCCATTGGAAGGGAGCGGGGGCTTCTATGGGAGGAGCCAGTCTAGGATCGTGATCGGGTTGGACCCAACCGCGCGGCCTGATATTGGTACACGAAGGCAACAGCGTCAACTATCCAGTTGGAGGCGAGTTGCCTCGCAGCTGTTGGCCAGGAAGCTAGGCAGTGACCTGCTTAGCGGCGTCGCTAGTGCATGGGTTTCACTGGGGCAATTTCTAGAAATGTTCGTGCGTAAGAACAGCCCCGGGCAGGACGCTACACTACCGACGGGCGGTAGGTAGTTGAACATGAACGGGATGGGTCTCGTCGGTAAAGCCGAGAGACGGGGCATTGTTAGGCCTTTCTACGAGTATAGTGATTGAGATCACTCTGTTAGGGAGTAGCGGGGTTTTGTATGGAGTGAGGGCAGTGGAGCCTGCTGGGCTTGCTGGCTTCTTGGTTTGGCTGGGTACTCTGATCCTGGTGCGTGTTACTGGGTGAAAGAGGTACGCAGGTCAGGGGCGTCAGTGCCTGTCGGGCATGACGTTGCGCGGGGACGAAGTGTCCCTGTTCCGGACAGCACATTACACGAGGAGCGTGCTGACGCCGTACCGCGAAGGAGGGGCGGACGGACCTGGCCCGAGGTGACCAACGGGCTCCAGACCGTGTTCGGCTGGGTTGTGAGAAGATTGGCGCACTTCTCTGCTCATTATAGGAATTGCAAGAGTGGCCCCATCTTGGCTGGACTCTGGTAGGATGGTGTTTGCACTGTGCTCGAGGTAGGAACTATGCTGCCAGATTGATCCTGGCCGCGGAGCTGTGCTCAACTCTTGTTGCCACAGTGACCAACGCGCGGGGCGCGAGTACCTAGGCTGGCTTCAGTCGATGGCGTTCGTGGCTTTTGGGGTGAGACTAATTGCCAGCGTGAGTTGGGTAGAGTATGCATATTCCAACAATATAGGAACTGCAGCGCAAGTCATGCCTCTTCTCACTTACACTTACATCCTTTCCGTATGCGACCATGGATATGCTTGCAGCTTCTACGTAACAACTATGCTATCAGGATGACCATTCAACGACTGCGTTCACACTGTTTACCACTGAAGTTGACTTTCTGTTTCTACGGCTTGTTCATTGTCCACGGCGGTAAATGAATGATCGCTGACATTTTGTTGTGCGTGATAGACTAGCTGGCTTCCAATGCTAGCAGATTTTCTTTTTGATTATCATTTTTAGTTCCTCTAATCAGAAATCTGTATCTGGCTTATAATATATTTTTCTACTACTTTTTATGACGGTACTTTCAGAATAGATCATAGCTTGCACCTTGTTGACCATTTTTAGAATGGCCAATAAGACGTAAACGAGGAGTAAGGTGGCCTGGCTTTTTCTCGGAAAATGTTGAGTGAAATCATGACCCCTAGGGATGCTTTTCATGACCCGATGTAATTCATCAAGGAAGGTAGTTCTATATTTATCTATTTCAGTGTGGAAGTGGATACGCATTTTCAGGATATAAAATGAAAAACACAACAACGCACATAGTCATAAGGGAAGAATTTTTTCTATTTAGTTTTAGTTGTAAGGCTAGAGTGTTAATTCAGACAGAGAGTTTTTCAGGTTTTTTCCCTTTTTCTTTTTCGCCGGGACCAATTCTAGAATGGACCCGTCGGCGAGTCAAGTCGCGAAACGCAGCATCTTTAAATATCTATGTATAACGTTCCATGGCCTCCGCGCTTCCACAGGACGCATGTAATCATTAGAAGCGTTTTCCGTTCTGTGATTGAGTGTTTGCGGGGATGATAATTGCCCTTGCTCTGGCGGTCAGCTAGGCTTCAGTTAATACCAGGGGAAACCAACTCCACGTCGCAGTTACTTGAAAAGTTGTAGACGTGTTTCCCAGCAAAGAAAAAAAGGGACTACTTGCTCAACACCTCGTGCCGCGATGCACGCATCCCTTGCTCGTAGGTAGAAGTGTTGCAGTCCTGATTTAACAAGTACTTTTACCAGTGATGAGCCTCAAAGGTGACTTGTTTTTTTCGTTCCGTCACCTTGATTGGGGTACAGCAATATCGTAGGGTCCTTCTTCTTTTGTACAATCGAGTGGTTGATTTTTGCTCTTTCTGGTATTATATAGTTACTAGCCGTACCCTTGGATGTGTGAGCACCCAACCTTTCTCTTTTTCTCGGTGGGACCTCTGGTGGCAGAAGTGTGGAAATAGTTTTTAAACATAGTAAGTTACTTAATCCCACTCAGACCGTAGGTCTTTGTGCTATGAAATACAGCTGCATGCTAACTATCCTTGATTCAACTACTTTACTCTTAAAATCAAAGCACAGGTGTTACGAACAAGCGCAGATAGCAGATGCAGACACTGACAGCCGAAGCCCAACCTGAACTTGACCAACAAGAACACATAAAGATCATTAATGTAGGCGTCACAGCTTTACATCTAGATTATATGGTTATATTCCAGGGTTAAGGGGAGCGGCCCCCCCTCCCCCCGAGCGCGGGGGGGGGGCGTGGATCCCCGGACCCCTTTTTGAGGCGTCTGCCGGGGGTGGAAGGCTTCCAAAGGGGTCCAAGGGGCCTCCTCCGCTCCCTTCCAGCTGCCTGCGTGTACCCTACCGGTTTACTATATGTTGGCCCCTCGCCGCAGCTGCAGGGTGCCGGGTGTGGAAGGCGTCCGCAGGCGGCAAAAGGCACAACGCTGGACCCCCTGAGCCGTGTGGCCTGTACCCTCCGGGCCCTTGGTCATCGGCCTGCTGGCTCTTGCCGCGCATTTGCTGAGGGCAACCCAGCAAAAGGCGCCAGGCCTCGAGACCGTGGCCGCCTTCGGCGGCCTTCTACCCCGCAGACCTCCGGCCTGCGAGGGTCGGCGGGGGCCGGGCCGTCTGTTGGGGACCTGCAGAGAGGCGCAAGGGGCCGCCCGCTCCGGGTTTTGACGCCTTCCACCCCGAGAATCCGCGAAAAGCAGCGCGGAAAAGAGCGCGCAAGCGCCACCGCAGGGCCATCCACAGGAGGGGACTATGCGTCCCTGTGTCATATATACAGCGCCGTGCTTGGTGCGTCATCATTACCATTGCTCTGTTGGATGTTCCAGCTCCACTTCCACGAGTTGCGGACCGATTCAAAGAATTCCTATCCGTTGCTTTGAGCGGACGCAATTCTAGACCACTACGCATGAGGTAAGTTTCGCATTGAAAATTAAAATTGAAGTCAGTAGACTGATGGAGTTAGAGGATGTAGCATCATTTTCACGACCAACTATTGATTAAGAGAGGTGATTGTTCCTTTTCTCTCCATCTACGGCAATCAGGAAGGATAGTACCAGGAGCAGAAACTCGACATCTCTCCTTGGCTAGCTTGCTTGATAGTTTGCTACATCAGTTAGATTCTTCTTATTGTGCCTTATGAAGTGTCTCATTTCTCCTCCTTCTAAACGAACCTGTGGTATGTCTATGTGTGTGTCGCGACGTCCCATGAGATTCATGTCAAAGAATAGACTTGCTATTTTTGTGTTTATTTTCCAAAGTCTTCCTATGCGCGGCAAGTTCGCAGGGAGCCTCTTGAGTGATGGATATAGTCGTAGTCGGCAGTGTGATCGAAGGAACGATCCAACGTGTTGGCGCGGAACTTATAGAGGGGGTACGGCTGTGCGAAGTTGCTCCTCGAGGGGTCGACGGCGCTCGGGTTGCCGCCTGATGTTGTCGAGGAAGCCAGTACTATATATAATGCTCCTAATGTGATATAAGGTTTTCGTCATGATGATCTCTCTCGAACTATACTAGAAATTTCTGGTCGTGTCATGTGACGCTCTAGATTTCATCGTAGAACAGGAGGAACTATTTGCGAAATACACAGTATCAAAAACAGAAAGATAAACAAAAAGGACATATATCTGCCGGGATCGTTTTTGTCTCCTCCGGAAACAGTGCATGGTGGACTGTGCTCGTGCCGGAGGTTTTTCGAATATTTACTCTACACCAACGTTGATCGGTGGCACTTATATGGGTAGAAGAGCCTGTCTTCCATGTTGAATGTGGTAAAAGCATTGTCGTCGAATGGACGCGCTCAAGGGAAGGTTTGAAGTAGTGTGAGTAGTTGGAAGTCGGGTTTGAAGTAAGCTTGTTGCGAAGAGCGGACGGAATATTTTTTTTGAGAAACTCGTGAGTGTTTGATTCACTTTTCTAAATTTTGCTGGAGGGTGTGAGACTCCAAGCGTATACGAGGCGAAGGGTCCACTTGTAGTTTCTTGACGGCAGTGAATCTCAACATGATGACTGTCCCCGCCCGCATGTTGCGTCTACTTCCCAGCGTAATCGATTGCGCCATCATGATGATTGCGGATGCTCACATGTTGGCGCAACGGATTACGCTGGGAAGAGGCAACATGCGGGCGCTGGCGCCGATTTCGTGAAAGCAGGAACCTGTTCGAACTGAAACGTCGTTCGTTTTCACTGAAGTCGAAGTGATCGGAAGAACTAGGTTTGTACGTAGTCTCTACTACTGAACCAACCAAAATCCGTACAACTGGACCGCACAACAACCAAAGATCCGTTCGCGCTTGCGTCTTTATTCGTCCGCTGATAGATTTCCGAAATAATTTTGCGGCAGAAGGATCTTGATCATCCATCCGCAGATCATAAAGAACTCGAAGATCATCGTGTTTACAAAACAAGTATACCTGCATCCAGAATGAGTTTTGTTGCGGACGATTGGCGTTATAAACATCGAGTCCTTGTCCGTGGTGTCCTCAAGAATATGCAAGTACGGTAACACGGGCACATCAGATCTTCATCTTTTGATTTCAATCTTCGAAGATCATCACAGCAAACTAGGATTTGAAGATCAAGGACTAAAGTCCCCACTCGCAGTTCAGCTCCTATACCAAGATCCACGATGGAAGCAAATTGAAGCCTTTCAATATGTAAGCGTGTTGTTTATGGATGAAGAGGGTGAACATAAGATCGTTCATTATGACAAGAATCTCAGGTGTAGGCTCCTCAGGCAGCATGTATAATTAGAATACCGAAGTGGAGGTGATTTCTCATGAATTTGACAAACTGCTGCGACACTCATGCTGGAAGTGTTTTTCGAATAATCAAATTGACTTCTGCTGCTCATGCATCTAGTTTCTCGTCTGGCGATACTGAAAATTTCAACTAGTTTCGCACCTCAACAAAATGGGTGAACTTGCGAGCGAACTGCTAGCAATTTCTGATCACCCGGCGGCACGCGTCGAAGTGGATTGCGGAACACCAGAACAAGATGAGGTTGCTGGAGTGCCGTTGAAAGATAGACCAGGCAGTCTGGATCTGGCTCGTGAGACGTCAGACACCATCTACTTTCGTGGACTCTCACCGAAGTGGCTGAGCGATGCTGGTGTGATAGAGCTCCTACAGCACTTCCGGATAGCGGTGGAAATAGACCTTTCTGAAAGAAGAAAAGCGGGTAGCGGGAGCGTTTGGGCGAGGTACGCCACTGTCGAGGATGCTGGTTTTGTGCTGTTGGCGCTACACCGACTGCAGTTCCAGGGCTACTTTGGGGGCTTGGCGCTGATGAGTAGCTTTGAACTTGGCCCTGGGGAGGCTGGTGTGCGCAATCGCAGTACCATGAACTATAATCCGGTCGTACGTCGCGTGCAACCGCTAGCAGAACGGGCCTTGCCATCTGTTGCAGACTGGTTGCGGGATCGTGATGCAGGCCGTCATCGAAGCGACGCAATATGGCAAAAACAAGGTAAAACGGCAAAGACAAAGATCAACAAGGGCACGGCCCTCGTGGAGGACGCTCAAGTGGATGGTCGACAGAGCGAGGGTTCGACAACTAAAGAGGAAACTACACAGCAAAACCTTTTCTCCGCGACATCTACGGCGAAGCAGATTAGGCCAAAATCTAAGGCCGCAAAGACAACGCAGGCACAGGGGTTGCTCTATGCGACACCGGACGTTGCCGTAAGCAAAACCGGGCGATCAAGCAAACCCGCGCGAACGAATGAGAAGGCTTTCAAGTGGGGATTTCATTCTGTGGATGGCGCTGCAATTGGCTCGGATTCTGAAGAGCAGGTGACCGCGACGCCTGACACGTCTTCTCTAACAGCAACCCCCAATACTGCATCCTTATCGTTGACGGCAACTCCCTCAGTGTTGGTGGATCAGGATAAGTCTTTGGACACGGGCGACTTAACAAATGCTGGCACTGCAGAAGCAAGTGACGAGCCTCTCAATGATGGCGTCAAAAAAGACACACTACCCTCAAAGCCAACGACAGGTAAGAAACACAATACAGAAGTGTCGAAGACGAAGCGGCCTGTGCGACAACTTGTGAAAAATCCACAAGTCGCCCTTTATCGCGTGCAAGACGCGCAATACCAGCAGAAGGCGTTCGTAATCAACAAAGAGACGAAGTATCCTATGCCTTCTGGCGTGTACCTGTCTCGTGTTTTGCGACTCACCCGATCCCTTGTTCTACCGAGCACGAACACATCTTCATCTTCTAGTACAAACGAAGTAGTGGATCGCAAAGATCAGCAGGGCCACTTTGCTGTGCGCGACGAAAAGAACTATTTGTCAATGCTCTTGCGGCGAGTGGGTGACGTCGATCTCCTAGGGGGGTTGAAAAACTACGACAAGGAATTGACAGAGAGCATGAGCATGGTGGATGCGATCGAGCGTGCGGTACGGTTGTTTCTGCTGAGTAGTCCAGCAGCCTTGCGCAACGTCAAAGTTTTTGTCATCGGGGACGGCCGTCATGCGCTCACAGCTTGCTGCTTGCGTGCCTTTCTCGCGACGCCGCGACCAACTGAGCAGAAGACTTTAGCACCAGAAGGACATGATCCTCAAGGAACCGAAAAAAGTGTCAATGGACTAGAGGATGAAGGATCAGAACGAGCGCGCGCAGTCGCGGATTGGCAATGGTTTTCTGTCGACCCTATACTAGAACCCTCGGACGAATTAGCGAGTATACCTAATTTCCATCAGCGACGCATGATGTCCCAAGATTTCGATATCCCCGCAGAACTCAAAGCAGCAGGCTGTGACGACTGGGAGCGTTTTTCCAGAGGCGCTGTCGAGGAAGACTTATTCTGCTGCGCGCCTGTTGATGCTGGGGATGAAGGCGAGGATAGATATTCCGGAGCTTCTCTTGGGATGAGCGTCCCAAGAACCGCCGCTCTTGGAGGACGCCTTGCGAACAACATCTCAGCATCGTCATCTTTCTCGAGTTCTGAGACTGACAAACTAGGTACAGCAACAACACTGGCAGAACAAGCACAAGCCCCTACTTTTTCTGTGGGGGATGAAATGGTTGAGTTTTCTCGTGTGCGTGATACACTTTCCATAGTCGTTGCGTGCCACAGCCACGCACCACTTGTGGAGTTCTGGAACAGGCTCCCTGCACCGAAGATTGCTGCTACTTTGCCGTGTTGTGAAAATTATTCAGATCTACGTAAGTCCCCGGACCTCCAGTACGATGACTTCGAAATTTTCACCCCAAAACGTAGAGTAAAGCTCTACAAGACTCTCTGATGATGGAAAAGAACAAGTTAGTTACAGTCAACCTTCACAACTCCATTTGGCAACGAACACGTATTCTGGCTCATGAACGTTCGCTGGAACGAAGCTAAGCCCCACTGAAAAATGACTGCCGAATCAAAAACATATGAAGCGTAATCGCCTCTGTTCACTGTCCTTCTTCATCGATTTTTGATCATGTAGTCCCGACCTTCACAACACTATCTATGACTAGTTTTTCTTACAACAATTCTTCGATGGTCGATCCGCCGATGAGGATAACACAGCTATTTTCTGAGATCGGTAGCGCGATCTGAGTGAACTCATATAGGTGAGAGCGACTCTTTAGTACGAATAGCACTGTCCGAATGAGTGAGCGACTGTGGCTGTGCTGTACGAGATGTAAATGGTTGCGAAGTTTGGCGACGAAACAGATAAGTACATACATAGAGCTTGTAGGAGTGTTCTTGTGTCCCGTGGGAGTTAGAGACAAGCAAGTTTATCACAAGTAAGCAACTAGGAGTTCTTGAAGTGACTCGAAATTGATGCACTTTTTCGCTGTGGTAGTCTATTCGTTGTGTTACGTTTTCAGCACGAACCGCGCGGTGTCACTGTCGCTTCTCCTCTTGACCCCCAGTATTGCTCGCTTTGATTTTGGGACAATATGCACGAAATAGCTGCACGGACTAGTTACGCCTCACTATGTGCCGACACAAGGTAATGTGACATCCATAGCGTGTCTTCCTTTCTTAGTCTTTCTTGAGCTTCCGCCCGACTGGGTTGTCTATTTTTAAACTCTAGCTTTCGACTGGTCTACTTATTTCTATTCCTCTAAGGTGGCGCTCGCTCGTCTTCTAGTCCTGTCATAATCAAAGAGTAAGGTTAGTGGGTGGTAGCTAGTTAGCGTTGGCCGTCTGAAGTACCTAGTAGCTGTTTGTTAAGTTCCTCTTCCTTTTTTAAGTTGAGTATTTTTCTATTTTGTCCCAATCTTTTCTGTCGTGTGTGAAACGCATTGCGCCCCATCTGGTGGCCTGCCGCCGGTTTGCGAACTGGATAAAGCTGAGGCTGCTTTTTCAGTAGCCCCAGGATGCCAAAAAAAAAGAAATTTTTTATGAAATCTCCAAATCCAAAAAAAAGAGCACTGATGTGTCTATCGATTCCACGCCTCCCTGTATGCGCAACGGCATGGCGGAGACCTGCATGGATAAGGTACTCCCGATGCTACAAGGCATCCCCCAAGTTATGAGAGCATCTTCGAACAATACTCACTTCTAGTGTCTTAGATGAAGAGGAACTACAGCTTGTGATGTGATCTTGAGTCCGCAATAATTTGAGAAAATTGACCAATTGAGTTTTTTTATCTTTCAAATTGCTAAGTAGAATGGTTCGCACTACATGTGTCTCCCTCGAATTTCTGTTGGAACATGCGCCTGCCGTGTCTGATGGGCAGAGTATCCTCTCTGGCGGAGTACACCGACATGATGGTGAAGACGGCGAACAAGGCAGATGCGATGGCAATCAAAGACGACTGCGGCAACGTGGAATCTGAGTTTGGTGCTGCCGTTGACACGGTCGTAGCATCTGTTGCACCTCCGATTTTGGTGTCCACCAGCCAAGCAGCGGAGCTTGCAGAGTTGAGTGCAAAAAGGCCGGGCACTGCTGCAACGACTATCGGTCAGGGAGCAATCAGTCTTAAGCTGCTCACAAGCCTGCATGATTCGAGCTCGGGGCGCTGACAAAGACACTTGCATAGCGCTCGGCGAGAAGCAGGCGGCTAGTATAATCACGATGCTAGATCAAACGAACAAACAGCATGACTTTTACCAACTAATAAACGAGCACAGCGAAAAAGTAGAGCTGAAGATTGGAATAGCCGCACACTTGTAGAATCGTTAGAAAATTTCTATATCTAAAACGAAGACGTTGAAAAATTATCAGGTGGGGGGTGCTGGGTGGAGTCTGACGGTTTCACCTATGGGATGTGTTTTAGTTGCGACGATATCGACTCGAGCTGTTCGCATGGAGTGCAAAGTGGGGCTGCAGGGCTGGACAGCTGCACTGCGGGCTCCAGGATCAAAGTCACTCATTAAGATCGACGAATCAAAGATACAGGAGAGCGACGGTTTCCACTTTGAAGGAAAACCAAATAGAAGATAGGACGTGCAGAAGAAGAAGTAGTGAAGTCGGACTTCGAAAAGCTCCCTGAGGACACTGGTGAGGTGAATGAATTCGGCAATCAAGAAGTAGAAGATGCGAAGCGCTACTTGCGTCGTGGTCGTTCTCATGTTGATGAAGTTGAAGTTTTTAGTTCAAGTTTTCTTTTTTCCTTTATTTTACAGACTCAAGCCTTTGATGGTAATAGTGTTAATCTTTTTGGAACTCAAAAGATATCTTGCAGCCAACAAAGAATTGAACAGTGAATATAAAGATAGTATCTGTTGCAAGGATTTTGTGTTTTGGGGTAGGTTGAGAATGAGATCGGTGGAGTTCAGTGTGACTCGCGATGATTGGATACGACGATGAAGATAAATGATGTGCTTGATGGGCGCACTCTGAAGAAGATACATTTTTTTACAGTGTCGAATTGATACAACTGACCTGTAGCATCCACTGAAAATTCTTGGAGAGATACAACCGCTTAAAGTACGCCACTTGTGAAATGAGTGAAATGGACACGAATTCTTGGACCCGGTCTTGGTTTGTCTTGGGAGACAACTTCGATCATAATTACGATCTTGGCGATCCCTTGCCCGGACAGCTCTGTGTTGTGTTAGCTGTCAGTGGAGGTGCTGAGGAGCGAGGTGTCATCGGTTCCCTTGGGCCAGACGAGACTTCATCTACGAACGCCAGTAGAACGAGCGGACCAAAAGCTGCGAGAACAGCGAGTGCGGAACAAGCGGTAGTTCCGCTTTTACACCGGGACCCAGTCTTTTTTTTCGGCACTTGCAACGTGGGAGGAGATGCTTGGTACTCCGCCACGAGTCGTGCGCCTTTCGGAAGTCTTGTCGCCAACGCTCACTCAGAGGCATCGTCAAGCGGGAAGATTTCACCAGCAGAATCTGGGCATTTACCGGAATGCGTGCTACCGCTGCTCGCGGCGAGCATATAACGTTCTGTACGGCCTCGATGCGAGCCTTGATCCGCAGCAAGTGCGGCTTTCCGCGGATCAAAGTTTCTGGCCGCACAATTTCAACGTCCTCGGGCGAGATCGGTGGCGCCATCATCGCAAAACCAAGGAAGCAGTACGAGACCAACAAGTCGCGACCCCTGCTGCCTGCCCAGCAGCTACACGCGACATTGAAAGAACTCCTGTCGTTGGAAATACAGTTCTTGAACTTGTCCAAAAGCAAGATGACGAAGTAGGGCTAAGCTCGGCCACAGGTGAGGACGACACGGCTCCAGGGCCTTCATCCGATACGGATGTTGCAGAACGAGTGACGTTAGCTGAGTCACTAGGGAGTGAGGAGCCGCCCTCATCGAAAGTCAAAAAAGCGGATCCGACAAGTCTGAAATGGGGCCTCAAGGCGCTGCACCGTATTGCAGTCGCTACACTGGATTACGGCGTAATTAGAGGCTTAGGTCGGTTTGCTCCACCTTCTTGGAAGTCTGGTACTAATCATAACTAAAGGAAGATACAACCACTATCACGATGAAATGCACATCGTTGTTTGTGATGCAAAGCGCTGCACGAGTGGTACGCACCACTTAGTTCAAGCGTGAGCTTTGCGGAGCCAGATGAGTCATAGCTCGTTACAAAGCAACCTATGAGATTCCAGTGATGCATCTTTCTTGGAAACGGAGAATGTTCTTGACAAGAAAGCACTTCAAATTCAAGAAATGTTTCTAATGTAGAGAATGAGGGCCGTTTGCAGAATCAAAAAACGGTCACGCCTACACTCGAGCAGCGTGCGCCACGCTTGCGGCTATCGGTGGAGCAGTCGGTTGACGAGTACGACCCATGCACGTGGAACATAGGAATTGAAGTCGAGCGTGTCGTTGAAGGGTGGAAAGGTGTTCGCTGTCTTAGCGTCTCGCAATGTGCCACTCTCATCACCGAGGGCCCTGTGGGACGTGCTGACGTCAGCAGTGCAGAACACCGGTGGTTGGGAGCCTGTAGTTGCTGGAAACAGTCAGTCTATCGGAAGGAGATCGCCTGTCTCGTCCACGCACGATAACGCTGAAGACAATAGCGTGAGCAAAAAGCTGGAGCTAGGAATTGCAAGAAGAATCTCAAACTCTCTGTCATCCGAGCACAGGAATAACAGTTCTTCGCGTTGTGGTGGCGAGAAAGCACCGCGAATTACTGCAGGCAAAAACGCAAGACCCAAGCTCGAGGAGGATACTACTCGATTTTTGTTACATTTACATGGAGTTCTTTGAGGTTCTTTCTTTGGACATTTCGCTCTGATTTTTGGTTTAGTAGAGTACAGAGGCACAGGCTCCGACATTTGTCGGAAAATTTTGACTACCTGGAGTTCTCAAGGGACCCGTCATTGGATATCAGTAGAGCTGCTGTACAAATGGATTTACAAACTGAAGTTTACAGGTTACGAAATTCGCAAAGTTTCGTCTTGCCCATGATCAAGAACGATCATTTGAGCCGCATTGATCATAACTACATTATCGTTTCTAAGACACTTGGCGTCGTATCGGCGCTGGAATTGGCGAGTTCCCAATTCCCGCCACGTCGCTCTCTGTTACATTGTGTAGAAATGGGATCGTAGGCACTGCTTTCGGATGCGCGCCTGCTTTGGGTTACAACTTGTATTTTCATGATGCAGATCTTGTTACATCGGTATGCATTTTCATGTGAGATTTTCGTTGATCAAACGCGACCTTGATGGTGAGAAATTTTGATGTATCGAGCGAGACAGCCAGATTACTCAGACGCGTGAAAATGCACAGACAGCAGATTTCGGTCATTCGGTTTTGAGGGCTGGTTTGGCATTGTAGACAAAAACTTATAATACCAGAGCATCCAACATGAAGGTAGTAGTGCAGTCGGTCGAATGATTCTTGTAGCGCGCTTGTTGATGCCACTGCAACGTCGAAAAGATTTCGGTAGCATTGCACTCGGAAGGTGGTTGAGTCGACATCGTGCTCACAGCGGTCTTGTCGGTGATAGATCCTCGGACGCTCTTGGTTGTGGTTGTGAACGCTCGGTTTGTTTTGCGTGGATATCGGAATTACTGATATAGGCGTCATCTCTCTGTAACTGTTCTTTCAGTAAAGATACAAAATGCTGTAGACTGCTTCATGGTTGTCATCAAGATCGTCTAACAAAATGTATAGCTGTTAAGAAATATTATAATTTTGTTATGATTTCTTCGTGGCCCAAGAAGCCTACGACAGCCTCCTCAGCAAGGTAGTTCAGAATTCTGACCATACAATTGTGGACTCCAGTCATCATTTACTACACAGACTAAGAAATAAGGTGTTGTACCACTACCAGCAAACTGCAGACGTCTCTCTGCTTCCCCCCTCGTCTCTCCCTTACTCAACGTAAAACTGCTGATGCTAGTTGCGCTTGCTCACCGACACACGGGGATCGGAACTGAGTTACTAAAATTTCGAATACTGGTGCGTCTTGGACCGACATAGATAGTCCCTGCAGCGATTGAAAAAGCTAAACTAGTCGTTGGTGTTCTCGAGGTTGCCCTAGCCAGCGATACGAACTCCGCCTTCTATTCAAGATGTCGCAGGCAGAGGTATGTCCGTTCAACGACAACGACATCCTGCAGTCGTTGCGGGTAAAGCTCAAGGGAGCATGCTACAAGCAGACGAGGGGTGCGCATGTAGACATACGGTCATTCTTTCCAGGCGGTGGCAAGGAAGTAAACCAGTTTTTATGTAATGGATAGAAGTCTCTGTCTCAGAAGGTAAATAATCTATGAAGGAGGAAGTCTTTGTCTTACAAAAAGAAAGAAGGAGTCTTGGGCGCAGTCCTTCTTGTAACGGAATATATTTACTTTGTAATTTCAACACGCATCAGGAAATGGGAACGCTGACTGACTTGAAGACCGTAGTCCGGCAGCATTTGAAGTTGACGCCACAATTCGTACCCGACCCGTCGCTAGCTAAACTTGCGGCATACCTGGCATCTCCGCTGGCCGTGATGGCACCGACGAGTCCCCGGAGCCCGCGAGAAGAGCCTGCGGGCCAACAACAGGTAGTCTCACGTGCCATCCTTGCTCTTGGAGGCTGTCCTTTAGGTGATGTAGTCGCAGTTATATGTACTATCATCTCAGTCGTCAAGCCTTAGCTTTTTATTGTAGGAGATACGTTCACCATTTATCATGTAATCATGAAATTGTTCATGAACAACCAGGTTGGTGGATCGTCTTCGAGCACTGCGGCAGCCCCGCCTCCAGCAGCAGCAGCATCGAGCCAGGCTGCTGAAGGCAATTCAACATTAGCGCAGATCCGTGCGAACCCGATAATTGGCGAAATGTTGAACTTGCCTTTGTTGCCGAGTGAGCTTCCAGGAAGTGGGACTAGTACAAGCAACAGCATGGTTCGATTTCCCTTGTCCGAGCTGCAAAAATTCGTGAAGCATGGTGCGCCAACAGTGAGCGAAAAAGCCGAAGTAGGAAGAGTAGTCGAACGAAAAAAGGCGGAGCGCTGTGTGCGGAAATTTCAGGTAACACAGGATGATTTCGATATCTGCTTCACCTGCAAAGCAATATATCAGAACTGACTACACTACTCTTAGTAAGAAGATAGGTAGGAGTGTACATGAAGATTTGCAATGCCAGGACATGTCTGACGACCCATTCATCAGGTGAGCATTCACATGAAAGTGATGGAGAGTTACGCTCCAGGGGCGGTGACGAATATAGTCAACACGGACCAACATGCAAGCACAACAGATCACGCTGTATATGTCAGGCATCAATTTGAACACTTGTTGCGACACGCAACAGGGGGGCAGCCGACCATATCTTTACATGCGTTCAAGAAATTTCTGCGGGACAAATTAAAGTTTATGAATTGGGATTTTGGTGAAGCTGACTGCACGACACTGTGGTACTCTGTCTACTATGATAAAACTAGGATTTTGACCTTTTTAGAAGTAATCAAATGTTTTAATGAGAAATGAATTTCCTCATGATAATTTTGATTTCGTTTCCTAGAATTACATCCGTTGTAGTGGTTTTTTACACCGTGGATTCATCGTACGTTTGGTATGGTCGTCGACTTTTTCACTTTGCACCGCCAGAGTCAATGTATGATTAGGAGTAGGAACAACTCCTTTAAAAATAATCGTAAGGTCTGCCCTCTATGCTTTCCCGGACTTGAATTTGTTGGAGCAGTGCGCAATTGCGTCGGACATGGCACAGACAGGAAATTTCGCCGTGGTCACAAGCACACCGTCGGAACCTAGACGGCAGGTAATAGAGACTGATTTTCAAGGACACTTATCCTTAGGTGGAGTCGTAGGTAGTAGATGTAGTACCCGGTTTTCCTTATTTTATTGCAACAAGGTTCACCGAACAAGAAATCTATGTATCCCATTATTTCGTGCAGGACTATCCTTTTAAAGAGGCACCGAAATTGTCTCCGCGTCAACGTCGCACTCAGAAACTGCTTTATCCTAGTACCGACAGCCAGTTCGTTTTCCAAGTCTACGATCTCGTGCGCTTGCTAGACCTGCCGAAGAAGAGCGGTCTCTCTATCGAGTTTCCAGACTTCCGAATGTCCAACGGAAGCGAAGCCAATACATACGCACTCGAGGACTCCACGGCGCCAGAAATTATGAGAGGGAGCATAATGTAGTGTGAAATTTGCCTGTTGTAGTTGAACCAACATCATTAAGCGGAATGACTAATATGAGCAGCATTACAACAGGAGACGCAGCTATGAGCTGTGGAGGAAGTTGTCGTAATCATCTTGGTAATGTTAGCGTTCCTCTAATGAAAAATTGCAGGATAAGTATCGCAAATGGTGTATGGCGCGGAATCGACTCAGTGCGAACTTCAGCTCATCTGGGAGGACCAATCCGCCGAGAACGCGCCTGCACAGCAATACCATTCAGCACGAGCAGTGGCGGCTCAACCATACCCTGGGGTACTAGCGCTGAGGCTAGGCTGCGTCTCGGTACGATCCTGGGTAGTCTACTCCACTCGTGGAGATTCATTGCGCAAGGCGTAGCACCTTATTTGATTGGAAGAAATGTACTATATTTCGTATGCACACTGAGAACGTTTGAATCCGTGACTAGGACGAAATCTTGTAATCCACTGATTGTAAATAGTTTTTGTTGCCATATAAATAAATATATGTATCATCGTGTACAACTATGTATATGGAAATTAACAAGAGGCGCTTCGTCTCCGGAATTTGCAATTCGGTATCTCCGCTGTGATAGCAATGAATCTGAAATCAAGTGACAGAATCAAGTGACGCCGTCAGGTAGGCATTAATTTTCTGTAAAAGTGACACCAAGGAAGTATTTCAAGAGTGACAAAAGGTGACAAAAGGACATTCAAAATCAGTGACCCGAAGGCTTGTCGCGGTTTTGAGGTAGATTCTCCCGCAGAAATCACCCTTTAGACAGTATAAAAGTTTTCTCATCGCAATGCATATGAGTTTGGAATTGAAGTGAGCTAGGTATTCCCATTTCATTTGTTGAATAACCTTTATTCTCATTTGGTATCTTTTTGTTCTTGAGTGTAAGGACTTAATTTTCATCGACAAATTAGATTTGCACAGTCAGAAAGGACATTCGTACTTCCTCTTCTTTAATAGTGTAGTGAATGGTACTAGACATCAACAGGAGCTCTTCCTGACTTGCATGATGTTTGGATGGTCGGGAGAACATGTGGAGAGAGCTGCATAGCAGGCGTCAACAAGAGTCAGTCGAGCGATTGCGTTTTCATCTCGGTCCCGGTTGTATGCTACTTGCCGTACTTCAGTAAAAGTTCTTTCGTCCATGGTGGCTCTTTTGACTCTACTACCTGTCTGCGTGTCGTACTTATGCATCAAAAAGAGAAACCGTACAGTAGTCGTCGAAAAGAGAAATTGTAGAGTAGTCGCAAGAGTTTGTAGTTCAAGAGGCATAACATAAGCAACGCTATTATGACTGCTTACGCAGCATTCTCGTAATCATGGTAGCGCTGGAAACTAAAAGTAAAACAGAGAAAAAACGAAGTGGATCGCGCGTTTAATGACGGTGAGTCAACGGGCACCAGCTGCTTCTTGAGTATTGTCTACGGAACATACTTAGAAGAATTATGGCGCTCCTTGTTGAGACAGCGAAGATGGCGGACGGTGTCGCTAGAGTGGCGGTCTCGTGCCGCATGCGGCCAGCGCTCGATGCGGATATGAAATTAGCGAAGTGGGAGCTCACGGACACAACTATAGCGTTGCCAAGTCAGAAACGAATTGATATTTGGGGTGCAGTCGCTGATCCTGGGGGAGATCGTAAGTTTTCTAGAATTGAACCTTTCTTTTAATGGTTGCTGATTCAAGTTGCTTACTTCTTAGCTTCACCTCCAAAGAGCCATGTGTTGTAGAAAAATGTTGTATGCTCCATAAATGCGACTGCGCAACGAGTAATTAACTTCCTTGATGTTGCAGCGCATTCAACGGACAAGATTAGACAGCAATTTTTACAACGGCTACTACAGGCGTGACCGAAACGCACATGGATCACGTTTATGATAGTGGTGTGAGTACTAATAACGTTTACCAGAGCTCTTTTAGGCCAATCGTGGAGAAAGCAGTGCAGGGCCTCAACGGCTGCATTATGGCGTACGGACAAACATCGTCAGGAAAAACCTACTCCATGTTGGGAGGCTATGCCGGTGGTGGCACATCTAGCGGTAGCAGCAGTGCTACTTCAGCAGCTTCAGGTTCGGGAGGTGGCGGTTCTTCTTCTTCCACGGGTCACGGGCACAAGATGAATAAGGGCATTATCCAGTTAGCGTGTGAGGATGCGTTCTACATGATGGACGATTTACGGTCGAAAAGCGGCATGAAGCATCGAGTGCGGTTTTCGCTCTGCGAGGTGTACATGGAACGCGTATCGGACCTATTGGCAGCTAGCCACCAGCTGAAGCCGCAATATCTCTCCGTGAAAGAGTGCCCGTCATCGTATAACAACGCGGCACCGACTTCCACGACGCACTTGCCACATCATTTGACTACTGCTGCTCCTTCAGGGGCATTATCTTCGGTTTCAAATAGCACTTTTCAATCCGTGCCGGCTTGCGCGGAGTTTTACGTGGAGCACCTGTCAGAGCACGATGCTTTTGATGCGAGTGATATCATGGAAAAACTCGCGTTCGCGGAACGAAAGCGGCGCAAAGTTGCGCAAACGAAATACAACGAGGTTTCTTCACGCAGTCACACCGTTCTGACTGTCACGATAGAAGCAACAGCGACGCCGCAATCAAGTGAGGTGGAGGGCAACAAAATGGAAGAGGAAGATAACCAAAACGAATCAAAAACATCTTCGGCCATCGCTGGCAAAAAGCATGTCCAGGTAAAAATGAATGAGGATGCTGTTGCAACAACGCAAGTGGGAAAGCTCGTTTTCGTGGATCTCGCGGGTAATGAGAGGCTAGACGAGACCATGCAGTACCTACAGGAAGGAAGTGCAATCAATTTGTCCCTTTTCTTTCTCGGCGAGTGCATCAGCAAATTGTCGAATATGTCAACGAAAAGCAGCTCCACGGACCCGGTGAACGCAAACCCTCTCGTACATCAAGGAGGAGCAGGTACTCTTCTAGCCTAGCGATGTCAGCTGCTTTCGTTAGATGTTGATCCGTGTAAGTCATGCCTTGCTTTAGATCGATTTCAGGTTCGTATCTTCCTTGACACCTGGCTGTGTGGGCTGCAATGAATTTGATGAATCGAGGGTTGCACTATCTATTTGTAGTTGGAGGTCATTCATCATCCACGGCTTCGACTTGCAACTTGTTTTGGGTACTCAACGTGCAGGCAACGAAGGCTACATTCCTTATCGAGACAGCAAGCTCACACGCATTCTCGCCGTGCACTTGGGACAAAACAGCCACACGGGTATCCTTGTCTGCCTGCATCCCGGTGAAAAATTCATTGAGCAGAGCGTGTGCAGTCTTCGGTTTGCGCAGAAAGCGTCCCAAGTCGTATCGAGAATTCGACCTGTCTACCGGTCCAAAGGAGAAGAGCTGGTGCAGCGATTGCGTGCGCGCGTTCGTTTTCTGGAGGCGGAGCTAGAAGATGCACGAACAGCAGACTCGGGAGGAAGGCAGGTTGAAGATGGGGCCTCTGCGGGAACGTCGAATGGTGACGGGGCTGGCGGTAAGCAAGTGGTTCTTTCTGGTTCACGCGAAACGGACCGCATAGTTTTGGCTCTGAATCAGGCAAACAGCAAATACAAGGCTCTGCTCACAAAGTATCGGAGTTTCTTGTCGACTTTCGAAGTGGAGATCGAGAAGCGAGAGCTCGAGAGTGCAGATGTCGAAGGCGAGGGCGGAGACGGAACGGAGGAGGATGGAGAAGAGATATTAGGGAGTGAGAGAAACCAGCTTGATCGAATACCGCGTGGTACCGAGGCATCCTCTCCCGGCTTCGGCGACTTGTCTGCAATCAATCGTGTTCTTGGCCGCTTCACAAAGTATGCCGACCGGATGAGTCGTTCATTGGCGCAAGCGCAGAGTGCGCACCGATTAGCGCAAGTTGCGGCAGAGAAGTTGCAACTATCCGAAGGCACTTCGAGAGCGTCTGATGGTTCCCTGATTCTTGGGACCGAACAAGTGACGCCCAGTAAGAGAAGCTTATTGGCAGCCGAGGAAGCTGGCGGCGGTACCTTTCTTCGCACGTTTGAGTCCGGCAATGTCACTCTGAGTACACTTGGTGGGAACGCTGGGGCGTTTTCGTCCACTAAAAACCTACTTTCTGCCGAAAGCCAGATGCGGATTCTGGCAGGTCGCGTAGCAGATCTGGAACGGCAGTTGAAGATGGAACGGGAGAACAACATTTTAGGTAGTACATTGCATTCGCAGACGTCTAGTCCGTCTAAGTGTAGTCAAACGTCAACTTCACACTTTGCGTCCTCGGCGCTGCAGAGTAACGCTGGTGTGTCGATGCTCAATAAATTCCAGACGGTGGCAGGTGGCGGGTTCGGCTCCACCCCGGGCAAAATGAGCTCCGTGTCGACCTCAAGCACGATTACCCAGCAGGCCCCACCTTCGGCAACCATGACATCGCATCTTCTGGGAACTGGCCACCCTCCGGGTGGGCAGCAACATGTACAAGAACTGAAGGCGCAGAATTCTCAGTTGAAAACTATCAATAAATATTTAGCGTCGGAGAAAATGCGATGGAAAGGAGAGGCTGAAAGGGCCAAGGTCGAAACACAAGAGAAGGTAACCACACTCGAGGATCGCGTGGCTTCGCTGATGGCTGATATCGCCAAGGCAGAACGGGCGGGCAGAAATTCGAGCACAGCAGCTGCGGGGCAGAAGGTATCAGAAGGTACGAGAGTCAGCACTCCAACGAGCAGACGCGGAGATGGAGATGATATCATAGCGCCGAACTTCTTCTCGGGTCGAGTGCAGGCGCTTCTTGAGCGAAGCGAGAGGAGCGCTGCGAGCCTAGCATATAGAGGAGAATCGGATGAAAAGAGCGGCACCAGGTTGCAGTTGCAGACAGAGGATGAGTCAGGGAGAGTCCTAGAACAACATGCATTGTCGAGTCAGCAGCAGAAGCAAAGGAGTGGACGAGGAGGGTCGTCGTCATCGCACTACCCTGATGTAGACCAGTTCCTGGCTCGGGAAGACGAAAATGCCGAGCTTGCCGTAAAGGTCACTACGCTGAACATCGAGTTGGGGAAGCAGCAAGACGAGATCGCAGTGCTGCGATTGGAGCGTGACGAAATGGAGGCTGACTTCGACAAGGAGCGACGTGATAACGCAGGGTTGCGCGAGAAGCTCGGATCAGTCATGGCTGCTCGTCGAGACGCAGACCGCAACCTAAATGCCTTGCAAACAACTCTGCAAAAACGAGTAGAGGACGTGGAAGTCGAAAACAAGCAATTGAAAAAGGAATTGCAAGACAGCAGATGGGCTCGGAACTCGTTAATCAACGTTAGTACAACAGGCGGAGCGGGAGCTGTTACAGACAACAGCAAAGCTAGTGGGTCGTCATCTTCAACCTCCGCTGGCCAGCTATCTCTCGGTGGCACCTCTGGTGAATCCAAGGGAGTCGTAAGTGCATCGTTTACACCCGCTATGCAGGACTCGCTTCAGAAAAAGAATGCGGACCTGATACAAAAAGTGGAGAAACTAGAAGCATCGGAGAAAAAGCTAACCGAACTACTGGCGACACTCCAGCGTCGGACTGAAACTGCCCAAGGCGATATGAAGCGGAAGGACCAAGAGGTCACGAGGATGCGGGATGAGGTGAACGAGATGCGCAAAGCACTTCTCCTCGCACGTAAAAATGCGTCATCGAGTGCCGCCGGCGCAGGAGCTATAAGTACGCACGGCGCGGGTCACGGCATGGGGCTGCGGGATCCTCGACCACTGCCACTGAGCTCTTCGGGAGGAGGCTCCCAGTCCTCTGTGAAGCCACCATATTACAGTCAGGCAGTAGCGTCTGTTATGAAGCAGGAATTTAGAATCCCGGTTCATTATTTGATTTTCATTGTGTTAAGTTTATGTACTTGTTGAGGCAAGAGTTGACATTAGTGGCGTTTCTGTCGATGGTTCTCTAACGATGCTGGGGCACCTCTGGGTACTGGCAACGCGTCATCGCAGGGTAATTCGCGGCGTTCCTCATCCGTGTTTTCAGAGCTCGCTAGCGACATGATAGCGGGTTCGGCGCACCGCACGCCAACAGCACGGCAAGCAGCGCAGACGCGACCTCCCGCAGACGTGAGTCCTCCTCTCGTACCTCTACAGAACATCAACTACCTTTATGAAGGCGGCCGGGACGATCGGCTCCCGCCTGGTGGAATCGGTGTCAGCTTGCAAGCATCCCTTCCCGGAGGCGGCTACAACCCAGGCCCACTGTCGACGCGGCACGCGACGTCGACGAAGGGACCTGCAGGCTCGCTCGCGGCTAGCTGTCGTGGAAAAAGCACCGGGACAATAGCGACCAACACGTCTTCCACGGGAGCACCTTCCGGCGTGGTGCGAGCCAGTCTGATGGCTTTGCCGTCGCCAAGTGTCGCAGGTGCGTGCATGCTAGCAGAGGAGAGCGTGCGAAATATCAAGAGAAGCTACAATGTTGGCTAGAACGATACGAGCGAGCATGCGAAATATTTCCAATTGGAAGCAGACTTTTTAGCTCCTCTACCTTCTGTGTATAGTACGTCTGAATTATTCCTTATCGGTCCCATTTACTGGAGGTGGTTTGATAAATAATGAGTACTTCCTTGTTTGATGTTTTGCACATCGTGCAGGCGTGTTGCAGAGTTCATGTAAAGTCGCATGAGAAGCATGTACATTAGTACGTACAACAGAGAGGCGTAGTTGAGAATAAATTTTGTCGATTAATAGCAGAATGAAGCGTAGTTGTCGGAGCTTATATGATTTTCGGAAATCTCAACGCAGCGAAAGTATGAATTTGATCCGAGAGTTGTTGTAGCTGAAGAAGAAGAAGTTCCAAGATACTTACAAGCTCTACTCGTTTGTGGAATCTTGTCACATCGATTCATCCTGCCGGTAGGTGCAGCAAACCTATTTAGGATGCACAGAATAGAACCAAGATACTTACATACAGGTCAAAATAACAACAAGGCTTTTTTGGGAACAGCCACTGATAATACGACATTAAGAGAGCTTCTTTATTCATAATAGTATGCTGCTTATTTCTTGTAACCTACGCTAAGAGATCGTCTGCAGCTTTTTGGAGTCCCCTATCGCGGAGATTTCGAGATAGCCATGAGCGCAGCACTCGAGTCTCGCGCTTTTAATATTGAGCGGCTTCTTCGGCTCTTCACAAAATCACACTCGGGCGGGACAGAAGTCGCGAGCTTGCTTTTGGTAGCAAGATGGCTGAGCACGTCAAAAATAATGCGCCTCCTGCCTCTCGCCACTTTCGAAGTAGTTTCGTATGATCTTGACACGGAAACAAAAGCAATAGCGCGCGCCGTATGCCATGGGCTTGGATTGTCCGGCGCCATTCTGTTATGAATAGAAGAGGCGTGCAACCTGAAGCCGCCGGGCTTAATTTTCTCCACCGTTTTCGGATGGGTAGCCCCCACTGCACAGGGCCGCGCGATTCTTCGCCGTCAAACTATCAAACTCGCAGCGGCAACATCATCACGAGAGGAGCTCGGGCCCGTACTGCAGCAGCCACTTCAAGAATGTGGTCCGGAGCTGATGAATACAGAAGCGACTACACTGCTGAACAGCCGCAAAAATGTTATCGAATCTCGCACCCACTTGCTTCCAATCTACGGGCCGCGATTGCCGGCGCATTATCTCAGGGACAACGCTTTGCTCCTTAGCAGAAAGCCGCGCGATACTCAATCTCTGGCAGCTACCGGAGTGGCATGGGCCGTGTGGCTCGATTGTGATGCCGAACTTGCGTGGGTCGCTATCTTCAAAGAAACGAGTGGCAAACGAAGGATATCGTGCAAGGTTTTGCTTCGCATGCCGCACATTATGAAATATGGCAAGTAAGTATCTACGGACGGTGAAGACAAAAAGACAGACGCACACTCGCGCAACAGCCATCAGTGCGCCCATGCATGCGGCACAGCTCGCACCATCGACGCAAGTGCCTTGATTCAACATGATGGACCACATCCACAAGCGCGCGACGATAAGCGCTGGCCTGTCAGCTGCGGCACTAACCGCAACAGCGCGCCTTTTCTACTCAGCGGCCCCCAAATGGTTACAGGACCTGCAGCGGACACGGCCACAACAGGCACAGCGGCTGGGGTTGAGGTGGTGCGCGCCTTGTGTCGGTTGAGCTGCGGGGCGATGCTTGGTTATGGGTAGACGAACCTGCCACGAAGATAAAAAAGCGCAGTGGGTCGGTGCCTGAAGCTTTTAAAGCATGCACTGACCAAATGCGTGGCGAAAAAGTAAGACCTGCAAAGATACGCGCGGCGTTCAGAAAAGTTCTGGATGAACCCGAGAAAGTAGAAAGTGAGGAACAGCTAAACAACAGGGGAGGGCTACATCTACCAAGAGCATAGGAATACAGAAGAAAAAAGTAGAGGAAACATTTATACGCTAGCGCGTATATTGTATCATATATATAAATCAGAGCCAGCATGTCATAGCAGACAAAAGCCATAAAAACAAAGACCATGAAGCAAAAAAGCTGCAAAATGAACAAAAGCCAAACGAGTAAACTGATATCCAGCACACTACCAGCACACTTCTGACATTTTTGGAGAAGCTTCGGTAGTGCCCTATAGTGTGACCCCTTGAATGACTGCAGTGGTGGAAGAGCAAGCTTTTGCTGACACTTTTGGAGAAGTAACGAGGTTCAGCAGATAAACACGCCTAGCCAGTGGAGTTATAACTTAAGATATATCCAAAATGCTGCAAGCTTTCGAACAGCTCCAAACTGTAAAACCAGAAGCCTTGCCATAAAGTAAGCGAGTAACACAAAGGAGAAAAGCTCTTAAAGCTAGCGTGACACTCGCGGTGGATTCGGGGCGGTAATTTAAAAAGTAGCACGATCCTAAGCTGGCAAGTACATGAGTGAAAGAGGGCAAAAAAGGCCTTACGGGGGGCGCCTAGGGGTCAGCGCGTTCTCCTTTGCGCACCGAGTCCAGCGTTTGCCAAAGTGCAAGCCTTGAGTGTCCTCGCGGAAAAAAAAGCAAACACCCTAGTGCGCATAACTAAAAATAATAATGCAGGAAGAGCTTGCTATTACTGCGTAGTTTATTTCTCCGGGTGGAAGGAGATGATTGGAATAAGAGACTGCTGCGACATGTTAGGAGCAGCAGCCAAAAGAAATCTATAATCTTCAAACTTCGAAAATGAGTGCTCGCCGTACTTGCTTGCGATCGTATAAAAAAAAGTCGTCTAATACGAGCGAGAGAAAAATATGGAGTCACGAAAGAGAAGGAATTCGCAACATCGAAGGAGAAGAAAGATGATCGTGATCGTTTAAGTTGATTAGCATAATTATCGCTACACAGTATAAAAAGGGCAGCATGTACCACAACAATACGGGAAAAAAAGTTAAAATATATAAATAAGTGCTTAGTTTGTTTAGGCTTCTTTTCCCGCCCTCCCACTACCTGCGTACAGTCATGGCTTTGCGCCTGATGTGTGCGTAAGCCTGCGGCAGGTCGTACTCGCTTGGAACAAGTGACAGGAAGCCTCTACCCTTAGATCTCTTCGCGATCTCTTTCCCTCCCTGTTGGTGTTTTAGTAGTCATGTCATCCGAGTTCGTTGGTGTTTTAGTAATGTTTGGAGGATTTAAGAGGTCGCCTGAGGTCATAAGGGTTGACTGGGCTCGACTTTGTCGGACCCAGTTTTTGGCTTAGGGGCCAGTCTTGCCATTTACTTTCATTCCTTCGCGAGAAATAAAAAGAGAAAAGGAAGCAAAACGCTCACGGAAATCTATCACATATGACCGCGCTAAGAACTCACCAGCTTCCAAATACATGCGGGCGATAGACTGCGCGCGCACATGACGCCACAGAAAAAAGCGAGACAACGCTAGCAGCCTGAGCATGCGGCAGGAACGCGAGAAAACGCCAGAAACCCCGCGACAACAGTAGAAACCAAAGGAAAAGCAGTCTGGCCTTCAGACGTGAAAGGCCCAACAGTAACCAGCTGAGCCATGCGTGGAGCTTGCTGATTCAAGGCACTCGATCGCTCTCGCAAATCGAATGGAATTCCAGAAGGAGACGAAAAATAGCGCAACAGTGACCAGCTGAGCCATTCGTGGAGCTTGCTGGTTCGAGGTGTGTGATCGTTCCCGACCTCGTAAAGATGCCACTGGCGCAACAGCTGCGAAGGCCGCGCCGTCTAGACTAGCACTCTAGATCGCAGCGCATGCCTGAGCGTGTAATCGCATCCGATGGATAAGATTCTCGCCCCGCATCGAGTGCTTCGCCCCCTAGGGAAAACGTTTCATTCATAAACGTCGCCGAATTAATGCCGAGCCCTTCCTCGGAAGAGAAGCCTGGTATTAAGTAGTCTCGTTGACAGTTTCGGAATACTGACCTGGGCAGCATTCCATTCCATCTTGTAACCCCAGGCAATGTTTTGCAACTCATTATCGATCCATCTTCTTGCTCCCGTGGTCTTCTGACTTGACATCCACTTTTCAGGTGGCTCTTGATTGTTAGCTTCTAGATACATCGTTCTGCAATGAATCCTGATTGAATTTGAATTATGACTCACTTAATGGCACGTGTGGATGAAATGAATCTCCGGATGAAATAGCACTTACTTTCCTTCGCAAGGAAACGCTGACTTCTTCCTTTTTCAATCAAGTATCGCACGAAGCACCTGTGGCTAGGGCTACGGTTTGTGGTTTGCACGAAGTATTGTCCATTGATTGTGTTGTAAGCAGATGAATTCGCGGCAGGAACTATTATGCATGGGATTTATAGTCCTTGACAAAAATTTGACGCAAATATGAAGGTGATTCGAAAACTGGCAGAAAGTAGAAGTTTTCGCACTGCAGATTCATATCATTGCGCATGTATGAGTGCAAAGGAGCGAGCGGAGCTGTCTCGTGTGATTATGTAGATTTGGTGTCTGGTTTGGTTCATACTAGATGACGTTCCGCTCACCTTTTCTTCTTTTGTATTTGATTGGAGGTAAACCGACAGCATGATCACAGTTTCACGCAAAGGCGGAGGCGTCACCAGGTGTGGTCAGGGGATCTGTCTGGGAAGCGACAGAGGCGCGGGTCAAGACTGATTTTGAGTTCTCGATCTGTACCAGGCGCAGGCTGAGCCCAAGCATGGGGCGCGGTGGTGCTGCTAGTGCAGCAGTAGATATGTCGCAGATCTTTCGGAGAGAAAAGCGGTGCGCGCGGTTCGCGACATTTCAAGAGTTCAAGGACTACGTGCGGAAAATCGGCTTTGTCTCCACCAGAGATTACAGGAGGTGGAGTGCAACGCCTGCTCGGCCTGCGTATATCCCCTCGACCCCATGCAAGTTTTACGACAAGTCTGGCTGGGTGTCGTACATGGACGCGCTCGGGTATGACTGGCGCCGAAGTCGATGCCTCCCACTAGAGGCCCGCCCCTATCGCAGCACACAGGGTCGGAACGCAGAGCATGCCAAGAATTGGTGCCAAACGATGATAGCAAGCTCATCGCATGATAGTTTCGAGTTTTCCGATATGCCTCGCTTTGGACGGGCTAAGTACCTTTCTGCTTCGCAAGAATGATCCTCCTGCATCCGGTTCAGCTGATGACAGCTGGCGGGCTTTTCGGGTGGAGAGTGCAGTCGCGAAATGCGCGAACGCAAAAAATCGTTACGTTTTGCGGTTACGGACCGAGCAATTGTCGACGGAGTTTCGGCTCGCCTTAGCCAGTCCACCACAAGTAAGAGGAGCTAGACTTCTTTCACGTTGATGATCTCAATTTGTCATCCACGGCGTCGTCAGCGTCTGATGAGGTTCATGAGAAAAACAAGAAGATTTGGGTTTATCTCTCCAAGGTTGAGTCCGTGTCCGGATCTGCAGGTGAAAAGCGCATGCTGGAAAAGCTGCTTCGGTTGCTAGATCGGCTTCCGCGCAAATCCGTCTCCGACTGGCTGGAATGTCAGAGTATTGGTCCAGGAAACAAACTCAGGCAGGCCACTTCGTTGAGAACATCGCTTTACCTCGTGGATTACACTTCCAACAGGTGGGAGACTTGACAAAAATGCACACGGCACTTTTGGATGGGAAACGCACGAGTTTTCGATGTGGTCGCCTTGTGGAGAAAACTGGCGAAGCAAAAGTCAACCTCGAGCGCCGAAGATGGTTTGGTAGTAGGCCGTTTTCTATTCCTTTCGATGTGTCCGACGAGGTGGATCTCTTTGTTGTTTTGCTGCATCGTGGCAACGGGAGTCTCCTCCATGGTGCTTTTGTTTTCCCAAAGACGCTGCTGGTCGAGTTTGGGCAAGTGTCAGTAAATCACGAAGGCGGTCGTTCTGGACTTGTCTTGATGTATCTTCCAGGCTGCCCAGAGGCGCCACGAGGCTGAACAGAGCGAGCCTTTACGCAAGCCCAGTACTATTTCCCCCTCAATACAAACAGTAACTCAAATGACGAGGCAGGGCGCCGTTTCGCTTCAACACGGGACGAAACCGCGAGCTGCGTCAATTTAGCAAATGCAGGAGCCGCAGCTGTTTCTGCTGAAGACGACAGCGGGTAGGCTCCGGCAGATTCTACTTGGAACCTACCAGAGCGACTAAGCAGACGAGGTGGAGGTAGGAGATTGAAAAATAGATAGTGACCATCAAAACAGGTGCAGCCAGACGAATAAACATTTTCAAATTTGTGATGCATTCTGGTGAAAAACCGGTCTCGCAACTGTTACGCATACGCATGAGACCATACTCCGTGTGTGGATCATGAAATCGATGATCAGGGGTCTCGTCTGGACGCACGACTCACTTCGAAGTTGTTGCGTTAGAGTGTAGTGCGCGGTTGTATGCGCTATGCGGACGAGGAATTATTATTATTGAGATAAAAATGGTGTCAACAAAGAATTTACAAAGCGGCCGTCCTGCACATGAATATCCGTGCTCACGCTTGAGTCTCATTAAGTTAATTAACTTCGTCTATGATTAGATGAGGGTGTGCCTTGCTGTATGGGTAGATCTGGCGTCATGAAGACGAAAAAAATCTATGTATATTAGCCAAACTCTGCGCGTGATCATGACTGCAACAGTGACAACGCAGCCGCAGAGGAACGAGTTGGAGTCACGTGCTATCCCCAGTTGGCAGAAAGAAGCACCTACTGTACACAAAGGAAAGAGTATAATCAAGGACGACCCGGAGGCGGCTCGACTGCTTTGTGAAGACGTGCTCAGAGCTGGCTTGAACGATAATATGCTTGCGGAAGATGATGACGCGTTTGCTACGTCGCCACAGCAGGCTACGACTCTGCAAATAGAGGACTTGCCTGTAGCTCGGGAGGCAGCACGAAATACCTCGGTAAACTCGAGAAGAAATCTTCCGGCTGGGTGTACTCGCGAAGGTTATTTGCACAAAAGGGCAGGGTTTTTGCGATGGACAGTCCGATATTTTCGCCTCGATGCGCGCGGTGTTCTCTGTTGGTGGCGCCCCACCTTCGCCGAGCAAGTTCGACTGCAGCGGCCTGCGTGTTTGAACGAAGGTCAAAGTCCCAATACCGCTGTTGCGTCAAGCGGAGGCACGACATCATCTGGCGCCCCCTCCGCGTCCAGCGGCGCAAAGAGTAAACCTGTGCGAGCTCTTCTTGTTGCAGAAGCACGTGCTATCGAAATCCGTGCTGCGAGCTTTCCCTTTAGTACGAGAGTGGTTATCAAGTGGCCGGATTACACTCTGGAATTGCGGGCCGAACGCGAACCGGCCATACGCGACTGGTACGAAAAGCTTTTAGCTGTGTGGAATGCGGCACTAAAAGATCCAGGATGAAAATGCATGACAATGAGACCAGTGCAGATCACTGAGCATTCTCCATGCTGGAAAAATGAGAAATGAGCCATCACCTTAAACACAATAGAACTGATAAATGCTCTGCGTATTTTCTGCAACGAGCATAGTCAATCAATCTTGGACGCAACCGCAAGCCAGTAGAGTCCTACGCGGTGGGACATCATTGGAGTGCGCGAAGCAGGCGGCTGCTATTGAAAGCATAGGCATTACAACAGAGAGTCATCAAGACTTATCCACCGCGTGGCACATAGACCGCATTGACTCTGGTCAGGCAATGGAAAAGAAGGCGAATCGGTTTGTCTTTCGACCTCTCCACGTTGTACTAGGACTAGCGAGCAGCATCATACCATAAACGAGCAAGTTCTTGTACATGAGAGAGACCTAGATCAGACGACTACGCCTCCACGATTCAGATACCATAGAGTAGACTTCTCTGACTGTAATTTAACAACGCCCCTCCCCAGGGTTCCTGGTGCCGACATGCTTATTTCGCTCAGTAGAAACATCCTTGATCTTCAACTGCAACAAAGAACAAACATTGCTGTCGCCATTTTCCTTGACAGCAAGCGCCTTCGCTGTAAACTATGAAGCCCTGGACGCAGCTGGAATCCGATCGCAAGTGCGTTAACTGTGAGAAAACAGAAACATTGAATACGGAATTGAAAAATTGCTCCCGCTGCAAGACTGTGGAATATTGCTCCAGGGAGTGTCAGAAAGCAGACTGGCCTCGACATAAATACATCTGTCGGGAACGAAAAATGGGTCTCGCGCCAGTAGTAGGTGCTCTATTAATTCTCTCGCATCGGCAAAAGATATGCATTTCCTTGCTAAGAACGACGTTTACCGAAGATTATCATTGCTCGTGGATTTTTCGCAATCAACTCTCTCTCTCTCTCTCTCTCTTTTTCCGTGAGTTTTCTTCTCTTTTATTAGGTCCAACCATGTCGAGCGACGCGGGATCGACTGAGGTGCTCGATGAACGCGAGGAAGCATGGAAGATGCTTGAGCGGATAGCGGCGGAGACTGAGCACGACCCCGAAATCAGGAGTGATGCGGATATTTACCTCGAAGAGTCGTTGCGTCAGATGAAAGCTGATAAAATGCGCGCGGGAATAGAGCAGAATTTTAGCAAGCCTTCTCGAACTGTAGCTACAGGTGAGCAGAAGATGCAAGGTGGAAGACGAAGAAAATCGACTGAAGGCAAGAGCATCGAGAAAGCGAATTTTGAAGGTAGTGTGGCCGATCGAGATAAACCAGAGAAGAAAGGGACACTCGTGGAGCAAGGCCCCATGATAGCACATTCCTCCCCACCACAAATGCAGAATATTATTCAAGATAATCGAAATCAAGGCCTGAGCAGCACGGTTGTTGGAGGCAAATGCGAGCTTTTTGCTGAACGCAGTATTCCTTGTGAGGCCGACGATCCGCTATTCAAAAGCAGACTTGTTTGGGATCCCGTTGGGCATGCTGAACATATTGAGGACCGCAAAAATGCAAGTGCAACCGCTGAAATGCTGAAAAAGGTTGTACCAATACATCTTGTGCAGAGAGATCAGTCAACCAAACAAGAGTGTAGCACAACTAGTTCTTCGACCAGACCTAACGGCATATCTCTGATACGCAACACTTTACTTGATGGAGCCTGTGGGAAGAATCGGCGGGAGATGGAGAGCACCACGCGTGGGGCCACAGCTTCGATCGCAGTCTTTGATCAGGAGAAGAGCAGTATACGCGATAGCACATGTTCTACAACAGGTAGTGGAGGTCGGAAAGAGCTTTCTCCACCTCAAGGGAAACAAGAGGATGAATTTTCACCCGGTGCTCTCCTTACAGAAATCGGAGAACCGAGCTCTGATTCAGAGGACTCCGATTGTATTTCACCGGGTGGAGATCTGCGAGCATTCTCAGAACCATCTTCAGACTCTGATGTAGCGTAAGTAAGTAGGATTTTTGACATGAGTAACATGATAGGCCACGCAGTCTGTACTGTCTTGCTGTGCCTGCTTGTCTAAGAACAAGGGCTACTACGTGCCGAGTACCCCAATGCTCGCCACAGCGATTCAAGTGTGCCATGTATGTGCTACTTGAAGCAAAAATAAGTAACCCAATCGCGGTGACCGGTGAGATTATCATGACAGATATTCCCTTTCCCTCTTCTTATCGTCGTCTTTGTTTTGTGGTACTTGGTTGCATGCGAACTAGAAAGCTCATGCAAATCGGAACAGAAACCGAAACGAAAAAGTTCAAAAAGTTGATGTTTATGCGGAAGGATGGATTGCAAAAAGTGAAAAAGCGTCTTAAATAATGAGAAAAATGAATAGGAAGGAGAAGGTAGTAGAAAAGGAAAAGAGGGGGACGCACTGATGTTTTCTGCTTTTCACAACTCGAGTGAATCAGAACTGCAAGTGGCAATGCTCGTGCGGGATGTAGGCGCTTTTCTTCCAGCGAGAAACGTGAAGACAGCTTGTCGCTCCGTTGTTGGTTGGATCAGCGCTGTCTTCTGGCTAGATCTTGTTGCTGGGCGACAACAGTTACAGCTAGTGCGTCGACACCAAAAGGAGGCGTTTCGCTCGCAAGACCAACGCGCCACATCCATCACAGGTTCCTTTAGACAACGTTTCCGTGAAGATGCACACTCTGCTGGTATTGGCGATGCCGGGGCGGCGGATTGGTTGAAGAAAAGATCCAATCGAAAATACGATCGCCGCGAAATCGACGATGACCCACCGCTTGACACGACAGAATTCAACCCACCACTACCGCCTTTTGGGCCTTCCAGGTCAGACACAGCAGACCTCGACCCGAAGAATGAGCTTCAGCCAGTATCGTTCTTCATGGGTGAAGCCCACTGGGGATCGCTTTTCGACGGATACGGTGCGGGACTGAAAACTCATCCAAACGGTGTCCAGTCCGCAGATAAGGCAGACGTCGTTTTTCTGGTGTGGCTAATCAATGGGATGCCGGGTGATCACGCAAATTCTGACTTCACGGACATCGCCGACGGGCTGGACGCAGTCGAGCCGACCTTCGTAGAAGAGAAATCCGAGACCGAGAGAAGCTCGTCAGGATCCACACTCGTACACAAAAAAGAGGGCAGTGCTGCTGGTAGCGCTCAGAGACGAGAGAAGATGTTTGTAACCTTTCTCCGCTCTTTGCTGGACAAGAAGCGTTACCCGCAGCGCAGCCCTTCCAGGCCGTATGCGCTCGTGATGAACGGTCTGTACTTCCCGGTCCCAGAGTTGATGCAGCTGGTCGAAAAACGTGCGGTGGGTCGGCGCGGAAACGAAACTTCAACGACTGGCGACTTTCTGTTTGTCAATATCGAGCGCCTGCAGCACGATCAAAAGCCGAATACCACGAGGATTGATCTTCCGGGAGTTACCGTTCCACAGACGACTTGTCAAATAATCGCTCCGCCAGCAGAGCTGCCCCTGGTGGGGGACCTCAAGTTGAAGCCAGGTAGTGCTCTCGATGGAAGGACATTTTTCGTCGCCGGGCGCGCGAGTTCCAACATGCGACTGATTGCACCGACACGGAGGGATTTAGCGCAGACGTTCGCGAAGTGGTACGCAGAGCACAAGATCCACGACGAAGTGGACTTTTTCGGTGTTAGCAGGAATGCCACGCAAAATAGTGCAGCATCTCACAATGCTTATGCCAGCACCCTGGAGTCGTTGTTTGCTCGATTCACAGGTCCTCTCAGCAATAAGAGGACGTCTATAGCCAACGAGCATTTGAACAGTTCGGCAGGTGGAGGCAATGCCACGGCAATGCGCCCTGGCGAGGTGCCGCGTATCTATTTTGAGCGCAGGCCGGAGGCGTTTCGCCCTTGGTGACGTATTTGAAGAATGTTCCGTACTCTTAAGGCGGCTGAGAATCAGCCTTCACGTCTTGTGATTGGATCTTTTAATAGCAATATGTCAAGCTCAAGGACATCGTAAAAAGGTGTATTAAATGCAACAGGTAGAGGCATGGACTATCTATGATGAGATGGAAAAGCGCTAATACCTGAATTTGTTAGCGGATACTGTGTATAGCGTGCACTCTCGGGGATCCGAGCGCGAGTCTGAGAGAATCACCAGCATTTTGCCAACCTGCTCCATCCCTGTAGTGTTCGATAACCGAATATCAATGCCATTCAGCCAGCTGATCGACTGGGAGCGAATAGTGGTGCGGATAGACGAAAACCTGCTGAGGAGTAGAACGGCGGAAGCCGCAAGAACAGTCCTGGACCGGCTTCGTCAAGCGTGGTTGCGTGACGGAGGGTCGTGGCCTCCGACAGAGCGCGTGACGGCGGCGACTGACAGTACCGGCGCGTCGTTTCTGCGAGTAGAGTATGTCTTGCCAGAGGCCGTGCAGCGCAAGCAGGCAGAGATTTGCAGAGTTTACAGGAAGTACTTTTCTGGGGAGACGCAACCGCAGCTGCTTAATGGTCATCAAGCTCACGGGTACAGCGAGGAGGACGCTGCGACTACGCCGCGTCCGCCTGGGCAATCGGGATGCATGTACACGAAGGTGACGTCGCTGCTTAAGAGCCTACGACGCGTGATCGCCGACACAGCGAAGACGCCGTCCCCAATTTCGCGCATGCTACTTGACGAACACGCGGACGAAAGCAAGCCAATTCCGTTGTACGACGATCGCAGATGAAGAGCCATGTCGAAGGAGAAGACAGAGACGACGTGTGGTCGTTTGCAGGAAGAGCATAATTGCGGATGTTAATGACAGTATCTGATGAAATTGAAAATCATGTTGATTATGAAAATGTCGAAACTGTGAGAAGAGCAACCAATAACATTTCTGGTCCGCGTAAAGGCAGAATGAAAAACTCAGGCAGAATTGTGTTCCACATGATATCCGTCTAAGATCTGTAGCACCTTTTCCGAACAAGATATAAGTCGAGGCCCTTGGTCTAAAACTGGTTTCTGGTCCGCGTAAATGAGAAACATTTCTGTAATCCGTAAGCTAGAGATTTGCTTCTGAGCTGTGCTTGGTTCGACTCTGTTCATTGTGTATTTTCACAACACGAGAATATCGTTGGAATAGGAGTGTCATTCTGTCACTCTTCCTGAGGAGTTGTTCTGTTGGGTTACACTTGCACCTATACTGTGATTTGATTGCGCGAGTTTTCCAGAGTGCTCTAGGATCAGTATTTTTTATGCAATAACAAGTGTCTCGGAAAAATCTGAATCTGTCACCTTTATATTGAGTCTGTTGCCGTGTGTGTCACTAACCGATGTCGCGTTGCCGCGCATTGCGAGTTGCATGTCCAAAAAGGTGTGAGAATGAATCTGAAAGACCTTCATCTGTTTGAGGTAAAGTTTCTCTGTCTGTTTTTTTTTTTGCCCGGCCGTGCGAGAGTGTATGATAATTTCTGTGATGTCAATCTCCCGACTGATCCTGAAGAATTTTCTTCTTTTTGTTGTTTTGTGACCGTCGGATTTTGCTTCTATTGTGTAGTCCTGATGTGCTTTGATTTCTCAAGAGTACTATTCGGAAGTTGAAGTTGTGACTGTGGAATTAATTGAGTGTTTTCGCAAGAAGTCGATATCCTCAACATCCCAAGCTAACAACGCAGCCCATTTTAGTGACCTTATGTGCGCATACATATCCCGTTATCATTCCCGATAATTAGCGATTCTTACACTTCCAGTAAAGCAGGTTCTGCAAAGGGATAATTAAAGAGAAGTATAGAAAGCATAATATCGATCATACAAAGAACACTGCAATTTGTACTTTTGAAATTCCATCGACTTCATCTATCGAACAATTGGTATCAGCGTTGGAGAACGAAGAAGAGGACGAAATTACTAGCTCCATTTTACTTACAACTTCAATCGTTTTTAGTATTTGCTACTTCGATCGTTCTTACCGACAAAATGGGAGGCGCTCCGAAGGTTCCTGAAGTATCCCCGAAGGCGGCTAAGTCCCCTCGCGAGTCGTACCAGATGGCTTGCTGGGAATTGCATCCTTTCGAGAAGGGTGACAAGCACTCTAGCCCGCTCCAGCATGGCACTTCTATGAGCAGAAATCGAAGCTTTAAAGTATTTATACAAGTATCATAATCTACATCATGTTGTACTTGGTCTAAGCCGTCTTCTACGTACTTAATCTGATTACCGATGGGTGCCAGCTAGTAGAGCTAAGTAGCATTATTTATCTGTCTGCTTTGATGACTGCGTTTGATTTTGGATTTTATGAGATAATCCATCGTTAATTAAATGCATTACTAATCTGAGTTGTGAGAGAGGCAGGAGCTGGTTACCTTGTTCCCGCAGAAATTGATCAAGCTTTACCATCTACTAACTGGGAAAACTCCTGTGTGTGCACCCTCATCTCTGTTCATCAATACTACTACAGTCGGGTAAAAGTGTTGGCTTCTACTTCCTACTTCGTCAATCAATTATCCATGATTATCTCGTTTCAGGATTTGAAGAAGGGGCACAGCGGTGAATCGGGGCCCAAGCACAAACCGATTCGGAGCCGAAGCCCTTCGCCCCCGGGATTGGTGGAGAAAAACTTGAGTATCTGTTCATTGACAGAGTTCTACAAGACTCATGCGCGACCGACCGCCGCCGCGAAGCCGAAACCGTTGCCTCCCGTCGGAAAGAAGTAGCCGTGCTGTTCGTTGCAGATAAAATTAATGGGGGATAAAGATTTTACTAGCTGGACGAGGATAGAGCTGCTCTGTTTGTGGACGGGTGTTGTTTTGTTCTATGGACGATTCCAAGCCGAAGCTGACATGAAGACACGAGCAGTGGTGTCCTAAAGCATGCTCGGTTCTTGCAAATGATGTCACTTGGAACAAGTCAAAGCGTTCGTCTTTCCGACCAGGCAGTCTCATTCTCACAACAGCATCAAAATTAGATCCATCTTTAGGTTGCCGTCAAAGACAGTGAACATGATTCAGAAGATAATCATACATCTCTGGACAATAACAACGAATGTACTCCTCATTGGGCGCGAATTTGGACGCATCGAGACACAACTAGCGCTATACTTCGCGTGCCGCGGACATGAACCTTCCCTGGTGAGTGGTTTTCTGCGCCGCGGTGTTTCTTGATCGAAAGTATAGCGTACCAAAAAAATTAGGGTAGTACCAAGAAGTGATTTGGTGCAGACAAGCCTTCAACAGAGTTGCTTCTAGCACGATTGCCTTGCGTTGGGAAACAGGATTTTCTCGATGCCGCGCGCATTTCATTTTTGAACTTTGATATTTATATTAATATCTTTCTTTGAATCTGATGAAGGTGCACACGATTACGGCGGTTATTGTTACGATAGTTTTTTTTTATGTAGTTTGCGCGAATGGGTGGGGATTTCGGCACGTTCGTGGTCGTGTCCTGATTTTTTTGATTCGTTCATTTCGTTGTATTTGATCCATGCTTTTTTATGTTTATTTTTCATGCTCAAACTATCTGCATGTCTTGTTGTAACCTACATTCTTTGGACTTTCATATGATCTATTCATGACATATCACGTAGTCAACATAGATAATTTCGATCTCGTGCGCAAGCAGTAGTTACTAGAGGAAGTCATATTAATTTGTCCTCGCTTGTTACAGTCATTTTGCGTATCTCAAATTAAAACAATTCGGAGATTTCTACAATGAAGTATTATATTTCGCATTACAAACCAGAACCAGCTGATATCCTGTGATTAAAACGCTGAGAAAGTCGATGAAACAAAAATCCTCGCTCATGTTTCAATCAATTCACATCGGTCAATGCCCCATACGAACATACCAAGGTGTCTACATATTTGCTGTGCGCGTGCAAAGTATATCTTCGGGGTTGAACATGGAAACAAAAGTCGTGCCAAAAGAGGCGCTGTAGGCAAAAAATGCTCCCACTAGAATCGATTTGCGAATGATAAATGGAGGAGAAAAGAAATGTACTGTAAAAATTGGTGATTTTCGCTTCTATACCCGATCACGGACTGGCGCACAAACTTGGCGTGCCACCTTAGTCAAGAGTAATTATTTGTTATCATGCTAGTAAGCAAAATTATGTTTTTTTTTTTTGAAAGTAAGTAGATGGAGACTTTGGATTCTTGCATAGATTTTCGTTTGTACCAAACCTGTTCGGAGATACTAGCATGGGAAAGAAGGTCTGCAACTTGATGAAGATGGGAAACACATAAGAAGACGAACTTCTGCACGAAGACCACGACGGAGGAGGAGCCGTCGACTTGATCCCGAATCGCTGAAGCGATTTCAAAGCGTACCTCCTCCATGATCGATGTTCTTTCTGGTGTCGGTGAAGAAGGGAGCGAAGGTTTATAACAAAAGAACTCCCAGCGGATCTGCGGCTAGGTAGAAAGAACAAGGTTTTTAGGAACGAGCGGCTCTTGATCTTGTGATCGGTTTTTTATTTACAGTGACCTGCTGAGCCAAAATCTGTCACGGCCGTCATTGACAACATGAACATACCTGATGCCAGGCACATCAGTCAAATCATTCAATCTATCAGGTGAAGGGGTAACCGGTTATATTCTTTTGTTTTCGGTGATTGAGTGGGCGTGGAAAGAGATTTACCTTTCTTGCGGAAGGATTTCGATCTCGACAACAACGTATGATAGTGATTGCCTCCTTTTAATAATCACCGCAGTTTGATACAAGCTCTCAGAATATGGGTGGGTGTTATAGACATAAGCTGTGCCATTTTCCTAGGTTGGGCAATGCGTCGCATCATCGAAATTCTTACTGTACCATTGATTAGCCTTAGTCACTTGATCATGTGCATACTTTTACTGACATATTAGTTGCATCATTTTCTCCTTCCAAACACCAAGGACGCACTTTTAGCCATGATTCTCTTACTGCTGGAGAGCAAAAATGAAAAGAATAGATCTTCCTGCAGTTGTCATGCACATTCGGCTGTGAAGAGTCACACCACTACCCTGAGACTGCGCGTGCGTCACGGCCACAAAAACTGTAGACACACCACAGCGCAACTCACTTTGACAGATCTGTTGACAAATGTGAGGCGCCAAGCCTATTGTTGAAGAGAAAGTGTTACGTTCCTGGTCGGAAGCGTTTTCTGTATAGCTCTGAGATCGACCAATATAAGACTATATATTTGAACTCTCAAAAATGTAAAATGAGTTTGAAGATCAACTCGAAGTTCAGCACGACGCATAAGAAGTGGTGTAGCTGCAAAAAGCAGTCCAAGATCGTAACACAGGATGCTTCTCTAATTATAATGAGCAAGTCCATCTCTCTTGTTGAAAATAAACGTTTTCGTTTTTGCTACCACCTATTATATGGAGTATTTTTCTGTCGAGGCTTTGGACGTTTTTCGTCTTCTCTTAGATTTTCTTGTGTCAATACAGCATGGCATGCCGTCTAGTATAGCAATAAATTTTATCATTTAGAAAATCGCAATTGTCTTGCTGGCAGTGGAGTAGTACTGTCTGAGACATAAATGAATGAAAAGCAATTGCCAGCGAATGTGCTTAATCCTATGTGTTGAGAAGTGAGCGGTTGCACTGTGAGCGGAATTTGATGCCAGAGTTTTAGGTATTGTTTTCCAGGACTAATGCTGCGCACGGTCTTTATATATACTAAATCTAAACTTGGGCTACTTTCATATAGGCGCTTTTGATCACAAATACATCTGAAGACATATGTAACTAACCTCCTCCCATAAGAGGACGATAGTGCTTTCCCCCTTATTTTCTCTTACTTAGCGGTGTGCTGCAAATCTTGACTGGCTTTCACCTTTTAGGTGAAGGTTTATGTCCCGCGACGCTCAAAGCACTAAGTAACACAACCGGTTAGTTTTCACCTCGCCAAATCTAGGCTTATCCCGTGCCACAATATAAGCATATTTATACTAAATCTAAACTTGTTGTAACATCATCATCCCTTTAATAGAAAAATAGATCATTATCCATGCGTTCCTCTGTGTTGTTCTTGTTGCTGACATCTCTCAGTATTCCTATTCGTATTGTTTCTCAATTAGCAGAGTGCATTATTAAATCACATTCTACCCTTTGCGACACAACAAGGAGATACACAAACATGATTGTTTTTCATTTGTTTAGCTTCGTCTATGCGACACGTGCACTATGCGCTCGTGTGTCTGTTGCGAATAGCGGGCGTCAATTTGGGTCCGACATTAACTACGGTGAACCTGTAAACGAAGCGCTGCGTCAGTATATCGACAGCCATGACAAAAAGCTCAGGGAAAGAGGCATCCTTGTCGACACGGTATTGAACAGAGTCGAGGGTGACGAGAGCAGATTTGTAGATAGAGAGCAACCGCTCCGGCTTCGACCTGTCTACACTCTTTTGTATGAGAAAGCAGAAGACCACAAAGACGAGTTCAGTCTTGCTCCAAACCAGCCGCGGGATCCGACTGGGTCTGGACCTTTTGTTGACTGGGAAGAGCGGGAGATAGTTCTGGGACATCTCAATCACGCGCTGCTTTTTCTGATGCATGGTTTTTCGGTCGAGACGAGAGATGCAGTTGCCGAAAAAAAGACGTGGTCAAATCTTGTCCTCCTGTTCAATGGTTAGTCGTCGGAGCCAACTACGACTACTTTCGATGACACCTACGGATTTGACCCGTGGCCGACGGAGCAGAGGCAAGGATGAGGGGACCTGCCTGGACCAAACGATGGGCTCGTGTGGCGCCTTTACCAAAGTGTGGCTTTGATCAACGTGAGCGCTATTCCGCGGCAGGATGTATTTTGGACAGACCGGCTCGTTGCGCGGTGAAGAACTTATGCAGCAAGAGGACCGCTTGGCAGGCCGTCCAGATGATGCTGAGAAGTGGATTCGGGAGGACGGCGGAAGAGAAAGGGAAACGCCACAGCGGAAACTGCGCAGTTTCCTGACGGCGTTCTTGCTGCTTGATTTTGTCGTAACGCAACTCGGTCTCGCTATGACAAAATACAACGCATTACCTCGCTTCCTGGGAGCGCTAGCTTTGGCAGATTTCGAGCTAGTCCTTAAGGACAAGAACGTCGAGATGAGGAGGCATTTCGGGTTTCTTAGCATCGTAATCGGGGAGAATGTATATGTAATCAGGAGATGGACGCAGGGCTTTCAAAAGCTCTTCAAGGAGTCTTTGCAGCCAAGCCCTGTTTGGGTATCATCAAGAGGAGGTTTTCGTGTCAATCATCAGGAGCACCAGTCAACCTCATCGGACACTCAAATGCGTGTGGTACTGGATGATCGCCTCCTCCGGTGGTACGGTCCGCGATTACGAACTTCAACTATCTCTGCAATTACGAATTATAATCCCACGCCCAGCTGCGTCGCCGCAGGAGGAGTCCATGAGAGACAGCTTAACTCTTTTCCCGAAGAGCAGAAAGTTGGCGAGAGGCAACCGGAGTTCGGATGGCTTTCACCTTCGCAGCTGTTGCACTCGAAGGATCTACATAAACCATTAAAACTCTGGGTCGCAGAGTTGTCGAGGAAGCCCTTCCTCATCGACCGCATACCACGCGGTAAAAACGCCTTTTTCTTGCAGGAAATGCTGCATTATGAAGAAGAGGTCAAAGACCCGATGGCAGTGAGGGTAAAGGTGTCAAACGAAGAGAGAGCGACGAGTGCGATGAATCCGGGTGTTAGCGATGAAAGCACTGCAACGAAATCGGGCATGGTTATCCCTGCCGCAGGTTATTCAGTATCCAGAATCACCAGCGGTGACAGAGGAACGACTGCGGCTCTGTCGTTTCCATCCACCCCCGCTTTCTCTGTATATTTTCATGCTGAGAGGGCGACTATAGTTTCGGCCGTTTTCAGAATTGTCGCAAGCCTTGTCGTGCAAGCAGATGTCTTCGTTCAGACGCAGGTGCGCGATATCACGCCTTATAGAGTTGTGCCTCGCGTTGAATCGCAGATGTTGCCGCAGCTTTGGAGGCTTCTCATCGGGCGAGCCATCTTTCCTTCCCAGAACCTTGACCTCCTGTTTTCGAGCGTGGACCGCGACCGCTTTTCCGCTGGTTTTGCCGTAGCGACGTCGGAGAGCGATGATGGCGTACAACCGGGATGAAGATGTTGATACAGGGATTACTGACAGGAGAGAAAAATTCCTTAAAGAGTGTTATGGGCCTGCGCGTTTAATCCCGTTTGAGCAGAATCTCGTCGAAGGTCTGGCATATCTGGATCTCATGTTTGGGCAAAGCATAGATGAAAGTATAATTCCACTGGAAGACGCTGATGCCGCCTGTTGTTTCACAGATGCCTCCTCTCTCGACGAGGGGTTTGATCGCGAACGCGCAGATCAAAACGCTGCTGTAGTTGACCACGAGAACCAAACTCTTGCAGAAAAGTACTTGCTTCTTCTTAGCGGTAAGTTTGACGAGCTTAGCAATCTTTCGACATATCTAAGCACAGGATTTGCACTCTTCGTGGCTAAGTTCCAAGTAGAGAGGGTCGATATGCAGAGGCGACGCAACAAGGGGAGAGCGACGAGAGCTATCTTCGGCGGGAGCGGTGCTGGCGACGGAGGGTCGTCTCGGGTAGCATCGGAGACAACGGCTCAGCAACAGCGACCGACCGAAGTCTCGGAATCGCCAGGACTGCAGATGGTACTTGCGGTGTTTAGTGTAGCGTTTGCGAGTGACAAGTGCGCTAAAGTTGAGCACATACTCGGTGGGGGCGACCAGTTAACCAGGCTGCAGATTGTGGGTGGCAGCCAGGTGCGGAACCCGCTGGAGCAAATGAAAAAGGAAGAGGAACGTCTGGAACCTATGTATGCTGCGAGACTATCGGTCGCTTATCATGGACAACTTGCCTGCGCCCGGCATTACCACTGCACATAACCACTACCTTATGGATGATGATGACTTTGAAAGCGAGAGTGACGATTAGCATTCTACTCGTATGTATAACGATATTCAACGCGTAACATCTCCCTCAGCTTATTGCACGTTGCTTGAATACGGACAGTGCAGCCCTACGATCGTGTTTCATTAAATGAAATGCTGCGTATGGTTGCTAGAGGCGCATCCATTTGAAGTCCTTCTAGCAAAACCATCCGAAGATGGTTTCGCCTGTAGTGGCAGCGTTGAAAAAACACTCGAAGGAATGAGGAATATTTAAGTATTTCAGTTTTTCGCATACCCAAGGTGGAAGCAACCTATTTTTATTCTCTTGAACGCAGCATCCCAAATGTTTTTTCAGTATTCCTCTACTTAATCAATCTGTTCTCGATGAAGTTTGTTTCTGCGATGTTTTGCAAGATGTTGTGGGCTTTTTCGTATATTCGAATTTCAATTTTTCGCTCGCTCCAAAAGAGAGTAACTAATGTGTTTGTGCCGTGAAATTTGTTGTGTGAACAATTTGGAACAAATAATGTAGTCTTTCTTAAGATTGCGATTCTTTCGACTTCGAGCAATAAATATTTATATTAAGGAATTGAGGCGTTGCACAGGGCTCCGGCCTGCCTTTGAAGGTGAGACCTATGGGGCTGACAGGACGACGATAGCGCCGGCGCTTAGTTGGTTTTAGCAGTTAGCAGGATACTCTAGGATACTTGTTGATAGTTACCCTTTTCTCTTTTATATCTTCCTCTGGTCTGTCTTTTTTCTAGTTGTCGGCTCCACCACAATTTATATTAAGGAATTGAGAGTTTGCGTGCAGCATCCATGAATTTGCACCTCTGCGAGCATCAGATCGATGATCGCTTTCACTTCGATTGTATGATCCAGGATAATTTATCGTTAAATGCCCTCGCACACGATTGACGTCGACTACGACTACGTCGTCTTTATGACTTCTTTTGGTCATTAAGATGTGCTCTACTGAGAAAAAGCAGATCACATCGCGCATTCAAAAAATGCAGAGAGAATGTAACGTTGGCAAGAAAGCCTTCCTGGTTCGCGAGAACAAACTGTTGAAAAAGATTGTGAATACTGACGACTGAGGGTGTAAGCGCTGATAGATTCCGGAGGGAAAAGCTATTCGACACTCTACAACTGAAGCTAAAACATCGTAAGGTGTAAAACGCGAATGTCAAGAATCAGAAGAGGGAGAGAACAGCGGTCGAAAACTGCGTAATCTGATGATGTCGGATTTGCGTCTCGAGGTCGCGATCGGCGTTGATATTGTGCTCGAGTCGCAAACGCAACGAACGCAAAGAGTAAAAGACATCGACATGAAAATCACAGCACTCGTAAAGTTGTGTTTTAGTCGGTTGTCAGTGTCATTTGATATGCTAACTTGGGAAGCCTGTCGTCTGGGATATTTCTCTGTATCTGATTTCATCATGATCATGTCTGGTAGAAGGATGCAGATCAGAAGGAAATCGATTCGTATCTACAATGCCGATTCAGAACATGAATACTGACCCAAGTCTTTTAAGTGAATGACGTCAAACGCTGTGCTTTGTATTGGCTTCGGTAAGGAAAACCCAAGGGAAGAATGAGCTCGTTTTCCTCGTCTTCGTCGCTTGAGCGGGGCGGGGCAGCATCTTCGAGAATCTCGGATGCGTTTGCCTCTCCTTGCCGTGGGGATCTACAGATGTCAGAGACGCGAAAGATGCTCCGAGATCGCAAGCGCCTAGAGGCCCAGATAGCAGAGGAGAAGTATGTGGCTGACCTTGAGCGCGAGAACCAAAAGCTTGCCGCCTATCTCAACACGACGTTGCCAAAGAAGTTGGAGGCAATGACGCAAACCTTTGACCAGGCACTGCAGTCGCGCGTCTCAGCGCTCGAGGCAAAAGTAGTTTCGGTCTTTCGCGACCGGCTCGGTATCGACTTTGCCGCCCCATGTGTCAGGAACTGTGGCGCTGAGCGGTCAGTGCCGCAACCGCAAGGACATGCAGGAGCAGGACCCTCGAGTGGCATGTCCTCGACTGGTGGATACACTGACAGTAGTAGCGACTGTAAGAGCTTTGAGGAGATTGTTGGCAATGCCGTGGCGAGGCATTGGGCCTCTGTGCTGAACAAAAACGGTTTCCCTGCTTCGGCAGTTGCACCACAGCATCAAGACAACCCAAGAGTACGCAAGCAAAATGCTGATTGTGTTGACGAGGTAGAGGGTGTTCTGCCAGCCATTATCGAACGGGCACGAGAATCGTGGCGTGTAGACGTGCGGGAGAGTGTCTTGCCAGATGTGCTTGGCGTGGCCTTGTGTCAGCCTGGAGCGATCGAAGCGCGTCTCGACAGCACCGCAGAGGCACTGCGGGCAGGTAGTTTGGATGGGGAGCAGCGCAGTGGCGTTCTTTCGGCCGCGTTGGCGGAAGCTCGCGAAGCTCTTTCAACTGGCATCGGGCGTGCCTCTGAGACTGCAGCGCAAAGGCTAGAGGACCACATCTCAAAGCAAGCGACGGCGCACTCGGACCTGCGCGCGGAAGTCCTGGCTGTACACGAGAGGTTCGCCCAACTGCGTGCGCAGGTAGAAGAGGACCGCGGATCCGCACGTCAATTTCGGGACAGAATGTCCGCGGAATTGGAGTTTTGGCAACGGGACCTATCTCAAAAGCTCATCGGCAATGTGATGTGGCAAGATGGTGGGAGCGGTTCCATAAACGCGCAGAAGAAACTATTGAACAACATGGATGATGGAAAGCGAAAGGATAATGCAGTTACAATGATTTGTACTGCAAGCGTATCGAGCCGAATGGGTACAGACGAAGGAGTGGAACAGCTTCAAATGATGGGTGGTGCGGTGCACAAAACAGCATCCATAGACCACGAGACTCCCATTCCAAGAAAGGCCCACGAAGGTACGCACCACGGCGGAAGTGCTCTGGTGACGTGGAAGACCTGTACAAACTATGTGCGAGCAGAACTAAAGGAGGGAAAATTTTCGATCCCGACGTCGCTCTCCGGCTGTGAAATGAATTGTGGAGAGATCGAGCAGGAAGAGATATTTGACGATGCGCTGACTGATTCAGGCCACACTTGCAGCAGCGAGCCGCCTTCTGCTCCTTCCCCGGAGCCCCTTAGCTCCGGTGGGGGGCCTGAAGCGCCCTCGTCAGACGAACGCCTCGCAGTCACGACTTTCGCAGGGGCAAGGATAGTCCAGGAGGCATCGTCGCGCAACTCAGCTGAGGACCACGCATTTAATGACAATCTGATCCTGCAGCCAATGCTCTCTGCCGCTGGTCGATATGGGAGCGCGTCGAGAAGCGACCGCTCGCCTGACAACCTAGAAAACGAGAAGGGACCACATTCCGAAGAGTATTCTGGACCTTCTTCGTCTTCGGTCCAAGGCGACGGAGGTCTCGTCCACCAGATTGCACATGACGTTTTCAACCGGAATATAGCACAGCTCAAACGGCAGCTGTTCGACCTCGAGTACGTGCGTCACCAGTCGGAGCTAGTCCAGCGCGACGTGCCGTCGCTACAACGAAGAACGCAGCAACTGGAGGCGCGATTCGACACGGGCGCTTTTCTGGAGCCGCTCTTTCGCCAGCAAGAGGAGAAATTACTCGCGTGGTGGCAAAACGAGCTGGAATCTCAAGTTACTGCGACTAGCAGAGTGCTTGAGGCAAAGTGCCAGCATTTGGTAGAGAACGCGGAACAGCGGCAGCAGCTGGCGCTCTCGATCGCCGGCGCGGAGCACTGCCGGGAGGCGCAAGCGGCTGTGTCTCTGGGCTCACGCCAGCAAGACGAAAGGCTTCAGCAGTTTACCTATGTCAGGAGATAATGGGCTTTAACGCATATTTTTTATTATAACTAAACTCTTTCGGCATCGGCAGAGAAATTTGAATTTTTAAGTACATCTACTTATGTTGAACATTATCGCTGTCTTCTGCACTTGTGGCTCTTATTTTCACCGTGTTTGTCGGACAAAATCATCTCAAATAATCTTCTTGGAAGTACTGTCACATTCTAATTTGCGCGATTACAGAAAGCGCACTTGTTGGCGGTGAGCGCGGAAAACAGGCGCCTGATGGACGAGTTGCGGGGCTTGAAGCTGCAGGTGAGCGGACCCGCAGAATTTGTGTGGCCTCTCCCGGCGATCGCAGAGAAGTGTATTACCAGTCGCGTGTTCCCGTTACGCAATCTCGATTGTCAGCTTTTGTTGTATCCGGCGGGTCGCCTGTGTTCGCAACCGGGATACGCAGCTATTGTCCTCAAACGAGTGGTGGATAATGCTGGGGCGGAAGCATCTCGCGACGGAAAGCACCAGCATGAAAATAGTACGTCGCCGTCTGAACAACACGACAGTTGTAACGATAATATAGTTGATGTTCGTGAACATCTTCGCAATCACCATCAACGTGCTACTTGCTCTACCTCAGCAGGAGGTGGTGGTGTAGTTCCGCTGGCAACGCCACGCACGGTGGTTTCCCGGAATCCGTTCGACGAAGCTGCGCAACCGGTAGCCGCGGATAAATCTCCACGGTGGGGGATGAAGAACCGCAGAGGCGCTCGCAGCAGGAGTCCCAGCACGGTTTTTTCTAGCGGACGACGATCCATGTTGCCGCAAGATGCAACAACGCCCAATGGACGCGTTAAAGTCCAGTTCCTCTTCGAAAATCAAGTTTATTGTGCCGACGATACTTGGCAAAATTTTGAGAACAAGTCTCTTGCAGTGCTAATCGACAACTTCTTGCCCGGCGATCGACTCAGGGAAGGACTCAAAGTCGCTGTGCGTGTGTTAACCACATAGGGATGAAGATATTTATCAGGATGAATTTTACGGCTTCATGCCACATAATTGATATTATAACGATCTTGAGCTATCTAATTTCTGAAGAGTTCCTCTTCTTGCATGCTCTAGTTGTCCGCCGTATTTGTTGAGTCTTCTACTTACTCAAGTCTGACGCTATTTGCTCATGAATCAATTGCATGTTAGTCTAGTCGCGGTGAAGGTTGATTTGATTATTCGTCTGGGCATCAACGGAAGGCCATGGAACAAGATTGCCTTTTTTCATGCAGTAGTAGAATGTATCATTAAGTACTTCATTCTACGGACGCTTTCTGTTTCTATTAATCCACTAACGTTCAACATGTAGATTTGGTTTAATAAATACTTCGAGATTCACCAGTCAAGACATGGCTCTCCTTCTAGTTTATATCGCCGATCTTCGCATCATACTGAGTCTTCGATTTCTGATCTATCTTGCTTGCACTGTCTTTTTTGTTGCTGATGCGGGTGTTCGCCAAGAACAAATCCTTTATTAACGTTTTGTGGTACTGGTCCGAATTTTGAAAATTCAATAGTAGCGTGGACATTCTAGGGCATGAAAATACCAGGTCCAAATACCGGGTTCTGCGTGAAAGAAGAAAATGGCATGAGCTCTGACTTCTGACGATTCGGATGCAGGAGCAGCTTACCTCGGATGAACGGCTTTCTTTTTCACTATGTATCCTCGTGTTCGCTGTGATAGATCATGAAGAGTGGAGACCTAAAACACTACGCACTGCGTTTGTTTAATGCTCACGGCAAGCATGTGTTCATGTTTGGTCGTCGATGCAAATTGATTATATATGATCCAGGGCTTGGGGCTACGGTACCCCCCTAGCGTAGGGGGGTGGTACCGTAGCCCCGGACCCCTTTTGGAGGCGTCTGCGGGGGGTGGAAGGCCTCAAAAGGGGGCCAAGTGGCCGCCTCCGCTCCCTTCCAGGTGCTTGGCTGTTCCCTAGAGGCCTCCGACGTAGGTGGAAGGCCTCAAGAGGGGCCCAAGGGACCGCCTCCGCTTCCTTCCAGGTGCTTGGCTGCCCCCTAGAGGCTTCCGACATAGGTGGAAGGCCTCAAAAGGGGCCCAAGCAAGCGACCGCCTGCGCCCCCTTCCAGGTGCGTGCCTGTGCCCCAAGTGCCTCCGATATGCTTCGCCGCCGCAGCAGTGCGCTGGTAGTGGAAGGCCTCCGAAGGCGGCAAAAGGCGAGGGGCTGGGCCCCCTGAGCCGTGCAGCCTGTACCCTCCGGGCCCTTGGTCATCGGCTTGCTGGCTCTTGTGACCGTGGCCGCCTTCGGCGGCCTTTTATCCCGGAGACCCGCCTGCGAGGGTCAGCAGAGGCCAGGAGGTCCCTCAGGAACACGCCGAGAGGCGCAAGGGACCGCCTGCGCCAAGTTTTGACGTCTTTCACCACTAGAATCCGCGAAAATCAGCGCGAAAAAGCGCGCGGGCGCCACCACAGACCAGACCACAGGGGGGGGGGCGCCGTCCAGCCCTAGAGCATATATGTCTAAGGAGGCCAGGAAAGACGTTTCTGGTAAACTTAGAAGTAACCTCGTCAATGTGACAACACTCCCAGTTGCATCTAGGCATGTTCTCATCTGCAATGGAGGACGTGGTGGATTTCATGAAGACGAGGAAAAACCCAGAAAGAGACAACGTTTTGGTTGATATCCATGTTTCATTTTATCTACAACACCAACCAAGAAGAAGAAGCATGGGCTGTGAGCTTTCTAAATGGATTCCAAAATTGCTTGTAATAGCAAGGCATTATGTCCGAATAAAGACAAGCATCCATCCTCATCTCCATAGAGAGTATTAGGACGAGAGATCTGAAGTGAATACCACTACGACTACGAGTGATTGGCTAGTACTACGTGATTTCCAAGGAAAATTCAATTTTGGACATGGATTGAAGTCGTAGGAAATTGAGGAAAAGCAGACTTTATATTTTTTTTCATTGTTTTGGTTTGTGGCATCCATTTTTCCGCCTGTCTGCTGCTTGCGAACCGTACTGCGCCCCATGTGGTCCGACAAACACTAAGTTCCGCCTGCCGCCGGTTTGCGAACTGGATAAAGCTGAGGCCGCTCTTTCAGTGGCCCCAGGATACGAAAAAGGACACAAAAAAAAGGACACCATGAGAACACTGCTTGGTGCTTACTTTAGTGCTTGACCACCTTGAAAATTCTCAGGTTGACGTGAATGCGAACCTGGTTTACAACGGACTGCCTCGCTCATCGACATTTCCATAGATGAAACATAATATTCTTACATAGTATCGATTTAGTTTTAGGTGGTTATCAAGTGCCTGAGCTAGAAGTTGTCTTCAGATGTATTTTCGTTGTCTCCGATTAAGTAAGTAGAGCAAGAAGGATTATCCTTGATCATTCAGCACTTCCTTTATAGCTGGGTCAACTTGTCTCATTCATAGTCCGCTATGTTCATGTGCCTATGCGTGGGTATGTACGTAGCCATCTTCCTGTGGGCAAGCAAAATACTAAGATCTGATAGCCAAGAACAAAGGGACGAAAGAAACAGTAGGATTATTGGGGAGGCCGCGTGTCAGCAAGCGAAAGACCCCGAAAAATAGAGCAGAACAACATCGCATATTTTTATCGCCTATGATGAATGTCGAACTGTGATGTGGTGCGCATCGGGCCTTCTACTATGTATTCTCGATTGCCTGCGAACATTTACCTAGTTAGGAAATTATCCGTTTCTTTATTCTATTGATATCCCTGACTCTGACACTTTATAAGTTAAGTGCAGTTTTCTCTGTCCGTTGAACTAGTTTATTCCCTTGCCAAGAAATTCGATTTAGAGCTTTACGATATAATTCTGTGTGAATAGCTAAGGTTGATGACGCCCCAGTATGGAGTTACCAGTAGCTGCTATCATGGTTTTCTAGAGAAGTATTGGAACCGAAGGTGATTTAAATTTTTTGCTTTCGTGCTTGCATTGTTCAATAAAGTACGCTGTTGGTGGTCGCTTTGGGAGTTGTAAATGTTCGGTATTTTCGTCATCCACTATTCTATTTTTATCACTATCAGAATTATTTTTTCAGAATGACATGGAATAAGAAGATTTTTCCATGGCACAGACGGAGCAGCGGTCTTTTCTCATCTCTTGTCCCTTCTGCTCTGTTTCTTACCGGTTTGCGTCTTATCGTCTTCCCATCCGTGCGGTTCTTCCGGAAAGCCTGGTGCTGCGGTATCCTCGTCAGAAATAAGCTCCGGAGGACATAGCAACTCGACAGTTGCCACGTCTCTCCCGCCCCTAAGATCGTATCGAGAACAGCCTCCGAGCAGTCGACTCGTTCCGACTCTTCACATTACACCGGTGTAGCCGCCGCCAGAGTTGTCGCAGACGACAAGGCGTCTGCCTGCCGTCGGACCGCCATTGCGAGCACCAGATGGAGCATTTCTTACAATTGGCCACAACTGCGAGGAACAGAATAAACAAATAAATGCGACCCGTACAACGCTGCAGCACGATGATCCTTCTCAGCATGCGAGTTTCGCTCCTGTTCCTCTGCTGCCAGTCGTGCCGGCGGAGCCACCTGGCGCAGGAGCAGGAGTGGCGCACCAGGCTCTAAGAATTGGAGCGGATAGGCCACGAGAAAATTTTGGCCCCGGTAGACCTCACTCGGCAACGCCCAGCGCATCCCCTCTGTCTCATCAAAACAGGGACAAAGCAGGCTCGTCCAGCATGGTGTTGAGCAACAAAACGGTTCTGACTGTAAGCAACGCCCTAGGCGAGGCTGGAGGGCGAAGCACACTTCGCAGTCCAGAAGCTGCAGCATCAAAGAGTAAACACTGTGGCAAACAGCAAAGCCGCGGAATTGTGTCACCTACCCTGCCTGCAAGCGCAGGCGAAGCTACAAACACTACACCAGGAAGCGTAAGTGCTAGTGGAGGAACAACTATTCGCCATTATCAAAGTCTTGGTCGCACCACCATGATGGTCGATACGTATCAACCAGAACAAGAAGACAATCGCACAGGACAGCAAGAGGAAGCATCCGGTTGTGCTGCATGCGCGGATCTAATCGATAACTCTTAATCTTAGTCTTCGGGCTTATTGAACAAAGTCGTGAAGTGCTTGCTTTCTCTGCGCCCACCCCAGCTGGTGCGTGCAAACTCTTAGCCTTGATCATAATGAAATCGATGGTGCAAATTGTGTAAGTAGCGTGTAGTCTAGGAGGTTAAATAATGCACTCCTACCGTCGCCGGGTAGCGTCCTGGAAAAAATGTGGGCCATACTTTCATTGAGTATACCACCCGCCATAACCCCATCGGAAAACTTGTAATTGTAGTCTAAAATTGTGATCGTGATTGACATATCTTCAGACTTTAAGAGGAACCAGTAATGGGCTGTCTTAGACAGATTATGATATTGGAAGTAAATTTTGGTACGCATTGACATATTTACATCTTCATATGAGAATGAGTCTGTCTTGATTCCCTCATTGAACGCCTTGGGCGTCATGTCGCGGACATGTGCAAGGAGACACCTCTCTGTCGCAAGTCACGCGACCATGCTGCAGTGGCATACATCAACATCATATTCTGCATTTTTATTCATGGTTTCAATTGCAACCCTTAAAAATGGTAATTCTCTTAATTTCCAGGCGTCACCGAGGTAGGTCCCTTCTCTGGAGCTATCTGCCTTGACACTCACGCACTTCGCACGTGCAAAACAATTCTGGAAGTCAAGGCGAAAAGATCCTCCGAAGTTGAAACAAATCGGCACATGACGTACGGCTGGAGGGTGTGAGGGAGCGGTTGGTTTCAGATGCAAGGCCAAGCAATAGGAGCTGGTTGTAGCCTACTAAGAGGAGCCCTGTGTATCCTAACTGTTGCAGTGATCTTGGCGAATCCAATGAAGCTGGACAATTTTACCACAAAATGACGGCTACTGACACAGGCGGATAGATGAAGGCCTGAGTAAGCCAGCATGCGCGCACAAGCAGAACGTATAAGTAAGGCGAATCACTCTGAAGATAGGTTTTGCTTAGAGAACACGCATCATTGTGACTTCTCGCTCTCTCTCTGTCTTTTTCCGTTACAACTAGTTGAGAGGAGCAGCTAGAGCTCGGGCTCGTCTGGCTCCTTCCAAATCCAACGCTCGCCAAAATGTCAGCGTCATGCGCGTCAACGAGCAGCGGAATGCCGCGGCCTCGGAGGCGCGCTTTGCTGGTTGGATGCAATTATCCGATGCGGACACAGTGCCTACACGGTGCGTGCGCAGACGCTTTTTGGCTAGCGAACACGCTCCAAGAGGTCTACCCCGGAAGCTTCGATGTAGGAGAGTGTAGGACTTAATTATCTCCTATGAATATCCGCATCCGTCGATCTACAAACTATAGTATAAATATTCACATAGAAGAATACCAATAGCAATACCTTATAGCTACCCTTGTTTTGATGAGTCACTGACGAGGTGTTGTTTGTCATGAAAACAATCCGACCCAAGACCAGGTCATGAGTGATCAAGATTTATCGCATGGCAATTTTCAAAATTATTCTTGCTCGCCCCCATCCTCTTCATATGTTACCCGCGAGAGCATCCGAATTTTGCACGATCACGACGTGAAAAGTCAGAAGCGGGGAGCTTGGAATCCGGATGCGGCTACACTTTCCACAAGAGCTAACATATTGTCGTCTCTTCGTTGGCTAGTCCAAGATGCACGATGCGGTGATGTGCTCCTCTTCTACTACTCCGGATTCGGAGTTCTGGTACTTTCATCTTGTGAAATATACAGCTTTTCTGCAGAACTTTTCATCTTCAAAGTAAGGTGAAGTTGCACCACTTGAAGATGAGTTGTAGTACTATGTATTAGGCAATAGACAGTTTTTTGATCGCACTCGAAATCTACTCTGTACTCACTTTTAGTGCCGCAGAACTACAAGACACGCAACGATGATCAAGCACGTGTCCAGCATGTATATGTTGTATACCCGTAGTTTGGTACTGCATCACCTTCGATTACGTACTTGTTGAGCACGACCTGCTACCTTCAGGTGGATGACCTTGCGGGATTCGAGGGTGAGGGATACCAGGAAGCGATCTACCCGACAGACCCTGCTGGAGACGATGCCTTATTGCCGTTATCGGAAGTGCACGACATCGTCACGAATCTTCCACCTGGTGTGCACATGTCATGCTTTTTCGATTGCGACCATGCAACGACGCTTGTGGACCCCATCTGCGGACGGTACTGCTCGTTTCATCTTCTTCTTCCTGCGACTAATTGTAGAGCAAACAAGAGGTTTTGACTTAGCATGTGGCTTCTTCGCATTGCCATGTGTGTTTAGTGTGCGACCGTCGGAGCATGATCTCCTGCATTTTTGATTTATCGCTATTTTTTGTCGTACAGTGTCGCTGGGAGCATTGAAAGCAGTATCGCCGGAGATGGACCCTGGACCCGAAAGCAAGCGCTGTGTGGCTTAGTGAATGTCGGCTATGCAGAGGAGCGCGTGCGCGAGGCCGTTCACGACAAGCATTTATGAGGAAATAGAAGGAGATCTAAGAGATGGTGACAGGATATCAATATCTTTGCTTCTGAATTACACCACATAATTTCGTATGTAGTATTTGAATGATGATGGTAACGAACAGGAGTAAGAAGTACATCTTTTTTCGATGCAGCTAGGGAATTTCTAAGGAGAGTGTGGCATAACGATCATTGCAGGAGGAATCTACAGAGGGTAAAGGAAAAATATCTGAAGCCTACAGCAGTAGACTTGTCTCAGCTTCGACAGCGAAACCTGACGAGGCCGGCGATGCGACGAACAGCCCCGATGGTGTACGCACAGGAAATATTCGTTTAGCTATGTTGAGCAGTGGTCGATGCGATATCTACGTACCTGTATCATGTTAAACCTGCATCTTCTCTTACACAATTGACGATGGAGATAGAGACACCATTCAATTTACTATATATAAATTTGTCAACCTTGTTGTCAAAAAGGTCCGCATCCTTATTCCATCTTTCATCTTCTGTTTTCGTATTCGGCAGCAGGGTTCGGACAAACGGCTTTGGAGTTGCATTTCCCTGAGCTGAACCGCGTCCATGGAGTATTCACGTACTGTTTGATCCGCGCTCTTGAGAAAAAGAAGAGGAACTCGAGGCTTGCAGCTAGTGCTCAGGCTTGTTCTGCGACTTCTTCTTCAACGGATCATGTGCCCATGGAGGCTTGTTCGCGTAGCGTATCGCGATCTGAGCGGAACTTATGCCTGATCAGCTGTAGCGCAGGAAACGGCCAAATACGAGGTGAAGAACCTGTAGGAGCCTTTGACGAGTCACAGTTGACCAAGCCAGAAGGTGATAAAAGCGATGATCATTCAGAGGATGTCCCGTGGATAGCGGTCAGCCACACTGAGCTTCTGCGGTTGATGCGGCTGGAGCTACGGGAAGTGAAGGAACGCTTGATTCCGTCAATAGATCAGGACGTGCAGCTCACATGCACGCGTCCTTGGTGTGACGAAGGTCGATTTCTTCTCTTTTACGGCATGAAAATGGCATTGTTTGCAGAGAAGTGTCTAAGGAAGCAGAGATTGTGTGGAAGTCGACCCACACTGCTAGCGCCTTGGCTCCGTCACGATCACTATAATCAGAACTAGTCTCTACGGATGCTAGGACGAGCAGCACTATCAGAGACGCCGACGTGACATAGGTTCTGGATGGAGGATCTGTGACTAGGTATACGAATATACAACTTGTAAGTGTAAAACTAACAAGCCACAACTTCCAGATTCTTCACATCAAATCACCTATACTCAGACGGCTTAATCCCGTATAAGATCACTATTCTCCAACGTCAGTATTCTCTATCTATCTAAGCATCGGAAAGAATTGTCCCAGAAATGCTTCCTGTCGACCTTCCCGATGAAATGCGTCGCCAGTTGCTTCGGTTCTTTCCCGGTGGCAGCAAGCACGGCAGCAAAGCTAAAGCCTCCAAGACTCGAACCATCGATACGAATGAAGGGGTTCAACCGATTGAGGGTCGAAGCGCTCCGTCCAGTTGGGGGGATTGGTTGTGGTCTGTTGTCGTTGGTTCGGAAACAAAAAGAGAAGCTTCGTCAGCGTCGACAGATGCAGCATTAGGGGTCGTAGGTGATACTGTAAGACCAGGAGAGGGCGAAAACGGGAAATCATCACAAGCAACCATAACTGAAGACGTTGAAACTGCTTGTGTTTCCTCTAGTGAGTCAAAAGCGAGTAGTTCCAGTGCAGATTGCATGGACTCTGCCAGAGTCGAGATCCCAGACGAAGGCGTTGGGAACAACATTTTTTTTGCTGCAGGAAAACCTTCGGTACTCCCGGCCACGTTCTTCCCAGACATCAATCCCACCACAGCTGGGTCATATCCGTCATTAATTTCCACAGCGACGCCAGGAAGCAACACGAGCATGACTCAGGTGACGCCGCCATGGCACCAGCCCACGATGATGGAGGCATCACAATCGCGATCCCAACAAGTTGTGAACACTGGAGGAGTTTTTGGGCTAAGGCCGCCAATCGCACCTCTGTCGTCGTTTGTTACACCAGGCGGCTCATTCGCAGCTTCGTCGCGGATGTCATCCTCTGCACGTACGACGACATCGGGGGGCCTTCATCAAACCGCAGTTGTGCAAACGCTCCAGGCACCTCCTGTCCGTCTAGTGCCGAACAGCTCCCGTTCCAGCAGCCACAGTAGCTTCGGAGGCGGCCATCTTTCGGTAGGCTTGCACCCTCCAAGCTATGCGGCACCGGGACTCCTTACCACGGGTAAGACGTTCCGGAGTCGACCGCCGTCTGGCACGCACACACCGGCATTTCCGAACTAGAGACAGAGAGCGTATCATGAGTACAAATCTGGTCATGATATTATAAAGTTTTTCTCCAACGGATATGCATCCTGACTTTTGAATTCGCGCTGTAGCGACATAACAACAACACGAAATATAATAGCACGACTTGCCGTCTGTGTCTGAGTATCTTCAAACATAACGTCTACGTGAATGTACCTGTACGAACACACCGTTTCACTTTTCCTGAATTTGCTCCTGCGTTTAAAAGCCGTGGGAGACCCTTGATTGAAAGGTGCTGATCATTATAAATATTGATGTTCTGTTTTTACTGCTTGGAGGTGGTAATTGAAGCGCAGACACCTCTTGTCGTGCCGAGGTCAAATGAATGAGCCCGAGGTCTTACTCGAGGTCGTCGTTCAAATCATGTCGATCTACAGTATCGTATCCTCGTATATGCACTGATTATGATGGAAGGCAGATGCGTATTGTGTATATGTATATATATAAGGATATAAACTACAGGTGTCAGGCTATCACAGTAGTTTGTTGATCCGAATAAGGAGACAACATGGACGCGTTCCAACAGCAACTTTTGAAGCTTGCAGAAGCAAACGAGAAGGCGAAAGATTCTAGTGCGACACAGGCGAAACAAGATAGATCAGCAGTAGCAACTGATGAAGTTGCATCGTCACCTGAAACAACTGGTGCTGCGCCGACGACAGGGGAAACAGAAAATAAAAATGCAAGCCTTTCTACCGGTGCTAGCACAACGGCCCCGAAGAGGAACCCACTAGGCCTGCCTACTATGGAAGATCTACGACGCGAGGCAGAACTGGAGAAACTCTGTCGGACACTGATCTCCCAGCTCAAAAGCGACCCGCAAGCAGCGGACAGCGGCTTATCCACAGTCGCTGGGGGAAAAGTACCAGATGAGGTGAAAGGATCCTGAACAGAAGTGCGGTGAACTACGGTCTCCAATGTGGGAGAAGAAATTGTGAATGTAAAAATCAAGGCACGGGTTTCATCTAGAAGATCAAGCCGGCCGTGGAGGGCCTCTTGCGGATACAGTTACAGAGTAGTTGTAATTGATCACTTTCTAGCTTCAATCGACCACAGACTCCGTACATGGCAAACCTTTACTCGTCTTCTCGTGGTCATACAAATACTACGATTTGAGGTTGCCCTCCTGTCATAATTCAATATTGTCATGGTCCACAACGACTAGGAGAACCGTTCAGAGAATTCTATTATTGGACGACGACTAACGACATTATCGTTTTTCGTGAAATTGGTGTGTTCATCGTGAAAAATATAAATGTTGAAATGGACAGAAAGATCCCGATGAAAATGTGTGAGAGTGAGAGAAAGACCAAAGGTCATGAAGAATATTTAGGATCCAACTATACCCAATCATCACGCTAATATTTCTAATAAATATGAGAATCTTCATGGTTGTTAAAATTGAAAGACATGGATCATAATGATTTTGATCACGCGAGTGGTAAGTTGCTCCCTGCTGATCCAATTTGAATCACTCTTCAGATCTGCAGCAGCAATCGACCGGTCACGGATTTCTAGTGAAGATTAGAGAAAATAGACTCGTCAAAATATATCATTATTCCAATGAACAAACCCTTGCAGAAAGATTTTCCCTCTGTTGCATGTCGAGAATTCGTCATCTGCATTCCCAGCTTTCCCTCTTCGTTTTTTGAAAAGATCAAAGCATTGGTTCTTCCTTTGTCATTTCATTAAGCAAACTTTTGTTGACCTTGCTGACCTCTAACCTTGACTCAATCTTGTCCGACGACTTCCCCAATCTTCTCAATCTTCACCTTTATCATTCTCGTTCCTGCTAGACTAGTATAAGGAACATCAAAATGTTGTACCGAGCTAAGGGTTCAGGAAAAGTGTTGATGGTCGGTGCGTGCCTCGCATTGGCGCCGCTCGATGTTGCCGCCGACTTGGGAGCAGCCGCGCTTTACGCTGCCGTAGAGGACCTCGTCGCCGAAAAAACTGGCGAAGAAGTCGTTGCCAAGGACGCAGAAGTCGCAGCCGAAGAGAAACCAGCAGACGTGCCGGCAGAAACTGCTCAGGAAGAAGAAGCCACATCTTCCACTGAAGCCGCGGCCAAGACGGGTCTCTTCGGTGAGGTGGTTGTCGCGACCAAGGACAACTTCGATGAGCTGATCTCCAGCAACCCGGATGGTATTTTGATGGAATTCTACGCCCCCTGGTGTGGACACTGCAAGAAATTGGAGCCGGAGTACGAAGCTGCCGCAAAAAAGCTCGCAGAATTGGACATTAAGGTCCCGTTGGCAAAAATCGATGCCAACGAAGAGGAGCACCGAGCTATTGGTATTACTTATACCATTTTAGTAGAATTACTTACCTATTATAAGTAGCTTATAGTTATAGGTATTATAGCATACGTTTTGAACATAGACGATACTTCTTTAAATTGAATTTTTAAGAATTAGAAACTCTTGCAGCTTCTTTTTGTGTGCAAGGAAGGGTCTTTGCAGACTGCAGGACTTGTAGCATGTTTATTCGCGCTCATTGTGGAACTCGAAATACGAACATCAAACGTGTTGATTTTCAATCCCGCCCTTAAGTAGCTGCAAAACTCCAACCCGCCAAATGATGATCAACAGCTGAACAGCACGAAATCAAGGGTTTTCCGACCTTGAAGTGGTTTGTAGGTGGAACCTCCAGTGAGTACGATGGCGGACGTGATGCTGATGCCATTGTTGAGTGGATTCAGACTATGACCGGTCCGGCAGTCGTTGATGGCGAGCCGAAAGACGACGATCTTATCTCTGTCACTTGGTATGGCGCAGATAAGGAACTCTTTGAGCAGGTTGCCAAGGCTAACAGAAAGGAGGCCAGCTGGTAAACAATAATTGTCATCTGTGTTGTAGACGTAGTCTATGTCTATGATCTTGTCGATCGATATGGGGACAGTCCACTCTCATAACCAGCTTCATCCTCTTCGTCCTGTCTCTCGATCGTTTTTCTCATCCATTGCTGGTTTTTTACCACGCACTGTCAGGTCCTCGATTTTCATTCTTACAATTGCATTGATTCCACTAGGTACTTTGTTCAGCAGGACTCTGAAGCCGGCAAGATGGTCGTCCGTCACCGTGGAGAGGAAGCTATCGAAGCTGCCCCGACGTCCCGTGAGGAACTCGAGGCTGCCTGGAAGGCTGCTTCCTTGCCGACCTTCGGCGCACTCGACGGTCACACTTTCGGCGCCTACGCGGAGAAGCAGTTGCCAGTCGTGTGGACTTTGTTGCCGATGAGCAAGGACAACGCGAAGGAGGTCGCTGCCGAAGCCCGCGAAGCCATGACGGAAGTCGGCAAGAAGCTCGCTGGCCGCGTCTTGGTCACCTGGACTGACACCGCCGAGTTCGGCCATGTCATCGAGAACATGTTCGGCTTGAAGGAGTTCCCGCAGATCGTTGTGCAACCGGCAATCGGCGAAAAGAAGCACTTCATTATGGCATCTGCTGCTGACGAAGAGAAGAAGCTCGCTTCAGCTGATGACATCACCGCATACGTCGAAAGCGTCCTCAAGGGCGAAGTCGAGCCGAACTTGCGCAGTGAGGCCGCTCCGGAGGAGCCGCAGGAAGAACCAGTCAAGGTCATCGTCGGAAAGACCCTCAGGGAGAAGGTACTTGTTAGAACGTAGCTTGAAATTGCTCAAACATGATGAACAACAACACATGAGCATGGCAGAAGTATCCTGGAGGAGCGTGTGGGATTCAAAACCTTGGTTGCTCTTGGTGCTGTTACAACAAGATTCCAAAGAAACAATGTATGTTCTGCTAGTAATTTGAATTTTCATGATATTGATGACTCTTTTCAGGTCTTCTCTGCGGACCGTGATGTGCTCTTGGAGATTTACGCTCCGTGGTGCGGACACTGCCAGAAGCTCGAGCCGGAATACAACAAGCTTGGCCGCAAGATCGCCAAGGATGGCTTCGAGGACATCCTCACTATTGCCAAGATGGACGGAACTCTGAACGATTCCCCAGTCGACGCTGTGGACTGGACTGGTTTCCCGACTATGTTGTACGTCAAGGCTGGCAGCGAGGAAGTCACGAAGTACGAGGGCGCTCGTGATGCTAAGTCCATCTGGAAGTGGATCAAGAAGAACCACTCCAAGGCTGACTTGATCGAGGAAAAGATCGCTGAAAAGGCAGCCAAAAAGAAGGAAGCCGTCAAAGACACCACCACCGAGGAGCCCAAGGCGGAAGAAGCCAAGACCGAAGAGCCGGCTGCCACTGAGGAGGAAAAGCCGGCCCGGGAGGACTTGTAAGTTTTCGGCAACCCCTTTCTAAGGAATTGGAAAATGTCGATTAAACCCAACGGTTCGAGCATGGGGACAATCGTATTTGCAGGCAGCCTCCAAAACAGGAGCGAGATTACTTACACGAGCAAGTGGAAATCAGGAGGAGCATGTTCGAAGACGCTAGTCGTTTCTGAACAAAGAGTCATGAACTTCTAGTAGTGTCTGAGCCAAGATTCAGGACAGAACAGGACATGCGATAAGGAAAAAGAGAAGTAGTTACTCTTGATGTTGGGCTGCGCTGGAATAGAACTCTCATCAAACAACTTTAGGTAGTGTCAAACTGGTTTTTACCCTCGCAAAGAGGGAGAGGCACACGTCCTCGTTTATTTTACTCTATCAGACAAAGCACACACATGGAATGATTTAGTTGGTTCTATGATGAAGACAGTAGAAGTGACAAGTTGTGAGTAAGTAAGAACGTTATGCTCTGCAGGACGGTGTGATCGGTATCACATCACGTGAACGAAGGGGCTTACTCGGACGATCAGTAAGTAAGGGACGAGAAGATGTTGTCCTCTGCCTGGTGAAAGCCTTAATACACCTTGAAGTCACAATATGAAAGAATATTTTTCTAGTCACATCACTTAGCCAAGAATTCGTTTTATGGTTTTGGTTTGCAGCTCCTGTTTTTTGGATCCTAACTTGCTAGTTTGGACGAACAAAAAGGATTGGGATTCTCTTACAATGATAGGTCGACGTAGAAATCCTCAAGAGTATTTCGTTTTCGCATTCTTTCTGCTCGTATATTATCCTAATAGACACTAATTCTTTCATCTTTCAACAGTTATGCTGATTTTATCATTGTTCCCGTCCTGCTCGTTTAATTTGGTGAATATGTCCTATAGACAGAGTCGAGCAGATGCCGGAGCTCGATGTACAGGATCCACAACCTAACCTAACCAATGAATCTCTTCCACTAAGTTACCTCTGAAGCAATTGCGTATGTTGACAGATAGCGGAAGACGTCATCGGTCGACGAAGGACACAACCGCTTCCCACGGTGCCTGGAGTTTTTCTGCATCGCAAAGATGCAGGTGACTCGTTGGCAGCTACAAACATTCCTCCTCTCCGATGATTCATCGAAAAAAATACTTCGCAATAAGGACCCAGTCGATCTGGCTCCCGTGTGAGGACCCTGGAAGAAATAGAGAAATCAAATAAAGCTGACGCAAACCGGCGGCATCACTCAAAAACGTGTTTGGACTGACATGAAAATGATGGAGCGACATCTGTGCATCCTCTCTGTCATTAAGATATCAGAGAAGGGAGCGAAGAGTATTTTTGTAAGGACTGTGGTGAGGTGGGTATCTTCTGATGTTTCACATGATCTGTGCCGCCAAGAATCTCATGCTCAACCAATGAAAGATAGTGAGAGGTGTACGACATTATGAGAGCAGGCGCACACTGGAAAGATGAAGACGAAAAGAAAAAAGCGAAATCGAAAAAGGTAAGGAGTCGATTTGGAAGCTTACGGAATAAATATAGATACGTAGGACGATAATATCCCCTAACTCAGCACACTAGCTTAATGGGATGAGTAGTATGCATGGCGTGAGCAGCACAAAGAAGGAGGAGAAGTGTTGCTGCCGATACGATGCAGTACCAGTGGTCTCTTGTCAAACTATCCAAAATCAGTAGCTGCAGCAAAAATAAACATCATCGATGTGGCGTGGTTAGCACATTATACTTAGCAGTCGCAGATTTTGAATCAACCACGGTGAGTTTTTAATTATCTCGGTTACGGAAGAAAAAGACCAAAAACTGAAGACATGTTTCCTTCATCTTCCTCTTCGTCCTCCCACGTCGGTCTGGGTGTAGGACTAGGCGGGATGGGGATAAAAGAGAAGCTGATTACCGATAAACTGGCGCATGATTTCGAAGACATCGGAGCTGAGCAGGGCTTCGCAGATGATGCGGCCGGCGGGCTGGTCGCAGCACCCGGGCTATGTAGTCTCACGCTCGAGGACGACGACGCGCTGGAACTCATGAAAGTGAAGGAAAAAAGCAAAGCGTTGAAGGAAAAGACGATCACGGATCGCCTAGGCGGAGAAAAGGCGAAAAACAAAAAGCTCAAAGAACAAGGTATGCAGTGAGCCAGCTTCGTTAAATGAAAATGACTTTGCAATTCGAATTTCGTTGTGGAGGAGTCTGCCATCAAGAGATGATCGCGTATCGCGGTCAATAAGCCGCATCAATAAAAAGATGTATTTCATATAAATTCAGAGTAGTTTATAGCTCGCATGGTGCATGGAGTGCATGGAGCACCTGCAGCCTGGTCACGCATGGGGTGCATGGAGTGCATCGCAAGCGTGTAAGGGACGGGCACGCGTAGAGCATGCCCCGCCGAAGTTGGGTCTGATAGGTTAGACGCCCGGGGGGACGCTTCGTGATGTGTCAAGAGGTGACGTTACCGGCGGCGCTGCAGCTGGTTTGTGGGGGGCCCTGAGCTCAGGGAACCAGCTTGCGAGTGAGTGGGCGGGGAGTTGTAGCCGTCGGGAGGTTGTAGCGTAGGCGGGGAGCTGTAGCCCCAACTACGGGTAAGCAATGCGTCGAGGGGCGCAGCCGGCGGCGCTGAGGCTGATGCCTTGGCTGCCTTAAGGGCCCCCGCCCGCGAGTGAGTGTCTTCGCTGTCAGGGTTGGTTGATAGGCCAGACGCACGGGGGGCACTGTCTTGGACGTAATACGCCCAGGGGTCGCTGGCGGCGCTGCGGCTGCTTTGCTGCTTGGACGGCTTGAGGGCGCCGGGCCCGGGCCGCGAGTGAGCGCGTCGGCCCGAAGGCTCCGCGTAGCAGTCGGAGCTGGGGTTGGCGGATTAGCCGCCTGAGGTGCCTCCCCGGAGTACCGAGCTGGGGGCGTGTATACTCTGACAGATGAGAGGCGCCGGCAGGGCGCCTCGCAAAATTCTCACGCATGGAGTAGTTCATGGAGCACCTGCTCCATGCTATTCCATGTGTTCTATGCACTCCATGCCATGCGCCCGGCGAAACCTTAGAAACTGCTCTGCTATATAAGTGGCGTCAACGAGGGTAACCCACTCTCGCAACATCAGCGGCAAAGTCTCGAGCCGATCGCGCGGGCCTGATATTCCCAGTCGGTAGAATTCACAACTCTTTGAGGAACAAGGTACCGACGCAGTGTCGCGTCGGTGGCACCGCCGCTGTGTTTCAGGCTGCAGTGATGGAATACATGATGGCAGAACTGCTCGAACTCTCTGGTATGAAATCTTTCCGCTATGTATTGCTATTATAGTGTGCTCTACGGAAAATATGCATTGTAGCCAGCAGCTCCTGCTTCAACTGACTCCTGCATTCAGATTTCTTTCATTTGATTTCGTGTGAAGACTCCAATCATGCCAGGTAAGCAGGCGAAAAATGCTAAGCGAAAGGAGAAGGCGCGCATCACACCGCAATTCCTCAATTTCGCAATCAAGCATGATCGGGAATTCGACGAGTACTAACAATAATATGCCAGAATCAATGCAACTGTAAATGATAAATAGAAGTAGCTGTGGCTCACTGAATTACCTGGCAATCTAGTCCATTGTCCTTGGAGTCTCAGTCCAGCCTGAGTTCAACAAGAGATAGAAGACCCGTGGTTTTCATGAGAACTGACGTCAACTTTATTAGGCTCTTGTCGCGCGTTATGGTTTCCGGTGGTGGCGTACTTCCGAAAAGTGATTCCGATTTGAAAAACCTGTACGCAGGGAAGAAAAAAATGGCGACGAAGAACAAAAATCATGTTAGTGGTGCAGCAGAGGACGGCGGAGACGGCGATGGAGATATGCTCGACGCTGGTGTTTTTTGATCACAAATATATTGCTGTGCGTGACGAGTAGTTGTAACCGAGTATGCTGTACGTCTAGTGCACTGGGGCGAACTACATGATATTCAGTATCCATTTGCAAGTCGACTACTTGATCAGGTATGGGAAGTCTTCAAAAACAAAATTAGAAAGACTCGGTAAAAAAGTCGATACTTTTACGGGTAGCTAGCCAGGGCTTCTATCCTTTCGTTCTTTTCATCTGAGGGAGGGCGAACTTAGAGAGCGCGATCATTCGGTCGTCGGCGTGCGCGCCCTCTCCTCGAGTTGTTCCTGCCAGGAGTGTGCTAATACAATACAGGGCCACCCTGCCCAATTATAATAATACGAGGGAAGGCAACATAAGTAGCGTCTACTTTCACTTTCCGTAAAAAGCTTCCGTTTACGCGTTTGTAGGTCCTTGATTTTGTCAACGAAGGAGGTGTTGCTGGCCACTTTCGTGGCAAGCCAAATCTTTTCTCTACAACTAGTTAGAGCCAGGTAGTATGAATTCTTCTGTATTCATCATAGGAACTACAACCCGCGCTATGCAATACGCATTAATGTTTTTCTGTTGAAAATTCAGAACGGGTAATTGAAATGGGCAGATCATGCCTTTTTTGTCTGTATTCTTGGATTCTACAACTTACCAGAGTGACTCAACAACACATGCTTATGCAAGGCAGTCTGTCATTATGATGGGGAGATCAATATCAGGCAACGAGAGTGTGCTTCCAGTACTGGTGGTGTTACCAGGAGGGAGGACCAAGTGGTGTTCTGTGCGATTGCGGATTCTTTGTTGCGTGGACGGATTTCAATCTTTCTGCTTTAAAGGCTTAAGCGACATGGCCCGCCATGCAGCAAAGCAAATGCGTTCAAGCACATTGTGGGAGATGGTTTGGTAGATTTCCGTCTTTGCTCGTGCGCCATCTTCAAGGGTGTTCAGACGCCACAGAAGAAGCGAAAATGACACAAGCCGCCTCGTCGTCGCAGGCTGCGCAGATTCGACAACAGGCATTACGTTTCTACGAGCATTATTGCAAGGAATATCGTGACATCGCTCCATCCTGCATTTTTCGACCGTACGCCATCGGGCAACATCTGATCAATGTGCAGGATTTGCTTCAAATTTTGTTCTGGCTTCGGGGCCAAAGATGGACTGAACTTTATCGAACACCGACGTCGCCGCAGCCCCAGGGAGTTATGACTAACAGGTACGTTGGCACACTCTAGCTCAGTTAAATGAGCTGAAGCGAGTAATTCAAGGAACGAACAAGGAAGAAAGGGTGTTGTAATATGCGAAAGTGCACTAGTTCTAGTAGCGTCTACTCTTTCTAACAAGACAAGCTCAAGCACGGGGGCGCGCACCGCTTCAGTTTCAGCAGCGGTGCATGATAGAGTTATGGCATTTTTGCAATTTGCAGACTGCATCGCCCCACCACTCGTCTCGGTGCTTTTGAGCGGGCCGCTCCACGTTATCAAGGGCTTCATTTTGCGGCAAGGCTCCTTTGCGTTTCTTGCTCGCCTGCTTTTGGTGTCGCTTCTCGCTTTTCCGCGAACGATTATGCACATGGTGCTTCCACTCTTAGAAGAGACCGTGCAAAGCTCGATTTCAGGTTTTCTGCAAGACTGGGTCAAATCTTCGGCTTGGACATCGAACCCGGTTGTACGGAATGCAGGCTTTTTTGGATTCAAAGTCTTCTCCAAAGTGCAACAATGGGTACTTCGTTCTACTCAATTGATTATGGTTTCTCATGCATGGTATGGTTTTCACCAGGACGTTTTTAAGACTTCTCTTCAGCTATGTCCGAAACAAGTTGCAATCACTCGGTCATATGTGATTATCAGCAAAAAAGAACTGAAACGTCACAGCGACTCAACATAGTGCGATTACACTGCTAGGTTGAAGCCGGCGCTGACTCGCTGGATGAGCGATTGATGCGGTCACGGTCGATGGTATTCATACGTGAGGATATACTGAAGAAGTACTTCCAGATTGATATCAGTCGTTTTCGGCTTCTCCGGAACCTGGAACTCTTTTGCGCTTCGACGTCTGTCGTTCTACTGCTATGGACGGATGTGGTTTACAATGTGCTTGGGTATTACCTGGCACGCTTTGGTGGTGGATCCGCGTACCGGGACCTGCCTGGACCGCTGAGTTTTGCCCATCTGATCGGGCTGGTGCATGGTGGAACCAATCTGCGTGGCACGCGCTCCGCAGCAGTATCATCGAAGATCGAGGTTCTGCGGAATCTCGTCTTATCTTTTGCGCTCTTGTTTGGCGGCGGGGGCACTTGGTTTGTGCAGCATATGGTCGGGAGGTCCTACAACCAAGAGCGCGCAAGCAGAAGTCGCTCGGCGTCAAAGATCTCTAAGGCAACAGCAGCGCCAAGGCGTGACGGTGAGACCGATATTGGAGGGGAGGGGCACACGAGAGATGCCCGCGATTATGCAGAGCCCTCGTCAAGTAGTGGAAGCCGTGCCCGAAAACAAACTGTGGATGCTTCGCCACCACCGGGTGTTGCGGTGGGTGATGCCTGGTCGTCTAATGACATACTGACAGAAGCATTCGCTACGCCGGAAGGCAGCTTCAGCGCCGCGGGCTATGAAAACATTGCAGGCAACATACAAAAGACGCGAGCGAGCCCAAGAGATGTCTTGCAACGTGCACTGGACGAAGGAAGAGAGAATCGACCTCGACGCGAGACTGCTGAGGCTCGTTCAGGATCAGCCTCGAAAGATAAGAGTCCTCTGCTAAAGAGTGACGAGGCCACCTCTCCGGCATCTGCTTCATCAGGTGGCAGTTCTTTTGTTGATGTGATGGAACCTATAGACGTCTTTCAGCTAACGCTGACAACGGTGAGTACGCTTGTCGGTGCGGTGATCGGCCTTGAGGCTGGCCGGCATGCTTTCGACGGTATCTTCGGTGACGATGGGGAGCGACAGCGCAGACGAGATTATGCGACTTTGTCGTTACTGCCAGACGAATGGTCTGCGACCAATGGCGACGTGCTCCACCATTATGTCGACAAAAGTCGTCAGGCGCTAGGCAAAAGTTCTTCTGCTGCAATTGTTACTAATGGCGCTGAGGCTCTTGAAGCGACTGGTGCGGAGCGCGAAGAACCAGAACACGAGACCGTTCGTGACAAGATGATGATAGAAAAGCGCACCTTCAATAATTTAGCCGGCATAAGAAATGTGAAAGCTTTCATAGATGCAAATCAAGCATTGGAGCGGATAGATAGAGATCGCGACATTTTTGCAAATAGGATCCGCTTCAGGGCACGGCTCTGATGAGTAAGTACCTACCTACTTGTTGCAGTTGCACTTGCGATCAACAAGTTTCAGTTTGAATTTTCTTGCTGGGAGGGAAAGGATGACACATGATCAGCATGCGTGTGGCTTAGCCATCAAAGGATCTTGTAGGTACTAACTCGGCTATTGTGTGCCGAGTTGATGGATCAATGTGAGGCGTCACTTCAGTGTGTGTACTCGGCTAAGTCCGAGCTGTAGAGGCAGAGAAGGCGGCGTCATTTCAGACAGTACCTACAGCATCAGTGGCACATTATCGCTAATGTCTTCAGGAGTTTTCTCGAGAAGGGAGTGAGCAGCCGAGCATGTGGGTCATTCCCGCCGCAGTGCTTCTGTTCGTTCGGCAATCAGAAATAGAGAAAGAGCGGATGAATTTTCTGCACACCAGATCTACTTACCAAAAAAATGGCTACCCACCTTTAGTACTACTAGTGACAACTGGTTGTTGTTCCTCTGCTGGTTCTACTTAGCCGTTAACCGGATCCGACATCGACCTTGTTCTCTATAGTTTTTCACTTAAGTACGTAGCTGGCGAAGACAGAGTCTCGATCTCCGTTCTCGTCGTCTTTTCGAGCAGCTCTGCCGCAACGGCGACGCCTCTGATGGGTGTCGCGGAGACCTCTCAAAAGCAGCAAATCACATTCGAAGGCGACGATGATCGATCAACCGCAGCAAGCTCGACTTCATCTAGCGTTTCAGCGGAGCAGAGATGTGATGTCGCGCCGACGCACGGTAATTCTTCAATCGGGACCCAGATCCCGTCTAAGCAAGGGGCACAGGCGTGCAGATGCTGCGTATGTGGCACTAAATCGCTAAAAATCCTTGCGATCTTGCCATTCGTACTTGGCTATGCGCTTGGGTTTGTGAGCATGTCTAGGCCGGTCACCATTGCGGTAGGAATCACGTTATTATGTTGGCACTTTTCTGTGGCAAAAAGAAAAATCTTTCATGGAAGATGAAGCATTTGAAGAATCTTTAACACATGGTTATTCACATTTTCATCTGCACTGTGATATAATACTGCGCCTGGGAGAAGGCTTCAGTGTAAGCGGATCTCTAACTCAATGGAAGCACTTAATGTCTGCAATGGGACTGACTTTCCGCGTATGTTTCAATTTCTGTTCTTTTCATCTAAGACCTGTCGTCCTTTCGACGGCCGATCAAATCAGTGACTTTCTTGCCACACGCGAGCGGAAGCGTCAAAATTTTCCCGCCAGCTGGCCGAAATGGCCTGGGTTTGTGCAGTGGTTCTTCCTGGTTGTTACGGTTTATTGATTTGACTGTGTGTCTCACTTTTGTGCTTTGCTTCCGTTTTGTTAGTGGGCACAACAACAATCAAAACAAACGCGGACAAGAGTGCGACATCTGCCGGGACTGGCAATGGGACATGAAACACAGAGCTAGCAATTATAGCATGTTCTTTATTTTTGCAATTGCGGCTGCGGGTTTTGAGTTTGACTTTACTGCTTTAAACTAGTGAAGGTCATTCTTATCGCGACTGGTACGGTGAGCAAGGAAGTCGCGGAACATGTAGTTGGCCCTCCTTTTATGCCGGTGATGCTGCTGGTGTCTCTAGTGACGTTCCTGATAGGAAAGCCGTTTGTTTTGGCATATGCTTACAGCTACATGACAATACGGCTCAAAATAATTCATTTTCGAGGGTCATCTTCCTCTGTCTCCTCCTTGGGAATCCGAAGAAATGAACTGAAGAAAGGAATTGCTTTGGGCTCTAATGACACCGAATAAAGCCCGAAGACTTTTGCACAGTGGCGACGAAATTCGCCAGTCGTTCGAGAAAACAATGTGGAAGTTGCAAGCATTGTGGACATGTGTTTTTGTGGTAGTATTCCTGTTTTCTCTTGCAATGGATAACCTGACGCCGTCTATGTTATGAAGAGACGTGATGCAACATGCAGGGATAAACAATTATAAAATATACAACTAGCATGGCCAGACATGAACGCAGCGGCAGACGCAGATAATCGCAGCACAAGCGTAGATGATCTTGTGGCTGGTGTCAGTAATGCACAAGAAACTGCTCAGATGCTGGGTGAGTAGGACGGCATTACAATATCGCCAATCATAAAAATATCAATATGCTTCATAACATCCTTGTTGCACTGCTGATTGATCCTTCATAAAACGACGACACACAACGAACGGTGCTGAGCATTTGGGGGCCGATTACAATCCTGGCGGTGACGAAAAAAAGGCTGCAGCCTTTGGTTGTGCAGAGAGACAGAGAGGAACGGGAACGCCAGCTTGCGTTGCGGAATGCGCAGGTCTAAGAATGGGAGGTCGTACGAGTACACGGTTGGACTGTTGGAAGAAAACTCCAAAAAGGTGTGAACTCGTCTATCCCTCCTCTCTGTTGATTGCGAAACGTACTGTGCCCCTTTTGGTGGCCAGAAAACCTGCCGCCGGTTTGCGAACTGGATAAAGCTGAGGCCGCTCTTTCAGTAGCCCGAGGATACAAAAAAAAAAGAAAACTTTTTTCTGAAATCTCCAAATCCAAATCCAAATCTGCCGTTTTTGTTTTCTTAGCGGGCTTTGCTGGGCAAGTATTCATGAAGATCCTGGTGCAGTTGCAGAATCATGAAGATGCCGCTTTGATCTTTTAATTTTGTACGGGATAAGCTCATCACGCTCGCTGGGCAACGGCAACCCCACCGAAGGTTTTGCGTGTCAAAATGAACGCTCTTTTGCGACAATTCGTACGAAAGCCTTAGATGGCGAATTAGCGTCGCGCTTCAAGCGTCTGAAAGGACGGTACGACGGAAAAAATTTTAGTTTCCAATTTTGATGACCGCATCTAACAATTTATTTATAAGATAAAAACTCTTCTTGTTTTTATTGGAATCGGCAAAGTGAAGCTCCTGATGGTCTGCCCGGAACGATGACCTCCGCTGTCTGCGGCAGAGAATGTCACTGTAGATTACGCAGTGACGCATTGACATTGCTTCCTTTCTATGCCTTTGTTCTGTATCTCTACATCATGAAGGTGGATCTATCGTGCGCATGCATGATTATCATTATGTCCAGTTACTAACTTTATGGTACCAATTTATTCTAAGTACACACTGATTCTCTTTGTAAGTAATCAAATTGCTAAAATTTTGAGGGATCCTCGTTCATGAAGATCAGGGTTCCTCGTTCATGAAGATCAGAGCTGGAGACCTAATCAGAGCTGGAGACCTTGTTTCTTCAGATCATATGCAGAGGATCAATCAATCTGCGAAAAGTTCGTTCACACAGATCACGATCCTGATGAATTTGCAAAAAGATCATGAACATGCCACCGCGGATCTATTGATGGCGTCATTTCACGAGATGAAACTCCAAGTCAATGAATAGTAAGCTTTAATTGCATTCATAGACACAGGAGGAGTTCGAAGAGTTTAGCTTTTCTGATATTGATTGCGAAGAAGGTCAAGATTTGAATTTCGTCGAAATTGAGGTTGTAATATCGTCTGCGGGCGCGTAATTGTGCGTGTTGTTCATTGACTGTTGTAGTTCGACTTCGAGAAGACTTAGAATCAGACTATCTGAAAGCACGACTATCTAAGTCCAAGATAAACAAATCAAAGATGGAGGTAACTGCAGCAACTTTAGCGAGCACTTATGTGTCTCCTATTGCCGTGCCGCTTGTTAGCGGAAAACTGGAGAGCAAATGTCTCAAGATGTTGAGAAAGGCATTCTCAGCTAAGGCCGTCAGACGAGGAATTCCAGAAGTGACGAAGCTCGTACGGAAGGAAAAGAAAGGTACATCAACGCTAGAATGTTGAGGCTTTCTTGGATTTTGTAACCTGGGCCTAGATGAATACTTTCGTGTTTACATGAGTACTTCAGTCTACAAAAATGTGATTGCAAATGCTATCATCCCTGAATCCACACAACCAGGCATCGTTGTTTTCGCGGCAGACGTTTTTCCGGTGGATTTGATTGCGCACATGCCAGTGCTCTGCGAAGAGAAGAGTGTTTTCTACGCTTACGTGCAATCGCGACAGGTCTTGGGTGAGGCTATCAACAGTCGACGTGGAGTCTCAGCCGTCTTCATTCCAGAACCCACATCAGACAGCCCCTATGAATCCGCCTACCAGCAGGTAATGACCGCACTAAAGGTTGTCCATCCGTACCTTGGCGAAGGAAAGGCTCTAGCCGACAACGACGACGAAAAAGCATCTTCAAAAAAGCGAAGTGCGGCAGAAGGAGAGGCAGCGACTGAGTCAGGTGAACCAACCAAGAAAAAGAAGAAGAAAGAGAAGAAAGCTGAAGCTGAGTAAGCTGGCAAGGAAGAAGCATGAAGCGAATGGATACGAGATGATGAACATCGATCAGCAGAGGTAAGTGTTATTCGCTGGATGTTCAAGGTATATTTTACACAGGATGAAAAAAGAGACGAGATCAGCAACGGATCGTTACGATCCGGAGTGTGGTCGCTATTTGCAGCTTGGAGATGTGAGCAACGTTTGAAGTGACGTATGCATGTTGTAACACCAAATTGATTGGTTCGCGTGACGCAAACGAACGGAAACTAAGACAAATATATGTTTATGTACGACTTTCAGGCGGCTTCTACAAAAATGGCATCACCTGCTCTTTCCGTATGGCCCTCAAACGAAGCCATTTCGTCAACGGATGTTCGTTTATTTCCGAGGGATCGTCTCCGGTTCCAAGAATTGGCTTGGTGCTAATGTTAATTCAAGATTGACGAATGTCATGCTGGCAACAGAGCTAGGTAGAGAATAGGTCAAACACACCAAGAAAAGTCTAACTTCTAGTAGACGGATCAATTTCATCGTTCACGACTAAAGCTCCTCTACCTGCTTCCATGAGTTGCCGATCCCCTGCTTAATGCAGATTCAAGTAAGTCCTCGGTTGTGTCGGTTTCTCATCATCCGCGCGGGAAATGAGCGGTGACCAAATTTAGAAGTAAAATTATGAGATTCTGCCCACGAATAACTGAAAATTGGCTGTTCTAGAATATTGGCACTCATAATTTAGTAGGTTTGAGTAGAATGCGGATGGGGATGCAAGATTATCTATGAATTTTTTGGGATACTCAGATGAACTGCTGGTCATAGATCGTCATAAGAAATAATGCATTAATTGGCATGGCAGATGGCAACGTGCTGCTTATTATATGTTTTCGGGCCAAAGAATGTTATGAAGTTTTTTAGTGTAGCGTCTCCAAATATGAGCGCTTTGAGTCCGCGTTTTTCCATTTTACCTACTCATTTTTTCGACGTTGTTTTTCTTATGTTTAAATTCTCCTTGACCCTGTTATAAGTAACTAAAACAACATGTTCATCTTCTTTCTCCGTCTCTTGCCTCTTGCCATGATGCAGCTCATTCTAGCAGGGTTCTCCCTACTTGGCCCAGCGAAAGCGAGCATCCAGCTCCCATCAGCGCACCGACCCGCTGATGATTCTGCGACAGCGTTTTATCGAACAAATTTCGTGCGTGGCACTTCGGAGGGTTCGTCTGCGAATGGAGATGACTCATATGAAGTAAGACACGGTGGTGGTCGTGGTGGCCATGACCGCGCCACACTTCCCGAAGGTGCGGAGGGGAGCGACAGTGGCTTACCGCGAACTGTATTCAATCGAGCGGGTGTAGCTCCTGACATTGACCCACTTGGGACGAGTGACGATGATAGGGGTATGTTAGTTCAGAATGCGTCAGCCTTTGATGATATGGCCCAACTGCGGTCCTTCGCTGGGCGAGAAGACGTCAATGCAACGATGGGACAATTGTTGCCGTCAGCAGCACGGGCGCTAGAGAGCACAAATGCGGTACTCAATGCCATGGGGACTTTGATTCACGGACGACCCGGCGAACACTACGCCTGGAATGAAGTGCCCAGGGAAGATGTGCTTGGTTTATGAAAAGATTATAGATACTTACTTACATGTCAAAAGCGTTTCTTGAGCCGTAAGCAGCCTCTCTCTCTATTTGATACCCGGCTGCTATGTATTCAATTTCAAAAAAGTTGAAGTTCGTAGTGCTATACAGGGACGATGAACGCGCTCGTTGTAGTACTCATGATTTTGATGTGGTCTGTGGCTCTTGATCTACATGTGGCTTAATCCCAAGAACATCGTCATTTCTTCCTTGTTCATATGATGGGGGTGTTGGTGTGCCTGTTTTATTGCACGAATTCCAGGACGCTTTGTTCGAGTTCTTCTTTCGAGAGGAGGACGCCGGTGAACCCCAGGAGGAGGACGAGCCCGAAATCGATCGCCAGGCCTTGCCCAAGCTGGATGTGGAAGATTGCGCGACATGTTGTATTTGCATTGGCGATTTTCCAGTGGCGGCACCTTGTGCGGTCGAATCTCCTGATGAGAAAGAGGACGCTGGCTCTGCTTCGGGTGCAAGCCCCAGAAAAGGGTCCTGTGGCTCTACAGCACGTGCATCATGTGCCGGCTGTTCATTTCCTGTCTCGGGGTGTAATGATGGCTCACCCTCGGGAGCCCTTTGCGGACTTGTTGCAGGCGAAAAAGAAGAACCCGAGCAACTACAACCGAAGGTGAAAGCAATGATCGACTTGTGCTGCAATCCTGGTCGTGTGGGGCACATGTTTCACAGCGAGTGTCTTTACGAGTGGTTCCATCGCTCCATCGAAGAAGAAATGAATCGTTACGGTGCAGATCGGACCGAGCGGCGAGAACAAAACAAATTTTTACTGAGGTCAGCAGCGAAATGCCCGGTCTGCAGAAAGAGGATCTCGAGAGAAGCGATCATGTATTTTTTTTCATTCTTAGAATTAGAAGATACAATAGGAGCATGGACTTATAAATTCTATCGACATTGATATTCGAATTGCAAATGCATTTGTAAAAGAAGTAAAAGCGAAACTAAAAATTGCAACAACGAACTGTAGGAGGCATGCAAAAGCTCGCATTTGATAATGTGGCACCTATTATAACTACGTAGTAAGCTGTTTCTGAATTCGCGATTCTTGAACATCATTTGCTCGTATACTGAACACAGCGACCTGCTTGATTGTGCCTACGCGGAGCGACGTCAGAAGCCCGAGTTTCAAGATGCGGAGTGCCGGTTGCTGCAGCAGCACTGCCTTCGGGAAGCTGAGCATGGTTTGCTCGGCCCTAATCCAACTCTTGCGGGATTTCGAACTGCGTTGCAGTTTTTCCGGACCAGCCTGAAGTACCGCGATAACCCAAGGATCCGAGAGCGGATTTGCAGCGTTGCTTTGCAGGGTGCACAGCAGGCGTGCTCCATGCATCGAGAATCGGAGGGCATTGAGATGTTACAGGACAATTTTCCGATCGCGGAAGCTGCCGACCAAGGAGCAGCGTTCCTGTTTCAGAGCAGATATGTGACAAGGTTCACCGAGAAGATTGAAGAGTGCCACCGTGCTTCGGGCTTACGGGATCGACAACAGCAAGCCCAGAGTTTGATCGAAAAGGCGGAGAAGATCTTTGAAGCGCGAGCGCGTGATCTCGTCGAGGCATCTATTCTCGACAGTGCGAGTCGTAAAAATACAATACTAGGCGATTTCAGCGATACATCGCCTGAGCAGGAGACGTCCTCAGAGCCAGAGAAGGAGGACTACGCAGATGAGCATTACAGCAGCTGCTCCGAGGGAAGTTGCCGCGAGTTTGATAATTTCCCTGTGACGCCGCTGGATACGAGAGGGGCCAAGACCTCTCTCAGGAGCGACGTGGATCAATTGCTACTTGAACTGATGTTATGGAGGCATAGCAAGATTCTGAATAGCCATAAAGTTATCATATCTATAGAAAAATATAGTGTATATCATATGCCATGCCGTTTTCAAAATCCAATGATAATTGACTGCAGCTGCTCCATGCAGAGTTTTACCGCCGATCCTAGGGATCAACTTTTCCGTGCTCTTCTCTAAAAAGGAATTTTGAGAACGAGCTTGTCGTGGAGCAGCGACAGGTGGGCTCGCTCAACAACAGCACCCAGTCACTCGAGGGCGTTGGGCAAGTTGCTGACTCTGGGTCGCGAGGGGCTGGTTGCATGACGGGCGACACGACCCCAAGTAGCGCTGCTCGAAACCGGCAGCTTGATGACGTTGACGTGGAGACGCCTGATGAAGACGACGAAGAGAGTCCCGCAGCCATTGTGCGGCAGATCCGGCGACTCTACAACGCACTACAGCGAGTGCTGGACTGGCAAGTTCTGAGTCGTCTCCCCCGAATTTTAGAAATGAAGCTCACAATCCGAGTTCGGCTAGCCATGACGGCACAAGCAGACGCCGCGCAATTACTTCAGAAGATCGCCCAGGTTGACACGCCTAGCAGCACCCGAGTCGACGGCCGTGGCCTTTATCAGGGGGGTTTTCCCGCCATCACGAACACGGTTCCGCCCGGCCATCGAGAAACGATGGACGTCTATAATGATGCCATGGATGCGCATCGTCGGTGGGATAGCATCGGCAACAGAGTCGGCGAGGACTGTCTTTCTGGTGGGCCAACAGAGGCAGTAACAACTAACATTCTCGAGCGTGCGCAAGATAGCCAGCTCACGGCAACTTCTTCGGGTGGCATCGCTGACGCTCGTGGTAGGAAAACGTCGGTGACATCGTCCGCAGCCACTGAATTTTTTCAAAACGCGATGGCGCAGCTTCTAGAAGGACACCATAGTCGTCGAGACCTTAGCGACGGTGTTTCGTTTTTTAGCCGTCAGTCAACTCCAGGAGCAGAACAGGCGGCCGCGGGCTCTCCGGGTTCGTTGCCTTGGCTCCACCAGGAAGCTTACACTGAGGAGGCTATGGACGTGAGTACATCAGCCAACGACCGCGTTGACGAGGCGCTCGGTGTCCAGGGAGATGAAGACGACGAGGAGGACGCCGCAGTGGCGCGGTCACTCTCCAAACTGTCGCTTAGTGGTGGACGCACATGTAACCCAGGTGACGCATCGTCGGGGTCTGCCGCTGCTATGGCCAGCACGGCGGCCTCTCCTGGAACTGCAGGCGTATCGTCTGGAGGTGAGGCCCCAGAATTTGCGAGTCGCACGCGATCGGGAGGCTTCTCTTCCTGTCATGCTACGAAAACAAGGTCATGGGTTGCTGCGACGGTCGACTCACAATCCGTGGATGCCTACCAACGACGGCAGGCGCAGATCGGAAGAGCCAAAGAGAAGCTCGAGACGGCTATTGCGGGGTACAAAGAAGTGTTTCATGGGCTGCAAAGTCAGCCCAAGCTCCTTACTGTACTCTTTACACCCCGAGAATCTTCTACTGGTCAACGCAGCGGAACCAATACGCCTGGCGGGATTCTCCAGAAAGCGCTCGGTGACGTATTTCACCTGACGTCTGGTGGGCAGCACATGCAGCTTGAGGCTGGGCAGGGCGCAGTTTTTCTTGGAGCAGGCGCATCACGGACACCAGCGCGCCGGCCAAGCAGGCGGAGCACCGGGACTCAAGATGGTGTTGGTGACCAATTGTTAAGGGCAAGCAGTAAATCGAATTCGAAATCTGCATCATCTTCATCAAAGAACGAAGTCGTTGTGCCTGCGGTCATGCTTCCAAGTCGAGACAGCAGCAGCACCGTCGGCGAATACGTGGCTGCCATAGAGACGGGCAGCATGGCGCCACGTGGGGGTGGGACAAACGACGGTGAGTCAATAAAGGTAGCAGACAACATGAGTAAGACGCAGGAAGTGGCGGCCGCGTCGAGGGCGGCGAAACGTAGTGGAGGACAAAAGAGCTCGACTAGGAAACGGAGAACCCTCGGAAATAGAGCTGAGCGTACTTCGGATAATGCTAGATATTCTTCACCGCCTCTCTTTGATTTTGCACTCGAGGATTTGCGGGATGCGCTAAGGTCTTGTGAATCTTTGCGGGAGTCGCTCATACTCGAAAAGGCTGAGTCAAGTTTCACGCATGCGCAGCTGCTGTTTGAGATGGGGTCTGACATCGTCGCGCACCTCGGCTCTCTGCCACAGCTAGACAAGGTACTCGTACAATTCCTACAACGCCACTGTGGCACAATATTTAACTCGTTGAATCTCTAACGACCAGTGACTCGTCTGTGTTATCTATCAGGTACCCATGCCAGAGGAAAAGCTGCAGCTTGAGGAAAATCCGATACCTCTGTGTGGTGGTACCAGCGCCATATCTGCTCACAGTGGTCGAGAGCTGGTGGTTTTAGATACGACCTATGGGAGTGTACTGCATCGTGTCTCTTTTGCCTCGAAAGGGGACAACGAAGTAGATCCTGCACGTTTCGCGATGTCATTCAACGTGGAGCAAATGCGGGAATCACCGGACGACGAGGCGACGGATCCCGGGGGGTCGAGGACAAATTCTCGAACTGTCAGCCTCGCAGGTGTAGATGCAATCCTTGACTCGCCGGGTCCAGCAAGTCTCTTGGCATCACCAACGCCAGTTCACTCTCCATCTTCCGCGACAGGCGGTTTCCACATGCAGATGCAGTTAGTGAGCGAAGATATAGACTTGGACGCGCCCTCGGATCGCGAAGCAGGCGACTCTCGACGCGGTGGTCTGTCGTCGAGGCTATTTTCGGACTCCGACAGCCTCGCAGGTGTGCAGGGCGCTCAGCCGCAGCGCCTTCATAGCAGCATCGACCAGCCGCAGCATCCACTCCAATTGATGGGAAGCAACTTGTGGGCTCCCGAGTCTCCAATGTCGCCACCCCCTCGCGGGTTCCTCATGACGCGCGACGACGGAGCGGGCCTCGGAATGGGACGTGACTCTCAGGCACCCCGTCACGCTTTTCCGGCCCATGCACGAACCTCGAGCGGACGCTTGGTTCTGAATGATACTGCGTCAAGTACGAAAGACGCAGAACAAGGCAAGGGCGAAACACCAAATTCTCATCATCTGCGTATCCCAGTCTACGAGGCGGCGAATATCCTGGCATTGCACCTTTTCGGTGCTACCTACCGCGTGCTCGCTGGAATCGACTTCGAAGAGGTGGAGCGCATAGTCGTGCAGCAGCACAGGCAGCGCAAAAAGCTACAGAAACAGCAGAGCGGCCAGGCTGCAATTGGAGTAACAAAAGGAGGAGATGGAGCACCGTCTCCGGGGAAGACAACGCGCAGCGGCAGCGGCACACCCGCGTTAGCACGAAGCGCTCCTCGCAGTGGGTGTACGACTCCACCATGTGAGAGCGCAGCAAGTTTCTACCAGCGTGATGCGCTCAAACAGAGCATGCCGTCAAAGATAAAGCACAGAAACACCGACTCGCGAACCAACTCAGGCTTCGCTTCACCAAAAGAGTGCCAGTCGCCTCCCGCTGAAGGAGTAGGCTCCTACGCGCTACAACAGGCGCAGAAGGAGAAGCAACATATTCATCAGCTACAGCGATGCCCGCGACCAGGCACTCCTCATGACCACGAGGATGGCGAGTCAGAAGCCTCTCGTGCGTGTAGTAAAACTGGACACGGGGTCCACGAGAGCGGCAGCGGCGCGACGACGAAAGAAGTACCACCAACAAGCGGGGTGCGCGGTATCAAATTGCTGCCAGGCGGTTCCGTTTCCCCGGACGAAGTGAAAATTAAGATGACGGCGAGGCTTCTAATACAGTTTGAAGCTGCGGTGGCTGCAGGCAAGACGGCTTTCGCTGCAGCGCTTCACGAAGAAAGTGCAAAGTGGCTCGCGCGTGCCGAAACCCTTGTTTCGACAGTTCATCGCATGAGCACGCGGAGCGCCAGCGGCGGCCAACAACTCTACCCACCTTTTTCACTCACATCCGTATCACAGAGTCTGTATGAAGAAACGTCTCTGGAAAACGTGCGGCAAAGGTACGCGGACGCGGTCGCCAAACGTGTAAAAAAGAGACAGGAACAGAAGGACGCGGCCGATGCACTTGTCTCAGTGGCAACCGAAAGCCCAGGCGCCGTCTCGAAAAATGGCGAAGTGTCAACGCAGGAGAACAGCCAAAATCGAGGCGCAAGCCAAGAGGACGAAGAAATGCAAGACGGTACCATAAACTTCGATTTGGAAGTGCAGCAACTTGACGATGACGGCATACCCTATGGGCGCGCGGAGCAATTGTTGCAAAATACGAGAGTTGCCGAGCAGTTCTTTCTTGACGACGCAGGCTCGTCTTTGGCTTCTTCGCCAGGCATGCTCACGCCAAACTACAGCGAATCGACGCGCCAGGTAGTACTATAGACTGCGATATAGGTTTGGTGCACTGCGCAAAGCCATGACGAACATTTGAATGCCACTAAAATGGCTGGTCACTTTATCTTGGCAGCTGAACGAGCTAAGTGTAGGCATTCGTAGTTGCAACTGTAAGTGCTCTCGCGTCGGCATCTCTTTCGAAACTTTCTCTCCTTTGCAGCTTACGCCCGAGACGCCAACCGGAGAGTTGATAAGCACAACTTGCGGTAATCCCATGGGCAGCGGGGCGTCAGAGAGTGGCGTTGCCCAACAGTCCCGTCGCAGCTGGGCATCTTTTTTCGGGCGTGGGCGAGGTGGCGCGTCGTCGGAATCTACGGAAACGGGCGTGGCTGGTGGTAATCCTGGCACTAGTGCAAAGATGACAAGACGGGATAGATTTTTAAAACGCGAGGCAGAACGTCGAAATAACGCCAAGCAAGTTGGGCGAAAAATCATCGAGCAGCTAACGAAGCGCCAAAACGAAGCAAAAGATATGGTTAACATCAAAGCTGCACTGAGCATTTTCGAAGAGGCGTTGCGGAGTGACGAGTATGGACAGGGTTTATTCTTTTTCTTAGAAGTCATATCAGTGATAGAAGTGGCACAAATATCAAATTTTCAAGAAATGGTGTTCGTACTTAAGTACTTACCCAATTCATATTAACGGCGTGTTGCTAGTTTGCTAGTAGCGATGCTAGAAACATCGACGTGGATCACATTTTTTGGAATTTTCAATGCTTGTTGCTTCATATTTGAAGCGGGGAGACTCCGTATCCGCGGCTTACAGAGTCAGCAGGCGAACTACTCCCGGCAATTCGCGAGCGCCTGCGCAACAATAAGGGCGACGCGGAGGAATGTGTCTTGTGGCTCTATCAGGTGGATGAGCTCTTAGACCTGACCAGGTGCGGCTTTGCAACTGGGGTGAGCGTGCTCGAACAGAACAAGGGAAACCTTGAAATGGCGGAGCGACAATTGAATGCACCTCTTGATTTCTGATGAAGAAGAGAACGTAAAGCAGAAGTAGTATTGGTTATCGAGCATCAGTGTCCTAGGTTTGTCGTTGTTTCGTCTTCACTGAACGGTAACCGTAACAAAAACAAACTCACGGTTGTTGCCATAATAATATCGAGATAGAAAAAACTGTTGCAGGTAATAGTCATGGCATGAGTTTCATCACTGTGTTCAGACAAATAACGATTCATTTAGAATGTAATTTCAAGCGTTACCGTAAGATAGTAAAATCTTGATCTAGATCGTTTTCTAGCGAAAGTTATCACGCTGTGGGCTGCAAAGTGGAAGTGGAGTTCCGGCTACTAAAAAGCACAGCATATGCAAACCGTAGCACCAGAGCAAAATGGCAGAGAGTATAGCATCTTTTACTCTTTCGATATCGATCGATCTCAATCATCTTCTAAACCGTGGAAATCTGCGCAATTTTGGAAAATCTGTAACTGTGTGATGTAGTCTTTTTGCGAAACCGATATAGAAAACCGCACCAGATCCCATAAATGATCACCAGTGGTAATATACTTATGGTCACCATACAGGAGGAGAGGCCTAAAACCAATATTTCTAGGATTGCAATGCTCTTGTCATTGCCTCTCTAAAAGTCTTTCTTTACGGAGTCCGGTCTCGAACACGGTGTAGGAAACGCATGCAGGAATTCCATGAAAACGACAATGCCATTCAGCTGCGGCGTTTACAACGACAAGAGTTTTCACTTTTGTGTTCTTTACTTCCATGATTGGGCTCCTCTACTAGAGGTCAGCAAGTCAGCCCGTGCAGGTAGATAATAGAGATGCAGAATTGAGTATTCAGGTGCAGTTGATCTGTGCATGAAGGCAAAAATACAGAGAGGCTGTTCTCTTCTCATTCTTCGTGCAAAGTATTCAGCAAAACAGTAAAATAGATACATAGTCCTCTTGTAGTTTCGGTTTCGACTATAACAACATCCCAGGACATAGATTGATACTTACACTTCTGATGCGGTTGATCCAGTGGATGCACACGCTGTCAATCTAGGTACACACTCGTTACTTTTAGATAGATATTCTCCCTAACTGTGAATCTATGGATCGTGCAGTGTCTACTAAACTCTTTATCAAGGTCTACACTCAATCAGCTCTACGAGCCAAACGTGAAAGTCGGTAAGATCGCACCTATTGGATAATGACAATTTCTAACATTCTCTGCTGGCATGTTGTACAAGGGGATACTGGTCAGCATCAGGCGTCCGCTTTCGTCATGTGCCAGCATTTCTCCGCCTTCTTTCGCTTGACCTTTCTCCATGCCGACTCCGGTATGCCAGTGTCCACACCCAAACACAGCGAGTCTTTTGTTAGCGGCGCTTCTAGTCGAGGCAGCCGTGTCCCCCGCATTGTCTTCTTTCATCGTATCTTTTTCTGTAACCGCAAGATTGCATGTAGCAATGCCAATGCGGTACGCAGCTACGACACCGACCGGGCACCACGCACACAATTCGTTCATTTTTTGAAAGACAGTGGTACTTCTCATGCTATGGATTATCGACCTATCTTCACTGGCGGAGATGTTATGATCGGTACTAATTGTTGTTGTGCCTCCACCACACTCGAGTTCGACTTGCGGCGTCATCGCTTCAATATCGGCTTTGAGCGTCATTGCTTCAATGTTTTTTATCACTTCGCGTGCCAATTCCGCAGCTTCCGCCACGGCTTCATTGTGAGTCGGCGATGGAACTTCCGTGGCTAACCAATTCGGCGAACAAATGGCCTCTGACGTGCAATTCATAGCTTTTTTGCGGCTAGCTGGAGAACAACTTTCAGATTTGAAGTCGTGGTCGTCCAGATTCAAAGACAGACGCTGCCAGTCGGAAACCCGATGGAGAGATGGCGATCGGTCGGAAGAAGCGCTGCCTGCGTGATGTGCGTCTCCCGGTCGTGGCCATGCGACGCAACACAGCTTCGGTCCAGTACGATCCTCTTTGGAGAAGAATCCACCCTCGCAGTCGTCGCCTCTTCCAAGTGTCTGATCGTGTGAGCCCTCCTGCCCTTCACATTCACTGGCTGCAATCCGGATGATAGGATGCGGTAGCTGTAGAACCACAATGCGGGTGGGGAAGAGGAACCGCAACGCAAGGAGCAGCAATAAACTGTCGAGCGCGTCGGCCCGCGTCCATGCTTTGTCTAGAAAAAAGATGAAAACAGAGCGTCGTCCGGAGAAATTCGCGGCTCCTGTAGCTCGCGCGCCTGTCTGTTGTAGAGATACAGAAGCAGAAGGAATCCAGGCTGCAGAGCCGAAGAGGGTCTCCCAAACGATCTGTCGCCGGCTTCGGAGCGTTTTCATGCGTCGTTTTACTTTCTGGGTCGGTTCCTTCAAGCACAAGCATGTTCGAGGCTTTCCTGCCAGCACAAGCGGATAGTTGGATTTGGAAGCGAATGCTTTGACATTTGTCTTCCTTCCCGGCGTTGGTGTTGCGGCGATTGTTTTGGAATGCATGTTCACGTCACTGTCTTCGACATCTGACAACGGCGACATCAACTCTGCTACCGAGGCCATACGCAGGCGAAACGATTTTGTTCCGTTATTGACCTCTCTTATTTCATTAGCGGTAGCCCCGCTCATGATCGAGCTTGCAAGGACGATTTTGTTTCGGTGAATAGTTGGATCCACGAAGCCGATTTTTGCTTTTTTCCGGATCCGCTGTTGTTTATCGTGACTTTTTGTTTTTCGATGACAGTTATCTCGAATAATTTCGGCAACCATTATAGACGTGTCCTCATCAGGCGCACTGTCAATCTGGATGTCTTCCTCAGTTTCGCCTTCGGCGTTAGCCGACGGTGAGCTGTCGATATGCCGTGCTGCTGTGTCGGTTGGCCCTCCTGCGCTTGTCCTTGTGTCCTCTTCTGACGTTCCTTTATCGGACGACAGAAGCTGGTCTTTTATCTCTACAAGATACTCCAAGAGCCGTCGAGGATCTGTCGCGGCTTCTGGTGGAGGTCCGCAAATTGTGATCGGCAAGTGGGTAACGGCTACTGCTTCGTGCGTATATACTTGTTGCCTCTGGCTGTGCTTGTTCGTCTGTTCGTCGCCACGTACCCGCACGATAGCACCCTGGAGAAATCGAAGGAGATCGCTATCTGTAAAGGTCGCAGTAACTTCATCTTCACGAGCAGAGCCAGAGTTTCCCTCTAGACCGATCACGGCTTTAGCAACTCGCTTGTTCTTACCAGAGGAGCAACTCCCTGCCGTGGAGGAAGAGGACGATGACGACCCGCCGCCAGGTTCCTTTCGTGCTAGTCGAGTCATTTTCTTGCCGTTTTGGTCCTTCCAGCTGGCGATTGCGCGATCGACTATGGAAAAGGCAAGTTTCCTTGCGTAAATTTCCTGCAAGAGGAGCTGGAAACTGGTTGATAAGAGACACGCGGCTTGTCTTCGCCGTGCTGGAATGACCAGTTTCTCAACGACGATTTTCTGAATCTTCTTTGCCGCTCGATGTCTTAAAAACCGCGTGCGGTAAAAGCGTTGTATAATACAGGCTTTCCCCCGCAACCTTCGGTATTCGACACACTCGCGGCGAGCAAGCGAGGCGACGCGTGAGCGACGCCAGCCTTTCGAGAGTATCTTCGCCGCGGCGTCTTCACGTTGTTGTCTCCGGGACCGAATGATAGGCGGCAATATTCGTTGGAGAACGCGTGCAGCAGAAATCACGCGTAAATACCGCCGCCGGTAAACCTGATGCACATGCAAGTTGAGCCGACACATTCTTTGTTAAACGTCTTCAAATACGGCATCGACAGTGACTAGCCTCGATTTAGAGCATAAATTGTTTGTTGCGTGTTGAGCGTAGAGAGGTTTTTGCATACTTATGTAATACTTAAGCATGTGGCATTTTCTCCATCGTACCATGCTCTTTGCAGCCGCCTGAATGCGTACAAGAGCATGCCGAAGACACCGGTAGAAGGCCCAGAAGAGTTTTCCCTTCCAACGACTCTGCAAAACGATGACGGCGCCGCGCACCACCCGAAAGCCCCGCCGCACCAGAAGCATCCGCACCCACCCCTGCAGAATGACAACTTTTCGGAGACGTCTGCGCTCACGGAAGCGCGACAGAAATCCTCGACTGCAGCGTTGCAAACGGCCGAGCGCGGCACGCCGAGCGGCAGTAGCCCTCTTTGCCCATTTTCGCCGCATGGTGCACTGGATAGCGCAAGCGGCGTTGTGCTGGCCGCGAAGAGCCATTCGCGCGAGGTGGCCCCGGACGTGCCGCTGCAGTACCAAGGCGTGATCTTCGGCGATGTCCCGCAGTGTCCGGGCATAGAAACGGCGTGCGCGCAAGCAGCGGTAGCACGCTTGAATCCGCAGAGCTGCGGCTACTTCGATCCTAGCGCGGCGAGCGGTTAGCACTACACGAAGCGCTATCTTCCTTTTGTTGTCCCTACTGATTTCGGTGGGAGCGGACACCTGCGAGCGGCTACGACTCCTTGCCCCCTCAACAATTTCTGAAGTATCATCGATTTCCAGGAGGTCAGGCCTTCGACGATTTTGGCCCTCCTGAGTCGTCGGGCAGACGCTTGCAGCGACTTCTTTTTCGTTGCAACCAGCTTCCTCGATTTCTAACCCACTGCCCATGCTTTTCTCATCCTTGACCGGTGCGCCGACAGATCGAAGCAGTAGTCTTGGTTCAATCGCCGCTGAAAGTTCCAACGCTCGCACCAACTCGTTTCGGCCCCACCGACGCACCATAGCGCCGCGCACACGGGCTTGGATTCGGGTTGCGGAAGCATCCTCCACTGTGCGGCGTGGTATCGGCACTTTACGTTTCCGCAGCTTTCGCACACGGTCGGCAACGGCTTCTATGGCACGACTTCGGCGACACTTGTCCGCAACGGTTTCGTGCGAACATGACTGTAAAGCCCTACTTTTTGCAGCAGTCGCTGCTCTGGATGACGACGAGGGCTCTTCACTGATTGAGGGCAATCCACCGGGGTCGAATAGGAAGGCAGAAGCAAGATCAACTGCATCAGACGAAGAGTGTGAGTCTCGGTTTCTTTCTAATGCAGGAAAGGGATCGCGCGGATCCTTCATCCAAAAACTCGGCAGCCACGAAAGCTGTTGGTCCTCAGAGGTTATACGTTCGTTTGGAAGGAGACTCGGAGGCCTTGCCCCAGCAGCACTTATTCGAGTACTCCGCATGCGAGCAACTGGAGAGTTTTCTCCGTACATGCTGTGCGAAGCCCTTCCAGGATGGAGACGAGACATCGTGTTGTCAGACCAAAATTCATTTTCGTCTTCCGCTAGAACACCTCCGCTATTGTGCTCGTGCCTCCTACTTTTCTTTGAAGACCCAGTCAGATTTACACTAGACGGACGATGTTCTAGGTCGGAATGGTAGGAATCGCGGGTGTGGAACTTGTCGCGTGACGCAGCATTCGCGATCAAAATGCGCCGGCCGCGGAACCGAGCCGAGTGACCGCGCGCGGATTCATCAATAGTAGAGGAGGGGGACGTTACAGGTTTTCGAGTGAGTGCAGAGTGTGGACGTTGCGCTTGAGGTTTGGATACCTGCATGGCACCATCACTGCCTCTCCCTTCAAGAGTGTGCTTCTTCTCTTCCGTGCACGTTGGCGTGTGACTGTAGTTGATGATGTTTTCCATATTCTTTTTGTAATTTGTCTTTGTTGTACTGCGAAAACGAGTTTTGCCGGATTTTCGGGAGCCTGGCACGGTCGTTCGAAGAGGCTCCACTTCCTCAATGGGCCGCGTGACAATCTTGAGTATCGCATTGAGCCTACTCTGCATGTCCTGAAGACCATAGAGGCGTGAAAGCTGCATTCCTTCACAAACGTTTGTGTGTGCCGCTCGATATTCGTGGATGTCACAGTTCGCCACGGCCATATTGTATATGCAGATGCATAAGCGCCGAACCATTTGCTTGTACGGAATTTCTTGTCGCTTAGATGAAGACGGACTATTGCCGAATGCCCTGATCGTTGTTACGAACGACTGTTTTGTCTTCCCATCTTCATTATCGACCCGCATCGTGATAGAAGTCGGTGACCGAACAACTGCGTTCTTTGCTTTTGACCCTGGTGAAAGAGACGGTGACATCGAGGCGCTAGCCGTCGTATTCATTCGAGCCAAAAGATTCTTCACTTTCCTGCCATTTTGCGGGTTGCTTCTTGGTGTTGCGGAGGAGCCATCGCCCCTTTGTGTTTGTCTGCTTTTCCATGATTTTCGTGGAGATGGTGACCGAGACATTCGCGTCCCAACTATCGTGCCGACCTTCAGTACCTTGTCTGCCAGAGCGGGCGTGCTTGCTCCACTTTCCTCTGTCTGCTCTTCATGGGTAATACGGGCACGCAGCTGCATGTATGCTTGCAAATTCAGTTCGATGCTCTGGCGAGCTTGCTTTGTAGGAAACAAAGAGGCAAGGCCCATTTCAACCCGGCCGAGAAGGTCGGCATGGACGAGATCCTCATGAGAGTGCGCATGCTTCTCAGCACACGACTGAGATGCCCGGAGAGCTAATAGCGCTTTCTCGAAGTGCTTCACTGCTGCAAAGCTTTTTCGTCCTCTGCGATAATGAATCCCGAGATTCGCGTACAGAACAGCTTGCAATAACGAGAATTGGGCGGCAGAGGTTTTTGCTTTGCTTTCTGCTTGATGCGCTTCTAGTACTAATTGGTTTTGATCTACCTCAACTGCCGCCTCGGAAATATTTGTTGTAGTTATAGTCTGGTCGGCCTCTGCCATTTGTTTTTGTTCCTGCAGGCGCGGTCCGTCCTGTTCGCCTTCTTGCTGTGATTGCAGGTCATGATGGGCGACAGGTGCTTCACAGCCAATCGTAATGTCGCGGTGCGTCCGAGATGAAGGGCGCGCGGCGCTGTTGTTTACTTCTGGGTCCGTACTCTCGCTTTTGATATTATTGAGGTCGGCAAGGCGATCAAGTGCCTGAAGCAGCAGCGACGCGGATGCTGCAGCTTCTCCAGTCTCACAGAGGTAAGCTGCGAAAAAAATACTGTCCCGTATGAACCGATCCAATGCCTTTTCAAAACTGCCTAGTGCGAAGAGATTTGTGTGCTTTTTGCGTGATTGCAAGGCCGCACTCAGGTCTTCGAACGCGGCTAGGACCGTAGAAAGCTTTGTTTTTGGTGTGATTCAACGTACTTCAAAAACTAGACATTAGTAAGTAATTAGTTTCGATGAATCATTACCTTATAATATAAAGAGCTAGTACTGATTCAGCCCTACGAAGTATTCGCACATGGTGAGTATATCGAAGTCCTCCACCTCCACCTACCGCTCGTTGCATTAGCGAAGGCAATCAAGTGCTCGCAAAAACAAACACACACACAGCCAGAAACTGAATTCACTTTGACAGCGAGAAGAAGTGGGTACCTGTAAACTCGAGGAAGCGCTCGTGGCTCCATCCTGCTCTATTCTGCCTATCTTTTCTTCGACCGCAGCGAGTGCTTCGCCCGCCTTCCTTTCAAGGTTATGTGCATGCCGCTTTACCCTGCTAAACGCAGGGCTACCTCCAGTTATAAGAGCATGCGTATCAGAAAGAGACGAGGTGCCTCGACCCTTCTTTGGTGATGGCGACGTAGGATGATTTCTCTTGGCAGCATCTTTCGCCGGACTTGAGCGGCGGCTTTTATCTCCGTTATCATCTACTTCTCCTCTTGTTCTTGTACTGTTGCCTCCAACTCCATCGCCATCTTCCTGCTCGTCGTCAATATCAGCGTACAAATGACTGCTAATCGGTGGTCTCGGGAGGACGAGAAACGATTGTAGGAAAATCTGCGAGTGCTTCTCCGGAACGACTGATGATGAAGATGACAGTGTCGCGCCTCTGCCAGACTCAGCCTGACTAATGCGCCCTGCTGGAGACGAGCAGGGCCGAGGTAGCGCCATCTTATTTTGACTTACGTGTCTGTGTGCTGACTGTTATGTCAAACCCAACGTGAGAACTGAAAGAATAACTACAACCAGTACCAGTTCACAATTATTATCACAGAAAGATACTTAGCCCAACCGCAGGAGCAAAAAGTAGAACCCTTCCCAGATTTTCAGCTATATTTGTTCCACGAACAACAATCAATTACCAGGGTTAATATGATCGGAATCGGTCTTGAAACATAGAAGAGTAACGGTTTGTCGTGGTAAAAGAGTGATAGATAGCACTACCACGAAAACATGCACCTCTTGCTTCTTTTCGCTCGCGCTCAGTGATGTCAGCGTTATCTTGAATCTTCATCTCTTGCAGAATGAGCCTTCGCCTTTGCTGATCTGAATCTGTATTATATACATGTTTAATAAGTCATGCAATTGGACCTGGAGAGCTAGATACCGAGTCACTTTCGTGCACGAAAATAGAAGGAAAACCGAAACAAATTAACTTAAAGTTTTCAGCTTACTTCAGAAAAGCGTCTCCGTCTTCAGTCAGACTCGTGCCTCTGCATCCCTCGACAGATGGTAGCTCTGTGGTCGAGCAAGTCCGTTTCAGTGACGTTTTCCCTTTTGAAGTACTCGCATTGACTTGCAGCTGTGCCACTTGCACATCCGAGGCTCTGCGCCATATCTGGAGGACCTTCCACGTGTCGCCTCGAAATACACAGCTAGAAGTCCTACTGCGTTCCTATTCTCAGCAAAGAGTGTGAGTTCTTACAGGTATTAGAAAGTTGTAAGAGTACTTCTACATTTTAAAGATGCTGCCATTTATAGATTCACTTCCACGATTTCTTTACTCGGTAAGAAAGTGAAGGAGCAGTTTCTCCCCATCGTATTTTCTCAGACAAGTCGTGGATCAAAGGGTTGTTGAAATTGAATATTCATCACCGTCCGTTGCTTTCTATCGTTCATATGTGAGGGCTGAGTTCGACGATGCCTCCCCTAGCGCAGGGGGGGGCAACGTGCAGCCCCGGACTTTTTCGGGAGCCGTCTGCCGGGGCTGGAAGGCTTCCACAGGGGTCGCGAGAGACCCGGAGGGCCTTGGCATGTACCCGACAGCCTGCCGATGTGCTTCGCCGCCGCAGCAGTGCGCCGGGTGTGGAAGGCCTCCGAAGGCGGCAAAAGGAGCAAGGGTGGACCCCCTGAGCCGTGTGGCCTGTACCCTTCGGGCCCTGGGCCATCGGCCTCCGTGCTCTTGAGACCGTGGCCACCTTCGGCGGCCTTCTCCCCCGGGGACTGACCTCCAGCCTGCGAGGGTCAGCAGAGGCGAGGAGGTCCCTTAGGAACATGCAGAGACAGAGGCGCAAGGGGACGCCCGCGCCCAGTTACAGTTTTGACGCCTTCCACCACTAGAATCCGCGAAAATCAGCGCGGAAGAGAGCGCGCAGGCGCCACCAGTGCAGCCCCGAAGCATATATAAAGCCATGATAGTGCGGGTTTCTGTAGCAAGGGGCACCAGCTGGGCTATGTGGGTACCTCTAGTCAGTATGTAAAAAGATGTGATGTCAGTATCTTCTAAAAGTGGATATGAATGCATATGTTACGAACTCATCGTGGTGGCTGTATCGACAAAGACCATCTCACTTCTTAGAAAAAGATATGGTATGACTTGATATCTTCCATGATCTTCCCATGGTTGATGCACACGCTAGTAGATTTACATGATCTTTGATATCATACGCCTAGCACGGACAGGCATCCGGGAAAATGACAAGCATTTTTATCGTGCTTTCAGCACGGGAGACCGACTACTCTATCCTTTTAGTAAGGCGACAAGCATAAGGATTTCGCATGATCATCAAAAAATACAAACTAGATTTCTTTGTCCAGAAGACATAGAGTCATAACAGCCACTGCTATTTACCTTTGGGTTAGGTTCGACTTAGGATACCGTCCGTTAGAGAAGATCTCTAGACTGTTTCGTCACCACTCAATGCATCCTTCGAGAGGATTTTGAGGACATACTCGCTCCAATTCGACTTGTCATCAGGCTTGTGGTCTGTCGCCGCTTGCCGCACCTGATTATATAGAAAGACACCGCATTTTTATCCGCTTGGTGCGGATGAAGGAGTGACGAATATAATAAGTCCTGCTTAAGTGACAGTTTTTACGGGAAGATGATCCAGTTCCAGATGATGTAATATTCAACTTTCAGACAAGTACAATTTCATCTTTTTTAGATTTTGAAATAAGAGAGAAGTAATACATGAAGCAGGGCAGAAATTAAACGCGGCGTCCCATGACGATCGCCTATTGAGTAGAGGAAGCGTGTCAATCGTAAATCGAAATCGCTTTTTTTGACGTTTCCTTCCTTCAAAATCTCCTCCATTGCCGCAGAAACAAGGCGCTTTGCCTCTTTTTTGCTCTCCGTACCTGGATTTCGTACTGAATGCGAAAAACAGAACTAAGTACGTGTTCACAGAAACTGATTACTTATATCGAAACGGATCGAAATGCACGCCAGATGCTAACATCATATTCAATGTCATTTCTATTCGCGTAAAGCTAGCATATTAAAGTGTCGTTGTGATTGGGATGTCGGCCCATCTACAAGAATAATACTTGCAGCCACTTCAGCCCAACTTCTCGGCTTTCCTGAGCCCAGTTCCTCGTCGGATGCACCAGATCCAGCAAGTACGTCCACCGTCTGCTGACGTTTTTTGTGATTCTTAGTCTTACTATTTCGGATGGATATGGAAGTGCGGGTTGAAGCTCAAGTACTCGTCTGATTGTGATTCATGAAAAGCAAACAAGTAGTTCCTACGTACTGACGAGCATCACTGATTACCACCTTTTTACAACAACAAAGTTGGATACAGCGGTAAGACCGAGACAGAAACAGATAATGAAAAGGCTATGAAGTGCTGGGTACATTGTCGTCGGCACTGCTTTCCAGTGGTGGCGGCGGTGGTACGACAGCACCGTCGACAGTATCACCCGGCCGAAGTAGGAGGCCTTTGCCATCGCTGCTGTCCACCATAGCATTAAGCTTGCCGTCTTTGCCGTGGTTGTCGAGGTTAACTGCCTTGCTTTCAGGATTCATAACCTCTTTCGCCTTGGCCGCGGTCATCGTGGGCCTCTCGCGGCGCGGAGCCATGACCGAGGCGGAGCGTCTTTCCGAAGCCCATCTGGCCGCAAACGGATCGTGAGCCCGCGGGTTACAGCCATAATATCCGTAGGTATACACTGCAGGGTGTCGAGAAGGAGGGTACGCGCCGCAAAGACCGGCACCTCCGTGGCTGTAGTACATGTACTCCGGAGGCGGCATTCCATGGTACCAGCCTCCGCGACCGCCGGGACCCAGCAGAACGCCTCGTCGCATGGCAGCGCCGTGGTTGTAGTTGTAGTTGGAATCGTAACGGCGAGATACCGAGCGAGCATTTCCATGATTAGAGCTAGCTAGCCCTTCATCGCGTCCTCGAGTGGCTGCGTCTTCTTGACAGTTCTTGGCTTCCGTTGCCGATGCAGCATTCGCGCCTTTGGTCGCATCGCCGTTCTTGAAGCTTCCCTGTTGTTCAGCGACAAAGGTAGTCGGAGTGCCGTCATGCTTCGGTGGAACAACGGGAGCTCCTTTGCTCTCGGCTTCGTTAAGTGCTTCGTGGAATTTCTCGAGTACAAATTTGCTTTTGTTTGACGTTGGTTTGAGCGGTGTGCTGCTCACGACCTGCTCCACTTCATCCGTCGCGTCAAGATCCGCTTCGATGTCTTCCAAAGAGGAGGTCAATTCAGTTTCGCTTTTCCAAAACGTCTTTTCACTTTCTTTATGCTCGGCCGTCTTGCATTGTTCCAGTTTTCTGTTCCGGCGACCAGCACGAGGAGTCGTACTCAGTTCCACTGTTGCTACAGCGACTGCGCCAAAATCCATGTGAAACAAGTCCGCCGCGATCGCTGTCGCTGAAGGGCCCTTTGTACTAATGATGTCGTTAAGCTGAAGATTTTGAGTTCTTTCATATTCATCCCGATCATCTTCGGCAAGAACAGACTTCATGTTGGTGCCATCTTCACATTTGTTCTTGGCGTATCCCTCTGGTGTGATGCGAGCTCCGTCGACCTTTTCGGCATCATCACCTTGCTCAAGTATCTTCTGCATCTGTTGACGACTGGCAACATTTTCGCTTTGCCTCGTCGTACCGAGGACCGTGGGGCGCCCGGACTCGAAGCGTCGCCCATCCTCATTCGTGCGCGGCGCGTGACCACTTCGCCAATCACCTCGAAAGGATGGCCACATGATCGGGTACGGACTCGGGGACCACGCAGGACGAGTCGGGAATCCACGATTCCACATTTGTCGCGCGTAGTAGCCTTCATACCTGGTGGAATGTGGATGCCACGTCCATATACCAGCGATATATTTGTTAAGTTAGACCTATCTTCAAAATACGCTGTAGCTGTACTAGAGGCTAATGCAAGTAAGTAAACATCCCCTCACATCATGAACCAAATGGAAGCCTTGTTTATAATTAGAGTAAGTAAAGCGCCAAGGTTCGAGTAACTCGAGTTGCCGAAGCGAAGGGCTTCAATTCTGGAACGAGTTGCCACGAGTTGCCGGAAGATATCCGCTTCACCGGAGTGCGGCGTAGCCGGGCGGTATGGGCACGGTTGTGGCTGCGCGAAGTGAAGAAGTGGCTGCTTTTGTTGTTGCTCTCTCACGAAAGGGGCAGTCGGTTGTGAAGGGCTCCCCAGCGAGCCCCTCCGGCATTTCTTCTTGTAGCGTGTGGGCGCGCGTTTGAAGCGCAGGCATTAAGGGGCCGACGGCTTCGCCTCGTTGATGTTTTTGTTTGAGGGAGGAGAGTGGCGCTGTGCCTTGTCGTTGGGTCGGTGCCAATCTCTCCCGTTTTTCTTCGGATGTGTGCGTGGCCAATGAGTCTCTTTTGGGGCTGAGAGTGCGCTCCCGTCTGCTTTGGAGAGCGGCCCACTCAGCCTAGGAAGGAAGTAGACTAGGGCATGAATGTGGTGGATGCCTTGTGTGTTTGAGTGATCAAGTGGCTGGGAGGAGTTCCCGAGCTGAAGGCGGTTGCCCCCTCTCGTCTCTGGTGCGCATTAAGAAGAAGACCAGGGATCGGAGGCATGGAGTGGAGTGTCGCGCGCTCCTGCTGAGGTGTCTCAGAGTCTCAGAAAGCTGCGCCCGAAGGGCGCCGCGCAAAAGATTACGGTGAGCAACCCGAGAAACTAGACCCGTGACGGGCCAAAAAGATCCTAATTCTATTATATTACTAATAGCATCTATTTCAATTAATCTACTTGATAGTCCTAATTATTGCAAAAAGAATATTTATCTATTAGAGTGGCATATGGCTCATGTTAGTCTATATTATTAACCACCCCACGGATCACCGCCACAAAATTCGCCGCCTACTCCGCCGGAGAAGATTAGCCCTGTCCCTCCTTGAGGCCCTTCCCCCTAGTCTCTAGCCCCAGCGCCGATAGTCTCCGACCGGTCTTCCGTGATCTTGTCCTTGTGAGAAAGCCACCGGGCATACTTCCAGAAGAGAAGCCGGAAAAATTCCCGACGGGAGTAGGGGCGCCAGTTGAGGACAGAAGTCTGACGAAAGAAGACTGGCGACAGACGTCTGACACTGACCGACGACACGAAAAACGTCTGGCGAAAGACTGACACCAGACGAAAGACACCCGACGCACACGCAAGACCTTTCACAAGAGACGCCTCACGAAAGACGCCCCGCGACGAAAGACGCCCCGCGACGAAAGACGCCCCGCGACGAAAGACGCCCAGCGACGAAAGACGCCCCGCGACGAAAGACATTTCACACGAGACGCCTCACGAAAGGCGCCCGCTGGCGAAGCAAAGACACCTGACGGAAGACCGACGTCGGGCGGATGACGTCAGACGCAAGACGTCAGACGAAAGTATGTGAGACGTCAGACGAAAGACGCCCGAGAGCCGACGAAAGACGCCTGACGAGAGACGTCGAAGCTATCAAACCTGGCGAACCACGTCTGGGGAGAGACGCGCGACGAAATACATCTGACGAAAAACATCCGACGAAACGCATCGACGTCCGACGAAATACATCTGACGAAAGACATATGACGCCAGACATCTGACGAAAGCGAGACGTCTGGTGCCGGACTGGCATCTGACTGTCAGAGAAGAGTAAGCAAGGGAAACATCTGACGAAAGACGGCGGACGAAACGCGTCGATCTGACGCAAGACGTCCGATGGAGGACATCTGACGAAGGAGATTAGTCTGAAGACAGACGTCGGACGCAAGAGCAAGACATGCGCCCGACGGTAGGCTTCAGTCTGACGAAAGGCATCAGTCTGACGAAAGGCGCCCGCCTGACAAAAGACGCCAGCCCGACGAAAGGCGTCAACGAACCTGACGTAAGAACTCAGTCTCACGAAAGACGTCGGCCCGACGGAAGACGGAAGTCCGACGAAAGACATACCTTCGGCGACTTTCGTTCGGACGAAAGACAGCCGACCATCCAATTCCAAAGGCGTCCGACGAGGCAAGACATCCTGCCAGCTGTACGTAGAGAGACCCAAACCAGCACGCCTATGCGCTTTCTTTCTTGACCCATCAGGGTCGCCCCTCTTGCCTGCTACCGCGGCCCGGCTATGTATAAGCGTGGGGGCCTGTGGCTCCTTATGCGTGAACGATGGCGCCCTTCGGATTTTTTTGTTGGACTGCCGTGGGGGTCTTGCAAATTCTTAAGAATTTGCGTGACCCCCCCGGCAGTCCCATAAAAACCGAAGGCAGCCGACTCATCGGCCCAGAGGTCAACGCGTCTAAGTCAGCTCGCGCCGGCACCCTCGTCGTAGTTAATTCTTCAAGGTGGACTGCATATAGCTAACCCGCGGGCTATCTCTAGCTGTAGCCCGTGGGCGGCGAACTGCTGAAGCTATACTTGAAGCCGGGCGAAGCTTGTGGAGGCTAGTTTCTTACCGAGAAAATTGTAAAAAATGTTCGTACCAGTAAGCCTGGCGCGGATGCCCTGGCCGTCTTTTTGTCAGAAAATCTCGCGCAAACAGCTTCATATGGCCCCGGGGTTGTTTCGGAATGGATGTAGCGTTCTTAGACATGATTTTAGAATTTTTGTTCTGGTCTCTCGGCTTTAGTTGCTCTTGATTACCATCGGTCCCCGGAGGATTTGCCATTTCCTTCTTTTCAGCAGTGTCTTCTTCTTGAACGCAGTCCGTTTCATCCGTCTTCTCAACCTCCGCTCCTTCACGACCCTGTACTTGTGAAACTCCTGCAGGAGTTGTTGCAGTTTCTCGATCTTTCTCATCCCCGGGGCCATCGTCGATGTCCGGCGACTCAAGAACTAGATCCGGAGAAATAGTGTCATCGAGGCCAGGAGACGCCAACTTCGTGCAACGCGTGCTCGGTGTCACAGGCGCGGCGCAATCTTTAGGCGTCTTGCTTAGAGGTTGTAAAATTTTTACACATCATCTTCTGAGTTGCACCTCAAACTTCTACTTGCCTATAATAGGTGGAAAATAGGCCTTCCAGGATGACCTGTGCTATGTGAAATGATGTGGTAGCACTTAACTTGCGCACTGTTTGTGGGCACGGAGACGCGCTTGGCTTCCGTTGTTGCTCCGGTGCGGGTGTTTGATTTGTTAGAACGCGAATTAGAGCCATGATAGAAGCTTACATACAGATATACTTTCATTTCTTGCTGCTAGCAAATGCAATGCCAATGAATATAAATACGTTTCTATTATATAACAGCTCTTCTAACAGCGTCCTTCTGATTATTGGCACAGAGCAAAGGGCACGGACTCCAACAACGAGATGTGACGACTTCTTGTTGGAATATTCTTTCTCATGATCATGATACATTTTTTCAAGCAATTGCCTCAGGGGTAGGGCATATTTGACCTCGTTCCTCAAAGATCGATGCGCGTCTAGGTTAAATTTCATCATAATAAGCCACGTGCAGCTTCTTTATGCGCTTGAAGCCACTGCTGCAGCTCGCGTGTGACCGCTGCTCGTTCAGTCTGCGCAGAGCTTTTCGCCACGCTTCTGGGTCGCGTATCTGCCGCCGACGGAGATCATGAACGGAGCCGGGAAACTACAGTAACTACTAGTAGTTGCTACAACGGAGCTGTGCACCAATTTCTTATCGAGACTCGCTTCGGTGGACGAAAGTAGAAGCTATGTTCATGTGTTGAGATTTCACAGAAAAAGTCCATTCATAATGGAGCTCCTGCACTTTCGTCAAGCACAGCAGGATCCATGCTTTGCGTGCGCGGTCGCGGCTGTCGGACGTTGTTCGGCGCTCGGAAATGTGCCGTTCCTCGATGTTGGCCTCGCAGCCCAGCGTAATAAAGATAGGCAGAACTGTTCATGTTCTTGTTCTTGTAATAATCGTAGTAGTTGTAGAATTCGTTCTTGTTACGTCGGTTGTCAGCATAATTGATGTTGCGTCCGAGGCTTCCTTTTCTGCCGTGTAAATAGTTGCCGTACCAGTCAGTCGTACCTCCGCTTCCGAAAAAAGGTCCTCGAAACCAGGGTAAGAAGTTATAATTGCGATGCGGCTGCGGGCCTGGTGGGTAAGCCCCACGACCATAATACGAAGAATAGTAGGGATTTTGAGCTTGTACAGGAAATCGCTCGTTACTATGAAGGGCAGTCCGTGGTTTGCTGGATGTCCTGCTGTGCACAGATGAGAGCCTTCGGTCCGTTACCGTTTTCATCTTTTCCTTCCTGCCTTCTTGCACTAATACAGCGGCCTTGGAATCATGAGGTTGAGCTGCGCGCATCGGAGCTGCCGAAGACTCGCGTTTCACAAAGTTGTCATGTCCTTTGCCGCGAGCAACCGCGGAAGAGTTACGCGTCATAGGACCACCTCGAGCAGCTGCAGAGCCAACTGAAAATACTCGACTCTGATCGCCATGACCCACCGACTTCGCTGCCGTGGTACTCTTGTTCGTCACTAGCAGTGTAGTTCTAGAAGATGCCTCGTTGCCGTTACCATTCGAGGACATTCTTGCAGCATCTCTTTTGTCGACGTCCCTGAAGGTCGTCTCTTTCATAGCGCTTCGATGTCGGGGGCGTCGACTTTTCTTCTTTGCGGTCTTATCTACTTCCTTGACCTGCGCGACTTCTGGCTTTGCAGGCACATCGGCAGCAAAGAGCAGACAATGTTTTGCGCCGAAGGGATTTGCGTCACCAACTTGGCCACCAAAAGGATGCGGTACTAAAGGTTGAGCAGGTGGATCTCTGGAATCCATTAAAGCCGGAGCCTGCTGGACAGTCATGGTCGCTCCGTGCTTGGCGCCTTTCATCTGCCCATCTCCATTGGCAGACCCACGGTTCCACGAGGCTCGCTGGGGAGTCCATTTTCTCCATGCTGATATATCCTCGCTCTCAACCTTATACTTATCCGCCATTTCTTCCTCTACGTAGCATCTTCCACCTGTAACGGCCTCGGACATCGAAGGTCGTCCCCGCCGTGCTCCTGCTGCTCCTCGTTCAGGAGCCTTGGTGTTATACTTGTGGTTGGTATATTTGAATTTGCTGTCATAGAAGTTGCCCTTGTCATGATCTGGCCGCGCAGCAGTCGTCGCTCTGTTTGGCTGAGTCCATTGCTTCGTTTCGTGTTTGCCCTTGCAAAGGTCCACATGCCGCCATGTGCACCGCGCGCCTCGTGGACAAGTGCCTGTCTTGGCAAAGTCCCAGCACACGTCCCAGGGCAAGTCTTCTTTCTTCACCATCTTTTTGATCTGAGTTTTCTAATTTGTTGATGCTGGCCTTAATGCCCTTACTCTAAAGATATATTTCTATTTCTTTCATAGGCAGAAGAATAACTTCATCTTCAAAATGGTCACATGTACATGTAGAATGATGAAAGATGTCTAATAAATTGTTGTATGTGTAGTTCCACACGATGTTATGTTCTTGATCTTGTTCTTCTTCTATTCAGAATGGATCATGATATGCTTTGCTATTCGTTCTAAAATTACCAAATGAGAACAAGTACCCGTGCTGGTCTAAAAAATTCCTAAGTGTTCATTTCGTGCGAAGCATACAGTGCAACTTCGTCTGTTGTCTTTGCTTCCGTGTGTCCATAGTAAATACTTGATAGTCGCCACTCTCGCTCCCTCCCTCGCATATGAACTCTTCTGACGACCACTGCCAGAAATCAGTTCCAGTTGTCCGTAGAAGTATCACTAGAGAAATGTCTGGGAAGGATCCACCTGCATCATGGCAGCTCTCGTCAGCATTGTTATGAAGAAAGGTCTCATCTTATGAGCGTTGCTTGTGCTTTTGAATTGGCTCTGTGGAACACATGCAAATCTAACCCTATGCTTTTTTCTCCACTAGCAGACTGCTACGTTAATGATAGGTACATATAAAGTGAAGACCACATGAGACATTAAGATGGAAGACTGGCACTGGCATTAGCTTTTGCCTGGTTTCTATTGTACTTGTTGATGTAGACCGTCAAGCTCGTCATATTCAGTGAAAGTGCTGTCATGTGGCTGACAAAATCGTGAATAAGGTTGTACTTGTCCAAGGTTCATCAGAATTTCAACTTCTACATAATTGTACTCCTTGGTTCTAAAATAATGAACAAATAAGAAGATTCTTACAATCGAAAGAACTGCATCGACGTAGGTGGGCGTGAACCGCTGAATCTTCTATGTCTATCGATAGATTGTAGTTGGGTTTTTCTGTACTAATATCAAGATGGAGGTCTCTTTCGTTTTTGCTAAAACTTTGGTATGCCCGTTGTCCCCCTGCGAATTTCTCCATCGTTTGTTACTTCCACTTCAGAAACCAAACTCCCACAACCAAGGAAGGAGCCCCAACATCATCAAAACCCACACACAATAAATTTCCGAGCCTTGTTCACTCCAGAAGGTGGCGGACCTGCTACATGAAGATAAATACTTTTAAAGAGAAGGGCGAACGATACGATGATCCACTCCACAACGAAAGGAAAATGGGAAAAACAACATATGCCTCGTCGTCCAACATTAAAAAAGTGGGGGATTTTCTGAAAAGGATATCAATACTAAGTAAGTAACAGCACCTTGTACATCGAAGTCTTTAATGCGTAGATAACGTTTCCCGGAGTTAGACACCCACCTTCAAATTTACAATTTCCAATTCGTTGCTAATCCGATATGCTCCAAGTAACAAGACCCAGATCTTGTTGGTCCTCCCTGGTGATCGTTAGTATAGCGCATTCACCCTCAGGGCGCTACTCGTCGTAGCTACAGGTAGAGTGATGATCTTGCGGGACAGCTTGTCCTTGTGCACCATAAACCATCGTCAGAATTGAATCCATGTCCTGCTTCTCTTCACGCCGTCGTTGAAAAAGAAGCCAAGGGTACACATAGATCAAGAATGGCGTCAAAAAGAATAAGTAGACTATTCATTGAACAAAATCCAATACAACAAGTTGGAGAAAAGCACGACGCCGGTCCTCACCTTTTCGGAGCAATAACGAGCCACAGACAAGCTCAAGGCCAAGGGGGTTTTCCCGTTTCTCGCCCTGGACCGCGGTCCACGTATTTTCTTTTTGAGTTAGGACTATATGCCACCGCCCCTTGAAACAATTAAACGCTACTTAAACAGTTACATACTGGGGGCGCATAAGGCCGTACATTCGGCCAACAATTCTACAACTATCGGAAGGGCCGCACATTCGACCCTTGTAGAAAATCTAAGGCGCAACCCGACACAGCGGGGCCCTATGAGCAAGTCAGCACACCTGCAAGGGTATGACACGCCGCGCAACTGATGACTGATTTACTGACTTGCGCCCTACCGGATGCTTTGAACATTAAGTAAGCAACTACGACTCAAAGAAACGATATCAGAAAAGCAGGCCGAAGCTAAACCCAAGCGCAGAGATCGGGAGAAGGAAATAGTAACTTTTTGGAGATCTCGACCAGTGAAGTCACATGCCTCGCCGGTCATCTATAGCGCGGAGCTAAAACTTTGAGCGGGGCGGCCTGGTGAAAGTATGCGAGGGTGGCATTAAGTGCCCCTAGTATAGAATTAGAAACTTCCCATATTGGTGGAGCTACTGCAAAATATACCCTACTTCGCTAGAAACTTCGCAGGCCCCTCCTGAGACCATCTTCGCCACTTTTGCCGTCGCCTCTACCATGCTCACCTCCTCATTTCGACGCTAGCGCATTCGCAAAAAAAATAGAACAAAACGATAGAAAGAAAAAAACTGGGCGGCTAACTCTCACCACAGGGGCTACCTGATGCCTGATAACCACGACGCTATTAAGAGCGGGCGGGAGATAAAAGGATCGGCGAGGGAGAGCGATGGGACGCTCTTCCCCATTTAATTATGCCACATAAGTCTACTACTCTATGAAGTAAAAAGCGCGGCACTCTCGGATCTCTCTCACGGACAGAAATCTCCACACGCAGCCACGACAGCACTGAGGAAAGGCCAAGATGTCTATCACTGTGATATGTAGGCCTCCCCGAATTTGGTCTGCCTACCGCCTCGTGACTTACTCGAACCCGATGATCGATAACCTGTATCATCCAAGGAAAATCATCACAGGCCACTCGATGGCCGCCATTGCATAGACACACAGCTATACTACGTGGAGGTTAGCTTGATCTACCGTCTACAGACCAAGACTAATAGCCACTCATCTTGAGTTACTTGAATCGAACGAACAGGCGAAGAAGCAACGCAAAAAAAAACCAATGAATAATAAGCCACGAGATCCGATACGCCGAAATACAGAGACAATGAAATTTGGGGGAATAACCAGGAAGACCGAATGATTTAGATTTAGTAATCGTAAATGAAGCATTCAGATTGATCCACGTATAATTTTTATCTACAACGAGTAGAGGAGGAAATTGATCTACAACCAAGAGGAGGATGATGTCGCGCTTTTGAAGGAGGCCGTGGGGCCTATGGTATTTGATGAGCGTGGTGAAGCAAGCGCTTAAGATGAGAATTGATTCTTGTATGCCAAGTATCATGTTAATGTTTCTATGAGCTGAATGCTAAGATGTCGCTGTCGGCAGGCTAATTTGGCCGGTGCTACCTCAGATACAGCCCTCTTATCGACAAGCAAAGTTGATTGCTACCATGTACATCATCGCGACGATAATAACAATTGGACCTAAAAAAACACTAACACCAAGCCATGTTAATTCTCGAAGGTGCAGACGAGCTGCGTTGACATATTCATAAGGAGTGGCATTCCCAAATGATAGCTTCGATGCAGGTTGACTCTAATGCTTTGGTCAGATTCCTCTAAGTTCTAACAAACTCCTCTGTTGTAGTTACGACAATCGTCCTTAGGCGAACGACGCTATAAATTCTCACGTTCAGATATACATCCAACCACCTACTTAGAATCAAGACCGCCTGCGTGTACGGAAGTACTAGAAACGAAAAATTTCGACTCAGATTCCTACTCAGAACAAGTGGCTTAATATTTCATGTAACAGTAGTGGCAATATTGAGACTTGAGCCACGCCTGACATTTAGCTGGTGGCGTTCACGCTAAGCCACAGACCTAGGAGGCCTCCCAAACGCCCACAAGACGCTTCAACGTTTTCGGGCAGAGCGAGCATGTCAGAATCTGATCTCAAACACAATGTGCGCATACTACTAAGTAAAAAGAAGCTGTTATGTATTCTATGCGCAGGGCACCGCGAATGCGAAAGGGTTTTTGCTTGCGTGCTATATTATGAGCGTAAGTTTTATTTGACTTAAGAGACGACGCCATGGTCGTAAGTTGTTGACTTTAGAGACGATCTTCATGAACGAACAGAAAACGTCTTCAACTACAATTATAGCACCAGTGAACTCCCGAAAGGAAAATTCACTCGAGTGCCTCGAAGGAAGTTTACTCTACCTCACTGAATCTGATATGAGTGTACATCACCAGCATTTTTCGGACTAGAAGTATTAAATTCCATGTCTGCCTTTCCTTTTGTAAGAACATCACCGGCATCGTTAGATAGTTGCTTCATCTGTATATGATTCATAACACCACTAGCGGAGTTCACCTTCAGCTTTTTTGCTCTTGCACTGCCCCTCACAGCCAACCCGCAGTGTTTTTTCCGCTGTCAGACAGTCTACAGCCAGAAAAAACTCATAATGATGACTGTTGAAAACTACTCTTTAGCAGATATGCAAAACTGTGCAACGTAGATAGACTACACGTACACGCTTTTCTTCTACGAATGTTCGACCGTAGTGTATATGAGAAATATTTTCTAACTTCCATGTCGATCAAACCTAGTCGCACTATCATTAAATATACGTGAGATGACGACCATTGAGATCCATTCTATCTTGTAGTAGGACAGAGACAGACACTTCATTTGTATACATAATAAATTTGGTACTTAGTTCTTGTCTTTTGGGCACGTCCGCAGCCCGCCGGTAATTGAATAAGCATCCAACAAAACGGAATCGAGTGTCTGAAGACATGGCTGCCACAGAATGTCGCTGCTGCGTTCTCTTGATTCCACACCAGGGGCAGCGGCCACCGCACCTGTCTGGCAAGTGGCGATAGAACGCACGACCTGACATGCCTAGTATATGATCAAGCAATACATAGCATTAGCAAGATATAATAATGTCCCCCACTGGATTATATATAACGAGAGTGTACACGAAATGCTGTGAGTGGCAATTTGGGTGGTTAATATCCGGAAAGGGTGAGGATTCGGGTGAAATGCCTACATCGACATGCTTCGCCAGAGTGGGTCGGGGATTTATAGATTGATACATAGGCAACTGTCATGGACGCATCGGCCCATTTACGCATTCCGGTAGATGCTCGACAACATCATCGAGAACGAGTGTTATTGAGAACGAGCGATAAACGAGCCACAACCGCAGCTCGGCTCATAGTAATTGCAGAATCCATGACACAGCAACAAAAAATGAACTCGATGACTGAAGACCGTCTGTGCTATGTGATGGCCATTTCAATTTATCGTGCCGGGTAGCGGCGCGGCACTAGTTAGATCATGAAATACCACCCAGACCTATCATATTTTCTTCGAACAAGCTCTTGATCCTCATATTCAATAATAAATATATTATAATGAATTGATAATTTATTACAACACGGAATTTTTCAACAAGTAGAGAGTCTTCTGAGGAAAGAACAACGAAGGACGAGGGACTGGCAAACACAGTACGGACCGAGGTCACCTCACACAACGCTGAAGTATTTGGTCAAAATCAAATTATCATCTTACGTGAATGACTCATAGGTGAACCATACGTACACAGATACTGCAATGAGTAGCTTCTATACATTTCTAACGGTTTTCTCGCTTTCGATCACTGTACCCGCTTACAAGCGTGAAGAATAAAGCAAGATTGGCTGTTTGCAAAAGGAAATGCTTCGACCAAAGAGAGCGGGTTATCGTATGCCTACAATGATCGCGCTATAGCGCCCTTCCCTGCCTAATTGCTCAGAGGCCTTTCCATGCCTCGCCAGAATTGTAAATTTTCCACCTGCCAACGCGCGAAGCTCTGCCCCGCTGTTGGCAACAGTTTTGAGCAAAGCGGAGATGACTGAAAAACAAAACTCAAATCTGTGTACTTATCTTAATATTATATAGGGACATAATGAGTGTACCGAATGATGAATATGAATTCAATAAATTGTGGGGACATAATGAGTGTACCGGATGATGTCCTAATGTAGAGACACAGTCGCCCTACTTACTTATGCGGCAAATGGGATTGATATTTGTTCGTAGTTAGTATAATTTCGTTATCAGACAACAGATATAAAGTGGAGAAACGACATAGACATCGGACCTCCATCATGAATAGACTGACTAAAAGACCTTGTTCATCGCAAGACTTCCAGTCAGTCACAACTTCTGACGATGAGATAGAGGTCAGAGCTCAAACACTGCAAGCGATCGTAAAAATATACAAGGAGCGTCCAAAAGTCTTCCGCTCGGCATCTGCTAAGAGGACGTGAAAGAGTGATTTCGAGTTTGAGTTACGGACATTGAACGAACCTTTTGTATCAATCTGTTGATAAAGATGATGATCCATGATTGATAGTTTACGTTCATCAATACAATGTCAATCATGATCAAATTGACACGACTATACTACTAGAGCCACTTACTTGTACAAAAACAAACAAGATACACAACATTTATGATAATTGTAATTGATTCCTGAAAGATAAGGGACATATCTTTCACCCAGATATCAGTCTGTCGTTCATCTGGTGTCGATGTTTCTTCACCTCACCAGACCACGAGTCTGAAGGTGGATTTGAGTCTATTGCTACAATTTTAAGCCATTTCGTTTATACTACTTACTTAGACCTCTTCCCAGTTCATCCTTGTGGAAATCCCTCAAGCATATGCGTCAGGATCTCCCTCGTATTTGGGCGCTGAGGCTTAAGTGTTGTTTTTAGAGATGGACTAGGGGAAGCCTTAGCTTACGACCATACTATGATTAGTTGTCTTTTCTTTTTTCTGCTGACTCGCAATCACTACGATGCTATGAGAAAGATAGTTCTGTTGTTATTTTATACATTTATACACTTGCGAAGCAGGTAAAGCGACTGGCTCTTTCGTGCTCTCTCGACGCACGAGGTCGTGGTACTTCGAAACATCGTAAAATGTGTCACCAGTGTCCTTGACTTCGGCGCCACCGGCGATGTGCTCCGACGGCCTGTTTAATGTTGATGAAGTATATCAACAAGATTGAACCTTGTCGGAGTTCATTTTGGGTCTATGGTCGTGGAGGTCATGGCTGCACAATGGAAGAGCTTCCAATGTTGTTAAACATATAGATAATGTCTATGGTTGAAAATATGCACCAAAGAAAGTTCGCAAAAGAAAAAATTAGAGACCCTTGAGGACGCGAGAATGTCTTCCATCCGCTCTTCGTCGAACCAGAACATGGTACGTGTCGGCTTTGTCTTCTGCATTTCCATTCCGTCCATGTAAGGGATTCGACGCGCTATGGTGGCCACTAGCTCCATTCTCTTCACTGATTTGCCAGGACACCGCGTTCCATTCAAAACTTCGACGAAGCGCTTAGCTACACACTTACTTCGAAAGTGCATGAAAGCGTAGCCAAGATTCACACCTATGTTCATATTGAATGGGAGGCAGGTCGGTGAACGAACAAAAATGAGTGCCTCGTTGAAAACTGTAATGAACAAATATAATTTGGTCAACTTTATCTCACGCAAATTTTGTAAGGAATACGATTCATCCAGTATAGCTCTGACTAGAAGGCATGATCATGAACCTAAATTTCCTACTAAGTACTACCGACAAGAAGAGGACAGATATACCGTGCAAATTCTGTGGTAAGTCCACGAAATCGATGAACTGAGCGACGGCAGGGTCGAGCACCTCGGAGGCTGCGCTCACAATAGATCCGTCTTTTGACCAGGGTCCGGAGAGAACTTGTGCTGATGTGCGTGTTAAAAAAGTACTCATCGCGTACAGAAAGGGCTTCTAAACCATCAAAATTTTGCATTCCTATGCTACTGAAATGTCACGGTGCACTAAAACTAATAGCTTGTAAAATATACGAGGATCATCTTGTTCAACTGCATGAAAACTTGACATTGACTTCATAGAATCTCCAGCCATAACTAAGGTGTCTAAACATTCTAGTACCTCTCTCCGAGGCTTTGGCGGATGAGAGGAATGCACTGTCGACTTTGCTCCACGGAACAAGTTCTTTCCAGGCAAAACGACGACGCATAGTCTCATGCCGACTTCGCAAGTCTTCATAGTCTGCCTGCGTCTTCGGATTCTCCATCACCTCATATTCATCGCCACTATCGCTCCCTTTCTCGCTACCGTCCTCCTGTAGTTCGTGTTTATTGCATTGCGACCATTAACTTAATCTCAATAGGTGAAGCATGCAGCTGAATCAAGACAAAAAAGTGGTCACCAGCAGAGTAACTGCTGCTTTCTTGACGAAACCAACGAGAAGATGCTTTTCCGCTTTGTGTTTCTTTTTATTATTTACATCCTTAGATCGATCAGATACCTGGTCCTCCTGCGATATTGCCGCGTCTGCGTCCGATTTAGTGCGAGAAACGCGCTTTTCCTTCTTTCTCAACTCAGATCGCGAAGGAACGAGTTCCTCAAGGCCCATATCCTCAACGTCGCTATCGCCGGGCCTACATTTGTGATATTGCACTACCACATCGACTTCATCCTCCCCTTCATCATTATTATAGTAGAGCAGTTTATAGCACGAATGGCGCATGGGACGAATGGCACGAATGGGACACCCCAACACGCCCCAAATGTGTCACGAATGGCACGAATGGCACAGGTTGACAGGGTTCCGCTAGCTGGCGCCCCTGGTCTCCTCCGCTTGTCGAGTATGTAATGTGCGTCGTGCGTAACTGATTCTGCCCATGAGAGAAGCCACACCGGTCGACAAAGCCGGCGGCGAGCGAGGAGAGGGAGGCGCGAGCCCCTGGCAGGCTCCTCTACCGTTTTGAAAATGGCAAGGGAGCGGGCTAGGGAAACAGCGGAAGCCGCTTCTGAGAAGTGCAGAACTTCACGCAAGGCGCCGCGTGGGCCTCGTTTTTTCCCGGAATTCCGTGGGGTCATACAAATTCGGACGGATTTGCGTAACCCCCACGGAATTCCGGGAAGAAAATGCTACGAGACCACCGGGACGGCATCGGGGTCCAGCTTAGCAATAGGCGTAGCCGCGTGCCTTGCGGTAGCCATGACGACGAAGGAGGGAAGAGGTGGCGCCAAAACATGGCGCCCCGCCCGTAGCGGGGAGGCGGCCTTGGTATCTAGTGGAACTGTGTAAGGGGTGTGCGTTTGGCTGAGTGAAGGGCCTGCGGGGTTCTCGGCGGTCGGCATAGAGCGTCGAGCAGGAACTGGCAACCTAGTGGAGGGAGCAACGCAGGGCGCCCGAAGGGCGCCCCGCTCTCGAAGGTCTATTTGGTCCACGAATGGGACGAATGGCGAGGTCGATCGCGGTCACGGATTGCGCCCCCCCCATCCGTGCCATTCGATCCATGCCATCCCAGACCTGGCACCCTTATAAACTGCTCTATTATAGATACCTTGAACTTCAAGTCTATAACTGACTAACGACTGGCATAACCCATTGTTGGTCAACTAGGAGTAACAAGTCTGTTAGATATTGCCGTACAGAATCATCAAGAGCTAGTACCCATCCCCCAATGCCCAACACCCGACCAAACTTGGTCCCTCGAATAGTCTCGCAAAGGCTGGGTCGGCACGCACAGTATCGTTTGCAAACAGAAAATTCAGCAATAGATTCGGCGAAAGGCTGTAGAGGTTGTTTCTTTTTCATTTCGTGAGAACGAAGTAAAAATGTCGGGAAGGAAATAAGAGCACATCTTCCTTCAGGAGACTTGCATTCCTTCTCGGTTTGAGGGTCCGTGTGCACTAATTTTCAAATTCATCTTCTAGATACTACGAAAATGAATATAGGGTAAACGCGGAGCGGTCATCTTATAGAGTCGAGGTCATGTTGTCATGCCTATGTATTCATTAATTTAAAGCAACAAGAAGATTTCGTGTACGAGAAGTCGCCGTGCGTGTTTATGAATCAGTTTGCACAAGATGCCGTCAATCAAAACTCCAAGGAAATACCGGTTGGGAATGTTGCGCAACATGATTGAGACACCCGGACCAGTCGAGTCAGGCGGAAAGTCCCTGATTCGAGGTAAACGGGCTAGTCGCGACGGGGGGAATAACCTGAAGATACCAATCAGAGGTATTTGGGTGTAGGAAAACAATTGTAGTCATCGTTGTCGACTGCTTGAATACGTTTGTGTGGTAGAAGTCAACGAAAAAGAAGATGAACATGAAAGATCATCATCGCCTCAGTAAATATAAATCAGACTCGAAGTCTTTTATACTTTTGATTTTCTTCCTGCACCCTTCGACGATGCTCGCGAGTTCTTGCATTTCGCCGCTCTATGAAGCTGCCGTAAGCCTCTTCAAGTACAGCATCGGAGGTCTTAGATCTCCCCGAAAAAATGTATCTTGTGCATCTTGTCGTGAATGTTTGCTCCTTACTGCAAAAACACTCTTCCAAGATAGCTGTGTTAGAGCAGGATGATGCATTTTCAGAACAGGCCTTAAGAAAGATGTTCTCTCGCAATTGTCCCGGAGCGATGATCCGTCCACCCGAAGGAGAATCTCCAAGCCGCGGCTTTATCACCGATGTGTGGCTATAGGCGGAGGAACCCTGCCCTTGCTGGTACACAAACGGTCCCGAAAAGCCTTGCTGAACGCCACGGGCAGTGCTACCGCGGGGACCAAAAGAATTCCAACTAGCGGGTCCGAAATGGCTTCCTTTATGAGCCTGCTGATGATGCTGCCCGATCAGACCGGCTGATGTCGTACCAGTGCCACTTGCGTGCTGATTGTTGCTGTAGGGCTGAAGGAATCGCTGGCGAAGCCCCGGCTTGTAGCCCTTGTTGCCTTGTGCTGCTGCTACAACCACGCTGGACGAGTTGTAATAGTGACTCCCCTTCGAAGATGTATTCTGCTGGAAGCCCTTATTCTGAGCAGCCTGGTAACTAGCGCCAGCGGTGTATGGGTTGCCCTTGGAGAAAACATAATTACTTCTTGCCAAGGAAGTTTGCGTTTGGCTTTGGTGGAGATTCACGGCAGCCTGAGGGTGCGCGCCGCCTGGGAAACCTTTTTGCGATGCAGCTCCTTTTGACGGATGTTCCTGTTGTTGAGCTTGAGCAGCTGCCGCCACGTCTCTCCAGCTGTCAGACGCCATACCCGCGCGATCGATTGTATTAGCTGCGCGACGAGCACCCGCTCCCGCACGAAAACGAATCAGGTCTTGAATTAGGTCGACTGGCGTGCTCCCCAAGAGAAATAAAAAGTAGTTGCGACGCATATCCTTGGTCGCGGTATCGAACAAAGTTACAGCAGTAATTTCCAGGTCCGCCCGCTGTATTGTCTTACTCTTACTGTTCGATGAAGATGTGCTGGCTGATAACTCTCTGACTGCACCTCGTTCTTGATCTCGGTGTTGAATAGAAGATGAAGGTCCCGTGTTCCCCGCAGTCATTATTTGCTTTTCGTTTTCACGATCAAGCGATGATCGACCTGCGGTGTTGGAGCTGGCAAGGTCAACATTCGGGGAATCGTTATACGCTGCTACTCTATTATTCTCGAAGCTGGTAAAACCAACGGCGGGTGCGCTGCTGCTTGTGATGGTTCGCGAGTGTTGCTTTTGATCGTGCTGGCTGCCTTGCTGGTTGCTCCTGCTTACACCGGTGGGGTACGTGGGGCTTCTTTGTATCCCTGCCTGCTGCCGCTGATATCCCCACTCACCACTCGTGCTATGCTGAGACGTAGGTGAGAAGGTTGGGCGGCTTCCGTGCGAATGCATATTACTTGTATTTCTTGCCGCACTGGAAGGACTCGCATGTTGAGTGCTGTTTTTTCGATCAAGATTAGCGTGAAAGCCTTTTTTGCTTCTAGTAAGAGAATATAGAACGCAAGTACAGTGTAAGTCGTGCGAATGTCATATTTCACAACCCGATCATTGCGGAAGTTTAAAAGCGACAACGACGTTCTCTATATTGTGTACCTCCTGAAGATGCCTCCGCTTCCTTGATGAAGATCCTGGCGGGTCTCCACACCATCCGCATCTGCTCGTTTAAGAACCCTCAACGCCGGTTTCTGGTTCTCTTTCCCGCCATTGCTTGTTCCTGTTTTTGATGTTGTGGAGAATCAATCCATGGGTTGCCTGTATATTTAGATCGTTGTAGTTCTTACCGCCCACGTTCCTCCGGTGTGTACACACGCCGGGGCAGGGCGGAGCAGGCGCTCCATCCGTAGTGAAAAACGGGAAATCTTTATTGAGTTTTTAAACAGTGAAGTACCCGAGGCTGCCACCGGATTAGCATAGCCATAGAGCTTTCCTTCAAAGAGCTCTTGCTGGGACGGCTTCATCTGCCACTGTTCTCCAGTGGTTTCTGAGCCCGATACTCGGAGGCTTTGGAAGTGATCCCGCACTGCTTTTCCTTCTATTTCCTCACTCACATCTAAGTCGGATCCTCCCGGAGAGTGATACTGACCCCCCGAAAGGGGCGAGGCAGGTGGCAAATGATTGCCTTGCATTTTGCGCTCGCTCTGCAGTCTATTGGAAGAACTTCGCCTGGATTCTTCTTAGAGCCACGCTAAATTTGTGAGTTGTTGATCTTCTGTATCCGTAGAACTAGAATTTGATTTGACACGAGATTCGCAGGTATGATTAGTAAGTGAGTCTGTAGTGTATCCATTATCAGCGTAAGGAGCCTAAGCTGTTCTACTCTACGTCAATGCGTCGTAAATTTCGGTAACGGGTGAAGCATTTGGGCCAGCAGTTGTAGTCGCATCGGAAGAACGCGGCTGAGCCTTACAAGGGCCGTCATTTGGCTTTCGGTGATTCGTCGGCTGCGTATGCGCGACCTTTTTCTCAATGTCGAAAGGAGTCGAAGTCGTATCACCTCCTCCGCCTCCAATACCGGAGCACGAAGATGTTGGCTCTTCTTGACGATGTTGCATTCTATTGTCCTCCTGCGTGGCGATCACGGCTTCTTCTACTGCGTTGCTGTCGCAGTCCCCCTTCGCTACCTCCGTGTTTCTAGAACGATGCCCGACAACTCCAGACATCCAGCTCGATTGCTCTTCGCCGTAAAGGTGAGAGGTCTCTTCTCCCTCTGTTAGATCCTGATAGTTCTCGTCGTACGCGACGTGCTCAGAATAATACCTGCTTTCTCGCGATTGATGAGCGCAACCACGCGGCGCACTATTCGTTGGTGAAGGTTCGCAGCCAGGGCTTCGCGAACGCCTCGCAACAGCAGGCGTGGACGAGGCCCGAACGAGAGGAACGTAAGCGGGAGAACCCGCACGGGGTGGCGCAGCGTCGATCGGTGATGCGCAACTTAGGAATCGAACAAGTACATGCGCATTCTGCCGCAGTGCATCGAAAATGCACACCTCCCTGATTGATTTCCTTTCGACAAAACCACATTCAGAAGATACATCCTCTTATGACACACGACGAGGACCACTAGAGCGTCGAACCTAGCAAAAGAAAAAAAACATTGTACTTGTAAAAGATATTTTGATATATCAATTCGAATTCATTCTGTGTGTAAAGACAAGGTTCTTCGAGGACGCGATCCATAAAAAGGGAACAGGCGAGGCTTTTTTTATGACGTCTTCAAGCGCTTCTTCCTTCTTGGATGTTTCCATCTTTCTTGCGGCAAATCTCCTTGGTTCCGCGATTTCCGTCTTGTTTCAACAGTTTTCGAACGCTGCTCGCGTCTGAAGTGATTGTTGTACTACTCTCTCCACTTTGTCGTGTACTAGTTGTTCGAAGTTGGAGTCATGAGCACTACTTTAGTTAGTTGAAGATGGAGATTTTGTTTTTGAACAAAAGACTGTTTTCAGTGCTTCTAGTGGAGGACGTGCTGAATTATGTCTCGTGTTCTTTTTTCGAGCGAAGAGTCGCTGCCACTATGACTCGGTTCGCGTTGCTACTGAATTCAGAGCGAAGATAGGATTTTCGTCGGCGGTTCGACGTGATTGTATTCGGTTATTACAGCACCACCAATGGGGAGAATTGTCCAACGAGTACTAGGCGAGGTACTGAATGAAAGTCTCAATCGACTTAGGTAGGTTTCTTTCGGGAAATAAGAACGCAATTTTGTGAGTTGAAACCTCAGCTAGTAGTTATAGCAAAGTCAGCAGCACGCTACGCGGGGTTGCCCTGGTGGCTGCTCCGTGCAACAAGAGTGCTTCCAAAATCCTTAGAGATGCACTATCACTGCTTCGATTATGTTGATCTCCTTGTCGAGGTATATGTCGCGGCAAATTGTCCTTGTCTTTTCCTTGAGTCCTCACAGGCAGGCGAGTTGTTGAGCCACAAAGAAGGCTACAGAGAATCAAAATGCTAATCCTGTCGGGTCGAGACTTCAGGGTTGTTTCCGTGTCGGCCGAAGTCCAGCCTGCGGAAACGAAAAACGATACAACACCCTTCTGCCGCGGAGACAAAAACGCAGCTGAGTTGCGACGTGTCCTTTCGTTTCTTTAAGGATATCGCGACTGCTAGGTCTTCTGTCGCCAGTTGTTCCTCTAAATCTTCATGTCGACGAAGGTCCCGTCCTGCTTGAGTCGTGTCCTTCACCTTCTTTCGGTGTACTATAATAATGTCATGTCATGGCGCTTCTTTTATAGCATTACGCATCCATGTAGGAGGCCATTCAGTGAAAAGGTACTATAACAGATGTGAGCCAGCATCTCACATCATCACATTGAGAAGTATCGATTATCCACCTTGATTGTATTCACAACATCAAGATCAACTACAGAGGACAAAGCTGCCAGGCTTTTTGGCAAAAGCTGAAAGGCTCCTGATGCCCATAACCTGCACTAGGACGTACGCAGAACTGCTGTTGGTCGCTCGAACGAAAGTGTAGTACATGTGAAGGATCATCAACCTAAGCACAATGGTTGTGGTTCAGTAACTTCTGGTTCATGGCATGTTAGTTCTTCTGGTTTAAGGAGTCCTTCATTCTAAGACAAATGACTCTTCTGATACTCCTCCTAGGGCACATCAAGAGGAAAGCAGAATTGCCCTACAAATGAGAATTGTAGTCGTGGTTGGAAGAAAAAAAATTTCTTGATAAAGAACTTTTCAAATTGAATCTCAATCTGTACTAGTGACAATAATTTCTCTCAGAGATCGCGTTAACATATTCGAAGATGATAGTTCAGGGGGCTGATGTTCAACACTTGCGGATCTAAATTGATGCAAGATAAGAACCACGACCGAGTATCAATCTTGTTGGGAAATTTCATCCATATCGCTCGGTGATGTCTCTACACCAAATATAAATGATGCTACCATAGTTCTTAATTTTTACGTTTAATGTCAATGCGCATCAAGCGAAAATCCCTGTTTTCAAGATGTACACATCCGGATTTCGTGAGTGTGGGAATTCTACACTGAATATGAATATCTGACGAGTTGAATCTTCTTCGGCCAAATCATTTCTTTTGCTCTTCAGGTTATTTTTTGCTGAATAGGTGTTTGTACTTACGATGCTATCTTGCCGCACGTCTGTAGCCTAGTAGGAAGAAACGACCCCCACATATAAGAAGAGCTTCAGACAATGCTATGTAACAATAAGTCTACTTCTCGATAATTCACTAGAGATAAATAACGATACAACCTCAGCCGTGTTTCTCCTTCTTCAGTGAGTGAATGAATATCCCTAGCATGAGGTATTGCAAATTGTTCTATATCGCTGCGCGATAAAATATAACCGCCCGTTTCTGATTGTTGACATCAAAGGAATCGTCGAAAAGGGGAAATTCGAATTGTGTATTTTTTTTTAATGCTATCTTCAAAATGAAACTTACCCAATGAATCATAGATTTACAGATACACAAAACGCTGGATGAATCATAGATTTAGATACACATCATGATGTAGATCCTCACCTTGATTCCAAGAAAGTAGTACTGACACTATCGCGGAGATCATCCTGAAACAAACAATCAGAGTGACAGAGTAAAATGCAAGGCAATTGTTGAGTGGTCTTACACTTTCACACTTGTTGTCGCGTACGATCATCTTTCACTCAACAGCCATTTTTGGGCTACGGGATTCATTATTCACGACTCTTGGCCGATCCAAATAGTCTGGCTCTGATCGGTGTTGAGTTCTCCGCGAAATATTCTGTCTCCATGCAATTAAATGCTCACTGCTGGGGGGTGATCTCAGACCGGATTTAGTTTCACGAAAATGCTCTCAACCCAAAATCTCCTGCCATGTTTTCGTATTTCTTATGTATCGGAATCGGGTTAGCATTAGCAAGAAGATTTGAATAATAGATGCATTGTCGACGAAGTGATCGCAACACTAGTAGACACTACAACTATGTTATGTGTGCGTGTCAGTGTCCGATGTACTTACTCAGAGTATACCAGCAGCAAGATTCTCGCAGCGATTGATTTGAATTTCTATCTAAGTGTCGCCCTTCTCGTCGCGATGGAGCATGCGTCCATGTCTTGTCGAGGTGGATTCACGTCCGAGTTTCAGAGCTAGTGTCCATGCAGCTCATGGTTTCACCCGTCTCGTTGAAACCAAACCAATTTGTTACATAGAAGTATGACCATGAGTCTTTCACCAAGACTAGTTTAGTTTGTTGTAGCTGCATCCCAAAGATCCATGGCGCACCGAAGATGAAGACTTAAGACCGCGATATTGCTCGAGGGCGAACAGCATGGTCAGCTGCGCTTCCGTTAATATAAGTCTTTGCGGTAGATCCATTTCCGATGCGCCGGGCAGATCGCATTTACACGTGGAGGCACCGCTTCAAAAAATGTTGCGTGCGTCGTCGCAGCGAACGCGTCGATGTGTTGAATGTAGATGCCAGTATTGTTGCAAATCAAGTGCGCAACTTGGTCGCTATCGAGTGGCGCAATACCGTTGAAAAGAAAACTGTAACTGCTGGACGAGAAGCTCTTATATCATCTACAACATGCTCAACACATGTTCTTTCCGCGAAGGTCGGTCTTGCTGCTTTGATCTATGTAACCTCATGTCTGCACACTGCAGCAGTCTATGGGCTTCCGCGCTTCCTGCAGACACAAAGACGCTGTGTGAGAACGTGCTGTGCTTCGCATTTTGGGACCGGCAGGTTGTTCGGTATTAGACACTGCTGCGCCGTGAGTGACTTTGTACTCCCGGAGACGTACGCGGGAAGCTCTGGCCCTTCTTGATTGCCGCACCCGCCTTCGCAGCCGAATGCACTCTGCAGCAGATGACATGACCCTTGTCTATCAGAGGTCAGGAACCCCAGGTCCTCAGCAACACATTCGTAACTCCCTGCCGTCAGCGGTAGACCCTTTCCTTCCGCCGCTCCTGGCGAAGCAGGCCTAGTGCTGCTAGGAGTTTGTGATGCCCCCGGCGAGCCACTGTTTTGTTGTAGTTGTGCTTGTGGTGAAGAAGCAGATGGTAGTTTAGGATACTGATCACGATAGAGGATACTTCTCGGATCGTACGGAACAATGGTGCCACCGCTACGGCAGGCGGTGTCGCACGAGATGCGCGTTGCAGAGGTCGAGACCACAACATGTCGTGCTGGGTCCAGGGTCATCAAAATGTCGGTGCTATTCTTAAGTCCAGAAAAAATACGCACCGCGGCCCGTGATCTGCGCTCCACCACAGCTATCAACAAATTTCGGTGCCACGGTGGTCGGACCCACAACAAACCCTCTCGCCCGCCGCGAGGGTGATCCCTGAATTAAAGCTCATCAGGACGTAATCTCATCTTCTTTTTACCTACGTACGTCATCTCATCTTCTGCCCTACCGTACTATGTCTGTGGCTGGGCTAGAGTTTATCATTTGTTCATGATGTCAGTCTGGTACTAAAACAGTAATCAATACCGGCTTCGGTCTACTCCTTCATGATCATTCGTTCTTGCTACGGAAAGAGGACACGCATACTCACGAGTGGTAAGAGGCAACCATTCTCACAACGGTGCATCATTATTATACATAGTAAGCAGCAATAGTGCTGGCTGCCATAATTATAGAGATTCAATGCTTTGCGCACCTCTGCGTAGTCCTCACGCCGATACACCAGGATTTGCAGAAAGCCGCCGGTTGCTGTAAGTGCCTCCGAGATAGCTTGCGTTTTGCTGGAAGCCGCCTCCAAATAGCGGGGCAGTTTGAAAGTTATGAACATGCGCGGCCAGTCCACCTCCAAGGTCGCAGAACCGTGCGTAATGGAATGGTCATTGATGCCGTGATATAGCAAAAGGTGTTCAGACAATATAAAGTGCGTGTCTGGCGCCAAGGATACTGCAGAACTTTCTGAGAAGCGAATCGGGCTTTTCGGACCGCTTCCCGGTGCTGGCATGTCTGGCTGATGCTTCTGCTTTGGCTCCTGCACGAGAACCCACGAGAGGAGATCACTTTCCCACGCCCGATACGCGAACGCAGAGCGCAGGTAGCTGTAGTCATACGCTACGTCGGCTTTGCGGTTGATCGAAAAACCTGCAAAAACGCCGCCCTCGTCGGTGAGAGACTCTCCGGAGACATCATTGTGGAAAAATGAGCGTAATGCCGAAAGAGCCCGATTGTCAGCGGGAGCTTGCCGTGGCGGTGGCGCTACCTGACTGCCTTTAGTATTGGGTGTTGAAGGTGCCGCTGCATTTTCCGTGGTGCCGCCAGCTGCGATGACATGACTCTTCTCCACTTCTTGTCCAGCACTTTTGGCCGCTGCAACCGCAACCTCTACCGCTTTTCCCGCCATATTAGCCCGCCAGCTTTCGTCTTTACTTCCGCCACTCATTTGTAGGTCCGGGTTTAAGTCAAACCGGACAAGCAAATGGTCCGGGAGCATCGCCATATTCGCCAGCCGCTGCTTGTGGTCTGCCCGCACGACGGTGGACGCCTTCTTATTTCCGATGTGATGCGTTCGCGGAACGTCAGGGAAGATGCATTCACCGAGATCCAGAAGCCGGATCCAATGATCCCAGCCTGTGGAGGGATAGTCCTGCCAGTGCGGCAATATCTTCTCCTCTGCTATGCGACGACTTGTCATCCAACCTGAAGAAAAATTTCACCGAGCAGTCGGGATATGAGAATCAATTTGAATAATTAATTCGTCGGTATTGATACTGTACTAGAGCCCTCTTAGTGCATTGGACTTGTCTTTCAACATGGAGGTTGCAGCGAGAGAATTAGAGGATCCAAAGTCAAAAACTGAACATGAATATCATGGATGCCTCTCGTCCAACTCCAAAATTCTTGTTCTTCACAAAGTACCGAGTCCCGGAAAGAAGTCCGTGCGGAATAGGCGTCTCGGATCGTGCACGTTTTTCTTCATTCCGTTGTCATTCCAACCTGAAGCACACCAGACAGCGGTTTCTTCGTACTTCTCGATCAAGGTCTCAATTCCACGAAAGTAGTGGAATATATCTTTCGCGATGCCTAAGTCATCTTCGAGGAAGATTCCCAAACGGGCAACGGCAAAGGTCTTCTGCAGAACGCAATGGTAATGACGCGTAATCGAATCGAAAGTCTGGACTAATACCGACAGTTTTTCAACCATCACGTGTCGCTTCCAACCGTGGCCAACACAATCGAAAAAATTCGGCACGAGGCTACCCGATAGAGGCGGTGTAGTTGTTAGGGTTTTTACTGGAGCAGACGTGCCAATTACGGCGGTTCCGGGTGCTGGAACTGCAGTATGGCTTTCTAAGAGAATGCCCAGAGGAACTCCTCCTGTTTCATCTGCTCTGTTGCTGGCTGGGCTCTGCCGAGTATTGAAATTAAAGCCAGCAACTTTTGCTCTCGCAAACCGGACATCAAAAGTAGACTTCGAACTCGCATGTAAAGTAGCGTCTTGCTCCGAAGCTACTGCCCGGTGATGAAGTAGGCTTCGAACTTTTTCGGAAGAGTGGTGCGCATATGTACTCCGAAAGTAGTCATTGAGCGCAGACATCACTGGAGATGCATCTGCTGAGATGCACACACGATATCGATCAGAATCCATGCCTGGTGCCGTGACGACAGCCTTCAGCAGCTGCACGAGAACGGAGTCCTTCGAATCGAAAAAATGAGTAGGAATGGTAACCAGCACCTGAATTGGATCTTCTTCAATAAGTTCGGCGATCCAAGGCCACTCTCGGTTTCCCTCGGCAATCGCATGTCCGGCCGCTTTTCCAGAACCACGTACAGCGTTTTTTTCCAGGTCACTCATGTCGTTTTTCTCCGAGGTTGATGGCGGCACTGTCGGAGCCACGGTCACAGCAGTTTCGTATGAGGGCGTGCTCGGGGGTGCAACTGGCAGTGAAACTGGTCGTGCCTTACCCGTTTGTTCGAGCGTCGTTTTCGTTGACTGCGCTGCAGGTGCTACAGCAGGTTCAACTGGAGCACTAGTGGCAGGTTGCTCGTCGCCTGGATGCAGCGCTACATGGTTCGCGTCTGCTTGAGCCGGTGGCGGCACCATTGCAGACTGAGTGCTGAAGGCATCCACCTCTGCTTTTCGATCGGCTGCATACGGGTCAGGCGCCGGACCAAAATTTCCTTTACGGGAACGCACTTGCTCACTGCATTCCAGATCCCGGATGTAGGACACCTTATCGCTATCTCGTTGCTGCTGGACCTCTCTGGGCCAAGCTGGTGATTTATGCGAGACAGAGAAGGGCTCCTGTTGATGATCGGGTCCTTCTTGGTGTTTTGCTGTGTCTTGCGCGGCCGCAGCTTTCATTTTCTTGAAGACCTCACTGCCGGTGACTAGTCTCTTGAGTTCGCATCTCTCTCCTCCGCCGTCCACCTTCGAATAGGTCGAAGCAACGTCGAGCTTGCACACGAAGCCGAAGCAACTATCTTCCATCTCGCAGGCGATCGACGCTCCTTCCACTGACCGAAAGAGAATACCTGTGTACTTGGGCACAATCCCTTCGACGCCCGCAATGTCTATCTCAAAAAGCGGCCCGAAAAAGCGGCATTGCTCGCCTGCACGACGCGGAAACCGTAACTCCTTGACAGTAGAGGTCGGAGAAAAATGGAGAGGTAAAAACCCCTTTCTTAGTCCTGAATCGCCTGCTGTTGATGTTGCAAGAGAGGAGGATTGAGTTTGCCCATTCTCACCACCAGTAGAGGCACTCTTCGCGCCTGCTTGTGGTGCTGCAACTTGATTAGCATCTTCACAATCTGTTGTTGGTGTTTGATTAGGTCCACTCTGACCGACTGCAGCAAGCGTTGTTTGGCTCTCGACCTCTTTCCAGTAGCTGAGGACTTTCGTGCGAAAGTCACCATCGCTGCCATTTCCGTTTCCATTGGTTTGTTGCCGTGTACTACCTGTGCCAGAGGTTCGCTCTGCCTCTGACGCGAACTTTCGGAAATTCAGCCAGTCGTCATTTTTGCGGAAGAAGAGCGAACGGTGCTCAGTGCCGGGAAGATGTCCCGTAACAAAGCATCGAAGTCGGCGGTCTATTTCGACAAGCCTCTCATGATGTTGTTGCGCCTCTTCCGCAGAAGGCTGGAAACTCTCTCGATGCACCTCGTCATGATTACTCGGTATAGGAATCGGGGTAGTTGTTTGAGGTTGGCGTAGGAGATGAGGGTTCTCTGCTAAAACCGCCTGCAAAACGTTCTTCTGCGCTGGTGAGTCCGTTTCCCCGAAGCCCACCATTTTCTGCTCTCTCGCATCTCCTCCGTTCATCTGTTCTCGTTGCTGCTTTATCTTCTTCTCAATCAAATTCAGGGGTATGCCGATTGCCGGACCGCCTCCGCCTGAACGAGATGAGGTGCCGTCAGAAAGGGTAGAAGTAACATGGGGCAACTCGTACTCAGCCAATGCCTGCTCAGGTAAAACCATACACGACAGACCGATGCACACGTCGCCAAGGGCTTCGCACTCCTCTTTTGCTATTGGCAGTCCCCCTGGCACGGCCAGCGCCGTGATGAACTCTCCAAGCGGAGCAGTGGCATGTGAACCATCAGAAACCCAGAACGCGTCGCTGCGAGGGACGCGTGGCGCTCGTCCCGGATGGTAATCAGCTTCCACTTGCTTCTTCGGGAGGCGGTGGTTAGAGATGGTGCTCGTACAAGCAGTATGCATTTTTTTGAGGGCACCGAAGAGGTGGATCGTAGTGGTATGGAAAGAAGTTCGCGTACACCCAGTTTGTCCTGACAATGGATGGAATCTTTACTTGGAATTGAAGACTAAAAAATGTCATGAAAAAATAATTCACAATCTTTCATCTAGCGCATCTCATCATAAAATCAACTGCCGCACCGCGTTGCTCCTGCTTGGAGATTCTTTTTTCGCTTTGGTGCTCATCATGTCCCGACGTCTCAGTCGTCCTGTGCGCAGTGATTTTTGTTGGTTCCCCGTTAGGACCGGATTCTAGCTCCTCATGCCCAATTTTTGATGGCGATTCCGACGTAGCTGTTGGCACTAGAGAGGATCCTGGCGCGATCATATGCGCTCCTCCTGCGCCTGCTGTGTGCCTGTCTGCCCCCTCTGGCCTACGAGTAGCAACAGCTTCATGGCGACTGCCCTCTCCTTGCAGCGAGGCAGTACTAGAAAAAGCTGAAGAAAAGCTGCCGCGAAAGTTGTGGAACTGATCAAGGACGATCATGTGCGGCCCCCCAGCGGAAAAAGCATCCAAATGACACCACATGTAGAGCTGCCATATCGCATAGATAAATGTCGCGGCACCGAAACCAAGAAAAAGGTATCGCCGTTGACGTATAACCGAAAGAGATGATAACTGCATCATCTTCTTAGTCCTTTTCAGAATAAAATCATACAACGCAGTTGGTTTTACTTCTACTCTGTTTAATCCTGAAAAGCGGGCCCATGATCCTGATCAACCAATCCCCATTAGAATCCATGTACGTAGTTTCAGTATAACCGAGCAACAAGGACGAAGAAAAAGTATTTCCTACGTCTTTGCACCAATAACTACTTATTTCATCGGAGCAGATGAACATGAAAAAAGCATCTCTCATGTTGCAGGACAAAAGGTAGAGGTACAAAAAATACATCATCAACCCTCGTGGCTGAATGAAAACATCCGCTTTCTTTCCATGACAGCTCTCAGAAATCAGATCCACCTCACATCCTCCGTACGAGTGAGTCTCTCCCTTCAAAAATATCATGATCACCAATCCGCAAGCGAAACCTTGCTGTAAAGAAAGGTCCGCAGCTTGTTTGTAAAATTGTTGAAAATCGTTCGCGTTCTGTTTCTTGAGAGAACGTTGTTTGTCGAGGCGATCATCGACAATTTGATGCCAGCCTCGACTGTCATACTAAATTGCCCGACTAGGCGCTGGCGTGCGCATGGCGTTTGACCGTGAGGTAATATATGTGACACTTAGCGTGGCAACGCTTTTGTTGTGAAGGCTTCAAGCAGAAACACTAGTATCTTCAACTAGAAAACTTCGTCTTGATACCTTCACTGCATGTATTCTACATTTTGAGTCAGAGTTTTTTTCGCACAACGCCTCCGATCGGGATCTCGCGGTTTGATACACCTTTCATTGCGACTTCAGTTACTTACTTCGTATTGCTACTTCTCCAGCAGCGCTCTCTTCCGCTCTTCCGACACGAACGCGCCGTTCCTTGGCAACCCGACATAGAAAAAACGCGAACAAATTCTCCTTGCCAAGCCGATACGGGGGTCACCGCCACCCGCGATCACCAATTTGATACTTCCCTCCTGAACAAGGCACCCTGGCTATACAGGTTTTCCACAATGAACACTAAGACGAGTCGGCTTCTTCAAGGACCGCTCATCCTCGTTGACAATAACGTGGCCGAGGTACAGACCATCGTCCGACTGCGCTGCCACTTCGCTGATGGAAGCGACATCCTGTGCCCCTCACGCATTTGTTTTACGACGGAAGTCGACTCGGGCGCTAGCGGACGACAAAAGCTGATGTACAGCATGCGTGGTTTCTGCGATTAGAATTAGTCCAATACTTTCACCGGTTTCTGTACGGTCGCGCCGATGTTCTATTAGCATGTCAGCTTAGAAACCATCCTCCGCAGTCTCGCGACCGAGACTCGGGGCTGTCAAGTCGAAACGTCAGGAAAGGACACCGTCGTCAGGAACCAGTCTCGCCGGTTCTTGCACCCCTCGGACGCTGTAGCGAATCAATACGGCTGCAGTCGGGAAACACTTTAGACTGTACGTCTTTGGATCTCTGTATATATAATCAATCAAGGCAGTTCAGTCATAAAAACAGTTGCATATTGTCCTGGCACATAGAGAAGGCGAAACTATTAAATATCAGTCTCCTCGAATAGTCGCCTAACGCATATGACTCTTACACTTTATGCTTTCTTACTCTAGGTACGACCGTAGCAGAAACACTGACGCTTTGCCCTCCTTTCTTTTCATGTTCTCTATTTACGGCTACTCATCCTGGGCATGTAATACGGCCTTTTTCCTCCCTTTTTCCTCTCGAAGGACCACTTGTGTTCTCGAAACAACTCTCGAAAAAAACGAGGAATACCCGCGGCAGTTTTCCACTGAAGTCGCGATGGCTCCTCTCTCATTTCTTCCATGGCCATGCGAAGGCGCGTGCAGCATTGAACCGATCAAAAGGGATCATGAAGACAACAACCGACACGAACACCGTAGAAACATCGATGAGCAGGAGAGGGAGCGCTCCAGCCTCGCGCGCAGGACTCGCGCTTTTCACTTTGTTCTTCGGGACATATGATTCTTATGGCGAGGCTTCATCTTTAGATGGCTCGTTTATAACATTCAGGATGCTTCTATCACTGCTCAGTCCGCCGTTACTAACGCAAACGCGGTATGCGGCAAAACCCTAGAGCCAGCATCTACCAATCCGCAGAAAACACCGACCGTTTCAAAATCCGCAGAGAAATCGCAGCCCCGTCAATCCATTGGCCAGTAGCTACCAGTTACAACCCGATCCACCTGTCCCAGCTTCCGAACGACAACGAAAAATTTACCAGTCCGCATCGGCGGTGGCGGTCTGTCCGTAGGCCTGCGCGTCCTGCTCGACGACTGGTTCCTCCGGAACGACTGCAGCCATCGGCTCTTCCTGCGGAACGAAGGCCGGAATCTTGGTCTCCTTCGGCTCGTGAACCGTGATCTTGTCCGGCATGAGGTGATCCGTACCGCGCTCGCCGGTCGGATCGTACCCAAGCATGATGCGGACCTGCGGGAAGAAAATTTGAAACATGCGAATCGACATGAAAAATTACGCGAGCGTATCAAGTGGGGCGACATTTCTCTGTACGGTGCAGAGTTTTTTAGATTGGTTGGTCTGAGGTCCACTGCCTTTCTTGGCAGCTAGCTAAATACTTGAAGCAACAGACCTAGATTTGATAAGAAAATACCTTGACGCCGAGGACTCCCTGACGCATGAGCACGTGGCGCACGGACTCTTGGATGTAGTGGTTTTTAGGGTCACCGGTAGAGATGAGGTAGCCATCGCGGAACTTCATAACCTTGGCACGCTGGGCACGCAACTTTCCGGAGACGATCACCTCGCAACCGGTGGCGCCGTTGCGCATAACGAAGTTCAGCACACCGTAGCAGGCGCGGCGGACCGGAAGACCACCTGATGCGTCGTTCGTGAAAAGGTTGATTCATAAGATCGTGTGGGTTACTTGGGAATGGTTCGCGCACGCTATCTTACCAAGCAAAATTCATATCCTGTCTTCGATACAACAGACTCTAAATTTTTTCCAACACCTGCAAACCCAAATTGAAGTACCGAGAAGCTTGTAGCGCAGGGACTCGGCCTGGGCCATCGCACAGCAGCCACGGTTCTTAACCTGTTCTGCGAAGAGCTCGACGGAGTTTTCACGAAATCCGAAGCGCTTCTGGACCAAAGAGGTCAGCTCGCGGATGCGGCGTCCCTTGTCACCGAGGACCTCACGGGTGCGGGTGGCACGCACGATGATCTCGGTACGGATCGGGGTGACACGGATCTCGACACCTAGATCGTGATAAGTTTTAAGACGGTTAGCTAGGCGACTTTCTATGTTCGATTTCAATCTGGATAATGCTGATAAGAAAGATATTCAAGTCTGGCACGTGGTAGAGATATTCCGCGAATGCAGCGTAGAATCTAAACTGGACAGTAGTTGCAAAGCCCGCCGGAGTGATTTAGCAGGGGCACGATTGAGTACTAGGGCACGCCAAAAACATGCGGATCTAAACATGAACACGGCGACTAATGTCGAATCTTGATCTTTTAGAAAAACCTACGCAATGGATTACCTGCGTATCCATCCTCACCGAGCTCACGGGTGAGGAATTCGTTCAACTCGGCGTAGAAGACGCCATCGGCGACGAACTTGCGCTTCTTGGAGATGTTCTTAGCGGTTGCCATCTTGTCCCGAAGATTTGATATCTACAATGTAGGTAAATGTAGATACGTTTTTCTCGTTTCCCTGGTACAAGGTAATTGGTCGGGAGGTGATTTTTTTGGGATAGCCTCAGTCAGAAATGCTTACTTTTATCATCGTTCGTTTAGAATTTTCATGGATAGTGAATCACGGATCTAGCGACGTGGTTTGTGGTAACAGACACTTGCAACAAATAATCGTCCACTTGGCGTATTTGAGTGGTGCGGAGATCTTAGGCAGTCTTGCGCACAGTGGATCGCTTCTGAGTCGAGCATGAGATCTGTAGAAACCAGAGAATGAAGATCGCAAATCAGGAGATGCAAGACTCTCGTCTTTTCTGAAGAGATCGATCTTTGAATTTGAGCTTGAGTGTAGGATCTGCTTGGAAACACGTTTGAATCTTTACGGAATGAGACTGCCACATTGTAGAGCGCGGTAAGCTTAATCAGCTGCAAGATAGTATTCTGAAATAATCGAGATCGTTAATGCAAATCACGTCAGACGCGCCGGATCCTCGCGCCTGCATAAGTATGCCGAATGCAGATCTCTAAACGTTCTTTAGATCTTACCGTGCCATCTTGAAAGGCAAATACTTTTTGGCCGTTCTTGATGAAGTAACGTATGTTCGCTAGCGAACACAACGCTCATGCGTCCAGAGCCAAAAATTCGTGGTTTCCTGGTGTTCGGCCTACAAGCTGGGCGACACCTGATTTTTTAGATCAGATATGATATCAATGAACATCCAGCGCTTTTCGCATATTTTCAGCTCTCTGTTTCTCTTGGGGATATTTAGATATTCTACCAAGGATCTTGCATTTACATTTGCTCAACACACTCCGACCCTGTGGAATCTGAACCAAGATCTTCCCCGCATGTCGCTTCCAACAAAAGATGAAAAGCTACACTCTTCGCTTGCGTGACGCGAAAGCCAAAATTGTTATTTAGAATTTTCATGAGCAGACGCAGAATGCAACGCTCGTGTCCACGAGCGGCTTGCACATGACAAGTCTATCCGACGTCGGAGCCTCACTTCTGGTCTTTATTATTTAGTGAACAGCAACGCGCGTGACCTCTCCTCTCACTGAGGCTGGCTCGATGCTCCGCTTGACAGTTTCAGCGTCGTCCTTGGGAGAGGCCTCTGAACGTTTCACCAGCAGCCTCTGACCGTTTCACCAGCAGCCTCTGACCGTTTCACCAGAAGCCTCTGACCGTTTCACCAGGAGCCTCTGACCGTTTCACCAGCAGCCTCTGACCGTTTCACCAGCAGCCTCTGACCGTTTCACCAGCAGTTCCCGCAACGTGTGAAATGTCTCCCGGGCGCACCGTCCGAACTGAGGCCTTCCTTACGGAATGTCTATTCTTTTAGATTTCGCGGATGATAACGCCCTTCTCGCGTCCGCCTTCTGGCGATCTTTTACCTAAATCTCCACCAGCCTTTAATTTTGAACCAAACTCTAAGTTTGAACCAAGCTCTAAGTGCTCTCGGGTCCTCAAAGTCTCCGTCGACACTCATGGGTAGCTGAGAACATCCCCTTTCTGCCTTCCCAATTTTAGTTGTTGGAACTCAGGTTTACCCCACGTCTTCGTCTTCCGCGCATAGTTTACCTAATGAAACCGCAGAAGCTCCCCCTTAAAAAACTCCCTCACTCCGACTGCCGATCCGCTAGTTTCTCGCTAGAAACAGATCTGCGCCAATCACTGGCAGTCGTCGGCATTCGGTTTCTCGAGAGTACAATCTTGGTTCTCAACTTCATGTGAACCCTTGAGTGTACTCAAGATGTCAACGAACTTCATGTGAACTCTTGAGTGTACTCAATGTGCCCATCCAAGCACGATATTCGGACTGTGGCGCATTTGTAACAAACCCTATGACAATGTCGGCTCTGGGTCAGTCTAGGTGACAACATCTGGTAGAATCTTCAATCAGCTGTGACTCTCGCGACTCTTTGCTGCGGGCGGCAGCACTGGTTCCCAGTTACAAAACAAGCATGCAGCGTGAGAGAATTATGTCCATGAGTAAGGGAGAGAAAAATGCATAAGTAATTCAGGCATGTACTTGTTCTAATGAATATGCATGAGAAGTAATGATAGGCAAAGGCGAACTGCGGGCGGGAGTTGCCATTTCCACTTGAGCAATATTCAGTTTCTTCCTCGTTAGCGAGCAATGTTGAGACAATAACAAAGAACAAATAACACATTCTCAAATGACACTTGCATGAATAGGCACAGCTCTAGCCGCTTCCGGGGAACTTGGGTTTGATTGGCTTTTCGAATTTGATGACTCTGGATGGTAATGCGACTTGAAGTTACAAAAGTGAAAACGTTTCTTGAACTCGAGTTTGGGTTGCACCCTCTTCTTGCTTCGCTTGCTGAGGTACTGTGAATATGCATGCTGATTATACACCTAGTATCCCGGCTGTTCCAGCGAAGATCTTCCAATTTAGTCAACCGCCGTTGCCGGCGATCTCGGTCGGGGTTGCGCAGCCGTTCCTGGTGACCCTCGTCCCGCTCTCGCTCGTGGCGATGAGGCGTGACCGGACGCGCGCGGGCTCCTCACGGAGCTTTCTCTCGGCGACCCCGGGGTACCTCTGGGCGACCCTGCAGCACCTTGCTTAGGTGTCGTTTTCTTCAGTGCTCCTAGCCTGACAAGATTTCCTACTCGGCCGAATAGTGATTTGCCCTTGGCGGTCTTAGAGCTCGCATTATTCAGAGAAAAACTTCTCTGGACAGACAAACAAACCTTGATGGCGCAAGGATATTGTTATTGCTATCTGTGCTATCGACTTACATATTCTAGATTCCTGGCTATAACATTGCTTATCCCACCGGCATCTTTGGTGTCGTTGCTAGGGGTTGACGCACCAACTTTGGTGCCACGCACAGGCTGAGGCCTATCGCCTGGCAAAGACGAGGGTCCTGGAACGCTTTCCGGAACCAGTCTGGGGCTTTCCCTGGTGACCACCGCCGCCGCATTTCGAATCTGCGCTAATGAACTGCTTGGTGACAAAGAAGAGGGTCCTTCAGCGGTTTGCGGAAGCCTGGGACTATCCCCGGTAGCCGCCGCGTTTCGGATCCGCGCAAAGGAACTGCGGGGCGACAGCGCGAAAGTGCGCTTCGGCTGATCGGGCACCCGTGTGGGCGCAGAACTCGAAAGAGTTCCTGACGGTCCGCTAATATCGCCAGCGTGTGAAATTACGAGCTCTGGTGGTGGTGGAGGCGCGTCCTCTTCTTTCTGCTGTTCTTGCTCCAGGTCCGACGACTCGACTGCTTCGACTTCGCGGTGTGAAGTTGTGACCATCCTGGTAGCTTCGACATTTACTCGTGGAACCGCAGCGGGCAAGTGTTCGATTCGTTCACTGGCACTTCCGGCATCTGTTCCGCCAGGTAGCGGCCGAGATGCCTCCTTTTCAATAGACGTTAGCGTTGCGCCTGTAACGTTTGGGTCGTGATTAGGACTTGTGCCGCTTTGCGGACGAAAGTCTGGAGATCAGAACCAAGTGCAAAACACTTTGCTCATCTAGTGCGAATAGACCTTTGAAAAGTACGACTGTTTAAACACACCAAGGCAGCATATCGGGCGTAGAAGGTTTCCCCATGCCATGATGAACATTATTGAAATACCTTCCATCCCCGTCGGTAGTCCTGCTGCACTCTTAGGCATGATGACTTGCGCTGCTGTACTGTCATTTAAGCTATGATCAGGCTCTTCCTCTACTTGCGTCTGTGGCACTGGTGAGCCTGTTCTTTCTCGTTTCGACGGAAGATCCACTCCAGACTGGGAATCCTGCGCAGGCGCACCTGTACGTCTTCCGTCGACTTGTGCATCTACTACGGCGTCGTTGGCAGGTACTTCTTCAGTCTTGTTCAGAGTGGTCTGCACCGCTGTTTCTTGATTCAGTATTTCTGCCATGGCGGCGCCCGCGCTCTTCTCTTTTCGGACTGGCGAGTACCACCACGGCTGTCCCTCGCTGCGCCTTGCACTTGAAAACGGCCGACTGTTCACCAGATTGCGTCTGAGCCGTTGTTCTAGTTGCCCGAGTCGGTCTAACAGAGCTTCTCTGTTGTCCGCCTCAGCGCTGATTGTGTTGTTCAGTTTTTCATTGGCACGACCAGTAGAAGACCGCTTTGCACTGGGATAAGTTGTAGCAGTTGCACTTTCCCGATGCATCTCGACGATAAAATTTCCTACCTCGTCGTCAGAAGCAACAGCAGGAAATTGTTCGTCATTTCCTCCCACCTGGTCTTCAGACAGAAAAGCAGATGGGGGTCTTGGGAAGGCAACGTCACCAGTTGAAGCTCTCGGGTCCACTGGGCTAGCATCTATGGCACCAAATCCAGCTGTGTTTAGTGTGGCGGATTCGTTCCGTAGTTCGGTCCTGACTCCCAAACCAGCATGCAATAGTGGAGGTGCCGCACCCGCTGCTAACGGATCCTTAAACCTGGTCGGGCCAAAATCCAAGCTCCCCTCTTGTGGTAGCACCCGCCGCGAAACCTCTTCTCCCAGTCTTGCGGCGACAGTATTTACAGCAGGACTGAGCGCTGTCGTCATGAATTCGAGACCGCGTGCCACTGCGGCGGTACCAGTCGCTAGATTTTCATAGCTCATGACGGAATTTCTATTCGTAGTTGTGCCCGCTGCGCCGCCTGTAGTACCTGACGTATCGCCGATGCCAAAATAGGAATTGCGTGACGGTTTTTTAGGGCTGCTCTTCATTGCGACAGCTCGCGCATACGCATCGTCCACGCCACCTGCTCCTAGTGTGCTTGGTGATGTATGTCCTCGTTCGTCAAGAAGTTGCTGAATTTTTGCATTGTCGAAAACTTCCTTTCGAGGAGTTACTCCGGCACCGTCTTCTAAGTCGCCACCTCCACCTGGTTTCGGTTTCGCCGTGCTCTCTAAAGAGAGCAACTCCTTTGCTCGCGTGTAGATGGTATTGTATGTTGATTTCGGCGCGGTTGAAGATTCACTTCCACCAATTTTGGAATTATAGACATGATCCCGACTTTTTCGCAAACCCAGCAAACCTGGTGTGATCACTGGCACTCCGCGTGATGTGTCGCTTCTAGATTTCAATTCCTCTAGCTTCTTTGACAACACAGAGAGGGTCTCTTGTTCGCTCTTCGCAAACTTTTCCTTCAAAGCTGCCACGCGGTCCTTTATTTCCTTTTCCCTTTGTTCTGCGGTATGCTTCGTTGCTTCTATCTTCTCCTCGGACGGCGCCTCTTCTAATTCAACTGGACGCAGCTTGCGGCCTTGGGGATTGTCTGTTTCCGAGCCGGAGCCTCCTGCTGGTAGTGAAGGCGTTCCCGTGCCGTTGTGCTTTACCTTCGCTGCGTCTCGAGGTTGTTCAGCATCCGGCGAAAGCGGCTTGTCGCCTTCAGGCGGTGCGGCACGCCCAGTCAACTTCCCGACCAAAGCGTCGAGGCGGCTCAAGTAGCCTTCCTTCTTGTCAAGAAACTTGCCGCGCCATGACGACGACGAGGGATCTGATGTTTTACAACAAAGGATCCTGATGAATTCCAGGCAAGAAGAGTGACGTGAATAAATACGAATTATTAAAAATACGTAGCTCTGCAAAGCATGCTGAAAAAGAAAGTGACATTTAGACATCTACATCTTCTAGCTACCATCATGTTCTATGCCACGCCTTGGCCCCTCGCTTGTCCCGGAAGGCAAGCTAGCGCCGCCGAACCCTGCGAAGGACCTTCGCGATCCGCCTACTTGACCGATATATCGCGACGTAACGCTCATCGGCTCTGCCGCTGCGCGTAGGGTCGCTGCGTCTGCGAAGCCACCTTCTATGTCGAATTCGCGCAGTTTCTTGAAGCGCATGTAGGTGTCGGGACTGAGATCGCCGCGCTGTGCAACGTCAGCTGCGAATTCACCGACGGCACTCGCTGTGTGCCCCACCGCGCTCGCAGTCTGCAGCGTTCCTGTCGCTATAGTGGCAGCGAGGTCGGCCATCGGATCGTTGTGTGCATCGCCAAGAACCCGTTCGAAGATAGGCGACGAAAGAACCACCCCAGCAAGCGCTGCGAAGGGATTCGCGCCGTCATCTGGATCGCCACCTGCAGGCCGTATCTGTTGTGTTGCAAGACTCGCACGAGACACGCGCGCTCCCCCAGAGGCCGTGCTTGAACGTACACCACCAGGACCGGTCGCACCAGCACCAGCAGTAGTTGTAACATCATCGGCAACCGCAGTTGCACCTCCTGCATAGTTATCAGATCTTCTCGCTGATGAAAATGCAGTTCCTGTGCTTGTCCGTACGTCTCCGCTCACATCCGGGGTCGTCCCAGGCGCGGGTGCTTCGACTGTTCTGCGTGGAAATACAGGAAATTGCTTTGCATGCAGCTGACGAGCTTGCTCCGCATCAACAGGTATTTCCACTCCATCTGCCAGTCTTGCGACGTACCGCTTCTCTCCTAGATAGAGCGGCTCAAATCCCGTTGGCCGATACCCTAATTTCGGACTTGCAGTATTCGAGCTGCTCGTCACACCGCTTGGGCGCATGAGCGCACTTGGTCTTTCTCGGTCACCGCTCGACATATGTACGAACTCGTTTTTCTCTTCAGAACCAACAACCGCGCCGTTCTTTGTACTTAGCCAATTCACATCTAGCATCTCTAATTTCGCAGTTCAACACAAACTACAGCGTTCAAACTATTTTTCTATGAGTGGCAGTGGTCCAAGCAACGATGATCTAATCTAATCTAAGTTTTTCGAGTTTGTTCGACGCACCAGCATGGGTGGGCGCAAAGAAAGCAAGCGCTTTTTCCTATACTAGATTCTTTGGAATTTTCGACATAGCATTTGCTTTTGCGAAACCGCTTTTCCAACAGAAATCTCCACGTTCGTGGACCGCACTGTCAAAACAAAGAAGCAATTCTAGAAACAGAAACGAAACGGCCTATCCCAAAGGAGGCACTCAATCTTCCTCAGCTGCTTATGCGTGACGGGCATAATATTTTCCAGCAGAGGCTGCAGCCAGAACTTCACACGGCCGCAGTCAGCTGAGGCAAAATTGACATCCTTCTTAAGAATCTTCCCTAGACAAGACCGAGCCTGGTTTTCGGCTGGGGGCATCAAAGCACAATGATGTACTGTTTCGTTATACCTACTCTCAATCTACTTACTCTCGCGGAAGAATTCTATGAAAAATAAGGTACGTGTGAACCCGTAAACCGGATACGGAAAAAAGAAGAATCGATGAATACACTACATGACATAGACAAACAACAACTGTGCACAGGGTAGGTACAAAATTGGGTAATCAGTAACTCGCCATTTTTACAACTACTGGGCCGTGCAACTGGAAAAATGTGTGATTACTTGTAGTTGTGTTTTTCAATGACGAAAAATTCAATCACAGGTTATTCAAAAGCCATATGGATTTCATGCGTAAGACTAAGAGTTGATGATGGATGTTCAGACTCGATCTCTCAAAGTTAATATTTATTGGGGAAACTTAAACAAGATTGACATTGATATGAGGGATCTCCCTCAACTTTATATGTCTAACCACTCTTGCGTCTTCTTCCACCTCCGAGGAAAGCAAGGGGCTTTGCTATTGGCAGCGAGCCTGCTGCGACCGGTGCAGCTGCCGGAGCAGCAACACTACCTGCAGGTGGGTCACTTCCTGCGCCGCTACCCATCAATACTCCAGAGAGCACACCAGGGGGTGGATTCGGCCCAACCGTTACTCGATGTGCCTGCACTGCGTGCGCAACACCAGAAAAATATGAAGGTTCCGGGTAAAGGAGCGAGACTCTCGAGTTGTCTACCACTGGTAGCCTGTCTTATATATGAGCCAGGGCTCAGGGCTACGGCGTAGGGGGCACCGTACGTAGCCCCAGGCCCCTTTTGCAGGCGTCTGCCGGGGGTGGAAGGCCTCAAAAGGGGGCCAAGGGACCGCCTCCGCTTCTTCCGGCTGCCTGGCTGTTCCCGCGAGGCCTCCGGTGTAGGTGGAAGGCTTCAAAAGTGACCCAAGGGGCCGCCTGCGCTCCCTTCCAGGTGCCTGCCTGTGCCCTATATGCCTCCGATATGCTTCGCCGCCGCAGCAGTACGCCGGGTGCGGAAGGCCTCCGAAGGCGGCAAAAGGCGAGGGGCTGGACCCCCTGAGCCGCGCGGCCTGTGCCCGCCGGGCCCTTGGTCATCGGCTTGCTCGCTCTTGAGACCGTGGCCGCCTTCGGCGGGCTTATACCCCGGAGGCCTCCAGCCTGCGAGGGTCAGCAGAGGCCAGGAGGTCCCTGAGGAACACGCAGAGAGGCGCAAGGGGACGGCCGCGCCCAGTTTTGACGCCTTCCACCACTAGAATCCGCCCAAATCAGCGCGGAAAAGAGCGCGCGCGCCACCACGGACCGCACCACAGGGGGGGGACCGGTCAGCCCTAAAACGATTTTATACATATATAAATACCTACTTAATCGTGATCGTCTTTTTTGAGCATGATCCTCACAGGAAACAAGAAGATGCATCTACCAATGGTGACGCGGTATGTTGAGATCATTTGTTACCTTTTCGTTCAGTAGACTTTCAGTTTCAAGTCGTCGTTCATAAGCAGAGTGTAGCAGTATCGAAGTTGTGCTCATTCCAATCTTCGTTTGCTGCTAGCTGGCGCGTGAAGCTTTCCCGGACGCGCTCACAGAGGTCGTGTTCACGCGGACCTAACCCCATGGCGCAAACGGCTTCCAGTTTGGCGCCCACAAGTCCGGGGTCTCCATCTGCCGGAAGCACAACACTCGCTACTAGCTCCACGCAAACATTTCGGATTAGAGATATGAGGTGGAAGAATCGGAGTACACCTCGCAGTCGCAGAGTGCTTATCGGGGACAAGGACAAGCCCATATTCATAGTCATAGAAATGACTCTGAATCACCTGTACCGACATCTTTTTTTCACTTCGACGAGTCGCGCCATTCAAGAATCCCCATCATAAAAAGAAATCCGGCTCTGCAGTTCGCACGTCAGTCTGCTCCACATCAAAGTGCGTTTTGGTCACTTGTGGATGCATCAGTGGGGCTGGAGTACACACTGTATGCCTGTCTGGCGCTTCACCGTACTCGCAAACCTCGAGCTCGGGCGCCGAAGAGAGTCGCGCTGAGGTGCAGTTTTGTGGGGATTCCGCTCGCGCCGCGCAGAAGTCGACCCGCGTGAGGCACTGCGCTGTTCCGCTGTCCCACCCGCACACGTCGGATGGTGCGCAGTCCGCTTCAGAATGCGCCGCGGCGCAGGGATCCGAGACGCACACCGCATCCCCTTTCCAGGCACAAAAACTATCATCGCCGTCTGGATGAACAAATGATTTGTCGTGAGCGTCGGTGTCTCCAGGCGCGTGCATGGGTGAAGAGGAGTTGGAGGATACTATTACTATGGAAGTCTTCTTCACGACCGGTACAGTAGAGTCGTGCCTGCTCACCTCCAAAAGCATTGCGGGCGCGCTGCCTGGGGCAGAAAAGCCTGGTCGGCCAACTAGGCACGTGTCGATGGACGCGCGCCTCGCACAAGCGTCGAATCCGCACCGTCCGTTGCGCCAAGAGCAGCCATCGCGCATACCGTGAGCATCGCATGCGAAGGAGCCGACGAATTGCCCACATAGATCTGAATAACAAAATCATGAATCACACTGCTTCTCATCAAATCAAAATCTATCATGAATGAAAGACTCCTGACCGCTGTGACGGAGCATCAAAATTATCATACGTTCGCGGGTACAAATCTATAGTATTTCACTCTAAATTGCTTAAGTAAATTAAACTGATGAATCTGCAAACAAAAACTGAGACAGCAACAACTTCTTACGGATAAAGATATATAACTACTAACCTGTGTTGCACTGTTTCGTCGCTGCGGACCAACGACACCAGGGTCGATGCGCCGCGCACTCATCGGGTCCCTGATAGGACGGACAGTGTTCCTCAAAGCAAACTCCTGTCTCTGCATTCCAGAAACAATCTCCGCCAGATGTTCCTGCAGCGGTGCCATGACAATCTCTCTCGTAACGAGCGCGACTGCACGTGCTTCCCAGATCGCGGTGGCACTCCGAGTCGCCAACACGCCAGACGCAACCGTGCGTTGGACCGTGGTTATTGCAATCGTCGATTGTATCTTTGAAGGGGCAAACGTCCGTGTAACACACGCCAGCCATGCTATTCCAGACACACTGATGTTGAGGCCCTCCAGTCCTTCTCTTCATTTGCCTGCGCACTGCAAGGAAGCCTAGTGCTGCGTCGATGACGTACTGGTGCGGCCTCCTTGATATTCCAGGACTCTGCATGTCTGGTGCCCCCCGCATTGACTTTGAGGTAGCTCGAGTGGTGCTTGCTGCCGCCACTGGTGCCACGCCAACGGGGCCTGAAGCTCCACTCGCAGCTGCGGAGGGGTTGACGGCATGCCCCGCACTATTGCTTGGAGGAGAGTGTGTTGAAGATGGTTGTGTGCCTCTAGGCTCATGGTATTCTACAACGCCTTCGCAGCTTTCCATCGATTCGTGCATGCCGCAGACATCTTCTTGCCTGCAGCGACTCTGGTCTCGATCCCAGTGGCAGAAAAGCTCGTCGTCGCATGCAGATCGGTACTGGTGTCTCGCGCAGCTCTCCATAATGCATCGGCGACCGGTCCAATGACACCCGCTATGCGCCACGCACTCTCGCGCATAACTGACGCTCTGACAAGCGTCAGCAACACAGGCACCAGCTGCCCACGCGCATCCGTGACGGGCGTCTAGTTCGCAGCCAGTCACTGTTGCATGTGTTGCACAGATACTCGCGGAATGTTTGCTTGGAGTGACAACGAAATCCGCAAACCCTTTCGCATGACCATTTCGACCACTGCAATCACCCCCTTCGAGATAGTTATCCTCGACGTGCTCGGCAACATCGTCAATCTGCTCAGCGACCTCGCTAGCAGCTCCGGCAACCTGGCCAGCAGCCGTGTCTGCGGCGTCGTTCGCGGCGTCGCTCACGTGCCCCGCGGCGCTGCTCACGGCGTCCGCCCCTTGGTTGACGGTCTCCCCAACCGTTGTTGCGACATCGCTGATCCCGTCAGCCACGTGAGCAGCCGCGCCGCCGACCGCGTCAGCGGCATCGCTCATGGCATGTGCAAAATCGGAATCGCTGATCGTTTCCCCGACGCTGCTCGCGGCGTCACTGACCCTATCAGCAGCGCCATCAAGTGCGTTATCAACTGGATCATCTTTCTTCCCAGACGAAACGACCCGCGTCCCCTTCCGAACGAAACCGGACGTTGTAGATCCGAAGAGGCCGGCATATAGTGCACCGATGGAAGCTGCGGAGAGGGGTAGAGCAACGGGACGCGCAGAGCGCACAAGCCTCATCCTGTCCCGTCTTTTCATGAATAAAGAATTCTCTAGTGGTGCTACAACAAAATCATAGTGATACTGGATTAAACTTACTTCTAAGTACTGCAACCCTCTTCCGAAGCAATGAAATTCCTGACCTTCTCCAACGCCAGTCTTTCGTGACTTGGAGTATCACAATTAAGTAGCGGAATCGGCGTCAAACTCCACAATGGGGACTACTAGTGTTACTCTACGCTGCAAGTAAGTGTCGTTGACTCAACTTTGGTTGCTTCTCCCTCCAAATTCATGACGACTCCTACTTCATCTCTAGACTGGCCATGCCCGTTCATTTGCATTTTTATATCCGAATAACGACTACCCCTACTCTTGATTCTGATTCCTCTCTTTTCACCGAGCTACGCTACTACCGAGATGTCTCGAATCTACCGCTGTCATCTTTTACCAGGTCATAACATCACCAGCGCGGGTAAAAACTGCACTGGTCTCGTCTACAACGCCAGAGGACAGAAGCACGGACGGCATTTCCGTACTATGCTCTCTCTCTAAGTCTAAACAGAACACGCGCGTAGCAGCTGCGCATAAATCCCTACCATTCACTGTGGTAATTGTCTCGTTACTTATCACAATGTCATTACTCCGTCTTCGTGCTTAAACTGTCATGTACTCGGAAGGAAACGAAAGCCAAATCATCAGAACTAACGGGTCCACATAGCTACCTACTGCTCAGAGTCCAGTGATCGAGTAGAGGGCAGTATTTGATTGTCTCATAGCTGGAGTGCCGGTTGACCGCTTGTGCTCATCGATAAGGTCGCTACATGAAGCCACAGCAAGTGAATGTTCTCCGCCTTAGCAGCGTCGCTTGTTGTGCACGCACAACAAGTAGTCACTATAATCTAGATTCGGATTATTTACTCGCAATCGTATGTTTTTACATTCTCGTGGGATCATATTCAGTAATACTAATATGTGAAGGCATCGCCATGTATTGATATTTCTTCATTTAGGACAGCTTTCATCTTTAAATTTGAGATCCATGGTCATTCGGTTTTCGTCATGATCATATATGTGTGTGTTTGGCTAATCATAATCTACAAAAGCTCCGCTATTATGCTGTAAATTTGTGTAAAATATGGCAGGTAAGAATAAGTATCCATATCCTCCAGTGGTCCAGCAACTTCAGGCTATAAATTTATGTATCGTACAAGCAACGTTTACCAGGCAATCTATCTCAAAATTATCTATTAAGTGATACATCCATTCCGATACTTTACTTGTGTTCACCGTCTTTTGCGTCTCCCAACACAGGATGGATGCAGCATGCACGTCGAAGGCAGTCATGTTGATCCAGCAGCTTACCGACATTTTCATCTAGGATTTCCTCTACCTGCGCCGACGCGACTTCCCCTTCTTGTTCTTCCCCTTTCCTTTTCTACCCGTGCCTTTCCTTCCTTGATACGGACGATCGCTGTCATCGCCGTTGTGCGCATCTCCATAGGCAGGAACCTCTTGCTCGCCGGCGCTGATTTCCACATCCTGGTTCTCGTCAGCGCTCACAACTGGAGTCGAACTGCTAGCCTTAGATCTCATGACCATCCATTTTCTGCGGGCATTAGGTTCTCGGCAGCATCCTAGAGACATACGATTTAGACTAGAGAATGACCACTACGACAAAAGAAGGGCAAAAAGCTTTTTTAACCTACCACGATAAGGGTTTTCAACTTGAACGTTGGCTTCCTTTATGAAACATCATCCACAAACATAATTGTCTCTTTCTTTGCATTGTCATCCGCACAGAGCGGTCGCAGCGTGTCGATCGCTAGCCTGCTACAAAGATAGTTTCCAAAAGATTCGGGGAGACCGCTTCCAGCAAAGGCAGCGTTTTTTAGAATTGACCTCGAACCATCCTTGTAAGTCGAAGATAGATCATGTTAATCCACTACGAAGCGGAAATTGGACAGGAGAAATCAATTTTCGAGTTATTGTTCACCCTTATCTTCGTATTGGGTGCAATTGAAATTCAAATTGTTCAGAGTAGGTAGCATTGATCAAGAGGATGCATTACTCGACTTTTTGAGTGGATCATGCTGGAGGATAAGTACCTATACGATAAAGAAGTACCAGAACTGTTCGTTCCTGGACGAAAGAAGCTTAACTTTTCACGGCTCATCCGCTCGAGTTCACGCACACCTTGTTTGCCGACTAAGACCCCAAGAAACACCATACGAAAATCGGGCAGCAAATATTGAAACAGCGCTGGACCAGACTCAAGCTCGCACTGGCACATGGCGCTTTCCACTAAGGCCAACGTCGTTACTGCGTGGTCACGACGACTGAGGAAATGTCCGAGACAGAGTCCCCCTCCAGCCGTACGCGCACGCCTGACGAACTGAGGCCTCCTCATCTTACCAGAGTATTCATGGGAAGCGCCACATCTCATCTTTAACAGGCGCTTTATTGCGCAGAACAAACTTGTCGTTTCTTGGTCGAGACTAACCAAAGGCTGTAAAGAATCGATCAACGACTCTCGCAAGCGCACAGACATTCGTGGGCGAACTAGCATCCTCAGCACGCATGTAAACGCACGTGCTCCAGTCGCTTCGCTTCCTGAACGTTTTGCCAAGTCTTCCACCCGAGTTAGAAGTCGCGTAAAACTAAAATGCACTTTCATCAAGGCGAAGGCACGCCATGGTAGCCATCTCATCGTGTTTCTCTCCATGATTAAAACCAGAACTTTCGACGTGTTCATTTTTCTCAACGTGTTGTTCGTCGTTTTTCACTGAATAGAAGTATATTTCGTATGGACTGCCTCCGTAACTACAACTAGGTTCAGCAATAATATCTGCGCATGGAAGCGTCTCGGGCCTCAGCCTCTTACGTCTTCGAGTCGTTCCAGTCGCTGCTAGATTCGCGTCTCGCTTTGCTGCGATCTTGCCTTAGATCGCGGCCATTGCCTGGCCTGGCGACGAATTCTTTTCGGAGCCATGCTGACTTGCCTCAGATGAAGAAGGGCTATCCTTTCCAAGCCCCAACAACTGATCCGCAGTGATTGCGAGTGAATCTAATCGTAAATTGACCAAATCCAGTAAAAAGACCCGCGAGTGCAAGATTTCGGAATCACGATACCGGTCAATCTCTGCGCGCAGCTTTGTTGGTGTGCTCGTGTCTGCTACTCTTAGAAAAACGACCAGCTTCCCGCTCTACTTCCGAAACAACAACAAGTAGTTAAATATAATCATCAACTACTATTTATTATACCCCTTGGCAAAGGCTCCTCGAAAGTATGGGTCTCATGCTGTCTAAGTACTAGTGCCAACTCATCTTCTCCGGCAGACCGATGCAGACCTGTTATGTACTCCCGGTATGTATTTCTATATCTATGATATTTAAGAACTGTGTGTAAGTAAAGTAACTCGTGCTGGATCACGAAAAGCTCATCCTAATTCCGTCGCATCTTGAAAGGGTTTCGGGATCGGGCCGTGGATGTTTTATGAAGTAGACCGTTGCGGAGACTCTCCAGCAGTCGGATTGCGTAAGCGGAACTCGGAAAGAAGTGGGTGTTTGCGTCTGCAAACTGATCCGTGTACCGAGCGGATCCAGGGACCAGGATTCTCTCCGGCCTTGGTTGTCCTCATCTGCGGCGTTCGGTTTCGACAGAACCGATGTTAGCCCACATTCGGAAGCGCAGGTTTTACAAAAATAGTTCCTCAAGGCTTCTGCCCCTCGCAGGAGCCGCACAGACGCACGCTCACAGTCGCTCGCAAGCTGACGGAAGCTGTCAAGTCTCGTGGCCGCCATCATGCTCTGGGCTTCCTTAGGGAATTGCGCAATGGATTATAAGTTCTTGCCGCGGCTACTTAGGCTAAACGTTCCTGAGTTACCCGACTCTTTGTCGAATGCAGTCAACTGCGTGTGGAAACATGTTTGAATCGTACGCCGGTGTCCGTATTGCTGCAGTTCAACTTGAAAGTTCTTCAGCCTTATGTCCGAGGTCTGCGGGACGCTGTCGACCTTGAGGTGCGACGGCCGGAGCCGGGGCCAGTGGTCCACAGTGAGTGCGTTACGAACATCGCGTCGAAGCATATCGGTGCTATCCGGCGCCAGAGGTGCTAGCAGGTGCACAAGCGCGTCAGGGTCGAAAACCTCGGGATTCGCCGCCATCCAATGAACCAGCGGCTCGTAGGCCCGCACTCCTCTTAGTTTCTGCATGGCTTCGGCGCTAGCTGAAGAAGTCTTTTGATCTTGACCTTGCCCTCGACCTTGAGTTTTGGAAGTAGAGTGATCTAGAGATCTACCTACGTCCTTACCCTCCGGATCTGGTGCAAAAAAGGTGTTGGGATGTCCACGAGCGCCAAAAAGCTCCGCAAATTCACACTGCAAAGTCAGGTTTTGGAGGTCCTTTGCACGGCCAACAAATCCCCGCGCACGCTCAAAAACTGATGTTACAGTCTTGCTCGACCAGAATGCCTTCTCGGAAGGCGGCGGGACACTCTGCGCGCCCTCCTGGTGATTAGAACAGATTGCATAGAAGATGGCTATATCTAAAAAAATCAAAATTTGATAAATAAGCTGTCGTTGATAATCATACTTCATTTTTTTTTTGAGTCTCAGAGCAACTTATGCCACCGGCGCTCCCACCTTCGAGGCAGGAAAGTAGCGAATCCATAAAGTTCTCACAAACGGCAACAATAGCGCGAAAACCTGAGGTCGCAGACTTCCTAACCAAGTTTGTTCTTCCGAGCATTAAGTCCATTGCGAGTGCCGTCATCTGATTCTCTACGGTGTTAAGTGGTCGCACTGCATCAAGGGCTTCTTCTTGGCCAGGTCCAGGAACGTTCGCCAATCCATCCTCCTGGTGTGCGGTTGATGACGTCGTGTTGCTATAGGTGTCTACCACTGTGCGTCCCGTTCCTGCTCCAGCTGTAACCACCGCCTCAGGTGCCATGACCGAAAACTCGACCCGGCGATGCAGCGGTGCTAGCTGATAAATCTCCGTCTTCGGGAGTAGTCGCTCTCTAATTTGCTGCATCCCAAAGGTCGAGTAAAAGAATCCACGCTCAGAGTTTTCGCGAAAGTCCCTCTCACCTTTATAGCGCTCTTGATTGAACCTCCACTTATTCTCCGGTAGTCTTTTCTCACACACGCCGGGGATGATCGCCATTGGCTGTCATTTTGTGACAAGATCGAATAGCCTGAGCACGCAGTGCTGCGAAAACCCGTGGCCGCGGGCGTCGTCTGGGATTAGGTGCTTTTCCCACGACTTGTACCACTTTCCAGATCCTAGCAGGTCCTTGCCGAAAGTCTCGAATACCTCGTCTATCAGAGCGAGGTAAGTCCCCCCAAAATGGGTCCAACTCTCGAGACGCATGTTCGGAAATTTGTGTTTCTCGCGCTTCGTGGTCGTTCCAGACGACAGAAAATTTGAAGCAGTGGCACAAGCAGTTGTGGGACAAAGCTGGTTCGCTTCGTTTTCCTTGTCCCGTTGTACTACGGACGTGGTAGTCGCTGTCACCAGACCTGGAATCGATATCATGTTGTAGAGGTCGAACTTCTCCAGACCCGAAAAAGTGTAACCCATGCCTCCGCTTTCTCGAATAAACAGTTGCAGCGTTCCGGGGCCACTCTTCATCGCAGTCGTGAGTTCATTCTCTGGCATCCTTGGGTACAGCAGGAAAGGAAAGTAGCGCTCGAGATAAGGCTGAACTCGGCTAAATGCACACAGCAGAGTGGGAATACTGCGTCGATCGGATCCTGGACAAGCCCCCGCTTGTACACATGCTCGTACAGGAAGGGCGAGCGATTGCTGCTCGCAAGGGCTCTCGCCGTCGACGCAGCTGAGGTTTCGTGGGTTCCCCGGGTTCCCCCCTTGGCCTTCTGACATAACCGAAGAAACTGTCGCAATATCAGCGTCTACACCTGAAGCGGACTTTGCTGGAAAATGACCGCTAACTCCGCATCGGTCAGGCTCGGAACTGGCAGCATCACCGCTAGAAACTCGTGGCGAAAGTCTGTGCTTCCCGACGAGAGGTACCCCATGAGCCCAATCGACGCGAGGGCTCACTTTCGGATGTTGAGCTTGAAACGTGACCGAGCACATGCACCAGAACACGAAAAACGTGAAAGCGGGCACCGTTCAACATCTGCGCTCCATTTCCTTCCTCTGCAGTTGCATCAGAAGCCTCGTTTTGTGTTGCGTTCATCTTCTCGCCACCTGCTTTTCCAATTCCAACCGCAGCTGAAGAGGAAGTCCTCGACAGGCCATCATCTCCATCTGCTTGATTTTATTGTACCTTATAAACTTATTGTTTTTCTCAACGAGAATCGAAACCAATTCAAACTCGTCTCCCTCTCCTGTCGCATCGTCTGCGTCAACAACCTTCTGCTTGGCCGCAATAATGTCTACCATTAGTGCAGCTCTGTCGGCGGTCTCAGAGGGCAGTATTTTTCGTTCAACCGCAGCCGAAGCCCCAGACACGAGCTGTCGCTCATGGTCGTTGTTGAAACACCAGCACCACTCGTACAAGGCGGTAAGAAAATCATTCCGCAATTCTACCGATAGTGGCCACGACTGGTCCTGCTCCTGTTCCTGATATTTGCCATCTTGATACGTTTCATCAGGTATTAGTTGAATTTTTGTGGAACTCTTTGTCTCGTCCGCCTGAGAGGCAACAGTCGGTTGCCACGACATAGCTTTGATTGCGAAACGCATACGGTGTACGAACGGTACGCTCTCCATGTGACGCACAAAAAAAGGAATCACCTTTTTCGCATCTTTTTGTAGCGCGCCGTTTAGAAGTTCCGTTCTGAACAAAGCAATCGCGGCGACTGCTACAAGCCCAATCGCGGCGTCTGCCGCAGGAGCAGACAACGAAGACGCTGGCATTCTAATCCTCCCCAGTACCTTAGAAACTATGAAAATTGCAGTTTTTCTGTTTGTTGATGTTGTTCTACTGATAATGTTGTTGACGCTATACTCGTGTACGTATGGTGTGTTACTTTACTCCATTAGCTAAATTTCGTTCAGTGTATTTGTATTTCGTAGTCCTAGTCACATTCAAGTTTTCATACCTCAAGAAAAACAATTTTATTTATAAATGTATTTCAGTAGAACGAAAGTACATTGAAAATTGGAAATATCATGAATGAATAAAATTTATATTACTCCAGCATCGCATATTTGCAGTTGGAGTGAATGAAGGTTGCAGTTGGAGTTCACTGATGTTCAGCTACATTCTGATTTCGTCTGCCGTTCAATTCATTCAGTCAGCCGAGAGGGATGGTCGCATCATAATTGTAGGCGCAATCAATTATAATACTCGTCGCTGCCCGATTTGTTTCAAAATCCCTTAATTAAATATCTTGGAATTATCAAAACATTCAAACACTGTCGCTGCTGGACACTCTGCTTGCGAAAAAAATGAGCTTGCTGACGAAATAGTTCGTAACTATGATGAAAATTACTTATCCAAAAGATTCACCCTGTTTTGCTGCTGCTCGCACGCTTCACACTCACCTCCGTGATTCAAATAGACGGACACAATTTCTCATGCTTTTCTCGGGAACTGATGCAAGAATTGTAATTTTCTTATCGACAATTAGAGGACTTAGTATCCGAGACATATTTTATTCATTGCTTACGCACTTGCACCAGCTGTTCCTGCTTGCAAGACAAAGGACATTACCACATCGAACCTCGTCGAGGAAACATTCAGTCTAGAGATATAGATGAATGTAAGACAGGGCACTGGTGGGGTGCAAGCCTAACCCGGCCAACAACTTCCATTTGCACTTCACGTCTTCCATTTAATTTTCGTCTACTCAGTAGCACTACTAGTGATTTCACGCTGACAAAAACACTTGCTGGGTTGACATTGACTCAATTACTTTCTCAACTGCATTGTTCATTGAGTTGAGGCATACACTAAATCAAACTAAGCTATGCACAGTCGACATCGAAACACACGTTTAGGCCATTGAAAACGAAACATGCAAGATTAGGCCTGAGAGAAGTACCCATCATGAAAAAAAAGTTCTAGCTTCATTATAAGTAAATGCACGCCTTCTCACAGTGTCCATTGAGTAGCTGCGATTATCTACTTCAGGCAAAAAATATAGCAAGCAGAAATAATGTTACTTACTCAGAAATAGTAAAAATCGAGATTTTTTGATGAGGTAGCGACTGAGACGCCCAACATTTTCGTTTTTGATAACGTCCTTATCCTGGCCTTCGCGGCATTTGCATCTGTCGGATTTGGAAGGCAAGTTTTTCTACCACCTCCAAGACGCGCGTGTTCTGGTCCTCTATGTTGCTTATCTGATCCTCCAGCCGTCGAAGCCGTCGCCAGTCGAGTGGATTCTCATTCTGGTGCTTTGATATGAAAGAATGGTGCCAGTATTAACGAAACTATATTAAAGAAGGAACAGCGTCATTTTAGAAATCGAAAATTGAATTGAGACTCGTTGGCAACCTCGGTTTGAAGGAAGCGGAACGAAAAGAACCCGAGATGGAAGCCCCGTCTTCGTGGTGCGTAAATATGTTTCCTTTATCTTCCTGATCGTTGTTCGTCTCTTCTTACTGTAGTTCTTCTTGGTGTCGAATATTCTAATTTATGCAAGCAAGTAACCCAGACATAAGTTGTTTACTTCCACCTCCTCTATGATTGCCTGCAACGAGCGCTTTTGAAGCTGTTCTTGCTGACGCCTCTGCTTCCTTCTCCATGGCCCGAACAATAGCATTCAGCTTTTGATCTATTCGCTCCTGATCACGGTATCCCTCCGCAAATCGGCGATCAAGCCAATTGAATCGATCTCGCAAGAAAGTCATCGCCTCTTCTCGCGTGGCTTTCCCGCCACCGGCGGGTCCGTTCGATGGTGCGCCCTCACCCACAGTAGGTACACCGTCAGTGTACTCGAGCAGTGTGGGTATGCGTCCAGTGTCGGCTGCGAGTGTGTTGCCAGGTCCAGGCATGGAAGGTGAGCTGAAGAAGCCACTGTTTGCCGCCCCCATTGAAGAAGCGGCTGGCATAAAGCTGGGCATAACTCCTCCCATCGAAGCAGCACCATTCATGGTTCCTGGACCGCCCATTGAGGAAAGCAAAGCGAGCTGGCTGTTCTTGGCTGAAGTCGTCAAAGAATTAGATAAAGCAAAATGTGAAGAAAAAAATTCTGATTCATTCTGGCAAAACTTGGCAAACTAAAAACTTTAGACGCAACAGCTCTCCTTTGAGGCCGGCCTTGTAGGAGTAGCAGCCTCTAGGAACATATTGTTCTTGATGTTGATGCTCCTCCAAATTATAATTATCTCTTCTACTCAGCACGCACTAAGACTAACACTTTGAGGACTTTCCATTTCCTCATATCATAATACTTGGCCCTCCGCCAACCATTGATGCAACTCCACCAATTCCTCCTGCTACGGCATTTGGGTTATGCAGACCCATCATGGTCAATCGTTCTAGCAGCTGATCCATGCTTGTCGCCATGCGCTTGCTATAGGCCAGTGTCTTCGTAATCATACGACAGGCCATCATCAAGGTTACGTCCTCGTCCCTTTCATTTTCTTTTGCGTCATATTCGAGAGCAGAAAAAATCAAATACTCGGCATTGTGCTTGCTCATGCGTGGAAAGGCCCTGCGTAGGGACCGCGCTGAGATGTTCTTATCTGGGTGGGCGGGATCGTCGTCATCCTCAAACTCGCAGAGCAAGTACCAAATATCCAAGTGCCCCTTTGTCTGCTTCATTTGCCTGAAATTGACCAGAGCTGGGTTGCGGGGACAGTTGTTTTGTAGATCATTAACATCATGCTTCATGTGTATGTGTATGAGTTGTTCATAGTACACCACCCCAGCTTTTCAATCTATGTATGATGTATTCTCTTCTACTCCTTCGTAATCGAAGTTGACGTTGTGAACATCTACACACTAAAGATTGCTCGGTACCTGTAAGTAGAGAAAGCCTGCTCGATAATCGTTTCGGCTCCGACTTGGGCGGCATCTGCTTTTGCGAACTGGTTCATCACGATAGCAAGTAAAATGTTGAACATAATAATCGTAACCGACCATTGGAAAATCCAAAACCAAAGCGTGCCACTCACAAAGTGAATAGGCTGGTCTTTCCCAACCAAAGAAGCAAAGTCAAAATCGCCAAGCAATATCGCAAAACCTTTGAGCGTGAAACGAATGGAGTGAAGTAACAAGGTGGCGGAACAGGAAAGTTTTAGTTTAGATAGTTGTGCCTGCTCATTTAACTTTATTTAACGAGCGGCAACATCGATAAGATTCCTTTTCTCTCTAGAAAATCACCAGTACTTGAGTAGCTACATTATGACTATGTATAATACAAATACAGTAGGTGAGTATGTACAATAGCAAATACCTGTATTGAGTGCTGACGCCAGGTCTGAGAAAGCTCTAAGGCGCGATCCGAAAAGTGTCTGTGCAGTTGCACAAAATGCGAGGAAAATGGTCATGAAAACAACGAAAAAGTGCGCGATGTCGGACGATCCGTCTACTATTGTGCGCGTGACCACCTCCAGGCGCGGATTTGCACGAAACCCCTTGAAAAACCTTAGCATTATGATCAGCAGGTAGATACCGATGAAGACGCGGAGTAGTTCGTACAGCCACGCTATATTGCCGCTGGTCTCGTGCACAGCATCCAACTTGGCGTAAATTTCTTGCATCGAGTTCGCGCCACTATGCAACAGAATGTCTGCCTCGGACAAATACTCGCGTCGCGCTGTGCTATGAATATACCGGTCTATGGAGTCTCCATCATCGCCGATCTAGATGAGTTATGCTGGCATGATAAAAATGGCAGGTCGAATTCTTATCTAAATCAATATGATCATTAGCTATCACTACGACTACATCGACTCATAACTACTCAGAAAAACTATTCAGTACTGCTAGTCAATGTCAATCACAGCTTTCATCAGACGCTCTTACTCTACTTTTCCCATGCATCATGCAAAAGCGCAACAGCAAGACCTGTGGCAACGCTTCGATCTGCACGCGAAGTGGGCCTAGGATGAGAATCGTTATATGCCACCACAGTGCGAGGAGGCCAATGCCAAAGGTGATACTGAGCCAATCAACGGCATTCCAGAACTCCCAGTAGTCCATAAAACCGTCCACCCCGTTCTTTATAGCGGGAATCAATTCTTTGGACTCCGAATACATCATTTTCAGCAGCAAGAGGCCGTAGATAAAGTCGAAAGCATACGTCGCCCACGAGTAGTACGGGTCTGCCAAAAACGAAACCAGACGATACACGTTTTAGAATCCGGTAAATTTTTGCTGCTCCATGTTCATCAACAAATATATGCATGGCTGTAAATATATTGTTTGAAGGGATAAGCCTAAGATTGGAGGTGAAAACTAACCGGTGGCTTTACTTTTGTGCTTTAAGCGTCGCTGGACCTAAACCCCATCCTTATAGAAAAAGAAGGAGCGAATCAAGATTTGCAGCACATCTCTAACACAAAGGGGGAGGGGGAGTTACCAACTTCCTGTTATGGGAGGAGGTTGCTTATATAAAAATTTCATGAGATTGTTTTTTGTTATTGTTTTTAGCTGCTTAATATAATCAAGTTCAAGCCACTATCTCAGCTGTTAATATAATCAAATCTCGAGAATGCTCCTCATTGTCTTCAGAAAAACAAGCCCGGCTCCAGCCAGGTGTCGAATGAAAATAGACATTGAGATTGGCTCAATTTGGGTAAGTAAACAAAGCACGAGTCTGCCTCTTCATCTGACTATCTATCTGAGTATGAATTTGAGGTCTCATCTTCACTTTGTGTCATAATGTATCGAGTAAAGTCCTTGTCGTCTCCAGAGGAATTCCAAACTGCAGTCGGTGAACATCCCGTAGTGCGCATTGTAGAAAAGAATCCGGATGCGCATTTTCGTTGTCTTCGTATCAAGCCACACGGAGTGCATCAACTGCTCGATCCGTTTCCGAATGTCGCTATTGCGTTGCTGGTAAAGAAAAAACTGCGTAACCAGTTCTGGGTCGCCGTTGTCTGGCGCTTGGCACTCGCCGCCTGGCACCTGCAGTGCCCCATGTGTTGGAGATAGCTTTGGTACTACCCAAGTGTGAACGTGAAGTCCGCAACACAAAGAGAGAAATAGATCATATTCTCTCGTTGGAAGATTCTCCAGAAAGCCAACTACAACGACTATTCAAATATATAATCTTTCGAACACTTTTTGATGAAGAAACCGTGAGCGAAGACCGCTTCATAATCGACTATCGTAGAACGACAAAACGTCAGGGCTTTGTTCGCAAGGTGCATTCTCCACCTCCTCTTTGGTCAGTGCAACCCCTCCAACAATCTGGTTGAAACTGGCTAAACGTCCTGGCACTGGAAAATCCGGTACTAGATGATCCGTTCCATTACTGCGAAAAGCAGCAGCAACGAACGACTTATGAAACCAGTCCCAGAAAGTCGGAATCTGCGGATGTAGAAGAATAGAGAGAAGTCGGAATCTGCGGGTGTGGAAGAGACTCTATTTGAATGATAGAGCTAGCCGCTCCTGATTTACGTTGTTCTTTTCTTTATTACACCTAGAATAACAGCCTATAGTGACCAAAGATGTTTGTTCTCTCCGGTTTAAGAATACTTGTTTTTACTGGTAAGGTGCCAGTACACCATTTTCACCTTAGCCTTCCAACTTAAGTCTTACGTTGAAAAAAGCCAGAGAAAACGTAATACATCATGAACGTCCCTTTCTAGAAATGGCCCCATCGCATTGCTCGTCCCTCCCTCACCAGATATTTCGTTTTCTATCGCAGAGTGCAATTCGTAGGTCTTCCGAATTTCCAAGTGAGATCCCATCCACATAAGAAACATGGTAAAGAAGAGGAACGTGAACGGCAACGAAAAACAGGCATCATTCTTGTTGAACTGGTACCTCAGGTACTTCACCAACTGGTTACGATTACACTCCTCCACGTTTTTCAAGCTTCCCTTGTCTCCGCGCACTTCCTTCAGGACAATGTTGAACGCAAGAGAACCTGTTATGCTTATAATATACATAGATACTCGTGCAAATGAAATATCATCAGAAATAGAGAACCTGCAGCCTGTAATGCGATCAACCGACTCATTCCAATATCATCGCTCTCTTGTTCGACAAGTGATTCAGCAACATTTACAGTGCTCATCATATCGCAGAAGCGATTGCCTCATCCTCAGTGCTTTAAGAGTTAGCGAGAAACTACGTGCGTAGAGGTAGAAGTACCTTGTGTAATCGCGTTGTAGAGTTCATCCACTGTAATAATGCCATTTCCGTCTCGGTCGCAATCTTCTGCCATTTGCTTGATCTGATCTGCGGTCAAGCGGGTCCCTGGAATACTACAGAGAATCAACAAATCGTCACTGTTGATCTCCAGAGGAATGCCCTGTTTTGTTTTCCGTGTCGCATCAGGACAGAGTATCATGAAAAGCTCCACGACCTCGCGCCGTGTAACCGAGTGAAGATTCATCGCGGGATTCTGCATCTTGCGGTCAAAATTAGAAAAATTAAAATTATCTCTAGTACTTAAGTGGCATAATAAGGCAAGACCAAGAGAAATGGAAACAGTGACCGGCATTCATTCCCACACCCATCACACAATATTTATTAATATTTAAATATAGATACAGAGAAGTGGAAGTGCTCTCTTAAGTCCACGTACTGCATGTGCGTCGTAGCTATCGCGCGACTCTTCTCTCATCTTTCCCAACAAGAACTCCTGAATCAAGGACGTTAACTCTTATCAACATTTTTTTACCATAAAAAGCGACAGCTTTTCTATCAATCGGATCACGTGATCGAAATTGACGTTTTCCAGCGTCTGCTTATCTACGGGCGCGTGGGGATTAAGGCTCGCCGATGAAGCTTGCGGCATGAGCCCTCCTGCCGTGCCGCCCGGCGGTCGGAGGTTAGAGCTAGAGCAGCCGTTGACGATCATCCTACAGTACATGATAAGTTGTGCATTTTGGCAGTTCGTCGAACTGCAATGATTCGGCTACGAGAATACAGCTAATCAAATCAAGCTTAACTCCCATGTTGGACGTGGCGAGACCACCGATCTTGTATACGTTCGACGTTGTCGGCGACATGGCTTGTGTACCTCCAAACGACATTTCTCGGCCTTTGTTTTGCCAGCAAAATTCCGTCTCTTTCCCCTCCGAGCTCTCCTTCGTCTTATGATAGCAATGCTGGATCCTCGGGCTCAAAATCCTCTACCCTTGCCATTCGTACCATTAGCAGACAGCTTCTTCGTCTTTATTACTACAAAAAGCGCTGCTCTTCTGCCAATACAAATATTGCTGCTTGTTTTCAACCATTCTTGCATGGATGCGCAGTCCTTGGTACAATGTCGAGCGGTTGCGAGCTAACTGGCACGCGTGCGAAAAACTCCGAGGATCCGCCCTGGCTACAAGAGCTTCCGAGGTGATGTGGTACTCGTTGCCAGCATGGTGAATACGAAAACTCTAGTTGCGCCCTTCGAATCGCTCGCTTTTTTCCAACGAAGTTAATCATTCGCAGCACCTTTCGCTGTTATTTCGGACCGACCCCCCATCAGGTTCTATGCTTTTCGTAGCCCTGTTTCTTTTGGACCACGCTTCCGAAAGCGGCTTTTACACAAACACCTCGTGGGTTGTCCTTGCTCCATAATAGGCTAGCTTAGGTCCATAATATTCTTTAACCTTCTTTACAAAGAATCAAAAAGTAGAGCAGTGCGTACCCACGGTTTGGAATGTATTGCAATGCAACAGAAACAATTTACGTTTTTCGTGCTCTTCGGGTTGTTGAAGAAATCCATGGAGACAGGATGCTGACACCTTCTTTTCGGATCCGTCAAGGAGCTCATTAACTTCTCATGTACTAACGACTGGAACAGAAACTACTAGCTACTGGTAATGCACTCGTCTTATCACTCCGCAAAACTCTTAGAAATCCTAGCTGGTGTATATTAGTGCTCTCATGCTGAATCATGATCGCCTCACGACCTACAACTTGAAGAATGTACTTACTTGAGCACGCCTTTTCTCCCCAAGAACATGATGAAACAGCAACATGGTCTTTGATGCTCCTCGTGACTCTACGGGCCTTGAACCATCTGCCTATATTTTGGGCCGAGCTTTCGTCGGCGTGTTGCGTTGGACCAGACCCACTCACACCACCGCACCCACTCACACCACCAAACCCACTCACACCACTACACCCACACACACCACCAAACCCACTCACGCCACCACATCCACGCACACCACCACACCCAAGTCGCAGGCCATTTCGTTAGGCCTTTGAAACAAGCGCGCCCGGTACGTTTGTGGGCGGGCAAACTGGACCTTGCAAAATAGAGTGTTCTTGCGTTGGACCGTGCAAAATAGACAGAATTTTCTTTGAAAATCTAAGTCCCTGTTCATCCTGATTATCCATCCTCCACGACAACAATAGCTTCTCGTTGTCACGGCAGCGGACCAGTACTCCCACCAGAGAAAACGCCGTCGTTCCCTTCATCAGGTGGGGGCTCCCCCATAATGGCGCCCTCAAGAACGAAGGCGAGATCTACCAAGGTCTGCGGCGTGTACACCATCGGAATTACGGCAAGCACGGTGACGCTGACCAAAAACAGTTTCTCCCACACGTTTAGTGCTGGTTCACGCTTTTGCTTCCCAGCCAAATCGGTTCGGATGTTTTTCAAATAGTCCTCCGTCAAGGACTGGTTCATCGACTTCGTTTCAAGGATCGCACGCGCAGCATCTGGATCCATCAACATCGGATTTTTCGACGTCCGAGGACGGCCAGCTTTGCGGTCCTCCTCGGTTTTAGCTGCACGCCTCTCCCGAAGCTCCTGCCGCTGCTCGATGCGATCGATACCACCTACAGTCGAAGGCATTTTGCTCGCGTTGTCAATTTCAGGTCAAATTCTATTAATTAATTCTTATGCAAGTATGATGCTTTCAGCTAGAAGTACATACTACACATGCTTTGCTACTTCATCGTTATTTATATTAGTATTACGCGACTCCTACTTCAAAATCACGATGTGCATGAGAGAGAGAGAGAGGTTTCAAATTCAATTGTCCTTGTGAATTATCGTCAAGCTGAAACACGAAACACTGATCGACTTTCCAATTGCGCCTACAGACCGGAAGCTCCGATGCTGTCTCGGACACACCTACTCGTTGGTATTGAATGCATTCGGATCATCTGGGGAAATTTTTTTACCTACTCGCTCCGCATCTCATCTTACTTTTCTCTCTTCAAGGGACATCAACTCAAATGTTTCTCTCGTCAGTGGGCATTAAGTCGCATGATCAACTAAGTACCGCAATTTGTACTTAGAAACAACTTCGCAGAGGCATATTCTGTCGATTGATACTTCTTCCACGCTATAGCCGGCATCCCCCAAATATACGTGGCTCGCAGTCACGCTGCAAATGGACGTAGACTCTTTTATTTATGGATTGTATTTCGCAATCGTGGTAAATCTTCTAGAAAGTCACTCTACGTCAATCTACGTAGAAGACCCTGGTCAACGGTCACATGCTGAGCGATCTCTCAGATGAAGCAAGTAGGTGAGAAAATACAAGAAACATGATTCTAGGAATTTCAGGGACCTGCCTGTCTATGACAAAATCTATAAATATCCATCTAGGGCGGAGAGAATGAGTCAAAGATTTCCGACTCCGGGATCACCACGACGGCCATGATGATTGGGTTGAAGATGAAGATGAACCGAAAATCAAATACTTCTTCACACCATGAGTAAGACCTTATATATATGGATGAGAATAGCGCCGTGGAAGTCGAAGAAGTATCGCATTCTCTATTAAGGTGGTAGCATTATGGTGGTTCTCCAATCATGATTTTTACACAATAGACTTACGACTTGAAGGATATTTTCCTTTTCGCGGAGCCCCCCGATACAGTTCTTGTCTAAGGAGGTATGCATGGACGTGGTACAATGCAGACAACTGCCAGTGGGTTACATTCGGAATATTCATGTTCATCAGGGAGGCGAAAATGAGTCGTCGACCATGCGGAATGTACATCTGTCCAAGCATCCTGAGCATTCACACAGCAAGGTGACGTCGGTGATCCTGTACTAAGACTAAAGGAAACAAAAACTCGGAATAAAGTACTAGATCATTTCCAGCTGTGATCATATAATGGACGAGGGTCCCGTGCAGGCGTCACACGCTGCTCAACATGGCGCCTCTAAAATGATCCCTGTGAGTGAACATCGCGCGAAGCACGATCGGTTTGCCAGGTATTGCTTCCTGTCTTCACATGGCACCGCCGTACGACACATGCACTTTCTCTGGTTCTGAAGACTTTGAATTCTGGTGTACTGAAAAATCCCAAAAGCGTCCATTCGACGAAGTCAAAATTACCTGATAAAATTAAAAAATATGATCTAGATGATGCATATGAAATTCATGCGCAGACTGTAGTCCTGCTTGCTATGCGCAATTTTTCCTGAAATATGAGTAAGCTCGGACTCACTAAATACTTTCTTTGAGATTTTCCAGGATCACAATTTTTTTTAAACCATGGCTATGGCATCTAAAAGTACCCCCATTAATCCTGCCTTTTCCTTTTTATCCACAAGCAAAGCGGAGCCTTCGTCGGATTCACGTGCTCTCTGCAGTCGCAAGCAATAAACCCCTAACAGCGAGAAGAAAACGCCAACAAGGGACATCATTGCCGATCGCATCGTGTAGTACTTGTATTCTTCAAAATTAGAAAATGGCGCTTTTCTACAAATACTTCTTATCGCTTTAGAAAAAAATAGTCTGCGTCCTTTCTACGAGTGGAAGTAGTCGGTCGCACCGGCATCTTTAATGATACGATGAAGTTGACGTATCAATCTACGTTGTTCGAGTGGATAGCGTGGCGATGCTGGTTTCGGTTTGTATCATTCATGTACATTTCCTAGAAGTCACAACAAGGATCATAACGAAAAAGACGTTGCCACACATCAGCTCGAAGACCAAGGACAGGGCAACCTCAAGCGTCACCACCATCAAACTCGGCGCCAGCAGCAAGCACATGTTCAGCCGGGTATGAACGTTTGGCGTGTAAGCAAACACATGAGTTGTATTAGTTTATATATACCCTTACACCAGCTAAAGATGATGTTAAAGATGACTGTGCCGATACTAGAGGTGGTTGTTGTTATTTTTAGTGCTCAGCCATTGCACTTTTCTGTGTGACCTCGATATAATATTTGAATTATTTTTGCCCTCGCCTGTGGCTGTGGTGTCATTGACTCATTGTGCGTGAAAATGATTACAACTATGTATTTATTAACAAAATAGATTCGCATAAAGATGTAAAAGTGGATTAGCGCAAAAAATAGTACGCTTTCTTATGTCTTCTGCATAGTAGTGACACCAATGCCAATTTCTCTTCAATACTTTAATATAACCGGAGAAAATATTTCATGAAAAAGTTTTGTCAAGAACAGTGGCATAGAAAAAAATCGAGATTGCTGCGACGCAGATGCAGCCAAAGAATAGGAGGCAGAGAGTTCCGCGGCCCGTCGGAGAGAAGAAAGCCCACATCCAGAAGCTGCTAGATTCGCTACCCTGATGGATGGATGTGGCAGTCGCAGTCTTAGAAGAGAATCTAGTCCGGTATGTCCGTGCAGAGTATCGCCTCCTTGTTGACGAGGATCTTGACCACTTTTTTTCAGCTAGTAAGCACGGACATTTGCATTCATTGATGTGACTTCTAAAAAATCAACTTGGTTACGAATAGTATCTCTCGACAACATAAGTGCATGTGGCATCGATTCGCTCTTTCCAAGCGAATGAACGTAGTTATCGTCAACAAGCGTGCCGACTAATTTCGCACAGGTCACCGAAATCCCGCACCCCAAAGTGCTGCATAGCATGATCTGAAATGGCGATACTCGCTTAGCGAGTCCCTCGTGACCCTCGCCGCTGCGTCTCCACTGCATCAGTACCTGTCCTGTGAAGACGCACATCGCCACAAACACACTCATTTATTAGCAGAAAGGACTTCTCTACTTCTAGATCTAGTGTGCAAGACAACACTTTCTCTTCCAGGGTGTGAACTAAGTGGCTTTCTTGGCCTTGAATCACAAAAATCTTATCCATCATTTGAGCAGCTAGGTTCCCTTGAGAAAGTAGAGGAAGAGCATGAAAATTGCAACTACAAGTTGAAATAGTCCACTCAGACAGATTTATATCTACATAGATAAAAGTAACACTGACCGTGACCAGCACAGGACCATGAAAAATAAAAGCTACATAGCCATAGAGATAGACCACTACAGGGGCTCTTGCGATCATCTCCAGGACATGTGATATCGTCAATTTCTCCGTGTGCGCAGGTATATCTTGCGGTTGGAGTCCAAATCCGAGAATGCATATCGATCCGAAAAAAATCAACATGATCGACAAGAGGTGAAATCGCGTAAACTCTTCTCCCAAAAAGCATGGGCTCAATATCTGAAATTTGATTTGGGGTCCGGAAATCATAATTAGCAATCATATATTTAGTATTCTCATCGATATTACACATCTTTTTGGTGCCACTTACAATCACAGCACATACAACTATTTGTTGTTCATTTAAAAGCTATGTTTTCACGTATTTATAATTTGATTTTCTTTTTGGCTATGACTATCGTGGGTTCATGGGTAATTGGTCGTGTCATGATTTATTTACTTTACAGCAGCTCTGAGTATACCGAATTCGCGACCAGCGTGACCGGCCTTAGCGATGACTGTACCGATTGCGGGATCAGTGTCAATGTGATTGGACTATATACTTAGAGTGCGAGCTATTTAGTTTCTCATCCTCCTGACCTGAGAGAACGACATTTCGCAGTTCTCGAATTCATCTTGAAATTCAGGTTCAGCGTCCTCTTCCAAGTGATGACTTATTTGGGATGCCCCACGCGACAACAAATTATGAGAAACTAACCTTAAGATAGCATTGCACTACAGTAGAGTGCAAGACCGCATCCCCACATGAACCTCATTCGAGGCGCGCCCCAGTGTGAAACTGCGTATTTTTGCAGAGTGAGCGCAATTACTGCAAGAACCGAGCCTCCGACCTCCAGGGCAACCCCGACGACCCACCTGCATAGAGCCGCCACCATCATGATACTGCACGAAGTCGAAGTTGTAGCTTTACTGCAATGGGTGAGCCCTTAATGCAAAGGGAGGGCTGAAGCAGACGTGCAGATGCCAGATTATGCGAAGTCTAGTACTTGATATAGGGTTCACATAACACTTATTCAGTTTCTCCTGAGATTGTACTAGTCGTGTCGCCTCAAACATTCCGATGCCGGTGTCTGGACTTCAAAATTTTGCATACGATAACGGAGTGACCCCCCAATGTGAAAGACATGTCATGTGATCGCTCCTGATGCTATCGTGCTGATTCGTATTGACGAGAGCAGATTATATTAAACCTTGTAAAGTACAACTCTCAATCGCTTTTAGTATTATAGCAGGGACGCATTGTGGATCAGGTCGATCATATAGGCAGACGACGGGTGAAAGGGGTGTGGTTTACGTGTACGCCATAAGTGCCACCTCTGTCACACCAGATCCGGGGGTCTTCACCAGAACCGGGGGTCTTCACCAGAACCGAGTACTGTCATTCATCTGATCGCTCTAGAAACGTGCGACGGTACGTGTCTCCGGCGAAGGGATGAACAGACGCCTCTCAGAACCGAATTCTGGGCATCAATTTATAGAAATTTTTCAATCTGGAAAAAACCGAAAAATCTCGTCTAGATCTAGATGGAAGGTTTTGACAAACGATGATATAAAGTCGGTCGGCATCTTTTCCACAATGACCGATCGCAGTGATGAGCCCCTGACGCTGATTAAAAGCTACTACATGGTCACATGTGCTACAGACAGACCTAGTTTTTTTACCGACACCTTGACCCTCCTCAGTATTCCATCAGTCGACATTCCCGAAGACGCGCATGAGATAGGCTACTCCGTGCATACCATTGGAAAAAATGTGCCCACGATCTCGAAATAGGAATTTACGAAGGATAATATGTAAGGAAGTGCAAACATAACAATATAGGATTACCCGAACGGTCTCGATCTCTCAGGTAAACAATAATCGAAAAGGAAACAGAATTGAAATTGAACTACACGCACGCATCCTTGTGTGAGTTATTTGCAAACAGAAAAAAAAACAGAAACACCCTAAAATGAAACCCAAAAACATAAAAGCGAAGTAACTGCAACGGTAAACAGAAAAATATCAACTCTTGAACAAAAAGGCACATGACACTACAAATTCAGGTGATATTTGAAAAGATACATTACGTAAGTCCGTTGGATAGTTGCATCTAGCCCGTTCGATAATCCCCGCGGTAACGACATGAATTTAGACTTGCATTTTCTTTTCTTGCCTACACTGTCACGTTCAAATATCTGTACAAGCACATGTTCTACGCGCGACTACATCACAGCGCTGTCGACAGCCAGAGCAAGCACCTATACCTTTTTCTCCGTCATTTCTAAAATGATGTAACATTGACTATGCACAGCTCTCGGAGTATGCAAGTCTGATTAAGGTTTGTCTATCCTCTACATGATCGGCGTAATTCGAGAAGTGATTATGTATTTATATGTGTATTTTTCGGTAGATAACTAAATTCAAGCCGTCCTTCTGAGGCTGCGCATATCCGCTTGAGTATGCGGGGAAAACTGTGGATGGCGGATCAAATCCTATCCCATCCTATTTTTCGTGTTTTTTAGCTATTACATTTTTGTTCAAACGCAGGAGTATTTACACAAATCAAAGTTGAACCTCGAAGTGATCCAAATTTTGAAGTCCTCACTATGTCCTTCATCTTCGGCAGCTTGCCCCTAACCGACCCCAGTCTTGCTCCTAATTTACTTGTAGTCTGCGAGCGTGAGGTCTGTATCGTCGACGAGGGATACAGCGCCGTCGGTGTCTGCGGAAATGGTCTGCAGAAAGTGAATCACTTCATTGATGCTATCGATGTCGGTTTGCCTCGCGAGCATCGCGTTGTTGTAGACTTCGATCTTCTGCGCGCAGTTACCATAGTCCTCCAACGCTTGCTGCGCATTTGTCTCCTCGGTCGTTTTGCTCTCCAAGTCCAGCTTCTCGGTCTTCAGCTTCTTCGACAGCGTCACTTTCTCGTCGGTCTTCTCGTTTTTTAGATCCGTCAGCTTCTCGTGTGCGAGGATCAGCTCAGCCTTGCCTTTGATGCAGCTGTTCTCGCTCTCTTCTGCCTCGGCGATAGTGTCAGCTAGATTCTTCGCGAGGTTGTCCTTGATCATCAACAGCATCGTGACAATCTTCGCCCCACCCGAACGCCGAGCGTTCTGGTCGGTGAAATCAGTCGCCTGTTCTGTTTTCGTCTGATTCGAGGCCATCGCATTGTACTGGTTGTTGTAGTCAGCCTGAGGACGAGGTGGAAGGAAATTATATATATGGAAATTATTCTTAGCTTCGCGTTTTTACAACAGGTTGAGCACTGGTTTCAAATTCAGTCTTCAAAAATAAAAGACACAAAATGACATTTGCAGAGGTACAACATTAGGAAGTAAGTAGTACTGTGAAGTGCTCGTGCTCCTTCAATGCCGCTAGCGCATCGTCACCGTAAGCTTCGGCCAATTTCTCAGTCGCAGCCTCGACTGCTGCTTTTTCTGCCGTGAGCTCCTCCTTTTGCGTTTTCAGGGTGCTGGCAGTCTGCGCGCATGTTGTGTCGAGGTCAGATTTCGTCTTCTCGTTGACGGCGATATCACCGATCACCTTCTTGACTTCATCATCCACAAAGCGAATGTCTTGCTTCGTCGCAGTGACTGCGTCTTCAGCAGCGACCTTGACCTGCGTCGCCGTCTCTTTCGCCATCTCTAGGTTATGAGTGGTCTCCACGCAGGTGTTTTTGGCTTCGTCCGTATCCATAATCTCCTTTTGCAAAGTTGTGATCATGTCCTCACACTTCTTGACAATCTTCTCGGTCGCAGAAAGCGCTGTGGCGTCGCTCTGGGATAGAAAGGCCATCACCGCTCGCTTCATCTCCACCGGCAAGCGGTGGATAGATCGCGAAACCTTATCCACTCGAGAGCCCAGGGTAGAACGAACCTGGTGTGAGAAGTGCCGCATTGATTCGCAATTCGATCTGTTAACATCTTAATTCCGAATCGCATAATCAATTCGCCCCTTTTCTCCACTCAAGATTCTAACTCAACCAAACTAGTGCACGAACTCTGTGAGAAAATTACACTAACAAACCCCGCAAATGCAGAAGTGAAATATGGAGTACCTGGACAAAAGTCGGTGAAGGAGCGTTGTCGCCGGCCATGATACTCTCGAGAATCGGCAGAGTTGCTTCAATAGCAGAAATTTCCGACTCCGCATCCGTTACTTGCTGGGAATAAAATTTGCTGCGGGCGTTGCAATCAGCTTGCATGTTGTCGAAAAACTCCACATCGGCGTCCATTTTCTGCTTGACTGCGTTATATTCCTGACAACGTATCATGAAAATGCTATGCGAGGAGAGGAGAGAGACATTTGTTCTCGGCTTCCTGGCAGAGGCATCGTCCAACATCATGAATCTCAGTTGGCCAATGACTCTTCTGGTCCAGACTGGCTCGAGCGATCCCAGAACTCTAAAAAATCTAAATTCTGTGCAAGCTTGTCTCCAAGGTAGACAAATAGTAAGTACCTCAACGTACTCGCCCTTGAGCTTCATATTCTCGGCAAGAATCCCTTCTTGCGTTTTCTTTATAAACTCATGCTCCGCGATAGCCTGTTCACTAAGGAGCATTTCTTTCGTGTAGCTTTTACGCGCGTTGACGTTTTCAATGGTATCGCCCTGCAGATCCACTGCAGTCTGCTTTTTGAGATCGACAAGATATCCAGTCGCCTGTCCCATCGTTCCCTCACCTACGGATTTCCCAGTCAGCTGCTGAACGAGCGCGAGCGTTCGCTGGCGCTGCAAACAAAATTTAGAAAAATTTAGATTTTTATGATATTGGCAAAAAAAACGCTCAATTTGTACCATCACTATAAAAGAAAAGTCTTCATATGTACTCCCCATACTGGAGCTTGTTTTACCTCCTCCCGCTCCGTTTGCAAAAAGCTGCGCGGCTTTGATAACACGGAGACTGCCTTTGTGAGCACGTTTAGTGTCTCAATATTTTCGCCTTTCCTCTTGTTAAAATCGGCATCATCCTCGTCCATACGCTGGTGTGTTGTTTCGGAAATCAAGTGCCAACTTACGAATATATTTTTCCTCGTTTGTAAGTACTAGTCAGTGACGTGAGCCTGTCACCGTCGATGCAGAAATCAAAGGGGTAGTTGTGCGTAGACGGAGGATTGGCCTCTTGACATGAAATTACTTTACATGTGTCAAAACTGGCTTCGGCGTGATCGTATCCACTAGATTCTATTTCAGCTCCATCGAAACACAGCGAAAAGACGATGAAATGCATGCTCATTGAATGCATCTTCGACAAAATTAAAGTCTTAGTTCTTGATCCTCTCAAAGTCCAGAAGGTATCGCTAGGTAACCCCAGTGCTTCTTGTAGAGATAAATGTAGTCGTGTCCTCGTATTCATGCGGAGGATTCGAAGAACTGGATCTTCCTTTTGGTCAAAAACCTTGATGTAGAACTACCTTCGTGAGCTTCTCTTGTTTTTTCTTCTCTTTGGCGATATTCTTTGTTTCGAAAGCGATCTGGAGTTCAGCCTCCGTAATTAGCGAGGAAGATGTACCAATGAGCTTCGTAAGCTCGGTAAGTCGCGTTTTTGCATCCTCGATAGTGGTGCCCCTAGCTGCACCCTCCTCCTTACAGAAGCACGCGAACTGGTCATACATTCGCTTGTCCCGCTCATTGTCTCCCAGAACGTTCTTCTTCATGTCCATAAGTAGTTTGATCACTTTGCCAATCGCTCCTTCTGTTCCATATTTGCCAGTTTTGATAGCAACTGGTGGCGCGGAGCCCAAGGAGGCGGCGGCAGCGTTTGCCTCGGCCTCAAGCTCGGCCTGTCGTGCTGCCTCGGCCTCTACCGGGGTCTGCTTACGCCCACCAACCCGTTTTCGGTCGTTCTGCTGCTGTTGTTGTCTGCGTTGACCACTCAAGGCTATCCTCTGACCACTTCGCGCGACACCAGCAGAGACCTGCTGGTGCCCAGCAATGAGCAGCGGCCAGAGCTTCATTCTCAATCACCACTGCTCTTCGCTCTCTCGCACCCACTAAGACTAATATGAGGATCAGAATTTCCAACAAAATGAACCAAAAATATCTGAAGTTGTATGCGCAACAAACCACGACAGCGTCGGAAATGAGACCACTAGTATTCATTTCACAAGCAACAATAAATATTTAAGTCGGTATTGGAGACCAGTTCACATTAGATGCGATTGCATCACAAGAACGACAATGAATGGAAAGATCACGACAACGGCCATTACGCAAATTTTCACAAAGAACTACGACATGATCTTCTCCTCGACGTCAGAATAACTTTGATATAGAGCACCTTTTTATTTCTGGAGCTTGATCTGACGTGCGCCGGAGGCCAATATGATGAGCCTGCGATACCAGCATATTTTTGGATGCTTCACCGATATTTATTGCACACACTGAGACCCCGTGGCGGGCCTGAGGGAGACTGTTCGATCCGCCGTCCTGAACAAAAAGAGCGACGCCACTGCGATTTGTGCAATGCAGGTACTTCACCACAAAGGCAGTACTTCACATGGAACAGTATTAATTGGAATCCTAATGTTCCTGCTGCGTATGGTTAGGCAGCCTGCGCATGTCCTCTGTTGTGCAACACATGTCCTCTGTTGTGCAACACAGCTGTATGGTCTTTCGACGTGTTCTGCAGAGTTAATAAGCACTTGCACAGTAAATAATCAAGGTTATGGAAAGTTGTCTTGACAGTATTGCACTAGGAAAATGACGGAGCTTCGCCATCGACGTCAGATTCAATAGCCTCAAGATTTCACATTTCTGCTAAGAAAATTCGAAACGCAAAATAAGAGGACATTCATCGCTCCGCCTCGACTTCCGCGCAGCAGTCTACTTCCGAAGGGGAACACGCTCAGGAAGCTATCAGCTACAAGTCGTGAGAAATGCCCGTGATACGAGCGCCCGGGATACGACGCGAACCCTAGCAATCCAAAGTTGGTACCTAAAAAATTACAGAGGTTTCATTTCCGCACAAAGAGGTAATTCCACACACAGACTACAATATTCAACACCGAGCTCTACTGAGAGTAATGGCTGGTTTCCAGGGATAAAAAACGTTATTCCGTCACACACGCCTCATCAATGTGGACCTCCAGAGATGACTTTATCTATCACCGCTTTTTCATTTAAGTACACTCGAAAATGAAGAAGGTTATACATGTGGCATTATTTTTGGCTTCCCGATAAGCTGGGCACGCGACTGCGATATCAGAAAGCGATAGTGATCGGAACGCCGTTTTTGGTCATACGCGCGAAAATCACTGAAGTGAGCGGGAAGGCGATTTCGACGAGGCGATCAAAAACTTCAGAGCCAACATGGCATACTAAGTTGCCCGCTGCATCACCATTATCTCAGGACAGCTTTTTTTTCTAGCAATGTATATAGAGGAAGCGGCACAAATCCAGAACTAAAGAAACTGGAGGACAAAAGTCTATTTTCAGTACAGAGAATCCGCGCCGTAGACCCGTCCGAGATTGCGCTCAGGTACCTCAGCCGGCGTTGGAACAGGATGCCAGCTGATGCCAGCTTCCGGATGCAGGCCTTTTCGCGGATTACACACCGCTGGTGGATCTTTGGGCGCTTTGTAGCTGTACTCGTGAGGACCACGCCAGATTCTGTAGTAGTCAATGTTTTATATATATATTCTACGTAGTACAAGAACTTCTGAAGCTCAACTTCACGATGAGAAACTGAAGGCGTCTCTACTTACTTGCACTACAATAAATAATGTTAGTTTAAGTACATGCGCAAGCAGTAGGAATGTCCCTGTAGTAGCTAGAACCGAAGGACTAATAAAGGATCTTACCTGAACCGGCGAACTCGAACATTTTGTTGAGCGTGATTAAATTATATTATCAAATAAACGTTCATGCATCATTTTTCACATAAAATGCAAGGACCATGGGTTGGCAAATGCATCTTTTATTTCCATTACGTTTTTCCTCGAATATATCTTTGTTTGCTTCGTTCGGCGTAGGAATTTGGTGGCATGCGATTGCATATCTCGGCGAATTTCCGAAGATAACGCGCCTTGACTTCTGCTGGTGGTTGAATATTTGCTTGCCAACTGGACGCAGGCGCACCACTGGAAAGCGACTGCAGTGGAGGATCGCGTGCCGCTGGTAAATACGGACTGCTATTTACGGACCTCGTGAAACGTTTTGCACCAATGTTCTCTTGCTCACCAGGAACGTAACCGCCAAATCCAGTGATTTTTTCGAATCGCGCATCGATCGTGGCTACGGCAGGACGTACGGATTTTCTAGTGGCGGTCGTGTAAGAAGCCTTGTTCCCTTTCTCAGCCTTTCGCCGCCCATAATGCTGTGACGAAGATACGGCGGCTGCCCCACTCTGCGGATGCTTTACAACTCCTGCACTATGAGCCTCCTCGGTTGTATTTCTGCCACTGCCACCGAGCGCGCCCCCACCGCCTCCTGCAGTCGTTGCATTAATTTCAACCGTTCTTTCTTGTGCAACAGGCGGACTGCTAACACCGGCGTCAGCAGCGCTGCTTTGCACACTTCTGATGTCTTCAGGCGCGCGCGTTCTAGTGCTCGGTGCAGTTTTTGGCCGCTCCCACTTCTTCTTTTTGGTCTCTTCATCGCGTACACGCACCATGAGTTCTGGCTTTTCAACGCGAGGTGCAGCAATAGCTGTCCGTGGTCCTGATGAGGGAACAGTAATCACCACTCTGATTCTACGTGAAGACGTGTTTCTACTATCCTTTTACGTGAAGACGCTGTTTCTACTATCCTTTTGATTATCTTGCTTTTTGTTGGTCTCGCGGCGTCTAGATCCATCACATCTTCATCGACCAAGCTAAGTGGGTCGAAGTATAATACCGCTGATTCTACACCAAATGATGTTGATGCCAAGCTCACTTCGAATTAGGTTGTTGATAGAGGAAGCAGAATCAATTGTAATTGTACTTGCTCGCCGCGCCTCGTTGACGTCAATCGTAAGAACAGCCTCTGGCTGTGGCGGAAGGCGAAGAGTGTGATACATGACTGCGGTGCCTGATTCCGGTCGGCACAAGTGACCCACTTTCTCGCCTCGGTCGTACTCTGCGTAGTAATCCGGACGCGGGTACTGGTACCAACTCGGACTTGGCTGTGCCGTACACGGAAAACGGCGGTAGGTCGGCCCCGCCGATCGTGGACGGATTGACTTCCTCATCAGCGCATCAGGTCTCCGTTCGAGCGGCTCTGCCGCTGCATCGGTCATTGGGCCCATCGTTCCTAATTGATGATCCTCGCCGAACTCCTCTTTCTACGACTTCCAGTGAAAATTTGTCACCGGCCGCCAAAGTTGTTTGAAGATCGATGCGTACCTGCTTCCAAACCCACAACTGCAAGTAAATGATCACAACACTGGCATCTCAAATAGATCGGGTGTGCGCTGTACGGACGTATTTACAGGCTCAAAACGCTGGATGAAAACCGTAAGTCGGCTAGTCCACTTCGTGTGCCGGTAGTCTCACACTGCGTGCTCGCCGTCTGGGATGGACACTAGACTACAGGACTCCTGCGTAGGGGATCTTTGTTGCTTGTTGTTTTTCAATTACTGAAAAATATCTGGATTTAATATGAGTCGGGTATTTACTTCATAAATATGAATCTCTCAAAATTATAGACGCTCACACATTTTAGATTTCTTCAAATTGCCGCTGAAAAAAGACTAGTTCTACTTTTTAATTATAGTGTACTTATAGAAACAGTAGTGAATGCCCCTGGCCACTCTCTACTAGTACCTTTTTTACTTATAGTCCTGAACAGTGGAAAGATCATGATTTGATTCAAGCTGCTTGATGAGCTACATCGATGCATAGAACATATCTGATAGTAGCTTTCAATATCAAATGAGCAACGCGTTGTTACACCGCAAATCTGGCTAAGTAGAGCAGCAAAAATATTTCAACTCATGTTTATAGTTCAATATCGTCCGCGTGAGGCTACGTCGGAAATATATCTGTCCTTAGAAAATCAGCATGGCAGAACTTGTTGAGCATAGTTTGCAATCAACTGAACGAACATGAATTACTAGAGGTGCGGGAAAAGAGTACATGATCCAGCAGTTGTTCGTCTTACATGTGCTTAGTGGGACTGTGGGGTTTACGATTCATCCATCCCAGCACAGATTTCCTGAGGCCTCCTGAGATGGGACCGACTCTCACCGCCAGACACGCTGTACCGACATTTGAAATAACAAGGATTGCACTCAAAACAGATTCGGATAAAACATCTCGCTTCCATATGCAGCAACACCGAAGAGGCGCCGATCTTTAGTAACCGACCGCGGTACGCCATTGACCCAGACGTCTACCGATAGCTCATGGAGCATCTAGTACCATGCTTATGTGTGACGACTTCTAATACTCACCTCTCACACTTTATTACTCGAAAGGGTGATGAAAACAGAAAACTGCTTATTTGTAGAACTAAACAACCATGGCGGCTCTCGATTCGATGGTTCGAGAAAATTGAAGCGGCCAGTTCTAGGTTTTCATTTTGTGCTTAAGTTACTGCTTGTTGCAACCGCATTTACTGTGTCATTCTTCCCGTCTCTTACAAGTAAGGACGATGCTCGAGCTCATGCACATAACGCGACCGCTCCATCATCAGCACACTAGAAAATTCCAATCGTAGTATATGTCAGGGGATCGAGAATCATGCAAAAAATTTCTGTACAGTTATGCTTTGAGGTTCAAAATTTGGTCAGGTCGTGACGGGTTTCCATTTTTCATTTCCAAATCCAAAATATGTATCGCTTCTCTATCAATCTGCGAGCAGCATCCGAATCACAAGATATGTACCTACAAATAAAAACTATGTCAAAATCAAAAATCTGCGGAATACAGCTTCGGATACTATTCTCCAAGTCAAATGCAATGTTGTATTCCATCACGCGTGGTGAAGGTAGAGAAGAAATCTTCAACGAACTGTTCATCCATGTCAGCACCAGTTACAGTTAGCATGGTATGCTTGTCAAAGCTAACGAGAGCGTAATTTTTTCATTTTCAAACCAATATCTCCCCGTGAACTTCTTCCGCCTGGTCACCTTGGAGGAAGAACTTCGCTACAGCTTCGTTGAAAGACGCGCGGCCTCGGTGGGCAAGAATTGCGTCCATGCCTGTAGACAGGAGAGATGGGTGAGCTTCGATCGCTTCGTCGACCATGGCAGCTTGCCAGCTTTCTTCGTCGGACGAAGAACTCGGAAAATCTGTAGAATATCCCTCCCCTGCTGCGGTTGACGGACTTGCTGCACTTTCTTCTTCTTCTTCTTGATCTTGCTCGCAGGGAAAAATGCCGTTAGTTGTGCAAGATGACGTTTTGTTCGTTAGGAACGAACTCGAATAACTGTCAACGTCGTTGTTTTCTGCAGACCCGTTGCTCGGTTCTGTAAGCACATACGCTTTTGTTGCTATCATCTCATCGCCTTTTCCTCGCAAACTTGGTCCCGGAGATTGCGACAGAATAGTCGGCAGCAAAGGTAGGCCGTTAACACCAGGTTTTTGTGCGCGTGCAGAATAGCCCCGATGCGACACTGGTCCTGTGAATTGAAATCAAGATGGTAAGGTCCTTATGCTCTACTTGAAGTTGAAAGAATACGATTAGATAAATTACTAGAAACTCCTTGTTCCTGAAGTTGAAAGAAAACAACCGAAACGAGATCTGTATAGCGAAAAAGCCAATATTTACACTGTGATATCAAAACTACGAACGATATCATCAGGCATGCTTGCAGCAGTGGAAATAAAGATAACGCTTCTATACTGCAAAAAGCACATCATATCTAGTACTCCTGCTCTGTTGCTTGCCCTCCGGAAATTTTCTTCCGGCCTTGTGCTGACTGTTGTCCTTAGACTTCTGCAGCGGTGGCAACGCTACTAGGACACTCCATTGACTTTGCTGTCCGTTGTAACCAACTTGTACCACTTTCGTCCTTGCGTCCTCACAGCCAAGATTCGACCTTTTTCTCGGAGTTGCCGACCACGTTTCATTCGCTGGCGGTGTCTTTCGCCAATTTCCTAGACTATTAGAAGCAGACTGCTGGTCTACTTCTTGTTGACACCTCAACCTTGTTTTTGTTCCACCCCTTATTGCAGTGCTACAACCTAACCTATTTGTGTTATTCTCTGGAAGACAACCGTCCACGAGAGGGAGACTCCCACGCCGCGCCACAAGCGTGCCAGGCCTTCGTTCTCCGTCTAAGATTGATCTTCCCATTCCTCGTGGTACTACGACCGACGGGCAAGACACGGAGCGGCTATCATTCGCGCGGTTTTGCATCCCTCGGGAGTTTCTGTCCAAACACTGCTGCAGTATCGTTCCGGCAGCTACGCTCTTTTCGCCAGGCGACGAGGCGATTGAAGTACATGAACTACTACTTGTATACGAAGAAGCACCCTTAGTAAATGCTCTGCTGCTGTGCTTGGAAGAAACCGTGCTTTTCAGCTGCTCGGATCCCACGGCCTCTATAGGTGAGACAGCTTTGCTACCTGCTGCGCTACTACTGCAAGACGACGCACACGAAGAAGCAGCCCTTGATCGAGGTTGCGTGATGAAAGTTTTACACTTGCCGAAAGCGCCCCGACCGCAACCATCGGGAATCCCCTCCATAGCTCGTTGGAAAATGTCAGTGCCGGCAGCTACTCCTGCTTCGTGACGAGCAGCACTCGAAGATGAAGTTTTATCGACATAATCGTCTCTCTCCGTCTTGTTCACCACGATGTCCTTCTCATCAACAGTACTTCTGTAATTAGAGTACTCTCTCAACGGCTTGTTGTTCCTTGGCTCCTCTACTTCAGCTTCCTTCTCCACGACTGCCTCCGGTGGATGCTCGAGCGGCGGGAGTAACATCACTTTACTTCCTCTTGGTGTCGACGAAGGAATCGGACTTGTATCCCTCAGTGAGAGCTCCCGTTTGAGCAAAAAGTCCAACCTCTGTGCCTCCACTTGCTCTATGGCAGCCTTTACCTCATTACCTTTCGCCTTATTCTCGCGATACATCGCTTTCCATCCCGCCGGGTGGTCACGCGCAAGCGGGATAGGCCGCAATACTGTACGCGCCGGCATGACGTGCAGGAGGGGGAACCAAAGAAATACTTAACTCCAATCCCCCTTTGCTTCCTGTTTTTCGAGTTCTACAAACAGAGCTATACTCTTACATGTAAAAATTCGAATGATTCTGGATACGATGATCCGCGAAGTTAATCATAGTAATGTCCCTTAAAGTTGATAACGAAACGAAAACTTTCGCTAATTCTCATTGAAAGAGGTTTTTCGTAGCACTAGCTCGTTCATCTTTGAATGTGCGATATCCATTTGGCCTCGTCTTTGTCACAGCCGCGATGTCTTTGCCCTGCACTTCTTTTTGTCAACATCGTCTAGATTTTTCTACAACAAATAAATCGTTGCGGAGACGAATTTCACCTTGAGACTTCGTACAATCCCAATGACCTTAGAAAAGACCATATAACTTCTTTCCGTCCTGGAATACCCTAGAAAGCATGTCTTTCTTGTAACGTTTTAGTTTCACTTATACTCGATAGGGAAAAATATGACATATCTGAAGCTGAAAGGATATCTAGACTTTGCATGCTGAATTACGCAGCCGATGTAAAGAGTTTCCTTTTTCTTTGTAATTTTTCAATCGATGTTGACTGTAACCAGAATGAACCACAACTGATGATGGTCAAAGTAATTTACAGTTGTTCAAATACATTATTGATCTCATGGTTTAGAGGCTTCAGTACGTTGACAGCAGCGTGTGAATACGATTTTTGATCATGAATAGATACAAGCATGTGAAGAATGTGTTGATTACTTTGGCAGACATACTCCGAACTCGAATACGTTATTGACATTCGAATGTCATAATCACCAGCTATAGCTTACAGAAGAGTTTCTCAGCACATGCTTATGTAATATGATTGATAGATTGTTGATATGTTGTGTCAAATAGCAGGTCATGCTTAGGCTCTCCTTCTTTTACGTTGTGCAAACTGGAATATTGTTGCAATAGATTGACGCTCTCACGTTCTGCCTCGAGAGGCTTAATTTCGGATAATTGCGAATTGGTCAGGAATTAAAATCAACGTAGTGATCAATCGGTTCTTATATTTTCATTCTTTATTGTTGTGATAGGAATAGTCAGAGTAATTTAGTCAAGAGATGAGCGAGTCCTTCGTGGCACCAGTGGCCACCAGGTGCAACCGCAAGTTGTAGTATTATTATATGAATCAATTGCGAAAAGTTTTTTCAGATGAACAACATCATCATGAACGTCTTTTTACTGCCAACATATCAGTGTGAATTCAAAGGAAGATGGTCCTACTTCGCTGTTGTAGTAGGATTGGATTACTTTCACATTATCATGACATCAATATCTTCTATATTGGAATGTCTAACTCCTGTTATGTTAACATATCATCTTCATTCCCGACAAATTTCTTTGATGTAGTTCTAGAAAATGTATGTAGACGCGAGAATCGTTCACAAAGCACTAGATAGCACCTGAGGTTATTGCTGCGTGCGGATTTCTTCGAGGCCAAAAGCGTGGAACAACGCCCCACTTAATTCTCGCGCACTACGGGGTTCACCACGCTTTTGGTGGAAGGACTGCGACCGACGGCTGAGGAACTGGTGCCGCGGCGCCTTTGCTTGCGGCGCATCTTGCGCACCGTCGCCGACGTCATGAGCGTCGCCTGAATCATGCGCGCCACTCGTGGGACTGTTTCCACGTCCTCCTTGTCGCCTGCCTTGGCGGAACTTCTTGAACCCGAATATCTGATAGCACATCAAATAATAATCTGGCCTTTTAAAGGCTGCCCCATAGATATCATGTCACATGTAGGAATCTCGTTTTTCTTCATTAGCCCTATTCTTTAAGTGATGTGTTACATTTCAAGTACGTTTGGATTCCATGAAGTAGTTGAGTTTTTACTACTAGAATAAGTATTTGGTTGTACGTCTAATAATAATACACACAAACTACCTAGTATTAGTTATGCATACAACTAGCGAATAATTGTCGTCGTTGAAGTATATGAAGAAGTAACTGGCTTCTATCAAAAATCTCTCATTTTGGTGGACTGCCGCTCTTCGCTGGACTGCTGCCCGCTTGTCGTCCTGCAAACGCAAAAGGGTCCTTGTTCCGAAATTTCTTCAAGCCCACACCGAAAATCTGTAGGAAAGACAGATTCTGTAGTGGGAGCAGATTCTACAAGGTCATGTTGTTGGAATCTTCATCTTCATCAGTAGTTTTCGACTTCGTAACAAGGCAACTACAACATTCAGTTCTTGTGCTAGAAGTTGTACGCCAGACAACGAATCTTCTCTTCTTCATCGGAATCTTCTTCGTGCTTCCAACGACCGACCATATAAATCGCTCTCTCATATACATAGGTATAGTATACATAGCTAAGTAGTCTCAGAATTAGATACATCCACATTAGAACTTATAATTAGGTGTACTCGTACTACAGCTAGAATACCTATAATATTTATAGATGCATAGATACAATGGAGTAACATGGATCTCAAATTTTCATTTTATTTATAATTCCTGTAATAAATACTAAAGCGATATCAGGTGGAGGTAGCCACGAAAAATTTCTTCTCGTTCAGCTAACAAACTAAAAAGCCTAAAAGAGAAATTGTTGGCCATGTATGGCCCAAGCCTCTCGGATGTCGTGGCGTTCTGTTCTCAGTGGCTCACGCAAAGCCTCGTGCTCGACTGTCATCGGGATGATCTCACAAGACATGAATGTCGATGGTCATGAATGCTACTTCCAATGCACATCCAGTGCACATTCAATGCATAATCATAATGATCAAGGTGTAGACTAGGCACGGCTGTACTGATCCTAGTCATATGATGCATGTTCAGTCCGATCCCTTCTGACATGCTTACGCTGCTGCTGTATGATTCATCTCACCCAATGAACCAAACAAGGACTACACCAGCCAGAGATCGCAAGTCTCAGGCAGGAGTATCAGGATTTGCTTGCATTCAAGATTCTGACTCTGTGTTTCCACTGAGAAACGAACCAAAGGCACGGAGGCCTGTGCTCTTGTGGTCCAACACTGGTCTAACCCTTGAGCGGCGAAAGTAAAATAAAATTGGAAGTAGTGTAGTAAAATAAACAAATCCATCAAAATGTCCTGCGAGGCCAAGGAGATCCTCAAGAAGTTGGGACAGAAGTCCGACTGGCGCGAGTGGCAGCGAGCCGTACGTCAAGAAGCTAGTCGCCTAGGCTTACTTGAGAACTACACGAATGTAGTCAACGTGCCGGCCGTTCCACATGGTGCGCCGCAAGGTAATACCAGTCGCGAAGACGTGACCCGCCAGAAGTGGCGCAACCTGAAAGACGTAATCATACGAAGTCCGAAAGGTGCGGCCAAGTCGTTTGTCGACAATCGGAATAACGATGGCGCGGTGGACGAAATGGATGCTGGTGAAGTTGTTGCTCTACTTCGTGACCAAGGGAACTTCAACGCGAACAATCGCCAGGAGCAGCGCGCGAAGGTCAAGCCGTTGTCGGAGGGACTGACGAAGTTCCACAACAGCGACCAGCCTGCAGATGTCAAGGAGTTCCTCTCAAAGATCCGCGACATCATGAACCAATCGCCCACCGTCTTCCCGCCGGATGCAGATCTGCCCGAAGCTGATCAACAGAGCGGAGCGATCCTGCTGAAGTTGCCCGAGTTGTTCTGCAAGAACTTCAAAGCGACCATCGAGCGGATGCAAGAAGAAGATGGCCTGACATTTGACCAAATTGGAGACCGACTTGAGAAACGTCTTACAACGTTGATCGAGGAGGGAACCTACAAAATTGAGAACGACTCCTTCGGGAAAGCGTTTCCGGTCAATGTTCAGGAAACCTCGAACAAGCGTCCTCGTGATGATAAGAATGAGGATGATGACGAGGTAGAGGCCAATAAGGCAGATGGTAAGACCTTCATTTCCGCTAACGCCCTCAAGCGTTTCAAGCAGAAAGAAAAGAAGAAGGCAATCGCCGAGGTCTACAACTCCTACGGGTACCAACCCAAAGGAGGAAAGAACGGCGGACAAAAGCCGAAGAAAGATAAAGGAAAAGGAGAGAATACCTATCCACCCCGCTGTGCTTGCTGCCACAAGGTCGGACACAAGTCCTCCGAGTGCTGGCATAACACACAAGCCCTTCAACAGGGACAGGGAAGTTGGACTACCGGAGCCCCATCTAGTAGTTCTAGAGGCAAAGGTGGAAAGGGTAATAGCAGCGGCATGATCCACATGTCGCAGGTTGCGGAGATGCTCAACATCATGAATTCGCACAATCGAAGCTGAGCGACGGAACCGTACGAATTTGGGAAGTGTTCGCTGAATTTCGAGGAAGATGAAATAATGACAAACGTTGATAATCATGCTGATAGCTACAATACAGACGGATATAGTTTCACAACCTTGAATGCTAGAACATCAGAAGACGCAACGCTAGTTGATAGTTGTGCAAACAAATATCTTTCACGACACAGAGATGATTTCGATGAAATTGGTAACAACATTTGTAGAATGACAGGTAGCGCAGGTACTAAGGACGGAAAAGTCGGAAAACTCAAGAACAACGTGCTTGGACTAAAGAATGGACTTTACTATGATTCTCTACCTGGAAACATAGATCGCGCATTACCATGGTTAGGAGACGGAAACTGCTCGCAATTAGGGTGGGACTTCAACTTCAAAGGCACTGGTGGTTGTATCATGCACACGGACACCGGCCAGATGCTACCCATCAGAGCTCACCCACGCTTGCAGCTACCCGTACTCGCATGTAGTTTCTTTGAAAACAAACACGAAAGTGGTTTCGCCTGTACATCAATAGAAGAAGGCGTCTCTAGTTGCCATCTTACGAGATTAGAACTACACAAGAGATGTGGCCACTTTCACATAGATGGGCTACAAGTTAGTTGCCCAGAATGTGACCTACATAAAGGACAACGGAAATTCCATGCAAAATCTAGAGACATGACTACCTACAAACCCGAACCCCTCAAACTACTTGCAATAGACTTTGCCGTAGGAAGAAAACCTGTCTCAGTAAGATCTATGAGATGTGTTCTAGTTGTCATATGTGACGTAATTAGGAAGGCGCTTTGTCGACCGCTGAAGCTTAAAAGTGACTGTGTGGAGGAAATAGAACAAGCCACAAAAGGCATTCGACAGGACTACTCCTTATCGCTAGATGACAAGGTAGTATGGTTCATCCGGAGGGATGGATGGCCAGTCCTCGGTAGTGATGACATGACCAAACTCATGCAATCGCTGCGGGTCTCAGACAGTCCGGCTGTTCCTTATAGTCCGGAAATGGATGGGACTGCTGAACGTTTTATGCGGGCCTTGTTTGGCAGCGTGCGAACAATGCTAACGAAGGTTGGTCGACGTCTTTGGTGTTACTGTGTTGAGTACGCTAATGACTGCTGGGATCGTCTTCCACATAATTACGCTAAAATGCCAGGACACGATGGAAAGAGTCCAATAGAGACTCTAGAAGAAAGAACTGGTAGAAATTCTTCCACAAGCAAAATCGGCATGCTCCGCCGATTTGGTTGCCTTGTTTACTTTCGTGAACAAATTCAAGCCAACACTCCTGAACCCAAGCTCTCGGCCAAATACCGCCGTGGCGTCTTCCTTGGACTCTGTCCGAAGTCATCTGGTTGGTTGGTTGCTACTTTCACTCATGACGATCGTTGCAAGCTTGGATATCGATGGGCGGAATACTCTACCCTAGATGTCAAGTTCAGAGAGGATTATCTAATAAAGGACATAGACTGGCTAACGCCAGATAGAAAGGGCTTTTACTATGAGTGCGACGAAGTGGAAAACTTGCAGTGTGGAGCGTCGTCGCTGGGCTCCCCCTTGATTGGGCAGTCAGTGCAAAGGCTGGATCAGCAATCGGGGTTCTCTGGCACGGAGCGCGCCTCAGGTGGACCGACCGGCATTCCCGAAGAACTATATGTTGAAACCTTAGACAAGAAGGCTGAATCCGACGTGGCTGACTCTTCTGAAGGTGTTTCACTTGAGGAGGGGAAAGCTGAAACGAAGGATCGAGTCTCTGACTCACCTAGTCCGACTAGATCGATCCCGCACGTGTTGTGGCAGGCGAACGCCATACACACGGCAAGAAGCGTGGCCGACCGAAAGGAGCCAAGGACAAGGCTGGAGGAAGGATTCGTAGAACAAAGAAACAGACGGAAGAACTCAGAAAGAGTCTGGCGCTGTTCGCAAGTGCTATGGGTGGCACGTGTGAGATAGACGAAGATGAGGAAGTCGTCGAATCGCATGTGATGCTGTCCGTTGCCAATGCATTAAAGAGTCCTGAAGCTGAAAAGTGGAAGGAAGTCATTGACATTGAGCACGCGAGACTACTAGCCTTGAAAACGTGGGAAGAAGCTACTGACGAGCAGCTAGCAACCGCGTTACGGGCTCTACCAATTGCCATCATACTAACAAGAAAGAGATGTGGAAAATACAAGGCAAGAGCCTGCGCACTCGGTAATTTAGATCGTTCGGGAGAGCTAAACACCTTTGCTCCCGTGGTATCACATGCCGCTAATAGGTTGCTCCTCACTTCTGCTGCGTCAGAGGGGGACTATGCGACCCCGTTCGATTTAGAATCAGCGTTCCTCAATGCCGAACTCGATCGAGATGTCTACTGCCGTCTTCCACCCATCTGGGCGAAACAGCATGGATACGAGGTCGCGAAGCTCAAGGAAGCTCTATACGGCTTGAAGGACGCACCACGAGCATGGTTCAAGAGGTATCGCGAGACTCTCGCCAGTCTTGGTTGGGAGCCGTGTGCTTCTGCCCCTGGCTTGTGGCGCAAACCGAGCAGCAAAGCACCGGGGAAGTTCCTGAAGATGTCTGTCTATGTAGATGACAATCTTGCTACAGGTCCTGACCAAGATGAGCTCAAGACCGAACTAGACCTCATTTTCACACGTGCTCCAGGCCGTGCGATTGAAGTCGAGTCAATTCTAACCCCCTGGGGTCTCGAATGGCTAAAGTTCGACTTCTTAGGCGCGATCGTGTACTATGGCCGTGAAGCTAAGTCGTTCAGACTGTGCATGGAGCAGTACATCGATAAAATTGCTAAGAAGTATGAAGCTCAACTAGGGAAACCGGTTTACTCGCCCAATTTTGACGAAACAACTTTTCTTGAAGACGGGACCAAGATAGTTGATGGGTATCCCTTCCGTGAGGTAGTTGGTGCCTTACTATGGGTAGCTGTAACCGCGCGCCCGGATATCTCTGCTCCGGTAGCTGCGTTGGCTAGGCATGTCAGTAAACCCACGTCAACAAGAATGGCCAAAGCAGCCGAGAAAGTCCTAAGCTAAAATGCCTGGTGTCAACAAAAGACCAAGGAGTAGAATACTCACCAGAAAAGGAAGAAGAATTCAACAAAATATACGAGAAACGTCTACCAGAAGGCAGAGACATGCCAGAAGTAAACATATTCAGTGATGCTGGTTTCGCCAACTGCATCAAAACAATGAGAAGCACAAGTGGCTCCATAATGTATTACAAAGGTACACCCATAGCGTGGAGGAGTAACCGACAAACGGTTAGAGCCTACTCAACGGCTGAAAGTGAGTATATTGCAGCTTCTGACACGATAGTGCTCAGTGAGATGCATGACTTCGCAGACTCCTATAAGCCTCTTCCAACCCAGTTGGTACACACATAGAACGGCTTGTCTCCCTCCTTAGGCAATGCTGCATTGTGGATAGACAACCAGTCTGCGATCACAACAGCCAAAGCAACAGACGCTCGCCCTAAGCTAAAAGTAGACACTATGCTTTACGTTGCCTAAGAGTGCGCGACGCTGCTAGTAAGATCGTGTTCTGTCCTACCAACCTGATGAAGGCAGACCCACTTTCGAAACTAACCTGCAGTGCCACTCAGCGTAGACTCATACTACACCACGTAGATAACCCGATAACTACAAGTAGAGAAGACGACTGTGATTCCTCTGATGATGAACCAGATGAGGACGATTTAGCTTACTATAGCGTAATATATTCGGTTTATTTTGGTTTCTAAACCACCGTAGCCAGGTCACATACACTAAACAAGAGACGCGATTGCCGTGACTCAACACACAGTGAGGCGGTCACGTGGGACGGACTTCAACCCGCATCGATTGAGGAGGGGTGTTGGTCATGTATGGCCCAAGCCTCTCGGATGTCGTGGCGTTCTGTTCTCAGTGGCTCACACAAAGCCTCGTGCTCGACTGTCATCGGGATGATCTCACAAGACATGAATGTCGATGGTCATGAATGCTACTCCCAATGCACATCCAGTGCACATTCAATGCATAATCATAATGATCAAGGTGTAGACTAGGCACGGCTGTGCTGATCCTAGTCATATGATGCATGTTCAGTCCGATCCCTTCTGACACGCTTATGCTGCTGCTGTATGATTCATCTCACCCAATGAACCAAACAGGGACTACACCAGCCAGAGATCGCAAGTCTCAGGCAGGAGTGTCAAGGTTTGCTTGCATTCAAGATTCTGACTTTGTGTTTCCACTGAGAAACGAACCAAAGGCACGGAGGCCTGTGTTCTTGTGGTCCAACAGAAATCAAAATGGTGTAATAAGTGGTACGTCTTCGTCTTCTCCAACTAGCTCCTTTAATTCGCCGATAAGGTGCTTTAGGTCTTTGTGATTCTTCCCTCTCCTGGGCTCGTAGTGAATCTTGTCCTTGCCACTTACTTTGAGAGCGTATTTGCTGAACAAGAGCGAATTCTCGTAACTTCGGCCCTCGATAACACCTTCCTGGAGGTGCTCCAACGTGCTCAAATTCTTCAGATGGTCTACACGCGAGCGCAAATCCTCTGGTGGCCTGTATGCCATACCGAGGCGGTCTGCAACATGCTGCCGCAATATTATCGCCTTCTGGCCAGTCGCAGGCAAAGCACTAACCTGTTCGAAGTGAGGGATCCGGGAAGGTGAACCACAGGAGAGGCTCTGCCTCTGCCGCAGAGGCATTACCAACATAAACATCATCGTGATCATCATCTCGATCGTAGATTGATACTAGGTAGACGCATTTCTGGAATCGGCGTGTCTGGTGGAGTCTTGTAGACATCAGATAACCACAGCATCATACACCCATATGAACTTACAGAAAAAAGCTGGTCCAAATGTCTGTATCTGTACCGGTGCATCAAACATGGATTTGAGCTTCTTCTTTTTTCGCTTCTTTCTTCTCATTGAGAGGTCGTTTGCGTTTAACAAGGCCTCCGGCGAGAGTCCGCGCTTTTCTTAGAGGAGAGAGTATGTTGTAAGTATAGTTTCATCTACTACATAGTTTGATAATTGAATCAAGATACTGAAATTGCACACGAACTTGGATCCGGGTAAGGATTCAATGATTTGTCACTGGAGCTGCTCCTGGATTCGAAATGACAAACAACTGCAGCCTTAACTCTCTTTCCTGTATGTGCCTCTCGCAGTGAGTAGCGGACTACGTGGAGCATCTTCGTCCATTGGACTTCCGTGGCTCATTGCTGGGCTACCAGGACTAGGACTACGAGCACTAGCTCCGCCCAGCGCTGGCAGCTTCTGGACTCGCTGATTGCTCTTTCGTTTTGCCCGTTCCTCGTAGTATCGGGCGAGCACGTGCTTATTCAGAAGAATCTCCTGCTTGTCGTAGTCATCTGGAAATGTTATACAGAGACCAGCATGCGAAAAGGGAAACAGGTGGGTGATGAAACCATGCTAAATCAGCAAGGATTCAAACTTATAGCCAAGACCGATCTACGCAAGTATGCTTGCAGGACTCAAAAAAATCACAAGGAAGAAAAGAAAGGTTATGAAATTTTGTCATCTAGTACCTTCCAATCGTATTTTCTCCATTAACGAGAGGCAGTGCATGCTTGTATGCTCCATGGTCTCTACGAGACCTTGTTCCAGCGCAACCTCTTTGGCTAAGTCTCCCTCAACTTTTTCCTTCAATTTGAGCAGCTTCTCTTTCCTTCGTTGGCCTTCAGCCATGTGCTTGGACATTTTAAACTCGGTTTGCCGCAAATACGAAAGTGTCTGCACGGTTGTGTTCGGCTTAGGAACTAGAACGCCTTTCTGCTCCTTCAGGCCCTCCTCTCGATCTGCCATATACCGGTGCGCCACAACGCGATCGAACTCGTCGCTACACAAGAATATGAAGAAAAGCCGGAGGTAAGCAATGGGTATGGGATCATACTAGTACTAGTTGTACTATTCTCCATCTCAATAAATAGATTGGGATTCAAAAATGCAGGAGAGCCGTAAAATTCTGTGACTTCTATAGTAGATTTGTTTCAAACGCCCCCTTGTATTATTTTAGTTTTTCGACTAAATACATAGTGAATCATTGTACAAAAGCCCTCAGCCAAATTCAATAAAGATCATCATATTGTTGTATTAGTAATGCGCATAAAGTCGAAGAAGTCTGGTGGCACGAAGCTCTGCAGGTATTTTTCCTTGCTAATAGCATCGTATTCTGTGAGGCCCGTTTCGTCCATCAACTGCCTGCAGAAGGTTTCATCAACTAACTGATGCAGGATAAGATCACCGATGCACAAGACACTATGCTTTTGCCTGTCATCGAGTGGGATGCTGTCTATTGACCCATAGCTGAGCATCTTGCGGTGCTGCAAGGGCACAACATTTAGCACTTGGTTGCTTTCGACCTGGAGGTTTGTGGTGGTTGTAAATTCAATGTAACAAGTGAAATTCTGCGTGTGTGCTCACATCTATTCTTGATTGAAAAAAAGGTTCTTTTCGATCGAGGCATGCTAATTGTAGTTGTTCTAGTTATCAAAACAGTAATACTATTGAGTGCTCCGCCAAATAAACTAGCTGGTCCGCTAGCTGATTATCGCAGTCCCTGCCGACCACTCCCAGAACGACGTCTTTCAACGTGAGTCTGGGCTCCATTTTCATGCTTTTCTTTGGCAACCGAAAAATGGCCTGAAAAATACGCACTATCCACGCTTGTAGAGGCGTGCCGCTTTTCGTCAGCATCTGCGAGATGTTTTCCATGTATTCCTTGTAATTGGTTGGAAGCTGAAACCTCACCATTTCGCAGAGAGACCGAAGGTTTGCTATGCAGCGCCGAATCAAGAAAGCAAGCTTGGCGCGAACGTACCTGAAGGTCGTCAAGGAGAAGAAGAAAATCATTTTCAACTACTTAGACAAGGAATCAATGGGCAAATCGTAGCATAAGAAAATGATGTTCTGGATCGAAAATAAAATCACAACGCTCATTTGTTCCCCTCGCAAATCTCTTCCATTTGGGTAGAGGTATTGAAGTACATCTACAAGTCCATTTCGACCCCAAGTGGATCAAATAAACAGTTTTCTAATCGTACTTTTTCCTCTTTTGGCGCATTGTCTGTTTCGTTTCGGACCGCGGGACAAGCAGTGGCGGAGGCGCTAGTGCTAGGTTGTAAACCTGTGCCACGTACTGGTTGATAACACGCTGCATCACATTGAGAAAGCAAATTTCGCAGACCGAGAGTTTAATGCCCGTTAAGTCCTTCTTCTTGAATTTCTTCTTCATGAACATCGTCTTTGGTATCAAATTCGCTATCTCTTCAGCGTTGGTCCAGTCGGCCTGCAACGCGAAGTCTAGAGGTCCAATATATGCCGCTGGAAGCCGATAATTGTGTAGCTTCAGCTCCTTCAGTTGCGGCTTCAGCAACGTGTCTGAAGTGGGATTGAAAGAATCAGAAGATAAAGTTTGATTAATCATCAATATTTGGATTCATTGTTCCAGAAGCGGAAGTTGAAAGTAAAACAGCGTAGCATCATCAGCATCATCACCACTATCAATCACCATCGAATTCAAAGATCTGCATCAAGACCACAGCATGTTGCCTAGCAATTATCAGTAGCATGATGATGCCCGGGATATCAAAAACAAAATATATCTATATATTTATAAATATTACTTATATATATTAATATAAAGGTAAAAAACAAGAATTAGAGGTTGTACGAAATAGCCTGCATATTGCGTTGTAGGTCTGGTCCTCCTTGATGATAGTGACTGCTTGTTCGAGTTTGATCGGGAAAATCTGAAACTCTGAACGCTCGACCAGCGTGCCTATGTGTTTCTTGGCTAAGATGGTGTCGGAGCTAAGAATACGTGTGAGAATGCCGAAAATTTCCCACAGCAGGTCCTCTAGCGCATCACGGTCCATAAGCAGCTTTCTGCTATCGGGCACAGGCTTTTCCACCTGTTTGGCTGCTTCTTCTTTTTGTCTTATCATTAGAGCTACTCTACTGCAGCATTACATCCCTGGTAGCGGGGCATTCCGTGTGTCATTTTTCAAGGAGAAAGCCCCCCATTATACATAGGGAAGGACGTCGCTGCGCAGGAGGATGCAATAATTCTTGACCTTAACATCTGCGCTTTCTTGCTCACACGACCTGTGGGCTCCTCCTCTTTTTTCTTTTGCGAAACGCGCTGAGTTGAGAAGCAGCGGTGGATAAAACAAGGATTTTTCAGTCACTGTATTTGGTAAAATTTCTTTTGCTAATATATATTTATTATAAATATGACTGTAGCAAATAACCACATTTCAATTTGTATACGATGGTATTCGCTTTCGACAAGGACAAAGATACGATTCTCTAAGAATAAAGTAGGTAGGTTGTGCAAACAAAAAAGTTTCTTACCGGCGGTTGCTGTCCCGGCTTTAGCCTCTTGTATTTCCTATAGGCCACGTTGAAGAGTAGCCAGAGCTTGGTACTGCGTTCGAGGATCGGCGTAGCAACCACACAGACACACCATGCTGACCAAAAATGTGCGTCCCTTACGTCCGTGAAGTAGGTTTCCAGGTCCTCGTCGGCAAACGCCTCGAAGTTGATCCCCATATCTGCCTCCCAACGCTTGTATATCCCTGCTAAAAAAGGCACATCTGCAAGCTTTTTCCCCAGCATACCAACCTGATTCTTCAAAAGGGATCAGTAAAGATTGCCGTTGGTCAGGAAAAGATGATCTACTGACGAATACTTCTTCTATCGAACTCCTAGACGAAGCAACTGCTAAGACATATGATCAAAACTACAAGAGTCATGTTGAAAAATAAAACGCAAAGGTTGATGTTCTGCGTACCAGTTCTTTCGCTCTTTTCATCTGATATTCCGGGACCGGCTCATTCATATCAAGTCGCTCGACCTGCTCGGGTGTAATCTCCTCCTCCCTGCCCAGTACGCTGTAGTAGTACGGCGACAGCAGGAAGCTGTCGGATAGAGCAGCTCCCATTTTCGCGCTTCTCGGCGAGCCTAACTACTACTATGTTTCTTTATGTGGATAAATAGAGTTAGTGTTAGTGGAATTTTGTTGTGGGTTGTAAATTTAAATCCAGTCAAGAAGGATAAAAAGACCTGTTATCTTTAATCGAATTCGAAAAAAAAATTGGATGCTACGTATTGAAAAGACGACTCTCATATAATATCTTTGTTCGTAGAAGTAGCCCCACCTTGCTTCACAACGAACATCAATCAGATGATTGAGAGTTGTGTTACTTCTTCAACTAAATTACTCTGCTCTACTTCTGAGCCTAAACATATTTACTTATATGCAACACTAAGAAAAAATTCTAAATATGCCAGACAATATCTGAACAAATAAGTATGCAGTTGTATTTCTTTGCAATAGCTGGTCCCTGGTGTACTACTAGTGGGACATCACATGAATGTATGTACTGATGCGTTCACACCTCCACCCGATAGGCGGAGGATGCGCGACGCAAACCTACCCATGCAGAGCGCCTACAATTGTTGGATTGGATTGATAGTGCAGAAGATTCGAAGTTTGGCAAATCAATGCTTCGGAGTCAAAAACAACGACTAGGGCGGTTGTATCTTCATGATGGAATGCCACACTTCATCATGGGTGGATTTCTCAGTCGTATTATATTCTATACATAGATAACGAGATTACAAAAACTACGTCAACCTAGTCAAATAAATCAACAACATTGTGGAGTTGCATGACATGTTCAATATGATGCAGTGTCTATACATTTAAAATGTCGGATCGAGCGGGTTGTTTGACTGGTTGGGCTTTTTGGGCTCTCTATTCGGTGTGAGTACTTTTTGGTCCAATTTTTGAAGAGCGCACATTATATCTCCTGCCATTGCGATGGCTACCGATTTTAATGCAGCTTACGATTTACTATGTTCGCTTTGACCTTCGACACAAAGATAAATCACCGATTTTCCAAGCACGAATTTTCGACAGCTTTCTCACAAATGACCGAGAATACTCTTGCGTTAGCCATGTCTTTCAGATTTTTTCTCGTAGAAGAGAGAAACGCAGCGGGCATATACAGCCGAATATTTTCGCCGGTCGATTTTCGTGTATTGAGTCCCTCTTCGAAGGATCAATGATGATAAGAACACTCTCACTGAAAACCTTTTGCCCTGCAACTGCAGGCACGCCATAAACTTTTTCTCAACTTCTATTTTGTGTGTGAGCTTGCACGACACTCACGCGTCTGTTGATTGTTTCTCTATTGATGCCAGCGTCGTGCATCATCTACTAGGGACGACTGTGCGAGCATGGAAACGAACAGAACAGCATCTGGAATGGAGATATTGGGTATGCTGGAGGCTTTCTTGGGAAGATGGTGAATTCCCCTTACAGAATGAGGCACGACCGTCTTGGTCTAGAACGTGTCAGCAAGAACTCTTACAACATCTCCTTAAACATGTCAGGCAAGCACCACGGGCAGTGGATGTATAGCTGCTCGAACATGCCCGATCTTCAACGGGAGGGGTGTGGGGAGGGTACGGAAGCGAGCCCGAGCTGGAAGACCACTATGTGTTTTCTAATGATGTGAAGATTATGCTGTATCTTGAGACAACAACGGTCACCAGAACCAAGTCCGACTATGAGGTGCCTGAGTATGTGGAGAATCAAAGGACGTCCACGTTGTCAGTCAAGAAAGACAAAGACGTAGGGTTTCATGCAGCCGCGCTTGGATCGTCGTAGTATCGCAAGGGCGGGGCCGCTGGCCAGAGCAGTTCAGAAAGAAGGAAGTCATCATTGGCGAATCCACCGACGCAGTAGAAACTAAGGAATTCCTCTAGTACGAAGGCATCTGGATTCAGAGAGGGATCCATCAGCTTAGCGATATCTTCCATATGGGGAAAGCCATCTGCAACCTCCTTATAGTCTTCTGCACCATTTCGTGGCGCGCCCTCTGGATGGAGCTGCATGAATTTCTTGTACCTGAAGTGTGCACGTAAGGGAAGGAACTAGAACAAGAAGAATTACTCCTTTCTAAGTGCACTTTCAAATTCAAGCTCAATGCCTCAATGTGCTGGTAATCTTTTCTGACAACATCAAAGCAAGATGGTACACTCAAGGACCAAGAGGAAGAGAATTATAAGTAAAGTGGTACACTCCAAATATCCTCTGCACAGCTGATGGCTCGTCGGGAATTACGGTGCCCGCTTTGGCACCGCCTGGAAAACACGACCAGTCGTTGGTTACTCGTTTCCCATGACACTCAGTCATATACCTGCAAGTACAACTACAAAATCGGATCTTTTACAAATATTAGGTTCTGAGTATGATGCTCTTCCTTGCATGTCCCTACGTTAATAAAGTTACAACTTTGTAGTTTTCATAATTAAATTTTTTGGTGAGCTTAACTCATCAAAATTTAAGTTCTATGTATCTATAATAGTATGTCAATATTACATGACTTTAGTATTGACGACGCTTGGATGCATGTTTTGAAGCACGTAGAACAGTGGCTCGCTGGGTGCCTCGAGAAAGTGGACTAGGTACGATCCGACCACGTAAAGCAGACCCGTTATTAGTATGTCGTCGACTGAAAAGTCGGTAACTTCGGAAAGGATGGCCTGGTGGGATGATAGTAGATGAAATTAGTAGAGAAAACAAGCATGACCTTGTCTTGGTTCTCAAAAAATGCATACTCAATTGAAATACAATTCTTTTCTATGTGTAGCTCTACTGTTGGCTAAAGCTACACACGTATCCATGCAAGTACCGTCGTTGCTGGATTTGACCCGTGCTTGTTGAAGTTCGCTATTTTTGCTCGAAAATCGTTTTCGATGTCTTGTGCCTTCGCGCCTTCTGCAAGCTGAAGTTTGTTGGAACAGAAAAACTGCTGCTCGAACAACTCGGAAATGAAACTACTATCCCCTTGCGTCTTTGTCGTTTGTGATCCGACGGCATGAAAAGACAAGATATATTCGATGGTGTATGAGTAACAACAATATTCAGTTCCAGAGCCACGGCCACGGCCCGTATCAAGATTATACCTGTGAAACGACGAGTAATCGACTAACCGGTTTGACGCCTTTTCGTAACCTGTCCATGACATCCAAGATGCTGTATCGTTTCTGTTCGATCGCCAGCTCGTCAAAAGGCTGCCCCTTGTCGAGCCGCCTGTTGCCAGGTGACACATCTGGGGACTTTGCATCCGCTTGCTCAGCCATGATTTTTTCCTCGTGATTTGTTTTCGGCCACTACCCAGTTGTTGTTATTCTATAGCCACCTCGTTATTCCATGTTCGTATTCCTCATCCTCTCGGTTCTTTCTCTTTTTATAAAAAATAAAGATGTATTCTCTATTTTTACATACTGCTGGAAGTAGTTGTCTATTTATTGAGTTGTTGACATTCAAGATCTAAGGAAAGTCCACAAACTTCACTGGGAATCAATCCCCATGAAAAGATACTCATTCAAGAAGAGGAAGACTCTAGAATCACAAAGCACACCTACATCATCAAATGAGGAGAACAAAATTGTCTCCTTTAGAAAAGAATACGGGGATACTTTTGGGGAAAACCGGGAGGCTCCGCGGATTGCGTCATCGCAAAGGCTGGAAACATGTACTAGGCCGATGGTCATCATGGTTTGGAGAGAGGTCCGACTCAAGATATTGACATCCCTCACGATCACGACTCGAACTCTCGTCAATGGCGACGAGGACTGTAAGTGTAATCCACAACAAAGAGTAGTTACTTATGCGCGTCATTCATACCTATCTTTCAAAGGAGCGACGCTCTTTATCCTTGCTTCCACTCTCGCTGACAGATAATCCATTCGCCGTCAGGTGGGGTAGGAGGCATGTGACTGTGATTGCGTTAGCCGGAGAAACACCGTAATTGAGTCGAAATATATCAATGATCGTATTTTCTTCAGAAGTAAAATTCATTGTGGGAAGCAGGGTAATGTGAAGTCGCAAGGAACGGAGTTAGCGAAAAGAAATCGCTGTTCATGTTCAATGAAGCATGTTCCTCTAAACATGAATACGAGAATCCTGACTAACACGCGGCAGTCGATTCATGACAACTAGAAGTCTGCCAAGTCCGCCACTCAAGACCTGCAGCGTCGCAGATTCAAGTTCTAGTCCCGGTTCTGTCGGAATTGCATATCGGCTCTGATCAAGCAGGACAGGATCACGTGTCGTGTTCGTCCACCAGTCTTGGTTCTTTTGCTTCTGTTTCCGTCCAGTCTTTTTGTTCGCAAGGGGTTTCCCGTTTGCCGAAGATGGCGGCGGTCCAGCACTAGCTCCGGTGCCTTCTGCAGCAACCACATCGGTGGTTTCATGGGACAATGCGGCACAACCCTCACCACCAGCAGAAGCAGAAGTCATCGCAGTAGAATTTCCAGTCCTTCTTGTATTTGTCAATGATGATGCGTCTCCATTGACGCCGCTGCTAAGGTTCTGCGGTAATTGGGGCAATGCACGCTCCCGCAACGAGCGGATGGAATCGACAGTCTGCGGCAATTCCCCACCTGCACCGACTTGTTGTACAAGAGATCCATCTTCTGCTGCTGCACGGCGTTTAAGTTCAACCAGATCGATTGGCAGAAGGAAAACTAGGCGCCCTCCGTCAACGAGGTTGCGAGCTGCGAAGCGCAAAAGATCTCGTAAGATCTCATCCTCCTCGTATAATTCTTTACGAGCGATGTAGTTCCCGCGGTCGTAGATTCTGGGGTCATCTCCGCCGTTAAAGTTGTTTTGGACCTTTTTTGACGCAGCGCGAATCCCGTATGGCGGATCCGTGACGATAGCGTCTAACCAGGGACGCGTCTGACGCCACGGCTTGCGGCTGTTGTCGGTGACCACGATCTCAGGGCGCTTCAGCTTGTACTGGTAAAAATTCATGTAGATGTCTTTGCAGGCGGAAGAGGAAGGATGTGAAGCCGGTCCTTTCTTCGCGGGTAGGGCGAAAGCTGTAGACGAAGATGAAGAATGCTCACCTGAGACGTTTTTCGCTGCAGCCTTTGTTTCATCTTGAGGCTTCGAATCCGTTTGTATTATGCAGTCTTCTTTTTCACTTTTTCTCGTGATATCCCTGGCATTCTGGTTCTGATCTGACTGCTCTGCCGCATCATCCATGTATACATCAGCAGCATCGGTTGCACTAGTGCTTCCCGTCTGCATTATAGCTGCTGTCTTTTCCTCAGGCTTGCGGAATCGAATGCTTTCACAAATTTCAGCACACTTTTTCGTGTTTTTCTGATACGCGATTCGCCATCCTTTGAGTACCCGAATGTCGAGGTCGCTTCCGATTGTTTGCGTGTCGAAATGAGCCATTGGTATAAGCAAACCGCCAGTCCCACAAAAAGGATCCATCGCAAGGCTACTCGATGAGACCTGACGGAGTGGAAAGGCAAAAAGTAAGAAAGTCAAAGTGGGATCACTGCATCATGAATGAGAAAATCACGACGATGGCTGTTGGACACCAAGCAATTGACGAAAATAAGTGAATACAACGCTACCAAATGAGGTGTTCAGCGTGTTCCAGCTTACTATCAACAATCTTGAAAGATGGAGGAGGACATATCGCAGTAGAACGAAAAAAACTATCGAGAAGTACCTGTCCACAATTGGCCATTAGGAAGGCTAGTTCGTTTTCCATTGTCGTTGGACCCAAGATGCATCTCTTGTTTAATGCATAGTGTTCGTAAAAGGCTAGATTTTTACTTGACGCCATATGCGTGCGTCCCGACCCTAGATGCCTCGCAAGAAACACGCGTCGCAAAGTCTTGTCCAGTTTGTGCGTCTCTTCCACTCCGTAGTCTTCCAGAATCATGAGCATGGTTTCGGGTCCCTGCAAGTCAATTTTCCTAGGACGATGCAAATAAAAGTCATTCTTTGATGAGTCCTTTTGCGGAAGTCCAGAAGAGTCAGTCGGTCTTTTGGTGGAGTGCGCCTCGGCTGCTGCCTTGGAGTTTGCCGGAGCGCCATTGCTGGCCGAAGAAGATGTGGGGCATGCGGTTTGCGGTTCAGCGGCGACGCGAGAACTAGACGCGGTCGACGGCGTAGCTCCATTCGCTAGTGGCGCGTCAGTACGATGGCGCTTTGGAGAATGCCGGTCTTCGTCAGATGGCGTGTTCTTATCGCCCTCATCCGCTTGGCCGGCTTCTGCTGGAGAAATGGGTCCCCATAGGAAATCTGCGACTTCAGTGATCCGTCGTTGCTTGTACTCCTGATGCAAGGACTTTCCGAACGCGAAACAGCGGAAGCAAAACGTTTTGTCAGAGTTCACGTACTCTAGTGCCGCTGCTCTTCTCAGCGCTGCCCAATCGTCACTCTTCAATTTGGCCTGCAGGTCAGTATACGCCGCAGTTGCGCTGCAAATGCTCGTCCAAGAATCCGAACCCGCTTCTGGTTTTTCGGCGCATGATAATGATGCTTGCGCAGACTCCAGCGTCCCTTCACCCCAAACGTCAACCACGTACTTGATCATCACGGCACGGCTTAGCCAAAAACGCACTACCTCTTCCCGCCGAGCCTCTGGCAGATTGATGTACACAAAGGGTTCCTCTCGTTGCGCCGAGGGCGGCTCACTGAAACCCGTCGCGGGATCACGGTACAGGTCTGTCTTTGAAATCCCACACATGTCTGCCAATGCCTCGAGCTCTTGAAAGCGCATGTTGTAATAAAGGTTGTGATGCGCGAACCAGACGAGACAACGCCGCCAATTCACTCCGGTCGTCGTGCGGGCCGCAACACTAGGAGGACCAGCCCCATGCTGACCCTCCGCTTCAGAAGAACTGAACATCTTCTTAATCATAGCAAGTGCAGACAATTGCAAACCAAACAGAACATCAATATCAAGCTAGTTGATTCTAAGAAGCAGGGTTGATACCAAAAAAATTGTCCGTTCTGTTGTTGGTGCCTGCAAAAAATTGGTCATCATGAAATTGAAAATCAATTTTCTGAGTCTGCAAATATATCATGCTAGTCTTTACTCGGTTTATTGTATCTGTATAGCTAAGAGCGACATCCTCGTAGTTATCATGTGCGATGATAGATCATTAGAGAACGTGTTCTTGAAGTGCTGATCACATCTCCACGCAAAAGCAGAGCGCTGTTTTATTCATGGCCTGAACTACAGATTCAAAAGATCCTGGTTTATCTGCTCCAAACATGATCGTATTTGACGTCGATAGTGAAGTCTTGTTTTGGAATACAGAAAAAACCTCCCAGTTTTGTTTCACGCTCGTCGTCGACAGTGCACAATAGATCCACTTTCGATGAAGAACTTCAAGTACTAGATCTAGTTGTAAAAGTGTTCCATGCATATAACTCGAAAATAAATTGACTTAGATCTTCGTATAAGTTCTGGTCTCCATGTCCGGCTGTCTCGGATGATGTGTTTGCATGTGGATCTATACATCATGTGTGCACTATGATTGTCACCAGACTACAAACGTCATACGTAAACGTACTGTTAGTGCTTAGATCTGAGAGGGAACTTCCCTTGTTTTTGAGATTCATCTGGAACGCGCTGTATAGGTCCAGCGTCACTGGCTCTTCTTTCAGAGCATTCTTTTTCCTTGCCAGGAGAGCCTATGATGGGAATGAGTCGACACAAAACATGCAGCTTTCGGAAATGATATAAGTGTCGACACTCCCGATCGAAATGAGCAGTTTTCACATAGTAAACGCATTTTCACATTATAGACATAATTGGTTCTCAACATTTTTTACTTGCTTAACCTGATGTGTATCGCGTTTGTCGATCCTATCCCGTTTCATCACAACAATTTCTGATGGAGGTAGCCACAACCAATGCGATTTCTTTGGATCATCGTCATCATGAAAGTAAAAACCTGATGTTCACCTACATAAATTTGCTTTCATATTTTTGCAGTGTTGAATTGAAGGACTAGCGCATTGTCACGTTTCTTTGCCTTTTTGAGTTGAAAACCTTTCGGGAAGGACAAGGAAAGGTATTTTGTCCAGGTCTTTGTGAAATTCAGCTTCAGCTCACCACAGTCATCGGACACAACGTCCCACGCGATATCCCCACCAGAAAGGCGCAGTTCCACATCGACAGTGCTTCGTGTAGAAGAGCCATTAGAAATAGAAAGAGCTAAAAAAATATTTATTAACATATACAAGATTTGAGTGCTATACTGGCTTTGCCACTTGGGATTGGGTCACTACAGTCGAAACCAGTAGGATTTCCAAGAATAAAACCTGTTTTACAAGGCATCCAGATTTATTGCTACATCGATTTCTGGAGAGGAAACTAAGGATCCAGCTATTCGCCACAGTATCACAGTGCGTAGTGAAAAACTAAGCATAAAGTTTCCACCTTTCTGTTCGGTAGTTTCTCTTGGAGACTGCGACACGCGGTAGCTACAGGATACACCCTGCAATGCAGCAGAATCAAAGCGGTAGGCGCCTGCCACATTTTCCTCAGGAAGCGCTAGGATGTGTTCTTTCCGTGCCTGGCGCTCTTCAACGAGTACTGCTGTCGTTGTGCTCTCCATACTGCGTGCGGTCGCACTAGGCGCGATCTTGGTTACGAGTGACACGGACATAACTTTTGGTTGTTCTGCTTGCACTGTTAGATTTTTCGAAGTTTTCGATCGGTTCTCTTGACCTTGAGAGATATTTTTGGAAGAAAGGACCTCGAGTAACTTCTTCTGCTCCAGCGGAGGAAGTGAAGAAGTAGAAGAATCATGTGCGACCTCTATTACTGTTTCGCTTTTCTTGAAATCCTCTGTCTCATCCTCCTGGGCATCCTTGTCTTTCCTTCGTCTAGCGGCAAGACGACGCTTTTGCGATTTCGAGAGTGCACCTCCTGGCGCCGGGGAACTTTGCGTGCAACCTTTATCTGATGTACTTGTTGTACCCACTGCGTCGTCGGGACTACTAGTCGAGTCGTTCGGTGAAGGGGATGCTAGCTTCTCATCCACAACTTGGATTAGCGGTGTCGCTGCGTTCTTACTCGGCTCTGGACTTCCAGCACCTGTGCTCCTAGGGGTTGTCTTCTTGTCGTCCTTTTCGTCCTCCGGCTCGACTTGTTCCACAGCAGAACACGAACCTTTTTTCTTGTTCTTCTTCTTTTTTTTTGATGCGCTAGAGGAAGGATCCACTCCACCCGGAGACCCTCCAGCTGTCGCCGCACTTGAAGGTACTCCTGATGAAGAAGTAGACTCAGATTCTTTACCACTTGTTATGCTTCCTGAGGTTGTGTCAGTTTTTGTCGCCACTTTCTTAGAGTCATCGTGTTCTTGACCGACAGGTTCCGTGCCATTTGAGGTACTCACTTTGTTCTTGCTTCCTTTCTTGTTTTTGCTCGCGGTCGTCGTCGTTGACGCTGCGCTTTCGTCTGTAGTTTTCTTTACAGCTGCTGTAGAGCCACCAACAGGTTGCAAAGCCGAAGCTGTTGGTGGCTCAGCGGATGAAGCTGCACTCTGTTTCGTTGCTGCCAGGACTTTGTTGCTGGATGCTTCCGCTATGCCAGGCAACTGCATCAAATTGCCGACATCGTCACCTCGAAGCACGTTGCTGTCCACAGTTTGATACAAAGTCTTGATGTCCGCCAACTTCTCGACTTTGCTCAACTCGGGCGTCAGCCTGAATATTGAAGTTCAAGAACAAGATATTCATTTTGATTCAACAATGGAAACTCTCCGGAAACGCTGAATTGATGGCACGAAGTTGAATTAGCAAAAGCTGAAGTTGAATTAGCAAACTGCCATCAAAGCTTTTCTAGTAGGTACCAAGGACTTTTCTTGTCATCTGAGGCTGCTCTCGTTCCTTGGATCAGGTAGAGAAAACTATTCCCACAGTAAGGGGAGCCGCCGTTCTCAGACACAAGAGCCGTGGCGCATGAGAATGGGTTCGACATCGGCGCGACGAGATATCGTGAGCGAACTAGGCACGTGTGAACGAGGGTTTCCCCAACCAGGTCGTTTTCTTGATCTGCACAGGTAAAGCCGCACAAAAACCCACGTGAGGCCAGATAGGGAATGAAGCAGGTCCTCACTCAGAGCTTATATTCTTATAGATACTATGGGAGATGGAGCAAAAAGATGAACGATTCCTAGTGTCGTCGAGAACGTTCTGAGAAGTTAATACTAAAAATACATAGTAGCTACAAGTGTTGATTACTAGGGACCTTCTCTTTTTCATGCTGATGATGATGCTTATTTCATAAAGTGAAGATCTGGCAACCACGTATGCAGCAAAGGTTGTTTGAGATTTTTCGTTACTCCTGCACGGTTCAGCCTATTCCCGAAACCACCCATAATTAGAAGGGTTGGAATTGGCGTGGAGCTTTACACTGAGCCCTCTTAGGCCCAGAGCTCGACTCCGTGTTATCGACTAACAATATCTCAGTTTTCTTTTCATATGACTTCCCGACGGCCTTAAGAGAGGCATAGTACTGGAAATAAAGCTTCAAATTCTATCAGAACCTGTTTTCATCATAAACATAATGGCACCTCTAAGAGTGCTACTTGTTGTAGTTTTAGTACCGTCTATCTTTCACCGAAGGGCATAAGTTAAAGACGAATACGAGAGTGTTCGCCGGGGTCAAATTTTGTCCACATTCCTTACGGTACTGGAAAAACTTTTCCACTACATTCGGAAGCGGCACTTTAAAGAACGGACGGTCTTGGAGCTTCGACACTAGCCTGGTCGCACAAGGTTTGGGTCGCGTTTCGCAGGAGGAGGAAGTGGGAGGCGGGTTATTGATGTAGCTTCAAGTTGAGATCCATGTAGGTTTTCTACAATGACCTGGTAGTGAGACGCTATACAAAGCAAGTCCTACCGGATATGCATTAGCATGGTGGAGTAAATTATCCAACGACAGACATGAACAAAATTGAAATTCACCTGTTATAACTTTAGTGTGGTCGGGTGACTATGCAACGTTTCTTTTTTATGCGAAACAAACTAGTACTTTGACTTCGGTGCTGTCGTGTCGATTTTTCCTTTCAGCTCCGGACCAACGAAGCTTAGGCGTACACCATGCCTCGATGTTAAGAGATCAAAGTAATTCGTTTTTTCCATTACTTTCATCTCGGAGGCAGCTGCTCCAAAGATAACTACATTCTGGATATTCACACCTATTTAGTATAGGTGTCGATAACAGGGATAGATTTGAGTTAGCAATTTTGGTTTTAGTAAGCAGCGAAAGCGAAAGATATCGCAGAGGACTTGGTGCGCAGCGTCGGACTTTCTATGTTGATGCGAATGACGTTCATGACGACATACCAAAACGAAAGCGCAAAATAAGCGCGTCGATGTCGAAGCAAGTACTTACCGTCAGCTTCGCTGAGGCCCGACTTGTTCTTAAGCTGCGCCAAGCAACAGTCGATAGTAGCGATGAAACTGAGGCCATCGCAGATACTAGCGTTCTGCTGCGCTTCGACGACCAGCTTCTCACCATTCTCCAACTGAGCGAAGATGCGTCTCCATCCCAAGGGTAACCGCTCCACCGCTGGATCTGAGGTAAGAAACTTTTGTTTGACTTTGAGTTTGCGGTAAGAACTTTTTCTTTGAGGTATGCAGAGCTACCTTGGTCACAATAGTATTCGGGAAAGCCTGAGGACAGGAGACATCGAGTTAATTATACCGACAATATTTTACTGAATATTACGTAGGTACCGGCCTCGTCCCCTTACTCTTTCCTGTGCTTTTGAATACATAAACATATTTCAAGGTAAGCTGTGGAACAACTACAACTACAGGAGACTGCTTTTATCTTCTTTCAGATAGCTTCATCATCACACCAATTCTCTTCTTCCACTGCAGTTTCGGCCGCACAAAGTCGGTAACTCGAAGCGTACCGGGTGACGTGAAGGAGTTGATCTCCTTAAAGGCAGCCTGAGCTTCCGCACTCATTGTCGCGGAACGTCAGGAACCGGAACCTCTGTCGAACAAATCGGTCGTGGGCGTTACTGGAAAAATCACGATGAAAGTGTACGTTGCAGCAACTTTTCCCGTCCAACAGCGGATTAAGCTTCTTTGCCCCTCCTGTGACTGTGTCCGATTTTCATAGCCGAGAATGACGAGCATTCAAAGAAGAAGAACAAATGGGATATGCATACTATTTGTATCTCCTTCGTACATTTCCAGATGCTTCTTTTGGAGCAAAGGCAAACAAAAGGTTGTTGTAATATTCTTTCTCAATTTTCAAGAATGGTATATCATGAGAACACTGGTTGTGCCTGTCGTATTGTCGTACGCCAATACAATCTTTTTCGTCAGCTCTTTCAACTCGGTAGAAATTCCCACAGGTAGAGGTTCCATCATGCACTTCATCCGCATCTCGACTCACCACCCTCGTTGCCACAGAGTTCCTTCTTGATGATTATTGAGCAAGAATATGAGCATTTTCTCACTTGAGCTCGGCAGAAGAGAGATATATGCACTCACCGTGATCTACACTACTCCTTCATCTCTATCACCATACCGAGTAATGATCACTGAAACCACTGATGAATTAGATTAGGCTAAGCTGCAGTGTATTTTTCGAACAAGACTGCAGCAACACTCGGGGTCCACCAGGAGAGACGAGGCACCAGATAACTTTCAAAAACGGCCTCGTCATGATCCGAGGATGTCTTTAGAGAGCATAAAGATAGATAGACTTTGGAGAAATCATTACTTTGCTTCGACTGTGAAAGATATTTATACATATACGCATGTAATGCTTAGCATTTTTGGGCAGTGCACTTGCCTTAAAGGTGCGGTTAGCTCTTTGGCTTGGGTCCAGCTTCTATTTCGCTTCTTGTAAATTTGATTACGATTACATCAACATCTCCAATGCTATTCAATCAGACAACGATCATGATAAAATATTATGAGTAGAACAACAACTAGTCGCCCCTTATTTTTGAAACCCATGTAGGGGGACGATGCTTATGATAAACATTCAATGTCGTACATTGTGAATTCATAATCGTTCTACTTTAGTTACACATCACGAATGCTGCAGAAATACCGTTTTACATCATTTTTGGAACGCAACTTCCAGCTTTGATGTTGCCTCACCTAGAGCGAATTCGGTTATCTCTCCGGCTGCATTTACCCGCACACCGCGAGACCTGCTGGAAAATTATTATTCAACAAACAGAGTAGACATACTTGCAAAAAGCATAAACCACGACAGCCTGTACGAACAAGGCGACAATACACCACCACGAGAAACCACTGGTACAACAGGAACACGGAGATATTATGATCACTCTGAGTATTAAACTACGCACTTATCATGGAGAGTTCTGGATAGTCAGAAAACGTAACCACCTCAATTTCGGTCAACTTAGATGGAATGGATGGATCGCACTTACTTTTACTATTTTCCACGAATAGAGGTTCAGATTCTTAGGCCAGCAACATGTTGATCTTTTTACGTCAAAACAGGAGGCACAGGAAGAAGGGTGTACAGGCGAAGGCGCGCCTATGATGTGAAGTTATCCTGTTACGCAGACTATACGACATGAGGCGCACCAGCACATCTAACCATCGGGAACTATCGCATTGATTAGCAAGTTGGCTCTCTGACGATTCCTCTATAATTCATGGACAGATGAATCCCGATTCACAAGGTGGCATCACTGCTGCTTGCTACCAACTGCACCAGGCCAATGTAACGTCCCTATCATGCTGGGCATCAGGACCACGATGGATGTTACCTAACTCAATGCTGTATCCCCTTTCCTGATGTCAAGCAGTGAGCACGGTCCACTGGCATCACTCGTAACATAATGATAGCATTTCTTTGTACCTCAATAAAACTTGGGAATGAAGATTTGGAATCAACAATTAGAATTACAAGATGAACACCCATATTTACTTACACTCCATATTTTACACACCATAACAAGGAAGCAAGCGAGACTTCTTTTTTCTTGGAATCTTGAGAAACTGAGACAGACACACCGACAAACTTACATGCCAGCCTTCTCGCCATTGTCGGACACACATAGTCACGAAAATGAATGTGATGTACAATAAACTCATTCACGCCGAGGGAAAAAATCAGGAACTAGTAAAACAAATTATGCAAATTCCAAAAAAAATCTGTGTGCAAGATGAGCAGAAATGACCCAAAATCGGTACCCACATCGTATTTGATGGTCATAGCAAACTGCACGCTAAGCGAACGGAGAGAAAACGTCTGCCACAATCCGAATCCCGGTATTAGGTATTGAACTTCGTCACAGGTTTCGCAAATGCTAACGGTGAACCCTCGCTCCATATGACGGAAGAGATATAACGCGAATGAAAACTTTTTTCGCATCGAAGATGATACTAGATTCTTCTATGTATAAGATGGGAAACTGTTGTTTGTCCTTGTTGTAAGTGCAAAATAGAAAAACGGGTGATAGGGTTTATATCATATTTAGAATGAGGGCTAATGGGTAGCTACAAGACATAGATAGTACGCAATCAATATCATACCCTTAAGCCTACCCCGGAAAACAAGCATGCGGTACACATGAAAAAGGACAACAATACACAATCGAAATTGTAGATTTGGATTTCGATACTTTACTGGAACCACAGGACACCTAATTACCAGCTTTCTGTATGGAAAAAGTAAAATTGAAAAACTCATCCCCAAAATAGAGATCACAAAGTGTGGAGGCAACGAAAACCCCATTTTTCATCATGTCCCACAATTTATGACATGGCGTCTTCTACTGTTACTCCGAAGTAACGTTTCAACTAAATTTTCGGGTCGATTGAACGCCCCGACGCAGTCAATGAAAGAGGCAAAACGTCTCCGAAGAAACTACTTGACCTGTAATAGGTTACGGCTTTACGTTTTGCAAATAATACATTAATAATGGAAAATAAGAATAAAAAACAAGCTTCGCGCATTCTCATCAAAATCATGCCAAAAACACAAAAAACCACTGCAAAGGTTATAACTAGTAAATGCCATTTTTTTATACTTAGTAAGTGCACACGTACAAACTTAGCTAGTAAGTGTCGAATTTCAACTAGTAAGTGTCGAATTTTCGCGAGTAAGTGTAGAATTTTAACTAGTAAAAGTAAAGGTAGAACCTTAACTAGTGACTGTCTAACTTAAACTGGTAAATGTCTAACTTTAGCTAGTAAGTGCCGAACTCTAACTAGTAAGCGTAGAATTTTTACTAGCAAGTGTAGAACTTTAGCTACTAGTGCTAAGTGTAGAACTGTAGCTACTAAGTGTAGAACTTTAACTAGTAAACGTGCTTCTGACTCTAACTAGTAAGTGACTGACTTTAGCTAGTAAGTGTCGAACTTTAGCTAGTAAGTGTCGAGCCTTAGCTAATAACAATAAGGAATAAGTGTCGAATTTTAGCTAGTAAATGTCCGACTTTAAACTATTGACTGTGGAGCAAGGTGACAAATACCACTAAAAAAAGTCGATAAGTGATTTCGCATTCCTGAAATTTTTGAAAGGCTCCAACAGCGCAGAGAGCGCTCGCAAAGCTTGGAGAAATAAGCCGGACTACCCTGAAAACAGCCTTCACAAAAGAAATCGGCCCACCTGAACCACGAAGGCGCGCCCACCGTGTCACCCGCACAACAACAGCAGATGCGCCTGGCCGCCCACGCTGGCGCATGGGCAAAGAAGCCACCCACCGCACACCCGCCCAAAACACAAACCGCCACCAAATCAAGCTGAAAGACGACAAAACGAAAAACAACGCCAGACACACAACCTGCCAGACACACCAACGAACCACAGGCAATAAACGCAGCCAGCGAAGCAACGCCACCCCTGTCTGTCAGCGCTTGGACATCACCAACGCCGCGCCATGTAAACACACACCCGACCAACTTGACAAAACTCAGCCAATTCCCTAAACTTTTCACACTTTTCGGCCGATTTGGCCAGTTTTCTGGGTACTGGTCACAAACACCCACAACCACACACCAACAACAACAAACCAGCGGCAACACCATCGAACGAGCGGCCACACCCAACAGAGACACGACCCCAAACACACCGGAAAACCACAAGAACGACAACCAACGCCACGCGTCGCCACCGCCCTACCCTTTACACATACACACCCACGCCACAACTCGACAAAACTCGGCCGATTTCTTTGACTTTTCGCACTTTTTGGCTGATTTGGCCAGTTCTCTGGACGCAAGTCACAAACATCCACAACCACACACGCCAACAACTGCAAGCCAACCCCTGCACAGCAACACCATCAAACGGGCCGCCCCACCCGACAGAGCCACCCCACACACACACTGGAAGACCACAAGAACAACAAACAAAAACCACGCGCGACTACCACGCCGACCCTGTACGCGCACAAATTCACCCAATTCAAGGAAGCCCAGCGGACTTCTTTCACTTTCTGCACTTTTTGGCCGATTTCGTCAGTTCTCTGGAAGCAGATCACGAACATTCTCAACCACTCACACGAACAGCAAACCAGCAGCAACACCATCGAACGAGCGGCCGCGCCCGATAGAGACACCCCACACACAACGAAGACCACAAGAACGACAGCCAAAAGCCACACACGGCAAGCGCCCTGCCCTGCCCTGCCATGCACGCACACACACACACACCCGAACAACGAACTTAGACAAACCCCCGAACAACCTACACACACACACACACACCCGAACAACTTACACACACAACCGAACAACTTGACAAAACCCCGCCAATTCTTTGAGCTTTTCGCGCTTTATAGCCGATTTCGCCAGTTTTTTAAACACAGACCACAAACACCCACAACCACACACCAACGAACAACAGCAAACCAGCAGCAACACCATCGACCGAGCGGCCACATCCGACCGAAACACCCCACACACACCAGAAGACCACAAGAACGACAACCACAAGCCACGCGCCGCTATCACCATACCCTGCACACGCACACGCTCACAGGTCCGCACAATTTGACAGAACTCAGCTGATTTCGTTGACTTTTCACACTTTTCAGCCGATTTCGCCCGCTTTCTGGACACAGATCACAAACGCCCACAACCACAACAAACCAGCAGCAACACCATCGACCGAGCGGCCACACCCGACAGAGACACGACCCCGCACACACTGAAAGACCACAAGAACGACAACCAACGCCACGCGTCGCCACCGCCCTACCCTGTACGCATACACACCCACGCCACAACTACTCAACAAAACTCGGCCGATTTCTTTGACTTTTCGCACTTTTTGGCCCATTTGGCCAGTTTTCTGGATGCAAGTCACAAACGTCCACAACTGCAAACGCCAACAACTGCAAGCCAACCGCTGCCCAGCAACACCACCGAGCGGGCCGCCCCACCCGACAGAAACACCCCACGCACACACTGGAAGACCACACAAACGACAAACAAAAGCCACACGTGACCACCGCGCCAACTCTGTACGCGCACACATTCACACAGCCCAAGGAAGTCCGGCCGATTTCTTTCACTTTTCGCCCTTTTTGGCCGATTTGGTCGGTTCTCTGGAAGCAGGTCGCGAACATTCTCAACCACACACACCAACAACAAACCAGCGGCAACACCATCGAACGAGCGGCCACGCCCAGCAGAGACACCCCACACACAACGAAGACCACAAGAACGCCAGCCAAAAGCCACACATGACAAGCGCCCTGCCCTGCCCTGCACACACACCCGAACAACTTACACACACACCCGACCAACTTACACACACAACCGACCAACTTACACACACACCCGAACAACTTACACACACACCCGACCAACTTACACACACAACTGACCAACTTACACACACACCCGAACAACTTACACACACACCCGAACAACTTGGCAAAACCTCACCAATTCTTTGGACTTTTCGCACTTTTTAGCCGATTCTGCCAGCTTTTTGAGCACAAACCACAAACACCCACAAGCAACCACACACCAACAGACAACAGCAAACCAGCGGCAACGCCATCGACTGAGCGGCCACACCCGACCGAAACACCCCACACACACCAGAAGACCACAAGAACGACAACCACAGGCCATGCGTCGCTATCGCCATACCCTGCACGCACACAAATCCACACAATTTGACAAAACTCAGCTGATTCCTTTGGCTTTTCGCACTTTTCAGCCGATTCCGTCCCCTTTCTGGACACAGATCACAAACACCCACAACCACACGCACCAACATCAACCACAAACCAGCAGCAACAGCATCGAACGAGCGGCCACACCCGACAGAAACAGCCCCACGCACAACGAAGGCCACAAAGACGACAACCAAAGGCCACACACCACCACGAGCGCCCTGCCATGTACGAACAGCAGCAACTACCTGACCAAACTCAGCTGATTCCTTTGACTTTTTCCGCTTTTTGGCTGATTTCGCCAGTTTTCTACAAACACACCAGAAAGATCCAAAAAAACACCAACACCAAGCAACAACAAACAAGCAGCAACACCATCGAACAGGCGGCAGCATCCGATAGAAACACCCCACGCACACCCACTGGAAGACCACAAGAACGACAACCAAAGGCAGGCCACGCGTCGCCATTGCCCTACCCTGCGCGCGCGCACGTTCACACAAGTCGACCAAACTCAGCTGATTCTGTCGACTTTTCCCACTTTTTGGCGGGTTTCGCCGGTCCTCTCGACACAGATCACACACACTCACAAACACACACACACACCCACAGCCGCAAGCCATCGGCAACACCATCGAACGAGCGGCCACAACCGACAGAAGCACCCCGCACACACTAGAAGACCACAAGAACGACAGCCAAAGACTACACACCACCAACGCCTTGCCCTGCACGCATATACGCCCACACAACTCGACTGGCTTGCATTTCTTCGCCGATTTCGCCGGTTCCCTGGGCGCCGATCATGAACAACATCCACAACCACACACCCCAACAACAGCAAACCAACAGCAACACCATCGAGCGAGCGGCCACACCCGACAGACACCCCACAACACTGGAAGAGCACAAGAACGACGAACAAGAAAAGCCACACACCACCAGCGCCCCCCCCCTGTACACGCACACATCCACACAACTCGGCGAAAGGAAACTCTGCCGGCGTTTTTGGCCTTTCACGCTTCTTGGCCGATTTCACGCGCACTCTGTGCGCCCTTTGCCGCTGCTTCTGCCGGCTCATCAGAGACAAAACCCAGCAACCACACACACCAACGAACAACAACAAACCAGCGGCAGCGCCGTCGAACGAGCGGCCACACCCGACAAGAACACGACCCCACACACAACGAAGACCAGAAGAACGACAACCGAAGACCACACACCACCAGGAGCGCCCTGCCATGTAGACACACACACACACAAACAGCAACAACCTGACAAAACTCGGCCGATTTCTTTGGCTTTTCGCACTTTCTAGCTGATTTCGCCAGTTTTCTGCACACCGGTCACAGGCGTCCACAATCACGCACACCAACACCAACAGCAGCAGCAAACCAGCGACCGGCAACACCATCAAACGGGCGGCAACATCCGACAGAAACACCCCAAGCAAACACCGAAAGGCCACAAGAACGACAACCACCGAGGCCCACTCGTTGCCACCCCCCTACCCTGTAGCACGCGCACACACTCACACAACTCGACAACGCTCCGCCGCTCTCGTTTTGGCTTTTCACACTTTTTGCCCATCCGATCACCAGGCCACTCCCTGAGGCCTCGCCGGCTGGGCTCTCTTGCAGTAGTCAAGAACACAGCGCCCGACCGCCTCAGCGCGTTACTGGAGCCGCGCCCCTCCAGTCATTCCATTTGTCAGCTGCTCAATCACATGAAGCGAGACGAGTGGGCATCTCGAGAGCAAATCAATGCAGGCGCCAGAAACTTACCAGCCGAAGCGGCGTCTCTCTCGCTGAGTACAGAAATGCACTCGCACAGAAATAGGCGACCGCCGTGGTCCTTCCTGTCTCTCTCGAGCACTTTGCAGCGCTGTTTCTCTCGAGGGTGGAGGCAGTTCT